CAACCCAAACCCAAATCCAAATCCAAATCCAAACCCAAATCCAAACCCAAACCCAAATCCAAACCCAAACACAAACTCCAAACCCAAACCCAAACCCAAACCCAAACAATCCAAATCCAAATCCAAATCCAAACCCAAATCCAAATCCAAATCCAAATCCAAATCCAAATCCAAATCCAAATCCAAACCCAAATCCAAATCCAAATCCAAATCCAAATCCAAATCCAAATCCAAATCCAAATCCAAATCCAAATCCAAATCCAATCCAACTCTTAGACTGTTTCAGCCTTGGAACAGTTGGATTCTGTAATACTCAGGGTATTGACAACTGCATGTCCATACCTTAAACGAGGCCAAGATATATTGTTGGGGTTACGGAATAGGATATGAAACTTACGAGCGCCTTTCTTGTGATACCAGAAGATCAGGCACGCTCCCTGGGTGGCCTTCAGGTATTCACTGACTAACCAGGCTTTGCTGTTGATGGGTGCACCAGACATCTCCACAAAGACATAGAAACCTGTGCCAAACGGAAATCCCATTACAAAAGGGCTACAGCACATTAACAACTTTTGCATCAAAATTGTAACTGTTACTGTCATTTTTACAGGTGGTTGTATGGTCCATAGATGGCCCTGTGTAGGCACTTGGGGTGCGTCCTTTGATCGCAGCAGGTCAATGTTATTGTCATTGCCCTTGTGATTGTCACTGTCTATGCCATTTCAACTGTTCCTCACTGTAAGCAGAATTGGTCGTGTGGTTCGCAGATGGCACAGTGTTGGCACTTGGAGGCTTCCCTGAGTTTGATAGCAGCCAGTCATTGTCACTGTCAATGTCATGGTTAATGTCATCAATGTCATTGTCATTGCCAACTGATTATTATCGTATATAGAGTTGGTCGTGTGGTCCACAGATGGCCCAGTGTAGGAGCTCGGAGTGCTACCCTTTGATTGCAGCCAGTCATTGTCAATGTCGTTATTGTCATTGTCAATGTCATCAATGTCCATGTCATTGCCATTGTAACTGTTCTCTACCGTATATAGAGTTGGTTGTGTGGTCCACAGACGGCCCAGTGTAGGAGCTTGGGGTGCTACCCTTTGATCGCAGCCAGTCATTGTGAATGTCGTTATTGTCATTGTCAATGTCATCAATGTCCATGTCGTTGCCATTCTAACTATTCATTACCTTATATAGAGTTGGTTGTGTGGTCCACAGACGGTCCAGTGTAGGAGCCCTTTGATCGCAGCCAGTCATTGTGAATGTCGTTATTGTCATTGTCAATGTCATCAATGTCCATGTCATTGCCATTGTAACTGTTCATTACCGTATATAGAGTTGGTTGTGTGGTCCACAGACGGCCCAGTGTAGGAGCTCGGAGTGCTACCCTTTGATCGCAGCCAGTCATTGTCAATGTCTTTATTGTCATTGTCAATGTCATCAATGTCCATGTCATTGCCATTGTAACTATTCATTACCGTATATAGAGTTGGTTGTGTGGTCCACAGACGGTCCAGTTTAGTAGCCCTTTGATCGCAGCCAGTCATTGTCAATGTCATTATTGTAATTGTCAATGTCATCAATGTCCATGTCATTGCCATTGCAACTGTTCATTACCGTATATAGAGTTGGTTGTGTGGTCCACAGACGGTCCAGTGTAGGAGCCCTTTGATCGCAGCCAGTCATTGTGAATGTCGTTATTGTCATTGTCAATGTCATCAATGTCCATGTCATTGCCATTGTAACTATTCATTACCGTATATAGAGTTGGTCGTGTGGTCCACAGACGGCCCAGTGTAGGAGCTCGGAGTGCTACCCTTTGATCGCAGCCAGTCCAGTGAATCCAGTGAGTCCTCGTTACTCCAGCCGCACAGGTCGTCCTCAAAGTCACAGTAACCTTCCAGGTAACGGCACAGAAAACGTAACATATTATGAATCGTCGAATCATTACTCCATGGTTTCAGAGTCTTCTTGTTAAATAATGAGTAGGTGTCATATTTTAGTGACTTTTCTGTTTTTCTGTGCAAGAATGTCTGTCTGTATGTGTATTTGTTTGTTCGTTAGTCTGTCCTAAAGTTTTTTTCTTTACTGTGAGAACTGTTTGTTTATATGCAAGTCTCTATCTTATTTTGTCAGACTGGGCGTTCGTGTTTGTGTGCTTGTTCATCTGTTTGTCTGTCCTTTAATCTTTGACTATCTTGCCTTGTCAGACTGTTTGTTTCTATTTGTGTGACTGTTTGTTTGTCTTTTTGTCCTCAAGTCTTGATCCTATTTTGCCACATTGCATGTCTGGAGTGTTTGTTTGTTTGTGTGAAGTTTTGTTTTTCGCTTTGTTTGCCATCAAGTCTTTGGTCCATTTTGACTTGTCGGACAGTTAGGTTGTTTGTCTGATTGTTTGTCCTTGTTGTTTATCCTGAAGACTCTGTCTTTACCTTGGCGAGAGCATTTCCCGTCGACGATGTCCACGTCGTCGATGGCGATATCGGCGTTGGCGTTTGAGCCGACCTCGGCTTCAAAGACGACCTTGTAGGGATGGCCGGCAGAGACTGTAGCCTGCGCAAACCGCCACTTGTTCTCCTGATGACCTGTAGAATACGTAGAGCGTAGAAAAACGTCCAGAAAAATCTATGCAGAGAATCTAATTGGCTAATGATGTCAAAATGGTAAAGATTTGGACTTGGTTTGATTATAAAATTAGGCGGATATATTTAGTCTTTTTCACAATGGTATTTTTTGGCCAAAACAATCCCGTCGTCAAGTAGTTAACAAACAAACCACTAAATGAGGGCAATCTTCAGACAAAAGTGTACGTTTAACTACTGAGAACTCTCATTTTCGGATTGTTAGAAGAATCCATTGAACTTTTAACAATTCTGTTGTATTCTTAGAGATGCAACGAGACTTACCGCTTTGGTCCCAGGCTACGGGGCCGTCCAAGTTGGTCTGCAGGTCGCGCGCCATGATGCGCAGCGTTCCAACGCTATTGCCGAACATGTGGTACCAGAAGCGCACGCACTCGCCCCGCGTGTCCTCGTACTTGGGACTGAGCAGACGTCCCTTGTCTCCCGTTGTCAGGGGCTTCGCCATGGTGACCAGGGCATATTTTCCTGTCGGTCGATGAAAAAAAATGGTATTGTCAGCATTATTAAGTGCATTATCGTTACCCCTGATTGCCCAGCTTATAGTCATTTCTGAAGCAATGCAAAATCACTGAGAATAAAATAAGTATCAGCGGTAGGCCAACCTATTAAGGATGCCCATCTGTGCTTAACTATTTGTGAGCGGCAAAAATCACCCCCAGTTCAAATTACACACTACACAGGATTTCATAGATAACGAAGAAAAAACCTATAGACCTCAAACCTAATGATGTAATGGCTCTGTTTACATATGTGCTTTCCTATGGGAGTGAAGTCGGGACACCAGACGAAGTAGGAACCGTCTAACACATAGTAAAGCGCACATGTAAAGAAAGCGTGACGCCGTTAAGTCTCAGGCCTATTGGCGTCACTCACCTGCAGCGGTCTCCGTTGTGTGGTCAATTGGTGGCTGGGTACCGTGGGGTTGGTCCCCGCTCGACCACAGCCAATCAAAGTCGTCGTTGGGATCCTGAGTCCAGGAACACATACCAGTTTCAAATTCACAGTCCCCTACAACAACAAAAACACCAAGAAACAAGAAGATACTTTATTTAACGATCAATAAGAAATTTGTCCAAATATCAATATTTTTTATTTAATAAGCCATTTTTTTTTGAGAAACCAGTGCACTTGCATGAGTACAATTCGAATAAGCGATTAGTCAGTTTCCAAGTTCCGGACTTTTCCTAGTTCCAGACCACTTCAAGTAAAAACCTACCTCTTTTTGAATTGGTCTCCAATACTATTTTTTTCTGACAAAGTGCATTTTGAAAAGATAAAATGAAAGCTTCTTGATACACAAAGGTCTTTTCGATAAAATCTCTAGAAAAGGAGTTTTGGCCAAATTTCCAACTCGCACTTTGACATGTTTTAATGGTTTGTAGAAAATCAAGGGAGCCTCAAATTGGCAATAATTACCCTCCTTGGTACATCACTCGGACCGTGTGATTTCAAATATTTTATTCAAACTCCACAGTCGTATAAACTTTTGCATCAAATGTTTGTCGAATCAAAATAAGTTGTAGAGTCTTTAATATTTGAAAATTCGCCAACAAATAATCATGTTTTTGCCTAGTTTGGGATCGCAGGCACTTAGGACCCAACTATCCGCATGTTCATCAATTTTATGTAAAGACCACTAAACCCTCTTCCCTTCCCCCTGAAGATCCGCCGAGTACTTTGCTTACTTGTTGGTGGGCATTGGCCGTAATAGATCAAGATGTCGTCCAGGGCGATGTCGCCGGTGTACGAACTGCCTGCTATGCCTTCCCATATGACCTAGGTATAGAAACGACACAAAAACAAATTTTCCGTTTACTCTGTCTTATCATAAGATGGATTTTTTTTTTTTTTTTTTTTGGCGTCTGGGTGATATAAATCAAATTAGGTTTTTGGTTCAAGTCCCACCCGAGTGATTTTTTCCAACTTTCACTCGGGAGGTAACACACTGAGTATACAGTGTTTATACGTCGGTGAAGGGCAAAAACCTAATTTGGTTTACTCTGTCTTTGCTAGCACAACAAACTTTGCCCTAAATTGGCGAGCTAGCAATTTACTGCAGACGCATGAAATGCACTCATCGATGGCACAGAATTTGATGCTATACTTACTGAAGAGTCTAGCGATTAAATAAAATCCAGCCAGCACGGAACTATAAGTCCGCCAAATTAGCAAGTGGGCCCAATTTCAGAATTCTGCTGGCTGTGCAGCGAAGATCTGACTACAGCAGAAAAAAGTTTCACACCAACGATGCATGCATACGGCCCAGAACCAGAAGCCAATCTCACCAAAAAAATTGCATAGCTTGGGGTGGGTGTGGGATCTTGAGCTCAGAATTCCGCTTGGTCCAATATCATCAAGCTTAAAGCAGATTTAAAAGCTAAGCAAACATTTGCAGGGCACCAGTCAAAAGCAATTGCCCTGCATGCGATATTTTTTTTACACAACTATCTGGGGTACTTTGTGCGCTTCCCTATGGGCCAGGGTTATTATAACCAGGCTTGAGTGGAGGCTACTATTTTTCAACTTGGTACAGATTTCGGACTTTATTTCTCATTTTAAAAAAATCCTGGAAAAGAAAAAGAAAATTGCTGCTATACAAGTAGTATCTGACTGAAAACTAACGTTTCTAAGATAAAACTTTAAATTGTTGAAAAAAAGAGCAAAATCTGATTAGTGCAGAGCAAGAAATCGAACTCAGGACCTCTGATAATTCGCTAGCATGCCTAACCACTAGGCAACGGCGGTGCTCGACCAAACCCTGCAATTCATAAATTATATACTTTCACACATGTAGAAAGAGTATACGCGCGCCTAGGTAAAAGGTTACAGGATTGTAGAGCGCCGCAAGTCGCCTGAAAAATGGGTTCCCTGTACTATTGTGTACATAAAAAATTCGGGCCCTGCATGACGTTTTGGCTGGTAACCGGTTTTGCCTTAAGCAAATTTTTCCTGTGCTTAATTAATTAGCAAACATTTCTGTGCATCTGACCTGCCAGGATTTCTCGGAGGTGACCGTGTATATGGCCTTGAGCCACTGGTTGCCCTGCGTCTGGTAGCGGGTCCAGATCCTGGTATCCTGCCCCCGCTGGCGTATGTAGACGTTGAGACGGTTGATGGACAGGCCGTACATGTGGTACCACCAGGTCAGGCACATCTGGCCGCCGGTGTTGGACGTGGGTTCGTTGACGGCCGACGCGAACTGGGCCTTGTGGCCCGTGCCGATGCTAGAGGGCGACGTTTCCAGGTACATGTAGTAACCTGTGGGGGTAGCAGCAGGAAACGCAGAAATGACCCAAAACGCTAAATCATTGAAAATTTGTCAATTCTTCAACTTTTTTTATGGTTTTTGACTGAAAAGGTTTTTAAAGGGAACATACCACATTTGCAAACATAAAAACAACACTCCCAAATTATCATGAAAAAAACTGGACTGTTATTAAATGACAGTCTAAAGCATCCTGTAAAATCCTGGCACCTAGTGTGCTGTCATTTTCAAGAAAAGTGTAAGTTTGTATCAATTTCCAATGCTGGTCGGCCGACAATCGTTGGAAAAACCAGGTTTTTTTTCAAACACTGCCCCTAATTTACCATCTTTAGTTGCAATCATTTGCAATTGATTAAACGATTACGAACGGGTACAAGCCAGCTAGACTGATTCCTTGACCGTTCATCTTAAGTGGGGTCAGGGAACCCGACAACAGGAACATGATAGTTTTTCTTGGTTTTTCCAGCATCTACGAATGCAAAACTTCAAACGAGCCAGTGTAACAATATTTGCTATAAAATACTAACCCCCAAATCCATTGATTTCTGAAAATTGCAGCAAAAGCAAATGATGTATATTCCCTTTAAAGGCTATAAAGGATCATTTGCTTTTCCTGCATTATGTTCATTTCCAAACACAACTCAAAATCCTCAGAAGAATGATCAAAGCCCTAACCTGTTGAAGTTTCAGCTCAGTGGATATTACACTTTTTTGAGAAAACAGTGAAAAGCCATGCACAACGTTTTGATCATGAGACACAATTTTGTCCATATCACTCTTTGTTTCAAAACATCAGTCAACTGACTGGTAGTTGGAAACCACGTACATTTCTTGCTTTCTTCTCAATGACAGCAAGCCAGACGGAATAATTTCACAGGGTGTTTAGTACCAGTAAGCTCTTTACTCCAAGTGGAGTGTCATGGCCTAGCAGTTAAGAGCACCGGACTCATGCTCTGGTGTTTCAGAGGCAACAGTGGCATGGGTTCGAGCCCGGGCCCGGACACTTGTGCCCTTAAGCAAGGCAGTTAACCATTACTGCTTCGTCCTTCGGATGGGACGTTAACCCGGAGGTCCCGTGTGTTGTATAATGCACATAAAAGAACCAAGTAACACTTATCGCTAAGAGAAGGGGTTTGCCCCGGTGTTTCTGGCCTGCTAGTTATACTCCCTTGTGGAAGTCCTTAGGAGAAGTACCAACCAAGTACCAAGTACCAAGTAAGATGTTTGATAATAATTTGCTTGGTGACTTTTGGAGTAAATGCAAATGATGCAAAGGTGAGGTTGAAAGGGAAAATACAACATTTGCAAACATCGAAAAATAAAACTACCAAGTTGTTACGAAATACCTTACTAGGATGTTGGTAAATGACAGTCTAAAGCATCCGGTAAAATTATGGCACCTGGTGTGAAGTCATTTTCAAGAAAAATGGTACATTTGTACACATTTTCAATGGTGGTCGGCCGACTACCGTTGGAAAAACCTAACTATTTTTCAACTACTGCTCCAAATTTACCATTTTTTTTTTCAGTCCAAATTTTGTTTGCTATTGGTTCCATGTTCATGAACGGGTGCAGGCCAGCTAGACTGGTTCCCTTACTTTACAATTTTCCGGCATTTTTGATCCATTTCATCTTTAGTGGAGTCAGGGAACCTGACTACTTGAACATTTTTGTTTTCCTTGGTTTTTCCAGCATTTTCAAACACGAAACTTCAAACTTGTCAGTGCAACAATAATTTGATCTATTATACTAACCCCTCACATAGTTCATTTCTGAAAATTACAGCGAAAGCCAATGATGTACATTCCCTTCAAAACTTGTATGGGGCCTGGCTGCCGATAATGGCCTGAGCTGAATTTTGTTTCAACAAATGTAATCCAGTCAGAGAAAAAAATTGTCCGACGTCCTACCGTAAATTTTAGGGTCAACACTTACCGTTCTGATCCCCGTAGGTGTGGTCGTAGCCCGGCCCGGTGTTCAGACTCGAAGTCTTGCCCGATCGCCTCGACCAATCAAAATCGTCGTCCGGCGACGGGATCTGGATGTAACTGCAGATGTCCGTCTCGAACGTGCAGTTCAGATGGTTGCCTGTGTTCAGCAAGAAAAATTGTTTCTTTTTATAAGGAGTCGTCCCATAAAGTTGTGTTCCATGTGCTCATCAATGAATTTGATTTTTATTTCCCACTTATAAATGTTCAACTTGTATGTTTTATTCCAATCAAATGATGTCTGCAACCCTCTCGAAAATTTTGTTCTACGGCAACATCCACTTTGCGAGCAGACTGGTTTCACCCAGAGCTGTAATGACTCGAGTCGATGACTCGACTCGAGTCCGACTCGAGTCACAATTTTTGGTGACTCGACTCGACTCAAGTCCCTAAGGGTAAATGACTTGGCTCGACTCGAGTCACTGCGAGCAAATGACTCGACTCGACTCGAGTCCCTCATCAGAAGACTCCACTCCACTCGAGCGAAGGCTAACAAGATTCGAGTCCCAAAAATAAAAACACAGCTTTGCGAAAAGTATTTGCAATGACTTACGGTGCAAAATTTATGCTCACTTCACTTTGCGAATAGCAGTCATGTACAAATATACAACGTGTCACAGACTCCCACCTCATGGTTCTAGAACGCACAAAATACCATCCACGAACCAGATTTGTAAACACATTTTCTAATTCACTGTTTCATCATTGGTTTTGGGCGATTTCTTATAACGCTCTTGGATTCGAACGCTGGCTAAACTTATGGCATCCTTTTATAAATTTTGGTAAAGTGTTCAAATATTCGTGACTCGAATTGACTGGAGCTAAATATTTGACTTGACCGTCTCGACTCGACCTTTTGACTTTAATGACTCGACTCGAGTCACTTCTTTAAAATGACTCGACTCGACTCGAGTCACTTCTTTAAAATGACTTGATTCGAGTCACAAAAATCAGTGACTCGTTACAACTCTGGCATCACCATCACCCTAATCGCTATTGTATCTATCAGTGTGTACCCTTTCTCATCTTGCTGTAAAAGTAGGACACAAGGTTACTTTAGTTAGGTACATGTATATTACTAGCCAACACAAGTCCTCCTTCTTTTCTTCTTGTGTGTGGTCTTCCTAGCTGGGAAAGGTAGCTTTCCTTGTCAACCAATATGCGTAGTAGACATATCAAAGAGCACATTATTGATACTGATTGTGGGGGGGGGGGGGGAACCATCCTACCCAGCGAGAACGGAATAATTGTCTGGCAGCTGAAAATTCGAATTTTGCAAAGTAATAATGCAAAAACGAAACATGGGTCGATATTTTTTGGGGTCGATATTTTTTTGGGGTCGATATTTTTTGGGTTGATGTCTCATCAAAAAGTGAAAAAATTTTGCATAAAGTAGCAATTTTGACACAGAATCAATTTTTGAAACTTGAACATCGCACGGGGGATGCAACATTAAATATCGGGGATAAATTTCAGACATGTTTATCCGCAATTCAAATGTTTGGTTACAGAAATCGTCGGTGGGGAGACAGATAAAGATGAAGGCACTACTCACGGATGCACTGTTCTCCCGGGATGTAGTTCAGGTCGTCGATGGCCACGTCGCTGGTGTAGTTGTGACCTATGACCCCGCTCAGGATCAGATAGAAGACCTTCGAGCTGGAGACGTCCACCTGGGCCGTGTGCCACTCGTCGCCTTGGTTACCGCTGATGGACAGCACCTCTGTGGCGACGTCCGCGACGGCGTCGTGGACGTACACGACCAGCTCGCCAATGCCTACGATCAGGGGAACCAGCCAAAAACGAGATACCAGTACAGATACAAGCTTTTGAGTTTTCAATATTTTATGAACTTTTGCCAACTACAGGGTGAATAAAAAATAAAAAAAAAAATGTCTGGACCATTTTTTTATTGAAGTTCTGCATGTGGCAATTCACACAGGGATGAATGTAAATTGTTTTCGTTTTGCTGATAGAACACTTACCTTTTTTTTGTGATCCTTGGACAGAACTTCTAAACGGTGTTCGTATTTAAAATTCCGTAACTTGAAAAGTACACAAGTGATTTGAATGATTCTTGTACTAAAAGAAAGCTTATGAATTGGGCTTTCATATCCTGGATTTTGAAAGTGCTACATGCAGAACTTCACTAAAAAAATGGTCCCGACATTTGGGTTTTGTTTTTGTTACTCACCCTGCATGAACCTTGTCTTTGTCAGTTTAATTTTGTAACAATGAATGAACCAAAGGTTTACTTATGCCTACCACTGCTATACAAAAAAAAATGCCCTCTACCTCCGCCTATAATGTATTTTGGTCTGTGAAAGTCCAAAGAGAAATATCAATGCATGACATTTGACCTTTAACTCTTACCCTGTCCCAGCATGTGGTACCAGAACTGGAAGCAGGCTTTGTTGGTGGCATCGAAGTGCTCGCTGTTCAGGTTGGCTTTGTCGTCCTTGTAGTAATAGGACGACTCGATAAACAGGTAGAATCCTGCGTGCACAAGTATAAAAAAAACCCCAATAATTATAAAATTGGTTAGCGTTGTAGTCCTTACAAGTCTTTGCAAGTCCTCACAAGTCCTAGCAAGAACTAGCAGGTCCTCACAAGTATTTTCCAGTCCTCCCAGTCCTCACAAGTCCGTTCCAGTCCTCCCAAGTCCTGACAAGTCCGCGCAAGTCCTTGCAAGTCCTCGCAAGTCCTCACATGTCTCACAAATCCTCACAAGTGCCCCCAGTTCTCACAAGTCCTCGCAAATCCTAACAAGTTCTCGCAAGTCCTTGCAAGTCCTCACAAAGCCTTGCAAGTCCTCGCAAGTCCTCACAAGTCCTTGCAAGTCTTCACAAGTTCTCACAAGTCCTCGCAAATCCTCGCAAGTCCTCAAAAGTCCTCGCAAGGACTCACAAGTCCTCGCAAGTCCTTACAAGTCAACCACAAATCTACCACAAGTCCTCACAAGTTCACAAGCTATTCAAATGCATTGTAATAAAGGCATTCCTTTGTTTATGCTCACCTCCTGTTACTGGACTTTTGAAAGGACTTGTGATTTACGAATGAAAGGACTTGTGGTAGACTACAACACTGGTTCATTCTAAAGTGGTCAAGGAAATTGATTTAACAACCCAAAACATTGAATACACACAAAAAATATTGGCTAATTTCTGAAAATAGGGCCATGAAATTCATGTTACAGCAAAAACTTTGAGCAATATCTTTTCCTCTGACGTGTATGAAAAATATAACCCAACAATAAGAGCACATTTGTTTTTGAAGCAAAATTTTCTATTATGAATGACTGAATCCAAGACTAGCACTTCAAAGGCTAAATTTTAAGGACACAAAATGTGTAACCTAAAACGTCTTCCCGTGATAATTACAAGGATTATTTTAAAATTACAGTTATGTTATTTTTAATAATTCAGCCTTTAATGAACTTTACAGGAATTTTTATTTTTTCGTCGGAAATGCGTTTATGAGCCAGACAAAGCACATTCAAGACGCGTTCCTTCAATTTGAGAATCACCTTTATCGGTCCCAGTGGTGTGGTCGAATTTCGGGCCCGTGGTGTGACTCGGTGTCTCCCCGTCGGTCCTCGTCCAATCAAAATTGTCGTTTTTGCCGTTGACCCAGCTGCACAGACCGTCCTCAAAATCGCAGCTTCCTGGAAACGGTACGAGATATGAAAAATGGTAAATTTGATAAACGCGCAGCGCAGTACGCACATCGAAAATGGAAATATGGATTTTTGACCTTAGAGGTAACAGCCCTCAGGTCTGAGAAGTCATGAGCAAGCATTGCATTCACTGTGTGGACTTCCGAACAAAAGATGTCCACATAAACATGTTTTCGGATACGTTGTGTGGACTTGCCCGCGTCCACACAAGGTTTCCCCCTATCTGGAAAACAAGTTTAGATGGATTTTGGGTTAGGTTCATCCGTCCCAAAATAAAGAGAAACACTCAAGGAAATCATAGTAAAAAAATTTGGGTTGAAAGATTTTTCACAGTGTGAGCAAAATGATTTTTTTCCACAGGTTTTTCTCAACTACACAAAAACAAAGGAATGTCCACACTAGGTATGTAATGTGAACATGTGTGAGCATTCCGGTGCCTCGTACTTGCGTAATAAAATGAAGTAATGTGATCGGAATTTCTCTGGTTCGAGATTTGTCGAGATTCCCGAGACGGGATTCAGTCCACCTTGTTAGTAGCGCTCACTAACTGCTGCGGCAGGGAACATAATCTGAATCCACGACCAGGCACTTCACGACCATAGATGGCGCTGTTCGTGATCAAAATGTTTCATTCATAACATCAAATGGACGGAGAACGGGCTGATGGGGCTGTACCTGGTGCCGGGCAGGCCTTCTGCATGACTTCCAGGTCATCAATGGACATAATGCCGGCTCCGGAAGTTCCCGGAATGGCCTCCAGGGAAACCTGAGGAATCAAGACGAGAGAAGAGACAACGTCAAGTCATGTTACGAAAACTTTCCACAGAACTTTCGGTCACAAAGGAATGCTTTGCCTTTGTACCTTTCAATAGACCATTATCATGTGGCGGCCATCTTGGTTTTTCCCCATTCAAATCAACGTCACCAACGCGAGGCTGGAAGGAAAAACAGTCTGGTTCCTTTTTGCACAAAAAAATATTATCATTCATTACTGTTATTGGATATAGGGAACTTGACTGAAATGGTGGCAACATTCTGATCAAGCCAACTCTTCCAATCAAGCAATCCAACCAATGGGTGCTGTGGTCGAAGTACTTTGTGATATCACAGGTACATCACAAGGTACATCACGAGCTCAACCAAAAGTACATCACAAGTCCAGTCAAAGGTCTTACGGGTCTTCCACCATTTCTTATGGGGTTTGTGATGTAGCAAACTAAAAATATATAAAGGCACAAGAACAGACAACGCAAATCCCAACACAGGAAACTTAAACTCGGCTTCCAAATAATTTAATATGACTACAGAACTGCAAGTACGGAACATCTTGACGAAGCCAATGCCCTAATGCCCTGGGGGATATCATATCTTTTGTCCCCCCCCCCACTTTTTTCGTCCCCGAATAAAATTTGTAGCTTACTATAATGATTCTATAGCTCAGAATATCTGATTCAATGACTCCATACTCGAAACGATGTTTAAAAGATGAACTTTTGCTAACAAAAAATTGGTTTTAGTGGTCAGAAATTGCCTCAGATCGCACCACAGAGCGTCTACAATCCAAACTTTTTCGGGGCCCTTAAGCAGACCCCAAACCCCACGCTGTTAGGGCTTCGCACTTCGCGTTTTCATTAGTGCTCAGCAAGGTATGCCCCCCCCCCCACTTTTGAGAAGCGATTGACGCCCTTGGGACTATTAAAGACACTGCAATGAAATGACCAACCAACAGACCACCTTATATATAGGACTCTTTGCATGGCTGATGAGATAAATTATAAAGTTTGCGGGTAACACCATGTGGAAAGAAATCTCTTCTTGGAAAAAGTGTGGTTCTGAAAAGAACCGGTTGGTTGAGTGTAGAACTCGACGTTTCGGACAGTTCTACACTCAACCAACCGATTCTTTTCAGAACAACACTTCTTATAAGAGGATATTTCTTTCCACATGGTGTTACCTGCGAACTTTATAAGGCCAAAAAAAAAAAAGTCTCCGGTTTCTGGTATGGAGCTTGCCCAAAAAGTGGTGCGGCGACGCGGATTTTTTTTTTTTACCTGATTTTTTTGCTTCAAATGTGTGCTGATGACTGCAAATGGTGCCCGACTAAACTTAGTGCAAATATATGGGAGTCCAGAGAGGCCACATAAAGCTTATTCTCGACCATAACCCAATCTAAAAACACGTTAAAATTGTGCAGCAGCAGGATATCAGTCAAACCAGTGAGTTTGGCGGTTTTGAGACATCATCTTTCATTGAAAAAAAACCTTTTTCATTTTGCCGACGCGCATGGCTACGGCGATGCGTGCGTATACCAGAAACCGGAGACTTTTTTTTTGGCCTTAGACCACCTTACCTTTATCTGTGTGGTGGCCGATATGACAGTGGCGTAGCCCAGCCTCCAGAAGTCGCCTTGCTCCCCGGTCTTGCTCCACACCATCCCCACGTTCTCCTGCACCATCTGAATGGTTCCGTCGCTGGTCCCGCTCAGGTAGTACCAGAACTGGACACAGTCGCCGGTCGCGGTGGCCGGGTAGGACGGGCTGCTCAGGACCGCTTTGTCCGTGGCCGTGTTCGCTTGGTCGACGTCGACGTACAGGAAGTAGCCTGATTGAAAAAAAACAAAGACATAAATTCATAATACTTTGATGTGAAAGACGTCCGTCTGTGCTTTTCAACAAATTGAATTCTGTTAAACAGGTATGCAACTGGGAAGTATGAAAAAAGAGGAAACACTGAGCTTTAAAAGACTTTGTATAGCGTTTTAAAAATTTTAATGGCATAAGGCCAAAAAAAGTCTCCTGTTTCTGGTTTGCGCGCGCATTGTCGTAGCCATTTGCGTCGGCAAAATTTAACGTTTATTTTTCTATGTAAGGTGATGTCTCAAAACCGCCAAACTGACTGGTTTGATTGGAATCTGCTGCTCCACAATTTTAGCGTGTTTATGGATGAGGTTACGATCAAGTATAAGCTTTAAGTGGCTTCTCTGGGCTTCCACATATTTTGCACTAAATTTAGTCGGGCACCATTTGCAGACGGTGTTGCAATTTTGCAGTTGTGTGTCTGGAAGCCAGACTTTTTTATTAGCGCAATATGTAAGGGAGCAGACTAATGACCACGCTCACGCACAATGTCCATGTCGCTGTATGGTCTGACGTTCCTTTTTTCTCTCATTTTTTGTCTTGACTATCCAAATTTCCCAAAATATTGCCTCTCTCCACCCACGAATATATAAATGGGTACCTGTGAAGGTAGAGACCAGAATGTGCTGATCTCGAGCTGCTGCAAAAACTGGACTCATGGCCTGATAAACGGGGGTAATTATTGTGAAGCGCTCTGACGCCCGTGGTATAAAGCGCTATATAATCACCAAATAAATATTACATTCATTCAATTTAACCCCCCCCCCTTTCATTACTTTCCCCAACCCCGCCCCCAATTCCCATCTGTGGGTCGGCGCATACCTAGACTGGTTCCGGATGAGTGATCCGTGCTCGGTGCCTGAGTGTTGATGGGCACGTTGACGGGCATGTCCCGGATCCAGTCCATCTGGTCTGCGGCCGACTGGGTCCAACTGCACAGGTCGAAATCAAAGTCACAGTACCCTGCAGAGACGTAAAGGAAACACGCAGTGGAAATTCAGCTCATCTTGTTTTCATGCACACTACTATGTGTTGCAACAATACATACAAGATCTTAAAGAGGTTGTGGAATGCTGGAAGACATTTCCGTCATTTTTCGGGTATATGTAGCCTAAGGTGTGATGAAATAAAAACGACTATTGTTTCTGTCATAAAATGAGTACAAAAGGTACTTTTGAGAGCTGTTTTTCAAAGTCCTGTCATGCCTGTTTCGACCCGAACGTGCAGTTTGTGTAAAAGTCGTCGTTGCGGGCAGCAAACAAAACACAGTAAATCGTGACGTAATAAACAGGACTCCCGATGCAGAGTAGCATAAACGAGTCCTGTTTATTACACCACGATTTATTGTGTTTTGTTTGCTGCCCGCAACGACGACTTTTACACAAATTGCACGTTCGGGTTGAAACAGGACCTGAAAAATAGCTCTCAAAAGTAAAGTAACCTTTGTACTCATTTCATGACAGAAACAATAGTCGTTTTTATTTCATCACACCTTAGGCTACATATACCCCAAAAAATGACGGAAATGTCTTCGAGCATTCCACAACCTCTTTAATACCTGTTTTTATTGCAAGTGACAAAACAAGTGGGACTTTTTCAATTATTAGCAAATCTCTTTCATCAATATATGTAAGAGGGCGCTATTTTGCTTTAGTCACACAAGGAGCTCCTTGTCAAAAAGTGCACATGTGAACACCGAGTACAAAAATTATTCCTTCTAAATTACCCACAAAATTTTGTTTGTCCAAACAAGCTGTTTAACATGATAAAAAAAATTAAAAAGTGGAACTTACTACAAGAAAATGAGGAAAAGTTTGATACATATTGGCACACAAAGCCATGGAGACACTACTGTTCTGCCTTGAATGACATCACGCTTTGGCTCATGAATATGGACATTTTCATTGGCATAAAACCTAAAATGTTGAAATTTCTCCCTTTTACTGCTACAAAGGAGGTGGAAAGGCATAGTTGCATGTCAAGAAAGCAATTATAAATGCATTTAAGTCATAAAAATTCCTATTTATGTTCCCTTAAAATGAAATACATTTTGGTTCCTTACACCAACGTTGTACTGCAAAATAGCAATTTGTATTAACGCAAAGTGATAGGACTTCTTTAATCAGCCGTTGGCTGGCACGTGCTTGTGGAGTGCCATGGCCTAGTGGTCTGGGGCATTGAACTCGTGGTCTGCGGGTAATTTTGCAGGTCGTGGGTTCGAACCCAGCCTGGGCTATGACCCTTCTACACCTAATATGGGTAGAGGTATTATTAATGCATTGCAGTGGACTAGTTATGCATCCCAACCCTATTTATACTGTGAAGAGATTAGATTATCTTGGCTTGTCTCAGTGTGAGGGGCTGGTTCTTCCACACTTTCCTCTGTAGCCCACACCTCGAGTGGCCTTTGGCCTTGTGACGGGCGATTTGCATAAAAAAATTATAATAAAAGGACACAAAAGTGCATGCCAATTTTTGTTTTGCTTTTTTAGTTTTCCATCCTTCAGAGGTTGAAAGGGAAAGGTCCAAATACATCCTTACTAAAATTTGATTATAAAGAAACTTTTGATGCAATAACCCTTAGGCCAAAAAAAAAAAGTCTCCGGTTTCTGGTATGCGCGCGCGTCGCCGTAGCCATGCGCGTCGGAAAAATGAAAAAGTTTTTTTTTCAATGAAAGATGATGTCTCAAAACCGCCAAACTCACTGGTTTGACTGGAATCCTGCTGCTGCACAATTTTAATGTGTTTTTAGTTTGGGTTATGGTCGAGAATAAGTTTTATGTGGCCTCTCTGGACTCCCATATATATTTGCACTAAGTTTAGTCGGGCACCATTCATGCCATTTGCAGTCATCAGCCGACATTTGAAGCAAAAAAATCAGGTAAAAGAAAAAAAAGCCGCGTCGCCGCACCACTTTTTGGGCAAGCTCCATACCAGAAACCGGAGACTTTTTTTTTTTGGCCTTACGAGTGGCACGAATATCGGAGGTATTCTTTGTTACATAACTGACATACAGATCCTAGTCATTTGATTGGTGTAACTCACATCACGTGACATTCATTATTGCTCCCATTCACGCCCTTATGAGTGGCACGAATATCGGAGGTATTCTTTGTTACATAACTGACATACAGATCCTTGTCATTTGATTGGTGGAACTCACATCACGTGACATTCATTATTGCTCCCATTCACGCCGGGGCGCATGGGGTGAATGGGATTTACTGTTCAACAGTTAGGATCATCCTTGTTCCATGGCGCGGTATTTGTGTGCAAATGCATGCTGGTGTCGGCGTTGAGCGTTGCGTGTATTGTTCCCAAGAGCCAGTAGCTACAGAGTTGGGTTCAAACATTTCGTGAAGGGGTGGTTTGGAAAAGAGAAACACATTTCCCAACCATTTTGTATTGAAAGAGAAGTTCATTTTAACTGTAAATCAAATGACAAGGATCTATACATCAGTTACATAAAGCAAATATTGAGTGGCTTTCAATTGTAAAATTGTAATATAATCGCTCGGTAAAATCTGGACTTTTCCATTTCACTCGGCTGCGCATTGTGAAAAAAGAAAATCCAGATTTTACCTTGCAATAATATTCCTCCCATTCCACTCCGAGCCACTCAATATTTGGATATTATTTTGATATTGTAACAATGAATGCACCAAATGGTTTCTCATATCCAGGAAGATATAAAACCATTGCCCCTGACCCCGCCTTCAATGCAAAAGGTCTATAGAGACATCAGGTACTTACTCTCGGGCGGGCATTTTCCCGTTTGCAACTGCACGTCGTCAATAGCGATGTCGCTCTGGTAACTGGTCCCGCGGATGCCTTTGAGAACAACCTGCAATACACCACCCAAAAGTTTACATTTGTTCACAATTTGTTTCAATTAAAGCCAGAGTCCATCATTTACAGCTATCCAAAAAGTAACTGGCGTAATTATTGTTGAAAAACACACTTGGTTGAAAGATAGTAAGGGGACTAAACTCCCTCTGAAATGATTCTTTCTGGCAAGCTGTCGTTTTGAAGAAATCAACGATAGAAGGCCTTTCCAACGGTGCGTCTTAAGAAGCACCGTTGGAAATTTCCATTAGTAGTTCGTTTTTTATTCAGCGAATCGCGCGCAAGCGTTGACACCACGCACACGCGTGCGTGGTTGCTATAATTCGTCGGATCGGTGTGTGACATCGCGTAGCTGCAATCGGCTCAGTGAGAGCGTGTCTCGGACGTTGAATTCAGGCCCAATTCAAAACGTGATTCAGCAACTTTTGATTTGAAATCGAGATCCTAGAATGTTGTTTTCCTCAAAATATACAGCTGAAGCTGAGCTGAAACTTCATCAGGTTAGTTGTTCAGCACATTCTTTAGATTTTGAGCACTTTCCTTGCTTCAAACGAAGAAAATGCACAAATTACAAATGATGGGACTATATCTTTAAAACTGAACCGAGTAAGCATTCCTTTAGAAAATCATTAGATTTTTAGCTGCTGTAAAATCATCATGTCTCTCCATTAGTTGGTTGGTTGGTTGGTTAGTAACAACACGTGCTTCAGGTCTCCAATGACCAGAGCCAAATCGGTATTCCAACCGTACAGTCAGTCAGTCAGTCAGACAAAGTAGAATATGGGCTGGAACTTGTTGGACTACCAAACATTGTGAAGAGTTTTCCCAAAAAACATTTCAAACATTTCCGAAGCTCATTTCAAAGTTGTTGCAGAACGTCACGGAAATTCTGTATCCCACCTAGTTCGTGAATTAGTCATTTTTGGTTTTTACCTGGAAGTCTGTGGAGGCGCCGATGTTGCGATGGGATTGTAGCCACTGGTTGCCTTGGTCATATTTCTTTCTCCAAATCGCTTGATCGTTTGTCGTACTACAGAAAATGAAAAACAAAAATCAACATCATTTGCTCTGCACTTTCGCAGGAGGTGCTTGGATGTTACCGTTAGTGGCACCGTATTAAAATTATGTCGTGAATCAACCACGTTGTCGACAAATGATCCTCGCCTGAACTTTGCCCCAGAATAAAAACCTTAGGCACGAACACTGCCTATAATTTTGCGAGCCTTTTTCAGTTAGGGAAAAATTAAAAAGTGGATGTCTCACCGTAAAATTACTTCCAGCGTCCCCATGTCGCTGCCGAACATGAGATACCAGAATGAAAAGCACAGATCGCTGCCGTCCCCCTTGGTGACCGGCGACACCAGTAAGGCCACGTCGCCGGATTGGCGCGGGGAAGACGTCTCCGTGTACATGTAGAAGCCTGGAAATATATAACGACGACAGAAAAATGACGCTTTCCTCAAAATGAAATCTTCTCTTGCAAAGTCTTTTTATGATCATCCATTAGCTTGAATCTAAATTCAATTGATTACAGATTTGTTGTGATTGCATAGATTTACCAATCATGATTGTCAATGCTGATTCGCGTGATCAATATATCTCTGTGCAATTCTACAACTGAACCAGCCACGGTCCTGACGGTGTTTGACTTTAATAAGTACAATGGTGCCTTGGTTAAAACCCTGCCCGGAACATGGTGTTTGTGCCCTTCGGCAAGACACTTTACTACAATTGCCTCTCTCCACCCAGGAGTATAAATGGGTACCTGTGAGGGTAGAGGACCGAATGTGCGCTGATATCGTCTGCCGTGTGGTCTCGTGGCCTGATGAACGGGGAAATAATTGTAAAGCACTTGGAAATTGTTGACAAGATCGATGGAAAGCGCTATGTAAGCATTACAATTTGTTTATTATTTTTTATTGATTATATTGACAATTTTTGTTCTATTGTCAAAAAGGCATTCCATTTCTACTATCCATCGAATGATTTTGGATTATTGATTTGAAATTGATCAGTGTGATCGTTACCTGATCCAGTGGTGTGATCGGCCGCGGGACCGGTGTCAGTTGACGGAGTGCTGCCGATGTAGCGCAGCCAATCAAAATCGTCGTTGCCGTCCTGCCTCCAGCCGCAAGGTCCTTTGTCAAAGTTGCAGTCAAAGGATAAGTCGGGCTTTGCCGCAGCCGGTTGGACTGAAATGAAACCAAAATCAAATTTTAAATACCCTGAAGGAAATGTCAATTTTCTACTCTCAAAGATGATGTGCAAATTTTTTTCATTGTAGATATTGTAGGATTTTTGTAGGACTTTTGTTGGATTTTTGTAGGATTTTGAAAGATGCTGTGGGATAGGTAGAATGTTGTAGGTTGTGGAGGAGTTTGTAGGATTTTGTAGGATTCTTCTAGGATTTTTGTAGTGTCTTGTAGGATTTTGCAAGATACTGTAGGATAGGTAGTATATTGTACAATTTTGTAGGATTTTCGTAGGATTTTTGAAGGATACTGTAGGACATTGTAATATTTACCTAAAATTTGTAGGATTTTCGTATTTCTTTCATTAAAAGAAAAATATTTCCAAGCAAACACTTACTTGGACAAGCTGTGTCTGTCACGGCGAAGTCATCCAAAGCTATGTCCCCTTGGTAACCAGCACCAACAACACCGTCGATATAAATCTAGAAAACCATGCAAAAAAGGCAAAATTGGTTTAAAAAAAAAATGTTATGCCTTTTCACACCTTCAGATCGTTCATCCTCAGTTGGTTTAGCAGAGATACAGTATTCCAGAAAACACAGGTTCAAATCCCATTCCAGTTAATTTCTTTCATAAACCTTTCTTTTTTATGTTTGAAGCAAGTTAACATCTTGAAAACCAAGTCGCTTCTCGAACTGCGCGTCTTGCCTGCTTTCACGATTATCTTTAAAGAGTGACCCTTGACCTTGCTTTGCGACCTTTGACATCAATATCTGAACTTTCCTGAACAAAGTCCAGGCGAGACGAAAAAAAGAATACATTTTTTTTTACAAATTATGACTTTACTTTCCATTACAAGCAAAACAAAAATGACGAAAGTTGACAAAACAGATCGTGAAACTTCACACATTGAGTGTCTTTTTCCAAAAATCACATAAAAAATATCGTGACAAAAAGTAAAAATATGAGTCAATTTTAAAGGAGGAAATTCTGTACCTCGAAATTTTTGTCACTCGTGAAAGAAATGGCTCCATTCTTCCAGTCTTTTTCGTCCACACTCTGCTGGTTGAAGAGGCTCCACATAATGGTCTTGGTCTTGCTGCCGCCCAGATCTTCCAGCTTTGATAAAAAGGACATCATAAATTGACAGTGACATAAATGACAGGCAGTGACATCAAGACATCAATATAGTTCAATATTGTATGACAACTGGTGACATTGTCAATTGGCAGGGACATAATCATATGACAGTCTGTGACATCAAAACATGACAATGTGATATTTAATGACAACTGGTGACATTGTCAATTGACAGTGACATAACGACAGTCAAAGACATCAAGACTTCACAAAAGTGCAATATTGAGTGACAAATGGTGACATTGAAAACGGACACTGACATAATTGAATAACACACGTGTAAGGAAGACATCGTATAGTTCATGACAAACTTTCACATTGTCAATTGACAGTTACTTAACTGAACGTAAAACATGACATCAAGACTTCACAACAGTGCGATATTTAGTGACAAATGATGACACTGCCAATTGACATTGACACAATCAAATGATGGCACACTTGACATGAAGACAACATATAGTTAATGACAAACTTTTATTTTGTCAATTGACAGCGAATGACTAACATGACATCAAGACTTCACAACAGTGAGATATTTAATGACAAACAGTGACATTGTCAATTGATAGTGACACAATCGAATGACAGAGTGACATGAAGACATCACAACAGTGCAATAGTTAATGACAAATGGTGACACTGTCAATGGACAACATTGCTCTACTGTCCCTGCAAACTCTGCATTAGGTTGAAACTGAAGTCTGCCCTTTACCTTGTAGATTGTCAGTTCTCCGATCTGGCTTCCAAACATGTGGTACCAGAAGTTGAGGCATTTGGTGACCGTGCCCGATGTCGGGGGCTTGTAGACGCCGCTGGTCATGACCGCGTGGTCTCCGGCACTATGCGGCGAGCTGGTCTCAAGGTACACGTAGTAGCCTGGTCGACAGAGTAGAGACGTGATTACGTTTTGAACAGTTTGTGTAGTGTTTGCATTGTGATGAATTGCATTCCATTGTCATCACAAGTCAATCACAAAAGTCATACAGAATTACATCACAAGTCAATCACAAGTCAATCAAAAGTCAATCATGAGTCAATCACAAGTTAACACAAGCCAATCACAAGCCAATTACAAGCCAATCACAAGTCTACTACAAGTCAATCGCAAGTCAATCACATGTCAATCACATGTCAATCACAAGTCAATCACGAGTTAATAATTAGTCAATCACAAGTCAATCGCAAGTTAATCACTAGTCAATTGCAAGTCAATAACAATTCGATCACAAGTCAATCACGAGTTAATAATTAGTCGATCACAAGCCAATCACAAGTCAATCACAAGTCAATCGCAAGTTAATCACTAGTCAATCGCAAGTCAATCACAAGTCAATCACAAAGCCATACAGAATTACATCACAAGTCTACGCAAGTCAATAACAATTCAATCACAGGTCAATCAAAAGTCAATCAAAAGTCAATCATGGGTCAATCACAAGTCCGTCCCAAGTCAATAAAAGCCAATCACAAGTCCGTCAAAGTGTCAATAAAAGCCAATCACAAGCCAATCACAAGTCAATTGCAAGTCAATTGCAAGTCAATCACATGTCAATCACAAGTCAATCACGAGTTAATAATTAGTCAATCACAAGTCAATCGCAAGTTAATCACTAGTCAATTGCAAGTCAATCACAAAGCCATACAGAATTACATCACAAGTCTATCACAAGTCAATCACGAGTTAATAATTAGTCCATCACAAGCAAATTGCAAGTCAATCACAAGTCAATCGCAAGTCAATCGCAAGTCAATCAAAAGTCAATCAAAAGTCAATCACGAGTTAATCACTAGTCAATTGCAAGTCAATCACAAGTCAATCATAAGTCACAGTCAATCAACAGTCATTACAAGTCACTTCTAAATTAGTCTAGTTGTCGTTTTTGAGAACATCAAGCCCGACTGAGGAGGGCTTCCCATTTATGGTTTTGATTAATTCGACCGGGGGTTCTCTAAGTGCCATCCAGTCAGCATATGTGATGAGATCTAGCTACACGAGTCGTTTGTCGGGAATTTTCACTTGGAGATGCAGGCCAAAATAGGGCCTCTTCATCACATCACTTCATCACATCTCTTGGTGTTCCGACTTCCATAATTTTTGAACTAAAGATGGTATCGGCATGTGGTTTTCACAGCAGTAATGCTGAGATTGTGCCCTTTTCAAATTTTAAAATTGTTTTTGACCGGGGTCGACAAACGAATCATTTAGCTTGATCGCATCACGTATAGAGATCCGTGAACGTCACCCAAGTGCCTATCAGCGGCTGGTACCCTGTATTAATCCTGTACTGACTCACCATCCTTGGATCCCTTGGTGTGGTCCACATCGGGACCGGTGAAGTAGCTGGTGGTGCCACCGTTCGATCGCAGCCACTGGATGTTACCGTCGGGAGAGTGACGCCACTCGCACATGTTGTCCTCAAAGTCACAATTGCCTAAAATTAGAAAGAAATAACGTCTGAGCTGATGGAAAAAACACAACTCTTAACCAGAAATGCGCCTGAGACAACATCCCTTGCCTATACTTCTTTATGGGTTATTCTATAAATCTAAGGTCCAAATTGTTAGCACAGAATTTTTCTGTTAGCGCGGTTAGCATAAAATGGTCATCAAAAGCAAAGAATTCCGTGGTTAGCAGAGCCGTGAAAATGGGCCCTGATCCTAACTGTTTGACCTTCTGAGCTTCACCTTTGACCCTTTGACCCACTCACCTCCCAGCTGGCATTCCCGCGGGAAGTGATCGATGTCGTCGATGGCGATGTCCGACAGGTCGCCGCCGACCATCGCCTCAAACCTCATCTGGTAGGAGGTGGAGCGCTTGACATTGACCAAGGCGTAGTACCACGTGTCGCCCAGGTCACCAGACTCAGACCAGAGGGACGACTGACCGTTCACCTGGTGAAGAGCAGTGAAAAAACATGAGTGGCTTGAGATATAAGGTTTATCATTCAAGTGGATATTTTTTTTTACTTGTAAATTTGCTTGGACTTGGGTTTTTTTGGGGATGGTGAGTTTGTTTCTACATTTTATAAAGCACGTTGAACAATAGAGAGCAACAGGGTCCCGAATTCCCGAAGGTCCCCAATTTTGATTCGTGTACAAAACATATGGGAAGTCTTTCTAAAAAGTTAGAGTACGAACAAAAGAGGGGCAATAGGGGATCCCCGATTGCAGGCAAATTGACATGTGAGTAGCCAAGTGGGTTTTGCGACTCATGATCGGAGAATCAGGGTTTTGAATCCGGCTGCTGGCCATAAGTTGTGTCCTTGGGCAAGCCACTTGACTGTCAGACAACTAGTAGTGTGAAGAGTGTGGCCTAGTGGTTAGGGTTCATGACTCATGATCAGAGGGTCAGGGGTTCGAATCGAGCTGCTGGCCATATGTCGTGTCCTTGGGCAAGCCACTTGACTGTCAGACAACTAGTAGTGTGGAGAGTGTGGCCTAGTGGTAAGGGTTCATGACTCATGATCAGAGGGTCAGGGGTTCGAATCGAGCTGCTGGCCATATGTTGTGTCCTTGGGCCAGCCACTTTACCCCCACTAGCCTCTCCCCACCCAGGAGTACGAATGGGTACCAGCATTAGCTGGGGAGTAAACTGCAATGGACTAGCATCCCATCCAGGGGGCAATAGAAATATTTTCAGTCGATTCATGCCGAGGAAATCGGAGAGGAACGCCGGCCATTTGGGGCATTTAGGCTCGTGGCAGCTGGGAATTTCTCGGATGCCAGTGCCAAAGTTCCTAAGGGTAGTTTCTATTCATCTTGTTGAAAACAACCCAAACCCAGTCTTGAGCGAAGACTAGGGTTACAAGGGACTAGATTTAACTGGCGGATGTAGTATTTTGAGTATGCGTAGCCACCTACCCCGACAGACAGTTGGCCCATGTCGGCCCCGTACATGTGATAGTAGAACGTCCAGCAGGTGTCGGTCACTCCACTGCCCGGGCTGTAGTTGGGGGTCAGTACGACCGCCTTGTCATTGACCGATTGCGAGGTCGCCTCGGCGTACAGGTATTGCCCTATACAGGAAACACAAGGGACGGAGGAAAAAAAATTGTACAATCCATTCAGAATTCTGCGGCGCACATTCTATTCGCAAGAACTACTGCAATTCTCAAGGAACGCACATCTTCAATATTCTGGCTGTTCCCGACACCCGAGGGCGCTGTTGCTATGACATCACATGCACAGATACGCCCACGTTTGTTTATGGTGTAAAATCGAGGATTTTCTTTTGTACCTCTTCTCTTTTCCTTTGTTTGTACACTAACTTTTTCGCAACAGCTCTTAATGGTTTTGTACACGTTTTCCAACCGAGGAGTCCTCGATTCGGTTTCTGTCCTCGATTCATCGATGATGTTGCACGTGTGTGTCCTCGATTTACACCATTGACAAACGCAAGCAAACTGGACACTATCAGACAACAGGTGGCGGAATTCACTACCACATACACACTTGGCAAAAAAAAAATGTTACAGACACACTATTTTGTCATCAGGACGATTTTGCTGACAAAAAAATTAAGACCCCCTTATAGCGATGCCCATCAGGTCAAAAGTCGTACCGGTGCTGGTTCCGTAGGTTACGTCGACCGACGGTCCCGTGTTCTTGGAAGGGGTCGGTCCATGCAAGACGACCCAGTTAAAGTCCGCAGTCTCTGGTGCGTAGTTGCACTGATTGGCATCCTCAAACGTGCACTGAGTGGTTCCTGGAAAAAACAAAACAACCGACAACGTCACAAATCACTTTTGTTTGTGCAGTAATTTGTGCATTTTGTACGTTTGAAGCAAGAAACGTGCTCAAAATCTAAAGAAGGGTGCTGCACAACTAACCTGATGAAGTTTCAGCTCAGCTTCAGCTGTATATTTCGAGAAAAATAACATTCTAGGATCTCGATTTCAAATCAAAATTTGCTGAATCATGTTTTGAATTGGGCCTAAATTCAGCGTTCGAGACAATACGAGATATCGCGCACCGATTTGATGAATTACAGCAATCGCGCGTGCGTTTGCGTTGTGTCAACACTTGCGCACGCTTTGCCGAACAAAAAAAGGGAATTACTAACAGAAATTTCCAATGGTGCATCTGAAGGCACACCGTTGGAAAAAAAAAAACAAGGAATTTCCCAAAAAAAATAAATAAAGTTTGACCAAGCCTGGTCACGTGACGGGTCACGTGAGGGCCTCAACAACACCAGTTGATAAAGACACCGTGATGGTGTCGCAAGCCCCCAATACGAGCTCTGTAACTCAAGTCCCATAAAGGTATCTTTTATTTACTTAATGTAATAATGGGACAGGAAACAAACTTTCATGCTCGAAACTAGAGTTGGTACAGTGTTTTTCAATTTGTAATGGATTCATGAAAAGTAAATATCAGCGGATCAGAAAAAAAGTTGCATGCCTGCTAATAGCAATCTTTTTAGCTGCGGTATAGCAGCTCAACAAATCATCATGTCTATCCGATTTAGCTAGTTATTTAGTAACAAACGTTGACATTGTTTATTGCTCCTACATATTTTGATCAATTTCAACCAAACTTTGTCAGAAGTATCGGTAGCCCAGCCCCAACATGTCACATGGGGCCAAAGGTCATCATAAGGTCAATGGGGTCAAAAAAGTTGGGTTTTTTTTTTACTCCTTCCAAAAAATTACATAGGAAAATCCTGTGACTCAAGTATGAACACAAATCTGTTGGCACGCAGCAGATTTTTTTCTCACAATCACTCGATCAATCAGTATACAGTGTTTATAAGTCTCGTTCGAATGACGTCATTTCTGACAGACCATCCACGTGCATCGACATTTTGTGCGTCAACTTGAAGAACGCCTGCGTCGTATTTTGAACAAATTTCGAGCAACAAGGACGCGTGTTTGGAACATTTTCAACACTGCGCAATGCGTGCTTGATTGCGTAAAATACGCAGTTGCAGTTCTCCAACAGAGATGGCCGTCACTGAACGAGCCCTATAAAAATACGTCGGTGAAGGGAAAAAACCCAATATTTTATTTACATCACCCCGACACAAATTCCATCTTCTGGATATGCCATGACTTTTCAAACCAATATTGGCTTGCACAGTTTAAAGGGTTCAAAGGACTTGGAAAGTGTTTGTTATTACTTTGAAAAGGAAAAAAAGGGACAGCAAAAATATGAAAAGTAATGGTCTAGATACCTTTGCAGTTACCGTCCGCTATGCTGAGGTCATCGAGGGCGATATCTCCTTGGTAGTAGTAGCTGGCAACGCCTTCATAGACAATCTAACACCAAAAAGATATACAAAGTTGTAACCTTTTAAAAAAAATCACAGAATACTTTCTTCGGAATGTTAAAAACGAGGCTTCCATAACCCATATCATACAGGCATCGCGCAATTTTAAACAAATGTTTGTACGTGATGTGACGTACATGAGATAACAGGGCACTTAGTTTTTCGAGATACACACGCAGTCATCGTCAGCGTTTAAAGTCCATTTGTCCCACTTCGTGGGGTTGGACATTTCATTTCCTTAATGGCTGCTCTCCAAGCTTTCCTGTCTGTGGGGTCCATGTGAGCGATACCAGATGTTTTGGCATCTTCTTCTACAGTTTCCCTCCAGGTTTTTCTGGGTCTCCCAGGAGGCCTTCTTCCGGTGACTCGAAAATTGAAAGCTCTCTGGAGCCAGTGTGTTGCCTCTCTCCTAGCCACATGTCCATACCATCTACATGTAAGCCTGTTAATCCTCATAACCTCTGCTACCCCCATCAGTACGCTCTGAAAAGTCGGTCAGCGTCCTTTGGGTATTCCTCACAGGCAGGGGTTAGTGAAGGAACGCGCATGCTGATGGAGGCTGGCGCATAACGCAGCGAGCACATGTAGCGCCCTCTAAGTTCACGTGCCGAGCCCATTCCATTGTACAAACCTGATACTTGGACGAGTACGCCGCCTCAAACTGGCCCAGGTACCACTTGTCGTCCCGGGTCCCCGAGCGCGTCCACAGAGGAGAGGCCAACACCCCGCCCTGGGGACGGACGTAGACGTTGAGCGTCTGGATGTCCGAGCCGAACATGTGATAGTAGAAGCTGACGCAGGAGAGGTGGGTGGCGTCCACAAAGGGGCTTTCCAGGCGGGCCACGTCGCCGAACGTCTGGTAGCTGTCCTCGATGTACACGTAATATCCTAGCTCTGTACAAACAAAAGAAGACAAGGCGAGCACGGACAAGGTGGTCACAGAGTGCACACAATTCTATACAGTGTGTATCAACTAAATTCAGACAAAATATAACGGAATGCCAGACGTAGAATGTGTAACCAACATACATGTAGATAATACAGGCATGATTTGAAAGATACGCCTTTCCTCTTTAAAATGAGACATCAAACGTCCAAATCTGATAATTTTTGACAGAGTTTAGTTTAGCATGTAAACATGTTTACAAACTGATAGCAAGAAAGTATTTAGAATTGTGTTTACTCGCTAAACACATTTTTTTTTGTAGGCCAGGCATTTATCCACACAGAGGCCATTAGGCTACCTTCATCCCAATGCCTACAATTGAAAACTCGGTCCCATGGTCAATTTGACATCTCATGGAAAATTACTCATAACTCTGTCAAAAATTATCAGATTTGGACGTTTGATGTCTTATTTTAAAGTGGAAAAGCGTATCTTTCAAACCATACCCACATTATCAATGTTGGTTACAAATTCTACGTCTAGCATTCAGTTATATTTTGTTTGCATTTTTTTGATACACTCTGTACATACGATTCAGAATTGATATTTTAATTATTCGTTTATTTTATTTTATGACACTTTACCCTTGCAAAATTTGTTAAAATTCACATCGACTAACAAAATGGATGTTAAAACACACAATACATGTATATAAACAAAAAATTGAATGAATTAAAACCCAAGCCAGTGAGTGGAAAGCAGTAACAAGTGCTTGTGTTCTTGGGCAAGACACTTTACTACGATTGCTTCTCTTCCTCAGGAGTATAAATGGGTACCTGTGACGGTAGAGACCAAATTATGCCGAACTCGAGCTGCTGCAGAAAAATGGTCTCATGGCCTGATGAACAAGGGTAATAATTGTGAAGCGCTTTAAAACCTTAGGTATAAAGCGCTATATATCACCACACAATTATGCAAATTAGTCTTATTAGTCAACATAAAAGGGACAAACACCCATCACCCCCCCCCCCCCCACAAAAAGAAAGAAACCATTAATGTTTTCGTTTCATCCCAGCCCTACCTGTGTTCAGTGTGTGATCTTTCGGAGGCCCTGTTTGGACGGATGCGGTGGAACCTTGTGCTCTCGTCCAATCAAAATCATCATCAGTGGCCTGGCTGTAACCACACAGGTTGAGCTCGAAATCGCAGTCCTGGAGTTTTGGTGCTGAAAAAAAAATCCACAGTATTGACAAATTCTCTACCTGACACAGGTACTTTTCCACAACTGTTACGATGTCCAAAACTTCACAATACACTAAGTGGGGTGCTGTGGTCCAATGGTTACGGTGTTCGACTCGTGTGCCTTGGTACATGGGTTTGAATCCTGACCGTGGGAACATGGTGCTTGTGCTCTTGAGCAAGGCACTTTACCATTATTGCTTCGTCCTTCGTATGCGACGTAAAGCCGTAGGTCCCGTGTGCTGTGCAATGCGCGTTAAAGAACCCGTTAACACTTATCGCTAAGAATAGGGGTTTGCCCCGGTGTTTCTGGCAGTGGCTGCAATATGCGACGATGCACCTTGTAAAACCTTATGAAGGTGCTACATAATGGGTCTCATATTTCTCATAAACTACATTTACCTGTCTTATAATAATAATAATTGACATAATTTCCAGTGCCTTGAGTACCTAATTGTTGGTACATACGTGTGCTATATAAGACTCCGGTATTATTATTATTATTATTATTATTATTGCTTTTCCCCTTTCAATTGCAAGAGGACAAAGTTGCATGGGCAAAGGAAACGGCATTTCAGTGCTTCAAACAAATAAGGGTGCACATAGTGCCGTCTCAATTATGCCCGGTAAGCACCCCACGCAAACGCGAACGCAAAGCTACTTTGACATCACAAAACATTCGCTGCGAATTGGCCTCGGTTGAAATGCGTTTAACTCCTGCAATTTCGCACCGTGAAAGCTCGACTCCACAATTTCGCGTTCGCTTTTGTGCAGTGTGCAATCTAAAATGCAAGAGTTTCGTACTTCCGCAAGTGTCGGTGGTCCAGTGCAGGTCGTCCACCGCGATATCGCTGGTGTAGTTGTTGCCGACCACCGCGACGATGACGATCTGGTAGCTGGCCGTGGGACTAGTCATGTTGACCTGCAGCTCGTGCCAGGAGTCGCCCTGGTCGCCGGTCACCGTGTCCTTGATGATTTTTGTCTTCGTCGTGGGATCCATCTGAGCTATCTGCATTTTGTCAACACCTGGAAGGAAAACATATAAAAAAAAAATATACTCTGAACTTTTATTTCTCCGACCGTCAACTGTCTGACTAGTGTTTCAGATTTGTGCTGAAAAATTGGCTTGGATTTCTGACAGTCAACTAATGTTGTGCAAACCCGACCCAAAACTGAAACCCACCTGACCCGAAACAAACTTTGCGTCGGGTCGGTTTCGGTTTTGCGTTTGCGATTTTCGGGTCGGGTCAGGTCGGTTAATAAACCAAAATCAACCGAAACAGAATGGAATTTCACATGGTGCACTATTTAGTGTAGAGTCACTGTGCGCGGTTTGACTAAAAATGGTTTGCGGTCTGTTTCGGTAGGCCCACCAGTAGGTTACGTTGTGATGCAGTTACTGAAAGCCAACATTTTTTTACACGAAGCGGGTCAGTTCAAGCGGACACATTTGCTGAAGCCAGATATTCATTTTTTTTTCGGGTCAGTTCGGTTTCGGGTCGGTTTGGGACGGTTTTCTTTGAATTGTTGTCGGGTCAGGTTGGGTTGGGTCGGTTTTAGGTAGTCCACTTCAGTAAATAAATGTCTCGGGTCAGTTTGGTCTCGTCAAGCCGACCCGATGCACGTCACTACAGTCAACCGTTCATCTTTATATACAGTCACTCCCAACTGTTTCAAACACTGCACCTTTCATGAACTTAAGTCTTCTGAAAAAAAAAAATTAAATATCTGTCGGAATCAGGTTTTGATATCTCTCTCGTCAAGTTTTCTAACGATTTTTTGATCACCGCTAAGCGCAGGAGAAATGTACCCGAATCTATGGGGCCATGTTAGCATAACTTACAATCCGAGATTTTTCAAGGAAGAAGACAGCAACTTGCTGATTATATGTTTTCTTCTACTTTAGGTATTAAAGATCACTTTAGGTATAAAAACAGTATTCGTAACCGAAGTTCTATTTACTTGACCAGGAATTAAAAAAAAAAAATATGGTGATAAAATTGACGTCATCGCGATGATATCGGACTTTATGATATATATATTTCTCGACATTTCGGTTTTGAAAAAAAAATGGATATTGAACAAGCTATCTATAATATGGTGCATGCAGTCCAAAGCTGTTGCACTTTTGTGTTTAATGCAGAACAAAAAAAAGGAAATGTTTGAAGTACCCTGTATAATTTTACAAGCATATAGGCCGGTCCATACATGTACTTCGAATTTCAGTGTGAAGCAAATTTGTTAGGATAACGGCTGACGTCACAAGGAAATTTTAATTGTTGACGTCATGAAAATCGTTTTGCTTTCTCTGGCAGTATATGACCCGGCCTTATGGCAGATTGTTTATCCTGAAAGAGAAACATTTGCGAAAAAAATTAAAAACGTAAAAATTTACGAGGGGTTGCGATTTGTTACCTTTTCCGAACATGTGGTACCAGAGAGTAAAGCAGTCACCGGTGGACTGTGGGAAGTGCTCGCTGACCAGCCAGGCTTCCGAGCCCTTGGGTGCGTAGGACGTCTCCAAAAACATGTAGTAACCTGAACAAAAAAAAGAAGAAAACTGAGAGATATTTGGAAGATTTTGTGGATTGTGAATAAGGCTGCCAAGGAAATCGACTGGAGCAGTTTTTGAAACTTCAACCTCCAGAAAAAGGGTTCTCTCACGATCCGGCCTATACCTGGTTACCGGAAAGTCGGCGTCGCCATTGTAGTAGGCAACGATTGTATAGCACACTGCACAGCAGTAGGCAAGCATTCAAAGCTGTGATGGATGTTATCGTCTCTAGGATGGGAGAAGTTAAATGATAGAAGGGAAACCCACCAGATGACTCAACTCTACAAGATCATCACTCACACCGTTGACATTGATGCTCCAGACTATCTTCAACCGAAAATGCAGAGATCCAGGAGGGGGAACAACAACCAATTCAACATAGTACAAACATCCTCAACTGCATTCAAGAATTCATTTTTTTTCCCCAAGGACAATTTAATTATAGAATGACCTGCCCCAACACATCATCACTGACTCTTTGACGCACAAGACCTTTGGAGACAACTATTATAACCACATCGTGTTTCAGGAGGAAACCAACCAAGTACCAAATACCAAGATGGCAAAAACTACGAGAAAAACGCGGAGCAAACACCGAGTGCTGGGTCGGCACTGTTACGACAACCGTACACGGCACAGGTAGTGACCATTACGCCATTTGAATATAACTTGCAGTAATGTTAATTGAAAATAAGCCCTACTTTCTAGTTTACAATGCCCAACGTGGTTGCTAACCAAACGCTTGCCTACTGCAATGCTGGCCAATCACAGAGAAGCCGGATGTTCACGTTGTACTGCAACAGCAATGCTGACTTTCCGTTACCGGGATGTAGGCTTGGTCACGTGGGTCAGTGCATGAGAGATCCCTATTGCAGTCTTTCTACATTTTGGTGATTTATAATTTTTTTTTTATCAGAAATATGACAAAGTGCTTCCAAGAAAAAGGCACTAACCATTCTGACTGCCGTAAGTGTGGTCAAACGACGGCCCGGTGTTGTAGCTCGCAGTGCCCCCGCTGCTACGCTCAAAGTCCAGCTGGTCGTCGGTGCGTTCGTTGTACCAGCCGCACAGGTCTTCTTGGAAGTCGCAGTAGCCTTGTGGGAATTAGAAGGGGAAAATAGAAGAAAATTAATTAACACAATCATTTAAATAACGTTTTTGTCACATCTTTTAAAATTCTGGTTCTGGTATCCAGAACTAGAACGGCAACTCAACAGTGCACTCGCTGTATTACATATTTTCAAATTCTGCACTTGATTGTAAATTTTACAACATTGGAAAAACAAAATAATAACAAAGTGAGATTTCCCGATCATGTAATTGAGATCTCCCGACCATGTGATTGAGATCTCCCGACCATGTGATTGAGATCTCCCGACCATGTGATTGAGACTCTTCTGATCATGTGACTAAGAGGTCCGGATCATGTGATTGAGATCTCCTAATGTAATGTGACAGACATCTCTTAATCATGTGATTGTGATCTACTCATGGGATTGTGTTCTTCTGATCATGAGAGTGAAATCTTCTGATCAGGTGATTGAGATCTCCTGATCAATGTGATTGCGATCTCTTGATTATGTGATTGAGTTCTCCTGATCGTGTGACTGAAGTCTCCTGATCGTGTGACTGAGATCTCCTTATCATCAAGGGCGGATCCAGGGGGGGGCCAAAGGGGGCCATGGCCCCCCCCAAAACGAAACCAATTTTTTTTTTTTTTATGTGACATCGCAAGAAAGGCAGGCAATGAGTACACCACCATCTTTTCCTCAAAAGAAAACATTGGTTAAAGTGGTCAGAAATTGCCTCAGATCGCACCACAGAGCATCTAGAATCCAAAATTTTTTCGGGGCCCTTAAGCGGGCCCCGAACCCCACGCCGTAATTTTTTGGACCCACTTTTTTGGAGGACCAAAAATTTTTTTGGCCCCCCAAAAAATTGTGTTCTGGATCCGCCCTTGCTTATCATGTGATTGAGATCTCATCATGTGATTGAGTTCTCCTGATATCATGCAAATGAGATGTCTTAATCGTGTGATTGATATCTCCTGATCATGTGACTAAAATCTCCAGATCATGTGATTGAAATCTCATCATGTGATTGGACAATATGTGGACCAATACCTGGTGGCAGGCAAGCCCCGTCTTTACGATCTATCTCGTCAATGGCGATGTCACCGCTGCCGTTGGGGTCACCGACGGTTCCCACAAATGCTGGCTGGACAAAATGAAAGGACCCAAAAAGCGCCAAGTCAGCAAAGTCCACAAAAATTAATACAATTTTTACAAACACATTCTTTGTTCAAACGTTTTTCATTCCAAACCTAGTCCGTTCTCAAAAAAGTTCAGTTAGGCCAACGCCATCTTCTGTTGTTGGGCACTAGTCAGAATCCACAAACTTGTCTATGGGTTTTACTTCTATCTATGGGCACTAGTCAGAATCCACAAACTTGTCTATGGGTTTTACTTCTATCGTTGGGCACTGGTCAGAATCCACAAACTTGTCTATGGGTTTTACTTCTATCATTGGGCACTAGTCAGAATCCACAAACTTGTCTATGGGTTTTACTTCTAATGTTGGGCACTAGTCAGAATCCACAAACTTGTCTATGGGTTTTACTTCTATCGTTGGGCACTAGTCAGAATCCACAAACTTGTCTATGGGTTTTACTTCTATCGTTGGGCACTAGTCAGAACCCACAAACTTGTCTATGGGTTTTACTTCTATCGTTGGGCACTAGTCAGAATCCACAAACTTGTCTATGGGTTTTACTTCTATCGTTGGGTACTAGTCAGAATCCACAAACTTGTCTATGGGTTTTACTTCTATCGTTGGGCACTAGTCAGAATCCACAAACTTGTCTATGGGTTTTACTTCTGTCTTGGGCACTAGTCAGAATCCACAAACTTGTCTATGGGTTTTACTTCTATCGTTGGGCACTAGTCAGAACCCACAAACTTGTCTATGGGTTTTACTTCTATCGTTGGGCACTAGTCAGAATCCACAAACTTGTCTATGGGTTTTACTTCTGTCTTGGGCACTAGTCAGAATCCACAAACTTGTCTATGGGTTTTACATCTATCGTTGGGCACTAGTCAGAATCCACAAACTTGTCCATGGGTTTTACTTAGTGATATATTTTAATGGAAAACAAGAAGGTAAGACTTACGAAAAATGGGTTAGGGCTCAAGAGCGTGACGGTGGCGCGATGCCAGACGTCGTCCTGCTCCCCGGTCCTCTCCCACATCTTGTCGGCGACCGCGCCCATGTACTGGTGCACGGCCAGTGAGCCCACGCCCGCGCCGTGCATGTGATACCAGAAGTGCATGCATTCGCCTAGCGGGGTGGCGGGGTAATGGGGGTTGTACATGACGGCCTGGTCACCTATTTTCTGGGGAGGCGACTCGCTAAGGTAGGCAAAGTGACCTGGAGAGACAATGAAGAGAATGATTTCAATCAATCTTTGACTTTTTGGTATTTCATTCAATGGAGTTTTCGTTTTCGCTTCATATGAATTCCAAGTGGCATTGAGGAAGTTTTTGAAAGATTCATTTTGATGAAAAAATGAAACGCCATGGTAAAAATTCAGTATTCAGAATTTAGCATGTACGTTTTTTTATTGTAATCAGCCGAAATTTGCCAAATTGGATGCTGGTAAGTGTAGCATTTTAAAGAAATATGATAATTTCTATTTTTTATAAAAATGAGTACATCATCTAGCAATCTATTGAAGGGTTCTAGTCTCGGGATGAACTACAAAAAAAATAGAACAGCTGACACAGCATAACAAATTCTGATTGGTTGTGAGAGCTTGTGGGCCGGATTCTGATTGGCCAGTGAGGACGACATTATGCTCTTCCCATTCCACAGGGATAACTGAATTTCTAACTGGTCTCCACGAAAGGATTCCTCCAAAACTAGAACAGCCGATATGGAGCTAGCACAACTATGATTAGTTGTGAGAGCATGTGGACCGGATTCTGATTGGCCAGTGAGGATGACATTATGCTCTTTCCATTCCAGGGGGGACAACTGAATCTGTAACTGGTCTCCACAATGCTCTCAGTTCGTATCACAAACTTTGAGGAATTTATAGAAATAAATTTCATATTGTTGATAAACATTTGGCAAAACATTTATTGCTAACATTTGGCAAATATTGACAAAAATTCCATCCATCCAGTATTTGTCGAGCAAAACTTGTCGCCGACCATCAGCAACACTGCCTACTTACAAATGGCCTCAAGACGTTTATGCTCCCGGCATGGACAGACATGTTGCACATTTTTTTAATCAAGGGACTTCTGGCAGTTTGTCTGCCTGTCTGTTTGTCTAATCCGTCCCGAAGGATTATATTTTACCTGTGGAGGTTTCGAAGGTCTTGTCGGTGAGGGGCGGCACACCCTGAGGATGCACCTCGTCTCCCCGCTTCAACGACCAATCAAAAGCATCGCTGGTAGCCTGCACCCAGTCGCACATATCCACCTCAAAATCGCACCATTCTGACAGAGATACCAAAAAGGGGGGAAAAATTGGAGCACGATCCAAATCCTGTGACTGATCTCATGAAACTCATCGTAACTTACAATGCATTTCGGAGCTGCAACATATCATATGCTGATGCGTCGTTATCAGTTCTCCTATACACGTACTTTATAAATATGATCAGACCTACTTAACACCACAAACTTAAATTGGATATGCGTGGTCGTCCTACATACACGGCATTTCGGCCGCCTTCCTTTGTACTCGCATAATGCGCTAAAGCATCATGGCCGCTGTATTAATTAACCCTTACTCTCTGAGGGTAGTTTACTGCATGTCAGTTGGTTATGCCAATGCCCTCTAGCTGCAGTTTATTGGCAGATAGTTTGTCTTAACAGTGAAGGCTCCAATTGGCAGGAGTTGGAGGCCCTGGAGGGTGCCTGATACTGACCAGCTGGGGGCACTCACTTTGTTATCAGAGGACTCTCATTGTTCTCTGTGGCATGTATTGGAGTGCCTGTCCAGTTACCCTTGAAATGACATGGCAGATATTGGAGGGCCGTGCAAAAAACATATGCCATTTTCTTAAGGCACATAATGGCATGCGTTGGAGGGTCCAGTTGGGTAAGGGTTAATATCACTGTCAAAGTCAAGCTGCAGGAATGCAGGCTGAATGCGGACTGGAGGATTAAGAACAATAGCCTCGTTCGGACGCGGCCGGAACGGCAACAATCTCTTATGACGTCTCGACATAGCATGGCCGGCGCGGAGAGTCTGCAGACTAACGGACGTATTCACGAGATTGGTAATTTGCATAAACCTTGCAAGTTGGGTTCCTCACGCATTCCAGACGAGTTGTCAAGTGCTCTTTTGTTTGGAACGGATTGACGTTCTCTTAGGGATTCTCCGGTCCGGGATGCTTGCGTTCTAGAACGACCAGTCTTTATGGGGATGGGAAAACACTTGAACCGGGTTTAACATCAAGTGCTCCAATTTGTCAGAACAAGTTAGAGGATGAAACGCAAATTTGGATTTGGTTGCATAAATTCCTCGAAGGTCTGAGAATGATAGAGTTATCGACATTTTTAATTTGTGTGTGTGAGGAAACTTACTTGTCGGTGGGCATGATCCTTCGTCAAAGGAGATGTCGTCGATGGCCATGTCGCTCGCCCAGAACGATCCTAGGACTCCTTCAAATGTGATCTGAGAAGCGAAGCAAAAACAAAATAAAAGTGGCGATGAAGTTGTTCTTATTTGCCGTTGCTTTGGTAAAAATGTTAACCATAATTATTTATTGAATAGTATAATTTGTTTCGGTGCACTTGAGGCATATGCAATTTCCATAACAGAGTGAACAAGCCGAAAAATTGAACATTTATATTAGGCTATCGGCTTCGGTCCAAAAATAGGGCCACTGGTATCAAACGATGGAAAGGAGCAATGCGCATAGCGTTTTTTGGCAAGGTATGCTGGAGTTAGAAAATTTGTGATAGCTTTGCAGTAGGAGCGGTGGCAGTTTTTTGGTGCTATCACTTTTAATATTATTTTTTTCAAAATGGCCGCCAATACGCTTGTTGCCGGATTATTTATATGTGGTCACAAGCATGTTTTGGCCACCAATTTTCTTTAAAAAGTGATAGCACCCAAAAAGCTGCCACCGCTGCAATGCTATCACATAGGGGAGTCAGGTTGGCGTAGCGGTACTTTCCTCGCCTTCCACCGCTGTGACCCGGGTTCGAATCCCGCCTGGGCCAATATGTGGATTGGGTTTTCAGTCCCTGCCTGATTCTGTGGGTTTTCCCCAGAATATTCTTCTGGGCTTTTCCTCCCACCTCTAAAACTGTAACTTCTTCTCATTGTCTTCTCTCTACAGGTTTCTTCAGGCTTGCGAGCTACAGTGCCTAGGGTGCTTTTTAGGAATCCTTGGTTTCATTACCAGAAATGATTAATAATAATAATAATAATAATAATAATAACATATTTTCCAACTGCAGGGGTGCATACCTTGCCCAAAGTCACAATGAGCATTATTCCCCTCATTTGATACCAACCAAACCCCCGGGCTGATGGCCCATATGAAATCTTCAAACTCAAAGTCAAGCAATTGGCCCAGGTCAAAAGGTCGCGTAACCACCTACCGTGAACTTAGTTGGGCTCTTGATGGTCCTCTGGAACATGAGCCAGTCGCCGGACTGGTCGCCAGTCCGGGACCAGAGCTTGATGGAGGTCTGCGCGGTCACGTCATTGAGGTACATGTTCATGGAGCCCATGTCCCGGCCGGCCATGTGGTACCACCAGGTCAGGCAGCTGCCGGTCAGCTGGGTCGGGTTGATGGAGCGGGACGAAATGCGGCCAATTTGGCCCGAGGTGAAGCTGCCGCTTAATGGGTCCATGTACAGAAAATATCCTGCGGACACAAAAAATCAGAAAACATGAATGCTCAGCAAATTTCTTTTTAAGCAAATTTGATTCTCAGTATCAATGTGCGATGTATATGCCGTGTTTCCTATTTTTTTAAAGCGGTTTTTTTTTTAAGTAACAATGTCAGGCTGGAATTATAGCCTCTAAAAACTTGTAATGAAATCAACAAACAATTCGTCGTGACAGTGCAACAAGTTCGTAACTCGATTCTGCAACAAAGTTGTATCTCGCGCAAATATGCTCTGTGCAACAAGGTCGTATCTCACATATCCCGACGTCCCTGACTATGTGTGTACATCCGGATCATTTTAAGCGATATAGGCTCTTTGGCATTAAAAACCTCATATTTCACGAACATAACGTCACACACCATTTGAGTAGATATGACCTTGTTGGTGCACTGACAGGACAATTTGTTTACGCTTCAAATAAACACTTCTTATTATAACATCGCATCATCGTTGGAATTCCTCATTCTCCTGTCGACGGGCAGAGCATTCTGTTCGAAACGTTGAGTCCCTCCGGTTCTTTTCAGAACCACACATACTCACAAAAGAGATTTATTCACATTGTGCTACCGCGAACTTATCTCATCTTAGTATCTTTCCACCATGCAAACCTTCAAATCTCATCTCACTTCAAATAAAGTTGATTTTCGGGTTCACTTAATATTTCGCCATATTTCGCCATATTTCTCTGTTTCTTGGAATGAACAAGGCTTGCTTGTGACGCATTATCACAGCTGACTCCGCTCCACGACTCGAGCAGGGTCTGAGGTGGCTGACCCGGGTGAGCCCCGAGACTGATGTCAGAGCTAATCAAATGGCGCGGGGCTAACCTGGGTTGACCAAGGTGAGCTAACAAACACACTTTTTAAAATATTGTAGCGGTACTGCCTCGGACAACTGCCCCGGTGAGTAGCCGCGTACGGCCTAGCCTCTACGGTCGGGTACGCAGATCCGTTTTGGCGGAGATTTACCGCCAGGCCCGCAGCAGACTACCAAAACAACACCCTATCACGCACTCACTCCACTCACTGGGCTGACAGACGGATGATATCTCGGGGGAGGAATATGACACTGGACACTGATTTGCGCCTTCCCTTAGCTTTGGTGATTATTCCTCATTCCAGTTTCAGCCTATCTTGGTGCCTCGCCTACGTGATCTTATACTCAGTCACTTCCCTTACAAACTCAGCGATTACTTAATTATCTGGATTATGATGCAGGAATCATTTGTCAATTACACTCACACAAAGTATGAGGCTCCCTCCACTGCGACTATAGGTGATTGGTTATTGGTTGATTGCGGGAGATTAGAACAGTGCAAGAACCCTTCACGAGACCGCGCTCAGGTAACGGCCACAGCAGAAAGAGAGCGAAGCTGAGCACGCGGCCGCTTATATACACTGGCGCTATTGACTGGTGCCCCCATAAACCTGGGTGAGTGCACGCTGGCTACCAGTAAGAACTAAAGTGTGCCCTCTATGAAATGCATTGCGCGACAATATTGACTGAGCCTATGTCCAGTTTTTTTTTTGGGGGGGGGGCATGAAAGACGTTCGGTTTTCCTTTTACCTTGTCCCGTGGTGTGGTCCGCGGAGGGCCCCGTGTCCCATCCGAACGTGGGTCCCGTGTGGCGTACCCAGGTCAGGTCGTCCGTCTTGTCCTGCACCCATCGGCAGGTGTTCTGCTCAAAGTCACAGGAGATGTTACGAGCCAGGTTGGCTGGGTCGGCGGTCTGCGGCTGGACTGCAGTGGGGAAGAAGTTAAAAATAAAACACCAGGAAATATTAAAAGAAAAGGAAGGATTAGGAAAAGCCTTACTCCAAATAGTTAAAGGTAGCATCCACCATTTGTAATTTGTGCATACAAAAGTTCTCTATATCTATAGAAGGGTGCTGAACAACTAAGGCCAATAAAAAAAAAAGAATGCTGCTTCCAATTACATGGCATTTGAAAATAGGGTAGGTACCCGATAGAGAGGATTTTTTTTTGGAGGGGCCCACTTTTTTTATGAAAAATCATATGGAGGTGTCTGTGTGTGGTCAAATGTACAATGTAGTAATTGGATGGTTTACAGGGTTTTTTACTCATTTCCCCCAAAAAAAATTAGGGGAGGGCTGTGAAAATATGGTAGGTAGGATAACCGGTAGCTGAACTATTTTTTTGTTTTTGGCCTAACTTGATGAAGTTTCAGCTCAGTGAATGCTGTATATTCCGAGAAAACAATATTCTAGGATCCTGATTTCAAATCAAAAGTGGCTTAATCATGTTTTGAATTGGGCCTGAATTCAGCATCTGAGACATGTTCTCACAGAGCTGATTGCAGCTACGCGATGTCGCGCACTGAACCGATGTATAATAGCAACCGCGCGCGCCTCGTGTGAATGCTTGCGCGCATTTCGCTGAATAAAAAAAACCGAACTACTAAGGAAATGGCCAACAATGTGTCTTTAGTTATTCACTTTTGAATGAGACATCCGCCGAAAAAAATGGGCCTGTGTTTAGTTAGTGAATTATTACTATACAGTTTTCAAATAACCGGCTGCCAGACAATATATTATGTTCTTGTAGGTTAGGCTGGTTCCTGCCCCACAATCAGTATCGATAATGTACAGACTGGAAGCCAGTCTGCCAGTAAAGCGAATCTGTTTGCCCAAAACAGAAACCTTTCTTTCAGAGGGTTGGAGATTTGTTGAAATAAACATGCCAGATGAAAAATGTTTTAAAAGAAAAAATGGAATTTGTTGGAGAGCATGACAAAAGCAACTTCTGTTCTCTGAATTTGTAGAATGCCTTTCAATTGATGCAAAGATTTCAACCTTAGGTTTTGCCAAGAAATTTGAAGGACTCAACAGAATGCAATAATTGGGGCTGTCTATTTAGTATTGGATTCTTTGAAACTGCAAAAAAGTCATGAACTCACATAGACAGAATCCGTTGTGCGTGAAAGTGATGTCGTCGATGGCGATGTCGCCACGGTAACTTGTCCCCACGACGCCTTCAAACACGATCTTTGGGATACCAAACACAATAAAACAAATAAGCTTTTTATAACTGTACCAATTTTGCTGTAATTTCACTATAATAATGTTGGTATATGACAACAGTTCGCCTCCAATTAAATAAGGGGTTTCTCTCTCGTTCCAAAGACAAGATCAGATCCTGATTTTTGAACAGGTCAGCATCCTTACAAAGAAAAATACGGAAAATTTGGTGGGAAAAGTTGACCAATTCTGTACCGCAACAGGAAAAGACCCACAGTTTCAGATGTTAGTAATCTATTACCGTTGTATACCAAAACAATTCGTCACGTCAGTGCAACAAGGTAAACCCCATTCTGCAACAAAGTCGTATCTCGCGCGAATACGCTCCGTGCAACAAGGTCGTATCTCGACGTCCATTGACTTTGCGTGTACATCCGGGTTATTTTAAGCGAGATACGACCTTTTGACATTCTAAAACTCGCGTTTTGCGTCGTTCATGCCATTTTAGGAGATACGACCTTGTTGCACTGACGCGACAAATTGTTGCCTGTTGAGATGGGGGTTCATGGGTTTTGTACACCCTCTGGGGCATTTGCCCCCTTGGGCGTACAAAACACCATGGACCCTGCCACAGTAGGTAACAATTGTATATTGCTGCTTCACCTCACCTGGTAGGGGTAGTTGAAGTACACTCCGATCTGGCCAAACTTCCAGTCCGTCTCGTTGATGCTCTGCTCTTTCTGCAGGTACCAGAGCGAGTCTTCCAGCAGGGAGTTTGCCCCAGAGCCGCGGCCGAAGATCAGCATCTCGCCGATGTCCGCGCCGAACATGTGGTACCTGGGTTCCAAAAAACCAATAGAATTCTTATGAAATTTCAGGAGTCAGTTGCTCTTTCTACATCTTTCATTTCAATAAAACCTGTCAATTTAAACCCTAACCCACCTCGATCCTCCAAAATCCTCCTGGCAATTTGGGGGGAGTTTGGAGGATCGAGGCTAAATGGCCCAAAAAAATGGTGGTTGATTTCGGAGGTTGCATGACAAATTTATAGGCTGTACCCTGCATAGTTTATGTTCAGCCATACATAACTGAGCACTGCATTACGCGCGATATCATTCACACTGCTTCTGAATATCATCGGCACTGCCTCAACCCAATAACAGTGATGTCAGAGGATTTTGAAGGATTGAGACAATGGTCGCCCCTCCACTGAACAAACTCAAGAAATAACGGATGATTCTGGAGGAATGAGGCTGAATCCAAATTTCACAAGGTGGCAATTGGAGGATTTGGCAGGATTGAGGATGGTTCCTAGCCAAAAGGGCCTAGGGGTTGAGGTTAATCCTACAAAACTGAATGTTGGAATTTGGAAGATTCCGTAGGACTAGGGCCCAGAAAGGAAAAAAAGAAAGATGTTTGAAGACTTGACACCCACCAGAAGGACATGCAGGATCCGGTCGCTGGTGACATGGGGAAGACCTCACTCTCCAGGTAGGCATAGTCGCCGGCGACGCGGGGAGAACTAGTCTCAATGTACAGGAAGAAACCTGGGTGCATCCAACAAAAATTGGGAACGTCGCAAAATTAAACAAAACAAATTTCAACTTATATTTCACATATCAAAGAAATGCACAAAGACTCTAAGTAGTACGTCTGTCAAAAGCCAATGTGGCCCATCAGGCTGGCGTTTATCTGCATTTTTTTGGCATGAAACGACCGAGGATATTTCTATTCCCCCTGGATGGGATGCCAGTCCATCACAGGTAACTCCCGAGCTACTGCGGGTGTGGAATGAATTTAGGTTTTATGAAATACGGACCCCTTGGTGGTATTGCGCATGCTCATGCATACATAATTACCAAATGGAACCGGTCACGTGAGAGGGTTTAACCAATAAAAGGAAAAAAAAGTGTGATTTTCATAGGAGTCTGATTCTCGTATCACACCGGTACCAATTTATACTCCTGGGTTGAGAGAGACAAGTTGGGGTAAAGTAGCTTGCCCAAGGGCACAACGTATACTGGGACACTAGAAATTCCAGGCGTACCTCAAAGGCACACTAGCTTGAATACAGCACAAGTGAGGTGTGCTCGGAAATTCTCGGGTGCCAGTGCCAATGTTCCCAAGACTCTATTCGATTCAACCTTTGGACAGTCCGCTGTAAGTCTAGGAAACTTTTTCCACTGGGACCTTGAAAATTCTGACCACACCTCAAACACTCATCAGCTTGAATACAGCACATGAGGTGTGGTCGGTACATCGCGGATCCCAGTGCCAATGTTCCCAAGACTTGATTTGATTAAACTTGTGGATAGTCCCCTCTAAGTCTAGGGAGCTTTTCCACTGGCACCTTGAAAAATTATGACCACACCTCAAACACACATCAGCTTGAATACAGCACATGAGGTATGGTCGGTATATCTCGGGCACCAGTGCCAATATTCCCAAGACTTGACTTGATTAAACTTGTGGATAGTCCGCTCTAAGTCTAGTGAGCTTTCCCACTGGTACCTTGACAAATTCTGACCACACCTCATACACACATCAGCCTGAATACAGCGCATGAGGTATGGTCGGTATATCTCGGGCGCCAGTGCCAATGTTCCCAAGAGGGGACTGGATTCAACTTGGGATAGTGCCCACTTCCACCAAATCTAAAGCCAGCTTTGAAACCGAGACTAAAACTTGCCTTTGTTAGGGGCGCACGACGACCCGCAGGTGTGATCGACGTCCGGTCCCGTGTAGAAGCTCCCGGTCCTCTTGCCGAGGCGCACCCAATCAAAGACGTCGTCCTGGCCGTTGCGCCAGGTGCAGGTGTTGTCTTCAAAGTCGCAGGTGCCCTTCTCTGGGCAGATGCCGGGCTTGTAGCTGACGTGGTCGATGGCGATGTCGCTCTGGTAGCTGGAACCGGCGGTGGCCTCGAATATGATCTTTGGATTTTGAAGGCACATAGGATTATTTGCATTATCGTTTCAATTTGGGGTAACACCATGTGGTAATAACTACTGTTGCTAAGTAGATAGTTCTGATAAGAACTTGTCCTGCTTTAAGTTCTAAAAGAACTTGAACTTAAAGCAGGACTGTTCTTATCAGAACTAAAACTACTTGGCAAAAGTTGATAATAAGCAGGCCAAGTTCTTATCAGAAGCCGTGCAGAGGACTGCGAGCTCGTATTTCTGTGGATGATGATTAGGTCCTACAATGGCTCTATTTTGCAATGGAGTGTAGGCGTCAATTTTCAAAATGGCGATGGGCTTCAGGACTGCATTTAGGGGTGATCATCTTTGGATGGAATTTTCTCCCAAAAGTCATCGGTTAACCCCCAGAAAATTGAACAGAAAATGAAAGATGATGAAATAAGCTTTAGTTTGATGTACGTCTTGAACACCTCAGAGAGTTGTGAGTATTTTTCCTGAATTTCTGAAGTGGGGGCATGCTTCATTGGGGTCTAAGTAAATTTAATTACTGGTCTGCAACCGTAAGGAAAAATAGTCTGGTGCATTTTTTCCCCAAAAAACACTATCATTCAGTACTCTTATTGGATACAAGGAACATGACCAATATGGTTGCACCAAGATAAAGGTCTATTGGCGGTCTATTGGCGTTCTACTGTACGTTTTGAAGTGTGCTTCGGTACAGGGCTTGTTTGATATCATACCTCGTAGACAGTTTGGCTGGAGACCGTTGCCATCCCTTGAAGCCACTGGTCGCCGTAGTTATCCCCGGACGCTGTGAAGATGGCCGTTTCCTGGAGATTGACGTCACGCAGCTGTGAAAAAAATAAGAACTCTTTGTCAAGCAAACTGACTGAATGTTTAAGGCTTCTAAATAATTCTGTATGTAGCTGTGAAACTAAAGCTGTAAACGAAGCCGGGTGTTTCTTAAACACAGATTTGATCAACGTACCAAGACTTTGAGAGTGCCCATGTCGGCACCGTACATGTGATAGTAGAAGTACCAGCAGGCGTCTTTTGTGCTTTGGTCGGGAACAAACGGCGGGCTGATCAGCCTTGCGATGTCGTTGGGCCTGGGAGGGCTGCACTCGATGTACATGTAGTAACCTGGGGATAGAAAGGCGAGAAAATATAAACTGTTCCGTTGATAAATCTGGCAACTGGCAGTGCTGAAGTCGAGGACGTCACATGTCCAATCACAAGTCCATCACAAGTCCCTCAAATGTCCATCACATGTCCATCACAATCTATCTCAAGTCCATCACAATCCATCACAAGTCCAACACAAGTCCATCACAAGTCCATCACAAGTCAAACACAAGTCCATCACAAGTCCATCACAAGTCCATCACAAGTCCATCACAAGTAAAACACAAGTCCATCACAAGTAAAACACAAGTCCATCACAAGTCAAACGCAAGTCAAACGCCAATCCAACACAAGTCCATCACAAGTCCATCACAAGTCCAGTCACAAGTCCAACACAAGTCCATCACAAGTCCATCACAAGTCCATCACAAGTCTATCAAAAGTCCACCGCAAGTCCATCACAATCCATCGCAAGTCCATCACAAGTCCATCACAAGTCCATCAAAAGTCCATCACAATCCATCACAAGTCCATCAAAAGTCCATCACAAGTCAATCACAAGTCCATCATCACAAAGTTAGTAACAAGTCCGTCACAAGTCAGTCACAAATCCATCATCACAAATCCATCACAAGTCCATCATAAGTCCATCACAAGTTCGTCACAATCCATCACAATCCATCACAAGTTCAACACAAGTCCACCACAATTCCATCACAATCCATCACAAGTCCATCACAAGTCCATCACAATCCATCACAAGTCCATCACAAGTCCAACACAAGTCCATCACAAGTCCATCACAAGTACAACCCTTTTTTGAATGCAACATCATCGGCTAAATGACACATAACAACAAAATGATGGAAACGCAGGCTTAAAAAGTAATCTTAAAAAGTAGAAATGGATGACAACTCACCTTCAGGGCTTCCATAGGAGTAGTCGGTTGTCGGCCCAGTGTAGAACGAAGGGGTCGATCCTTTGTACCAAGTCCAATCAAAATCGTCCGTTATGTCTTGGGTGTAGCCGCAGATATTAGCGTCCTGGAACTCGCAGTAGTGGGTGGCTAGGAATTCGAAAAATAAATAAAAATGAGGAATAAGGATCAACATGGTTTACGGAGGTGACAAACAATTTTTTATATTATTTTTTATTATTTATCTTTACATTTTCTTGCATTACTGGCTGCTAAACTGGACTTTAACCAGCCAGCCGTCCCCGGCAAGCTCGGTGGTGGAGTGGTAAGATGTCTGCGCTACTAAGCAGGAAGTTGTGGGTTCGAGTCCCACCCGACATGCGCGCGTAAGCTTGTGTATTTTTATTCTTCTGCAAGTCCTTCGACGACACCGAGTATACAGTGTTTATAAATACGTCGGCGAATGCAAAACTCAATTTCAAACATAATCCTTTTGTTGTTAATAGTTGCGTTTCGAGAAAAAAAAACTGCTCTAAAAGTGTCGGAGGTTTGGCTCCCTGTGAGTAGGTTGTATAGCGCCCTCTAAAGATCACGCACAGACCGAATGAGAGTTGGAGAGAAGTGGTTCACCTTCACAATCTCCCTTGTAGACGCTGATGTCGTCCAGGGCGATGTCACCTTCGTAGCTGCTGCCTACGACGCCTTCAAACACGTACTGCAGAGACAAAAAAACGTGACGTCAAAGTACCACGTGACCATCCGGTTTTCCCGTGATGGGCCACACAGTCGTGTTTTACTATACTCTCGAGGACAATGCTTTGTGTTTTCCCTTTGTCCCTGTAATATAACACTCTCCCATAGACTAAGCACGCAAACATACCACATACCACCGTTTCCAACAAAAGACCCAACTCCCGAGGACTGAAAGGATCTGTTGTTCTCCCTTTGTGTGTCGGTTCTCGGGGGTTATGTAGAACACGTACACCATTGCAGTAGGCAAGGGTTTGGTTAGCAACCACATCATGCGTTGTAAACAACGGAGAGTAAGGCTAATTTTCACGTTAAAAACAACTGCAAATTTTTGTATCAAATGGCGTAATGCGCAAACATCTCTCTAGTAAACGGTGATTGAAACGTCATCGTGAAACTTCCTGGTCCCGGCTCCCTGCTGTGCATTTACAATGGGTGTTCATTTTGGTAACCAGCTAGGTTTGTTCCAGACAATCGACTAGATTACAGCCTGTCTCCAAAAAAAATTGAAAACGATTTTTTTTCAATATTAAATCTCAACATAAGTAAGTCGTTTTGAGCATCACATTAAAGAAAAAAGACCAGGCTTTCCAATACTTTTTGTTTCATCTCATTTGCTTTTGTCAATCCAGAGATAACTCCAGTTTACTGCGGAACACAATAATCGAGTTTGTGCCACTTTCTGGGTGTGAGCTTCAAGACAGCATGGCACAGTACTCGAAACAACTCTGCCCATGCATAAAAGTGGCACAAAATTGATTTTGGTGTATCGCACTAAATTGATTATATCTCTGAATTGACAAAAGCAAATAAGATCAAACAAACACTATTGGAAAGCCCAGTCTTTGTTCTTTACTAATATGCCAAGTAAGAATGACTTATTTTGAAATTTCATATTTAACCAATTTTTTTTCTGATTGTAACATTTTTGTGAGTTTGAGACAGGCTGTAGTCCACCTACAGTAGACTATTGTGGATTTGAGACTATAAGAGTTATGGTTAAAAATGAATCTTATTGAGTCAAATTATGGTTAACAATAGTTCACGCTCGACATTGCAATTCCAAATTTGCCCTTGATTGCACACATCGCGCAAAGGTGCATAGGACCTAAACAGTGCCCTCAAGAGTCTATCCACGGAAGGCGATTTTACCTGGAAATCCTCGGTGGGCTGCGCCAGCTCCGCCTGGGCCCGGTACCAGCTGTCGTCCCTGGTCCCCGTCCGCTTCAGGATCGGGGTGCCCAGCCCCTTGCTGGCGTTGGCGTACACGTTGAGCGTGTCGATGTCGTCACCGTACATGTGGTACCAGAAGTCCACGCACCACTTGGAGTTGTCGAATTGGACGCTGGGGCTGACCAGGTAGGCCTTTTCGCCGGCCTGGCGCGGCCACGAGGCCTCCAAATAGACAAAGTAGCCAGCACCTGGGGGAGGGGGAGAGGGAGTGTTGGGTTGGGGGGTGAACACAAACAATCACACTTTGAACCAAAGTAACTACCCCCTCAATGGTTCAAAAAGAGAGAGGTGTTGGAGACCACTGGGAGAGACATTCAAACATATTGCTGATGAGGCCCGACACTGAGGCCCGTGCACATTCAGGATCAAATTTATCGCGCATTCTTTGCGTCATACGCGTGTGAACCAGTAAACGCACCCGGCGTGTTCCCCCCACCTCCCCCCCTTCCAATGGGGCTCTTGAAAGTGGTACCAAAGCGTTATCGCCTGTTAATGTGCCGAGCCATTAAAAACAGCTTTTTTTTTTGCCAATCGATCACCGAGTGTGACTTCGAATCAATTTCATGATGCACATGGATTGTAATTTAACTTATGATCAATAGCAAACCTTTCAGTCTGACGATATGATTTGAAAACAGAGCTAGTTTAAAGGATACAACGACCAAAGAAACAAGCCAAAAACCCAAAGATAAAGTAAACAATTTCAGAAACTAATGATATGAAAGGATTGAGGTAATTTACATGAAAACTGAAGAGTTTTTTGCAAAGTAAATAACTATTCAAAGCTTGCTCATTTTGTTGTGCCTTTAAAGCTTTTCCAGAGAAAACCTAACAAGTCTTTCAAAAAAATTACGTGAATACGTACGAAATCATCGTACTTTTTTAGAAAAACATATCTCTCTGTTTCAAACCAATATTTGGACATGAAATACGGTTCAGTAAGAATAGAAGAGACAAAGACAGCTCTTTTTATATCTAGAGGTCATCTCCAGCTTTGGCTAAAATGCTTTTGAATTATTCTGGAGTCATGGAGACAAATTTTGAGACAGAGTCTCAATTTTGAAAATGACCCGACATCTGAGTGAGGCGATGTTATTTTTTAGACTAACCTGACCCGATGGTGTGATCGGAGCTCGGCCCTGTATCCGTGGAGGGAGTCTGGGTGTCTCTCGTCCAATCGAAGTCGTCAAACTGCGGCTGAGTGTAGCCGCACATGCCCGCTTCAAAGTCGCAGCCGAAGGTAGTACCTATCATTAAACGAAAACACGGATCAGAGTTCCATACCATTATCTGCAGCAGCTCAATATCAATGGCATTTGGTCTGTACCTTCACAGGTACTCATTTACACTCCCGGCTGAAAACAGGCAATTGTAGTAAAGTGCCTTGCCTAAGAACAAAGCACTGTGTTCCCCATCAGGGTTCGAACCCCCGTACCACGACACGAGTCGAACACTGCAACCATTGAACCACGGCGCCCCACGTAAATAAGCCATTTGCAAATAACCTATACCCTTTGCGAGTTAAATTTGAATAACATCTGGTACACTGACTTGCTCATAATGCTTGGCACGTTTTAACTTTGAATTCTCCAGACCAAAGACACTGTTGCTACATCACATGATTCGGGGCAAGCTCTTGTACAGTTACGTAAGAGACACTCAGCATCAATACATTGCTCACAATCTGCTCTTTTCACACTTCCACCATGGGCATGCAGACCCTCGATCTGGCAACTTTACACAATAAATAAAGCCGGTTCAGTGATACCCGTGTCGGGGTTCAGATCACTGAACCGGCTATTTTTATTGTGTCAAGTTGCCAGATCGAGGCTCTGCATACCCAGTGGCGAAGTATGAAAAGAGTTAATAGGTGAGAATGGCACAAAGACACCAGACCATGCCGGAGCTGGGGTTTGCCAGCATAAAGCTTGAGCCAAGTCACGCGATATAGTAACAGTCTCTTTGGTCTGGAGAATTCAAAGTCGAAATGTGCCAAGCATTCAAGCAAGTCAGCTTACCACATATTACTTGAATTTTATTCGCAAATGGCTTATTCTAAGTTCTACTCCACATCCAGCCCTGGCCTTACCTCTGCAAGTGACCTGGTCAAAGGTCACGTCGTCAATGGCCACGGTGGCGTTGTTGTTGGTGCCCTCAATGACCTCGACGACGATCTGGTGCTCGATGCTGCTGGCCGCGTCCACCTGGATCTCGTGCCAGAAGTTGCCGCGCTCCCCCGTGGACGTGAACTTGTTCTGTTTGGTCGAGGAGGTTGGGTCCATCACGTAGATGTTGATGGTGCCGACGCCTGATGTGTCGTTTTTAATAAAAAAGACAGAATGTTTGTTAAAAATGGAGCCAAGCTTTATTAATACTCTCACAACAAACAATCCTAACTTGACTTTCTCCTCAAACGCCATGAGCGCCTTTTTAGGTGGAGACCAGCGCTTTACAAATGTTCATTAATATTATTATTATCATCAAGGTGGCATTTATCTCCGGTTTACTGTGGCACGAAAAAATGAGAATGAGTCTGAAAAAAGGAGAACTAAAACAAACAAAAAACCCAAAACAAGAGCTGTTGTGAACTCCGAAACAGCTAAAAAATACTGCAAGATAAACTTGCGCGATCCCTCTGGCATACTGGCAGTATTAATACAGTCAGTTTAGTGAACGCACTGCAAGCGTACCTAACCAAAAACCAACAATGACCGCAACTGACCCCTAGATGACCTATGACCGCAAATGTCTTATGTCATCTGAAGTACCCCTACCCAGAGAGTATTGTCACCAAGTTTGGTTGAGAGTGAAGTCTGCCTTGTCATATGACAGCACTTTTCAGTTTACCTAACCAAAATCTACATTGACCTCATTTTACCCCTAGGTGACCTTTGACCGCAAATGTCTTATGTCATCTGAAGTCCCCCTACCCAGAGATTATTGTCACCAAGTTTGGTTTAGAGTGAAGTCTGCCTTTCCACATTACAGCGCTTAACAGTTCAGCTAACCAAAATGGAACACACGGACAAAAGGAATAATAATAATAATTAATAATAATAACAGGTTCTTACATAGCGCTTTTAACTAAGATCAAAGCGCTTTACATTATTACCCCTAATCATTGGGCCAATTAAACATTCCATATACCATCTCAGCTCCCTGGGGAGTATACAGCTCGATGCAGCCTGTACGGCGCAAGGAAGCTAATTCAACCACAATAACCATCTCTGCCCTCACGGGTACCCATTTACTCCTGGGTGGAGAGAAGCAATGAGTGACAAAGTGCCTTGCCCAAGGGCACACGCACCATGACCCCGGCTGGACTCGAGGCCTTAACCACGAGGCCACAGCACTACACTACACTACACTACAGGAGCCCCCTTTCTTGGCTAAAGCCAGTGGCGAAAAAACAGTGAATGGCGTAATTGCTCACCGGATCCGTGCATGTACAGCCAGAACGTCAGACAGGCGGGGTCAGACTTGGGGAGGTGCTCGCTGACAAGCCATGCCTTCTTTCCGCTGGGAAGCTGCGTGCCCTCAATCAACATGTAGTATCCTGTTGTTCGAAAAAGATCAATGGTGATTGAAAGAGTTGATAAGAACGGCTACCCATAAAAGATCAACTTGTTTCAGGTGTTCCGAGCAACTCTAAAGTCTACAGGGTGAGTAAAAAAAAGGGGAACCCCAACCCCCAAAAATACATGTCATGTTTACAAATATATGTAGCACCAAAGATAATAATGACTGGAAAGCAAATTTCAGAAATTTCTTTTGGATGAAAACATTATTAAAATTAATCAATCTGTTCAAAGAATATCACCATTTAAAGGTAATGACCCTAAAATCTGTTTCGTCCAAAATAAAAAACAATTTAACATGTGTTCTTACTGTTTGGAACAACAAAGAAAATGACACAGAAAACTTGTTTCAACAACTGTCAACAACTGTAGTACACAATATCTGTATTAACAACCCTGCTTAGGCAAACAATAACATTTTTAAAGTCCACTTTTCTCAATGGACAGGCTTTCAAAAGGACTTTGTTGAAGATTTTTGACTTTTAAGCAGAGTTTTTATCGCCGGAGATGTTTGAAGACAAAAGTGACGACGATTCTTGATATCACATTTTTGGACGAAAGAGGTTTCACGGTCATTGTGTTAAAATGGTAATATACTTTGAACGGATTAAACAATTTAAGTAATTTTTCCCTGTAAAAGTACTTTATGAAATTGGCTTTCCAGTCATTATTATTTTCAGTGCTCTTTTTTTTTTTTAAATATGACATATTGTTTTAGGTTCTGCTTTTTTTGACTCACCCTTTAGTAACTGGAATTTTAGTACAAAACGTTTGCCTGTCTAAAATCGAATCGAGTTGCTGCTAATCTGGAGAACACAGCTTCGCGTCAGTGCAAAAAATGTCGTAACTCCATTCTGCAACAAAGTCGTATCTCGCGCGAATATGCTCCGTGCAACAAGGTCGTATCTCGACGTCCATTGACTTTGCGTGTACATCCGGGTTATTTTAAGCGAGATACGACCTTTTGACATTCTAAAACTCGCGTTTTGCGTTCATAACTCCATTCTGCAACAAAGTTGTATCTCGCGTGAATACGCTCCGTGCAACAAGGTCGTACCTCGACGTCCACTGACTTTGCGTGTACATCCGGGTTATTTTAAAAAACTTGCGTTTTGCGTCGTTCATGCCATTTTAGGAGATACGACCTTGTTGCACTGACGCGACGACAGGTTCAAACCCAGCTTCAGTCAATATCTTGGTTCAACTTAAAAAAATGCTAGTGCGACTGTTCAGCACTTGTCTGAAAAAGGGTGTTGCGCACGTGGTCCACTTGTCCTGTGAATAATTGTTTTTTTTCCCTTTCTTTTTCTGTACCTTGAGCAGTCAACGTGGTGTGGTCCTGCGAGGGCGATAGATAATGCGTGGCGTCCTGGCCCCTGGTTCGAACCCAGTCAAAGTCGTCCTTCTGCAGCTCGTTGGTCCAGCCGCACATGTTGCGCTCAAAGTCGCAATAACCTGCTCACAAATAAGCAAGAATTGAAATTCAGAACCAAGACACAAATGCAAGAATTTAAGTCACAAACAATAAATGAAAAAATAATACAAAGCAAGTTAGGCCCCCCAAAAAAGTCTCCGGTTTCTGGTATGGAGCTTGCCCAAAAAGTGGTGCGGCGACGCAACTTTTTTTTTTTTTTTTACCTGATTTTTTTGCTTCAAATGTCGGCTGATGACTGCAAATGGTGCCTGACTAAACTTAGTGCAAATATATGGGAGTCCAGAGAGGCCACATAAAGCTTATTCCCGACCATAACCCAATCTAAAAACACGTTAAAATTGTGCAGCAGCAGGATTCCAGTCAAACCAGTGAGTTTGGCCGTTTTGAGACATCATCTTTCATTGAAAAAAAAAACTTTTTCATTTTGCCGACGCGCATGGCTACGGCGACGCGCGCGCATACCAGAAACTGGAGACTTTTTTTTTTGGCCTTATGTTATGAGAGTTGGCCATCACAAGGCCCTATATTTAAGGACCATCTCAGGATAAGGGCTACATAAAGAAGGGATAGAAAATGAAATCAAAATTTGCCAAGTCATATTTTGAATTGCGCCCTCTCATGACACGATCCGAAAATCAGTAATCGGGACATGATTCTCATTCAGCCGGTTGTCGCCCATTTACACATTTTGCCCAATTGCAAACCAACTCTAAATTAGAACGCATGGGAGCTGATTCACAGAAATTCAAAAAAATGTGTCGTTTGACACATCTTTGGAAACAACCTTCTTTTGTTGTTTTCTTCAAAATGACAGCATGCCAGAAGAAAAAAATTCACAGGGAGTTTAGTGCCATTACTATCTTTAAACCAAGTAAGCTATTTCAACAATAATTTGGTCGGTTACTTTTTGGATAGCTGCAAATGGTCCACTCTGCCTTTAACCAGTTCATGCCGGGATTATTCTTGCCGAAAAATTGGATTTTCGAAAAAAAGCCAAAATATAGCTGCCAACTTCTGATATACAGCCAAATGCCACAAATGCTGACTCGCAAGAGTCATTTCCAAAGTATTTGTACGATATTTCTTGCCGAAACCTCATATTTTTCAACACTCCGGGGTGTGCAACAAGAGCCTAAATTGTAAAACAATAGGCCGTGCACAGCGGCCAATTCAAGATCAACACAGGGTCAGCCTCCACAGACTTCACGGTCTTCGCGTGTGTCAGTCAGGGTGTGAGTGACCACTGATAAAAATAGCTGAAAACAGCTGAAAAAGGTGTAAAAAAGCTGAACTTTGGAAATCTCCCATACTTTTGTACACAGCAAATGAGTAAAAAAAGCTGAAATCCAAAACAAAAAAAGCTGAAATCAGCTTTAAAACTGAGATTTCACACCCCTCGTATGTACAAAAGACACAAAGGATCAGTCTGTTTAGACGTCACCCGGAGGCGAGTCGAGGCAATCTTGACGTTTTAACCAGTCAGTCGTGCCTGTGTACAAAAACAGCAAGTGCATGTGATCCCGTCCTCTGACATGGACTGGTTAAACATGGAAAATGAAACAAAAATAAAACATTGTTCACGTAGCAAACTAAGAGAAAAAAATAAACGACAGACCTTGTGGGTCGCAAGGGCCCGCACGGATATCGAAGTCATCCAGAGCGATATGATCCGTGCTCCCTGCTCCGTGCGTGCCTTCAATCATGAGCTAAAGAAACAGAAATCAGACAAGTACATTTATACGGGGTAAGTCAAAAAACAAAAACCCAAATGGTGCCCCCTATTTTTAAAAGAAGTTCTGCATGCTTCGTTTTCCAGATCTAGGATATAAATGCCCAATTCTTAAGCTTTCTTTTTATTCAAAACACTGGTGTTCTTTTCCAGTTGTGGAATTTTGTACACAAACAAGTACACCCACGTTTGTTTATGGTGTAAATCGAGGATTTTCTTTTGTTCCTCTTCCCTTTTCCTTTGTTTGAACTCCATTTTTTTTCGCAACAGCTCTCATTGGTTTTGTACACGTTTTCTACTCGAGGTCGTCCTCGATTTGGTTCCTGTCCTCGATTCCCAAATGATGTTGCACGTGTGTGTCTTCGATTTACACCATAAACACGCGCACAAGTGTGTATTTGCCTGCAATCGGGGACCCTTATTGTCCCTCTTTTGTTTGTACTATAACTTTTTAGGAAGACCTCCCACATGTTTTGTACACGATCGCTAAATTGGGGACCTTCAGGAATTGGGGACCCTATTGTCCTCTATTGTTCAACGTCCCCTATTGAATGCAGAAACAAACTCGCAAACACCGTTTTTTGGTTCAGCTTGTCCATGGATCTTAATTAAGATTAGTGATAAAGATAAATAGTGACCACAGCCTCAAATCATGCAACGTTGACTTCGTTGACAGAACTCACCCGGTACTTGGTGGTCGTGGCGTTGACGGAAGCGGCGCCAAAGCGCCACATATTTCCCTGGTTCCCGGTCCTGGTGAACAAGACGGTGTTGTACGCGTCCTCCCGGATGGTCAGGGTACCGGCGTTCTGGCCGTGCATGTGGTACCAGAAGGTGCCGCACTCGCCGAAGGGGTTGGGGTCGAATTGCCCGGTGGACATGACGGCACGCTGGTTGACGGTACCCTGAGTAGGGTCCAGGTACATCACATAACCTGCGTGAACCCAATCCATTAATCTGTTAGTCCTGTTTTTACCTTTCTCCAATTCGGGCGATTCAAAATGCAGTGCGCCACCAAGAGTTTGCCACGGAGAGTTCATTTTCCCCAGTGCATTGTGGGGGATGGTCAACAAATTCGCAGCGCGGACAATTAAAATTGTTAGTTTTCTGGTCAACGTATGATTCGACTATCTTCTTGCCCTTTTGTATATGGTGTTTTTTGTAAGGCTGCAGAATGCTATGCCTAAATCTGTAACAAATTAGTTCAAGTTGCCTACTGACACTCATTCAAATGGGCCAGGTTTTGTCGACCGTAAACTTGAAAAATTAAATAGACTCTGCATGGCAAACTCTTGGTGGCGCACTGCATTGTGAATTGCCTGAATTGTTTGTTCCTTGAAACCTATTTGCACTCCATTTCATTAGTTGACTTATTAACCACTTTGCGCCGGGATTCTTTTTGCCCAAAATTTCGATTTTCGCAAAAGACAAAATACTCCAGCCAACTTCTGATATACAGCCAAACGCCACAAATACTGATTCGCAAGAGTCATTTCCACAGTATTTGTACGATATTTTTCGCCGAAACCTCATATGTTTTAATACTCTGAGGTGTGCACTGGAGCGTAAATTGTACAAAAATAGGCTGTGCACTACGGCCAATTCAAGATCGACACACAGTCCGCCTCAACAGACTTCACGGACTTAGTTTGTGTGTACAAAAGGCATGAGGGATTTGTGTGTTTAGACGTCACCCGGAGGCGAGTCGAGGCAATCTTGATGTTTAAACCAGTCAGCCGGGCCTGTGTATCAAAACAGCCAGTGTGTGTTATCACGTCCACCGATGCGAACTGAAACTGCAGGATTTTAAATGCCATTTTATCAAGAATCAGTTTTACAAATGTGTTGGGGGTCTGTATTTCCTTTACTGAACTCAGTACCCCTTCATACGGGGTGAGTAAAAAATAACGAAACCCAAATATCGGGACCATTTTTTTGTGTGAAGTAGTTCTGCATGTAGCACTTTCAAAATCCAGGATATGAAAGCCCAATTCATAAGCTTTCTTTTAGTACAAGAATCATTCAAATCACTCATGTACTTTTCAAGTTACGGAGTTTTAAACACAACCACTGTTTTAAAGTTCTGTCCACGGATCACAAAAAGGTAAGTGCTCTTTCAGCAATTCACACATATCCTTATGTGATTTGTTTTTGTTTTTGCTGAAAGAACACTGAACTTTTATGTGATACGTGTCCAGAACCTTAAAACGGTGGTTGTGTTTAAAACTCCGTATTTTGCAAAGTACATGAGTGATTTGAATGATTCTTGTACTAAAAGCAAGATTATGCATTGGGCTTTCATATCCTAGATTTTGAAAGTGCTACATGCAGAAATTCACTAAAACAATGGTCCCGACATTTGGGTTTCGTTTTTTTTTACTCACCCTGTATACCATTGGAAAGCTCTTGTTCTGCGGAATCCAGAAATAAATAATCTCAATTCTTAAACATTCCGACTTCATATATGAAGAGATTTACCGTTTGCCGTTCCTGTTGATTTGTCCACGTGGGGACCAGACGATGCAGCCAGCACCGAGGCCTGAACTCTCGACCAATCAAAATCGTCGGTGCTGTCCTGCGTGAGTCCGCAGGAGTCCAACTCCACAGTGCAAGTCCCTGAAAAATTCATTTCACTGAGTTAACGAACCAACATCAACAAAGGACACGGGAAAAAGTCCGCTAATCTCTAGGGTTTCTGGCAGTTTTGCACGTTCTATTTTGTAAACTTCTGCTTGAAATTTAATCAGGGAAAGTCAAAAGCTTTGAAAACCGTCAAAAGTCTTGCAAACAACCAAGGAAAACACCCCCCCCCCCCCCAAAAAAATACTCAATTTCTCAAACCTTTCTTTTGCATACTTTCTATAAAGTGAGGGTAAAAAAAACCGAAACCGAGATGTTATTGCTAATTGGACCAGAATTAGGGCACATGTGAATCAAAGGGAGATATCCTGTGTTGTGGTTGAATCTCCTCTTTCAAATGACACCCTGGTCATGTCATTACATTTACGGTTGACTGAGCAGTGACCAATTTTATGAAAGGGTTTATTTAGAGAATTGCGCCACTTTTCAATTGTGGTTTTTGTGGTGTCATTTGTCACAGAGTGAAAGGCTATGGTTGCCAATCAAGGCAGGTGGGGAAAAAGAGATTTCACCATGAAAAGTGGCACAAATTCTCTAAATAGACCCTTTCATAAAATTGGTCACTGCTCAGTCAACCGTGAATGTGAACACATGATCAGGGTGTCATTTTAAAGAGGAGATTCAACTCTACCAGAGGATATCTCCCTCTGATTCACATGTGCCCTACTTAGCAATAATATCTCGGTTTCGTTTTTCCTGTGTTGGCTGCTGCCATTTTGAATTTACTAACGGTTCCTACAACTATTGTGGACCCACGTATACACAATGCGAAATAACTGAATGGTCGATAACAGTATCAGTTCGGATGCCAAACCTAAACACCACTATATACCTTTGACCTAGACAACATCAAAGCGTAGGAACAAAATACCGAATTGGGCTTATTCTTACGTCTCGGTGGGCAGTCGCTCTCCGTGTAGAGTATGTCGTCTATGGCGATGTCGCTGGAGAAGGAACTCCCACGAATGCCTTCAAACACGAGCTGTAAAACAGGGAGTAACAGGCAGGGTGATTTGGGGTAGTACAGGGAGTAACAGGCAGGGTGGTTTGGGGCAGTACAGGGAGTAACAGGCAGGGTGGTTTGGGGCAGTACAGGGAGTAACAGGCAGGGTGGTTTGGGGCAGTACAGGGAATAACAGGCAGGGTGGTTTGGGGCAGTACAGGGAGTAACAGGCAGGGTGGTTCGGGGCAGTACAGGGAGTAACAGGCAGGGCAGTTGGGGGCGGTACAGGGATTGACAGGCAGGTCAATTTTGGGCGGTAAAGGGATTAACAGGCAGGGTGGTTTGGGGCAGTACAGGGATTAACAAGCAGTGTGGTTTGGGGTGGTACAGGGAGCAACAGGCAGGATGGTTTGGGGCAGTACAGGGAGTGACAGACAGGGCAGTTTTGGGCGGTACAGGGAGTATTAAACAGGCAGGGCAGTTTGGGGCGGTACAGGGAGTAACAGGCAGGGCAGTTTTGCACATTACAGAGCGCAACAGCCAAAATGGTTTGGGGCATTATGAGATTAAACTCACGGTGTATTTCGTTGACAACGTCATGGAGATTGTCGCTCGGTGCCACTGGTTCCCGCTCTGGGTACCGGACCGGCTAAACCGAGCTGTGTCCGTGGTGCCGACCCTGGTGAACAGGTTCAAGGTACCGACGCCCGTGCCGAACATGTGATAGTAGAACTCCAGGCAGACCGGCTGAGCTGGGCTAGGGGGCGTGACCTCGCCGGAAATCAAGCGGGCCCTGTCGCCTGGCTGTCTAGGGGACGAACTTTCAATGAAGACGTAATGCCCTGGACAACGGCAGACGAATAGATCAATTTTGAATACGCATTTACATCTCATGCATATTTATGAGCCAAATGGGCCTCTGTCATTGGTTCATTTTTCAACACATCAGTTCAACAAATAAGGGATGATTTAGGAGGATTGAAGCTGTATTCAATTTTTTTCATGGAGGCAGTTGGAGGATTTTGGAGGATTGAGGCTGTCCTGGCAAAAATGACGGCGCTGCTCAGCACAACAAATTTGCTTAGCACGAAAAAAGTCTGGCTTACAACAGCAGGTTACCAGCCAAAACTGCATGTGATGTATATTGCTCTGGATTGGTATTCAGCTGTTGTTTGCTTAGCATGAAAAACACATGGAGTTTTGGCTGGTAAAGTGCTTTTATAAGCCAGGCTTCTTTTGTGCTAAGCAATTTTTTTGGCTTAGCAGCGCCGTGAAATTGGGCCCAGGAGGTTAAGGTTTTTAACCCTCCTGCTGTTTAAAACGTCACAAACAGTCAAAGTTTCCTTCCACCTCCCCTGGTATACTTTTAACACACCGATGGGTCACTCGACCAATATTGACCCAAGTAACAGCATGGCTAAGAATGCATGTTTGCATAGGAGGAGCCTTATATTATAGTATCCATTACGTGAACAGCCCTTTAGAAAACCTAGATGGATTCACACATACTTTTCAACCCCAGTGGGGAGTCCTTGAGTAAACACACTTCACCCATGTCCAGCAAGATAATCCCCCTAATCACTTAAATAAACAACCTCCTGTGGACAACACAGCTGGCTGGGTGAGTGTTGGAACTACTTTCAATATGACCACATGGACATGTACATGTACATGTACATGTACATACACTGTATGTGCATCTGTATGTAATAATTGTTCTCTGTCATTACTTTATGGAATTTAACCGTTCAAAAAAGAAAACAAAATAACATTTCACACACGTAAATAATAAGATATTTATATGAATTTATATCAAGGTATTTAGTTGCAAAATTGTAAGCTGAATCGTTCAGGCATCTCTTATCACACTCATTATAGGATTAGTGGTGATAACAATCTTAATCCCCTGGGGCACACATGCACTCTCCCTTTAGAAAAGCTCCAAAAGTATGCGTGAGGACCCGACCAGTTGGTAGGTTTGGTCGGGTCGGCTCCTAAAGAGCTGGATCCGTCATGCCTAAACTGTTACCAATTCCGGTGGTGTGATCGCCGTTTGGCCCCGTGCCAGACGATGGCGTTCCTCCGACTTGTCTCGTCCACGTGAAATCGGCCGAGAGGTCGTCATTCCAAGAGCAGAGCGGGGTTTCAAAATCGCAGGAGACGTTGCCGATGTACAGTGCTGGGTCCGCTGTGCTTGGCATGACTATACGACCACAAAATAAACAAATAAAAATAAGTTTTTTTCGCAAGTCCTCATATAACACTTCACTGAATACACAGAGTTCATGAAATTATGTCAGTGAAAGTTTTAAACCAAATGTAGGATCTATGTCTTCTGCTAAATGAATGTGCTGATAATGAGTTTGCTAATAATCGATACAGGCCCCATTAGGGCTGTCCTTTTTTGGGATAATTTAGTATCTGGTTACTCGAAACTGCCTTTGACCGAATATTCAAATATTCCAAATTAATATACCTCATACATATTCATGATCGCGAGCCGAACTCTCACTGGTCAAATCACCATCACGTGGCAGATGTTATTTTTACTGTTTACACATGGGCGAGGATTTGCGCACAATGTATTAAAATACGTAGTATTTACACTGTAGTAGACTATCGCACGGGTTACCCGTGCGACAGTCTACTACGCATGCACTTTACAAAGCAATCGCCGAACTGTCGCATCGGTGTAGTTCGCACGAGCGAAAGTCGCCCAAGCGAGCTAGCTAGCTACACAATGCACATAGAGATGGTTGCACGGTCTTGATGGTATGCGTAAATGTTAATGTTCCCGAGCTCAATGATGCTGAACTGGAGAAAATTTAAGGACAATAAAAGAGTGTGCCAGTAAAAATTGTGTTGATCGATATGGGGCGCTGCAGCTTTTTGCAGTTGGCATTTTATAACTGTCAAGGGCTTTAAGGGCCCGTGACCATTCAGCCCCGGTATGAAAAGGGCCCCCCAGTAAGCTCGTCCCCTCCCAAGAAGTCCTCTCCTACCGTCCCAGCTACCAGCCCAGGAGCTGGTCCGGTTGCTAATCAGGAACTCCTCTATCCTGGGGTCTATTGTTTGCAAGTATTGACACATGTAATATATCCCAGAAGAAACCCGCTTGTGGTTTTCATCTCTCAGCGCAAAACAATAGAACACTTTCGTCGGCACAGATAAAAACCCCTGCCATGCGGTTTCGCGCACAATGGGACTGTAAATTACCAAGGCGTTATGGAAGGATTTTATCTTTAATCCGGTAAGTCTGCTATTGTTCTGCTCTGGACGTTCTCTGAAGGGCAATAAATTGATGTGCCTGACTGACTTCAAAACTTCTGGTCAGACAGGACCATGTACCGGACGAGACTGGGCTGAAGACCGGACTGGCTTTTGACCGGATGAGGTACCAGGGGGCCCTTTTCATACCAGGGCTGAATGGTCACGGTCCCTAACCTGCTAAAAGGATGGCAACAGTGAACTGATGTCGACAAAAAAAGTTACCCCCAACAAAAAAGTGGCACCTGATAATACAGCAGCGCAACTTTAGGATAAAATAGCATCACATGTGTGTGTATGTCTGTATTTGTTTTTGTTTTTGAATATTCAAACCGGCCAAAAGCTATTCTAATGTTCTGTTGGTGATGGAATATTCAAATATTTGACTGTTCCGGACATCCTTTGGTCTACAGTGCAAATCTTCATCAACACTGATTTTTTAAAAAGGTTTGGAAAATCAAAATTTAGGTTTTTCAAGCACCAAAATCTAGGCGTTTATAGGTTTTCGGGATGCAAACCTGTGCAATTCTTCAGCATGAGGTAGCAGAAATGTAGCAAAGTGGTTGACCTCAAGTTCTTCACGCTTAATAGTAAAGTCACCAATGTTATGCAAACGGCCAAATTCCGAAACACTAGCTTGTACAAAAATATTTTACAGAGGTAGGCCTATAAGTATATTGACAATGTGGATACAGTGGAATCTCGATAAGTCAAACCTTTGGGGAATTGGGTCAAATTTCAAGTTAAGTAGAGTCTTGAGTAATATCCAATGAATTTCTATTCAACAACAATTGACAGGAATAAGTTTTTACTTTGAGTTAGAAGGTTTTTTTGAGTGAACAGTTTTTGACTTGTCGAGATTTCACTCTATTTTGGAATTATCATAGATATTAGAACTGTGGGTCAAATTGAAACTTAACATTTTCTTGAAAAAAAAATGTTGAATAAGTATGCCGAATAAAAGGATTTTTGTCGGTTAGGCCAAAAAAAAAAAAAATACTCGGTCTCTGGTCAGCACGCGCGTCGATTTTAATCATGCGCGTCAACCTTTGGTTTTTTTTTTAATTAACACGGAAGCTACAACAGCGCCCTCTATTGCCGCGCCTCCTCACATTTTTGTACCAAGGAGCACCAAGGAATGGGGAAATTGCACCCAGGCAAATGATAAAGGGCACCAAGGCAAATTATGGAGGACACCAATGTATAATGAGGACGCAAAAAAGCAAAATAGTACCCACCTTGTCTGTACAATACAAGCTTGAAAAAAAAAAAAGCCACCAAAAAAAAAAAAAAAATCGCGTCGCCGCATCAATTCCGGAACTTCGGTCTGACCAGAGACCGACTATTTTTTTTTTTTGGCCTTATATAGGTTACTTGAGAAAAAAAACAGGCTCCCAACTTAACCATTTTTTATCTTTTAGGTTTTAAAGGTTTTGCTGCGAGGCCTGCCAATATGGAGATGATCCGTCGACTTACCTGAGCAGGCGTCGTTCGCAAACATCAAATCGTCGATGGCAATGTCGCCTTGGTAGCTGCCGCCCACCACGCCTTCGATCAAAATCTGAGCAAAAAGAAGAAAAAAAATAAAATCCAAAATCATTCTAAATTCAGAGAGAATAGAAGGACCAAAAAAGACCCAAGATGTCCGGAAAAAGAAAGAGAGAAATACGTGACAAAAAGTAGACAGGATTCGAAACCCAACTAATATTTTTCTTTCATTGGTTAATTAAAAAAGCAGACAGGATTCGAACCCACCAGATATTTCTCGTTTTACATCATTGGGTAATTTATAAAGCAGACAAGATTCGAACCCACCAGATATTTCTCGTTACATCATTAGGTAGGTTAAAAAGCAGAGGAGATTCGAACCCACCAGATATTTCTCGTTTTACATCATTGGGTAATTTAAAAAGCAGATGGGATTCGAACCCACCTTGTCTTTTTTTGTGACACCATTGGTTAATTTAAATAGCAGATGGGATTCAAACCCAGTATTTTTTTCATTACATCATTGGTTAGCATCATTGGTTAATTTTTATACCAGATGGGATTCGAACCCACCTGGTATTTCACATAACATCATTGATTAATTTTAAAAGCAGACAGGATTCGAACCCGCTTGGTATTTCTCATAACATCATTAGGTAATTTAAAAAGCAGACGGGATTCAAACCCACCTGGCATTTCTCGTAACATCATTGGTTAATTTAAATAGCAGACAGGATTCGAACCCGTCTGGTAATTCTTGTTACATCAGTGGTTATGTTAAACATCATGCACGATTCGTACCCACCTAAAACATCTCAGTATATCATCAGGTTAATGCATTAAATAAACTGGATTCGAACCCACCCGATTCCCAGTATGTTATTGGTTAAGATAAACAATCAGGATTCGAACCCACCTGGTATTTCTCCGTCTCCGGCACAGTGAAGTGGCCGTGCAGCCAGTCTGTGCCGTCCGCACTCTGCTGGCCGAAGAGAGCCCATTTCATCTCGGTGGTCTCGGCCGACGTGCCAACCTTTGTGGCGTAGGAGATTTTCAGCACGCCGATGTCGCTGCCGTACATGTGGTACCAGAAGTCGAAGCAGCTGGAGGTGGCGGTGGCATTGGCCTGCTGAATGGCACTGCGCAAGCGCGCCACCTCCCCGTCTCTCCGCGGACTCGAGGTTTCGATGTACATGTAGTACCCTGAGGAGAGATGAGGAAGCAGAGTCAATCACAAGCCATCACAAGTCCATCACAAGTCAGTCACAAGTCAATCACAAGTCATCACAAGTCAATCTCAATTATGTCACAAGTCAAACGTAAGTCATCATATAAATCAATCACAAGTCAGTCACAAGACAATCACAAGTCCATCGCAAGTCCATCACAAGTCAGTCACAAATCAGTCACAAGTCAGTGACAAGTCAATCACAAGTCAGTCACAAGTCAATCACGAGTCGATCAGAAGTCAGTCACAAGTCAATCGCAAGTCAGTCGCAAGTCAGTCACAAGTCAATCACAATTCAACCACAAGTCTATCACAGTCCATAACAAGTCCAACACAAGTCAATCACAAGTCAATCAGAAGTCGATCAGAAGTCAATCACAAGTCAGTCACAAGTCAATCACAATTCAACCACAAAAGTCCATCACAAGTCCATCACAAGTCAGTCACAAGTCAGTCACAAGTCAGTCATGAGTCAGTCACAAGTCAGTCACAAGTCAGTCACGAGTCAGTTACGAGTCAGTCACGAGTCAGTCACAACTCCATCACAACTCCATCACAAGTCAGTCAGAAGTCGATCAGAAGTCAGTCACAAGTCAGTCACAAGTCACTCGCAAGTCAGTCACAAGTCAGTCAAGAGTCAGTCACAAGTCAGTCACAAGTCCATCACAAGTCAGTCACAAGTTAGTCACAAGTAAGTCACAAGTAAATCACAAGTCAGTCACAAGTAACCAGCACGAAAAATAACAAAGGAATGCCTTCGTCACAGTTCATTTAAAAGCTTGTGACGACTTCATCACGAATTAAGCAAAGACGGCTTATCTGAACAATAGCTAGGACAACACTTATAAGCCATTGAAGGGGGCCTTCATGATAGAATTGACAGCCTGCCCAAATTGCACTGTACCACCAAAAGCTGCCCCAGCAATGAATGTTTTTTATATGGATTCGTCAATCAGTAAATACAATGTATTACAAAGTTACACAGATGATAGTTGTAGTCAGATGCTAATTTGATCCTTACCGTTATTTGTGCCGAGGGTGTGGTCAACGGAGGGCCCCGTGAAAGAGGAGTCCGTTGACCCCTGCAGGATCACCCAATCAAAATTGTCGTTCAGGTCGTTGGTCCAATCGCACTGGCCGGACTCAAAATCACAGAATGCTGAAAAATTGGGGGGGGGGGGTTAAACTACTAATAATCGACCAAAAAGTCAGAGATGCAAGGAGGAGTTTTAATCATTTTAATTTTCTTCTTTTTTTAAATAATAGAAATTTACTCACACTAACTGTTGGTTAAAGGTAATATGCAACATTTGCTTTTGCTGTAAGTTTCAGAAATGGATGGATTTGGGCGTTAGTATTTTATAGCAAATATTGTTACACTTGACCTGTTTTCAAGTTTTGTGTTCGTAGATGCTGGAAAAACCAACAATAAAATGCTGTTCTTGTAGTCTGGTTCCCTGACCCTACTTCAGACAAAACTGAGCAATTTATAGACGTCGGGCTTACACCCGTTCACGAATGTGGAACTGATTGCAAACAAATGTGGACTAACAAAGTTTGGTAAACTGGGGGCAGTATTTAAATAAAAGTTTCTTTCAAACAATGGAAGGCCGACAAAAATTCCACTTTTCTTGTAATGACAGCATACCAGGTGCCATAATTGCACAGGTTGATTGAGACCATTAATCACTTACAGAATTTGGTAGTTTTGTTTCTTGATGTTTGCAAATGTTTTTGTAAAGGCTAATGCTGTGCAAACCCAGCCCAAAACCGAAACTGACTGACCCTAAACCGACTGCTTTTCGTGCATTGTTTTTTAAGGTTTCCGATAATAACACCACTCAAAATCCAAAGAATGTTAAAAAAAAAAAACTAAATAAGGCCAAAAAAAAAAAGTCTCTGGTTTCTGGTATGGAGCTTGTCCAAAAAGTGGTGCGGCGACGCGGCTTTTTTTTTACCCGACTTTTTTTTTTTTTACCCGACTTTTTTGCTTCAAATGTCGGCTGATGACTGCAAATGGTGCCCGACTAAACTTAGTGCAAATATATGGGAGTCCAGAGAGGCCACATAAAGCTTATTCTCGATCACAACCCCATCTAAAAACACGTTGAAATTGCGCAGCAGCAGAATTCCAGTCAAACCAGTGAGTTTGGCGGTTTTGAGACATCATCTTTCATTGAAAAAAATCTTTTTCATTTTGCCGACGCGCATGGCTACGGGGACGCGCGCGCATACCAGAAACCGGAGACTTTTTTTTTTGGCCTAAAGGTAAATATCACACTTTTTGAGAAAACAGTGAAAAGTCATGCACAACATTTTCATCACGAAACACGATTTACGTCAATAGAACTCTTCATTTTCAACAATTAGTCAATGGCCTAATTGTTTGAAATCACCTACATTTCTTGATTTCTTCTAAATGACAGCAAGCCAGAGACAGAGAACAATTTCACAGGGTGTCTAGTACCAGAACAATCTTTAATCCAAAAAAAGCTTTTTGGTAATAATTTGCTAGGTTACTTTTGGGATATTAATGCAAATGATCCTATGTGCCTTTAATTCAGTCTCTGTGCAACGGGCAATCTTTAGAATAAACCGTGAATAAGTGAATGGATATATGAATGAAGAACGGACTACATTTGGGCAATATAACCTACTATTTATTGGACAGCTCCCGGTAGTGTGGTAGACGTCGTCGATGGCGATATCACTGCGGGGTCCTGAGCCGATGACAGCCTCAAATATGAGCCTGAAGGCCAAGACTTCGGTGACTTCGAAGTATTCCTTATACCACTGGTTGCCCGTGTCGCCCGTCTGGGTCCAGCGGAGTGTGTCGGTGTTGAAGGTCTTGGACTGTGCAGTAAAAAAACAAGAAGCATAAAAGGATGAGACTTAGTTTCATTTTTAATAAACACAAACGTATGGGGAGTGTAGCCTAGCGGTAAAGGTTCACGACTTTAAGCATCGTCTATATCAGAATTTTTAATAACTGATATATCAGAAATCCCATATCGAGAATATTCAATATATCGATTATCCCATGTGAAAGTCCAAGACCATAAAGATGACACTTTCATAAAAAGAAGAAGAAGTAAGTCCCAATTTTCCATGGCCTTATAATAATACCGGAGTCTTATAAAGCGCAAGTATCTACCAACATTTAGGTACTCAAGGCGCTGGAAATTATGTCAATTATTAAAGAAAGGTAAATCAAGTTTATGAGAAATATGAGACCCATTATGTAGCATCTTATAATGGTTTACAAGGTGCTGCGGCGCATACTGCAGCCACTGCCAAAAACACCGGGGCAAACCCCTTCTCTTAGCATTAAGTGTTACTTGGTTCTTTAACGTGCATTACACAACACACAGGACCTGCGGCTTGACGTCCCATCCGAAGGACGAAGCAATAATGGTAAAGTGCCTTGCTCAAGAGCACAAGCACCTTGTTCCCATGGACAGGATTCGAACCCGTGTACCACGGCACACGAGTCAAGCACCGTAACCATTGGACCAAAGTGCCCCACAGCCCCTTCTCTGGATATGAATTGAGATGGGCCCAAAGCGGGACAGTGCATCAAGTTTTGATTTGTTGCCTCACCCTGATGTTCAGCGTTCCCATCTGGTCTCCGTACATGTGATAATCGAAGTAGAAACAGTGGGTGTTGATACCGGGCGTGATCTGGTACTCCGGGGAGATAAACCAGGCCTTCTTACCGATGTTGCCCTGGCCTTCTGCGAACATGTACTTGCCTGGAATTAAAAAAAAAGGGGTAGTAAAATTGTGCATATAACTTGACAGGGGGAGTGTGGCCTAGTGGTTCAGGTCTGTGACTCATGATTAAAGGGTCAGGGGTTCAAATCCAGCTGCTGGTCATATGTTGTGTCCCTGGGCAAGCCACTTCATCCCCATTTGCCCCTCTCCACCCAGGAATATAAATGGGTGCCGGCATTAGCTGGGGAGTAGAAATATTCTCAGTCGTTTCATGCTGCTGAGAACGGAGATAAACCATTTTACATACAAACTGACAACCACAATTTTTCTTTTTTTCGAAAAAATTATGTTTTGTCTTATAATTATTTTTGACGAATGCAAACTCACCGGCGCTGGTCTGATACGAGTGGTCGGTTGTTGGCCCGGTATTCCCGGTCGGGGTCGGGCCGCTCCGCTGCAGCCAATCAAAATCGTCGTTCACTGTTTCCTGCGTGTACTGGCAAAAGTGGGCGTCCTCAAACTCACACAGGTCCCGCACTTGGAAAAAGCAAAGGTCACAAAGGTCACCAAGGTCGCTAAGGTCACCAAGGTCAAAAGGTCGCCAAGGTCACCGGGGTCGTCAAGGACCCCAAGGTTGCCCGAGTTGCCGAAGTTCCCAAGGACGTCCGAGTTGCCAATTCACCAAGGTCACCAAGGTCCCAAAGGTCACCAAGGTCACCATGGTCACCAAGGTCACTTGGGTCAATTCACCAATGTCACCAAGGTCCCAAAGGTCACCAAGGTCACCATGGTCACTTGGGTCAATTCACCAAGGTCACCAAGGTCACCAAGGTCGCTAAGGTCACCAAGGTCAAAAGGTTACCAAGGTCACCAGGGTTACCAAGGTCAAGGTTATTATATATCCATTAGGAAGCACTCACTGTAATTTACATTTGACTTTTTCGTAAAAAAATTACCAAGACTTTTGTAAACTTTACAACGAACATTGAGTCCTGCGCAGTTAGCCAGTACAAAAACTTCCAAATTCGTCGAGTTTGGAATAAAGAAATATAAAGATCATTGCATAATTATTGAATAAAAATCTGAATTCATTATAAACAGGAACAAAGGTAGAGAGGCAACATTTTTAATCCCTTTTTATAAAATACAAAAAAATAGTGGAGGATTGTTTTTCCAAAATATGCTTCAATGTACAGACCTCTTGTAAGCCAATTTTTATGTTTAAATCATTTTAATTCTGTGCAGCCGTTAAAGCCAACATTGATTGCTACGTACCTGGGCACAATCCGTTGGTAACCGTGATGTCATCCAGAGCTATGTCCCCTCTGAAGCTGCTGCCGACGATGCCTTCAAAGACAATCTACGAGGTTAAAGAGACTATGGTTATCTTAATCCAATCTAGAGATTAACCAACTAAATCTACAGATTAACCTTCTGTATTTGAAAATTATTTTTTTTTAATGAGCTTATACCTTCTTGATCCAAAACTGAAACCCTCTTAATCTGAATGTTGAGCCGTCCTAATCTAAAGGTTGAGCCTTCTTAATCCAAAGATTCACTTTTCTTATGTTTTCGTTGCTTGCAGACCCACATACACGCATTGCTTTCGCCTTACCTGAATGGGCATGGACGGTATACCCATGATGTCGCCCAGGTACCAGTTGTCGTCCCTGGTACCCGTGCGCGTCCACTCCAGCGAGCTGCCGGTCGAGTCCTTGACGTAGACGTTCAGCTGGTTCACGTGGTCGCCGTACATGTGGAACCAGAACGTCACGCATTTGTAGGTGGCCTGCGAGGCCGTAATGGCCGGGCTCTCCAGTCGGGCTTTGTAGCCGGACGGTTTTCCCGACACCTCGATGTAGACGTAATAACCAGCGCCTTCACGGGAAATAAATTGGAGCAATGAAGTTCAGCAGCTGTTTTTACAAATTGGAACGTATTTTTTGCTACTTTCTCATTCTCTTAAGAGTATGAAAACTAATTTACATCCCTTTTTGGTTAATTTTACTAAAAGTGCACTTCTTTATTAGTCCATAATTTGCAGCCCGAAAAGTAACTGGCGTAATTATTGTTGAAAAACATACTTGGTTGAAAGATAGTAAGGGGACTACACTCCCTGTGAAATTATTCTTTCTGGCAAGCTGTCAGTTTGAAGTCATCAACGAAAAAAGGCCTTTCCAACAGTGCGTCTTCAGACGCACCGTAGGAAAATTTAAATTAGTAGTTCATTTTGTTATTCGGCGAAGCGCGCACAAGCATTGGCACGACGCACACGCGTGCGCAGTTGCTATAATTTGTCGGATCAGTGCGCAGCATCACGTATAGCTGCAAACGGCTCAGTGAGAACGTGTCTCAGACGCTGAATTCAGGCCCAATTCAAAACATGATTCAACAACTTTTGATTTGAAATTGAGGTCCTAGAATGCTGTTTTTCTCGGAATATACAGCTGAAGCTGAGCTGAAGCTGAGCTGAAGCTGAGCTGAAACTTCATCAGGTTAGTTGTTCAGTATCCTTCATTAGATTTTGAACACTTTTGTTGCTTCAAACGAACAAAATGCACACATTACAAATGATGGACTATATCTTTCAACATTTAAAATTCTCCATGCTTTTCCAGACAACTGAGGGCGCTTTTTCCGTGATGTCATCACAGTAATAAATTCACATGTTACATGCCTACAAATGGAACAGGAACGCGCAACATCTGAGACAAACAAAACTTCGCGTACAAAAATTCCATAGGGTTGTCTAAGGGGCGTGGCTAACTCGCAAACGGCGATAGGTTAATTGAGTGCAGGTCACGTACGGTTAATTTCGAACTTACTGGTTCCCAGGGTGTGATCCACTGAAGGGCCTGTGCTTGAGGAAGACGTGCCGCCGTTGTCTCTCGTCCAATCAAAATCATCGTCGGTTGCGTCGGTGTATTGGCACAGATCTTGTTCAAAGTCGCAATCGTAACTCGTGGGCCCTGGCAAGAGTGTTAGAAAAAAAACCATCATCAAAAATTATTCTCTTTCAAACGCAATTTAAAAGTTGAGTACAGAGGGGTTTGAACCTGCTACCTCTAGAGTGCCGTTCCCCTGCTCTACCAACTGAGCTATCCAGCCCTATGCTGGTGGTTCCCATCTTGTCAATGAGCGCTAGTAAGAAGCCACAAAAAATATATGCCACATGTAAACCAAGATGTAAATGTGGCCACCTGTCCGTTGTGGCCACCTGTCCATTATGGCCACCTGTTCATTGTGGCAAAATGTCCATTGTGGCCAACTCTCTGTTATGGCCTCTTGTCCATTTTGGCCATTAGTTTGTTGTGGCCGCCTGTCCATTGTGGCCATTAGTCTGTTGTGGACAACTGTCCGTTATGGCTACTTGTCCATTGTGGCCACCTGTCCATTGTGGCCACCTGTCCATTATGGCCACCTGTCCATTATGGCCACCTGTTCATTGTGGCAACCTGTCCATTGTGGCCAACTGTCCGTTATGGCCTCTTGTTTGTTGTGGCTATCAGTCTGTTGTGGCCACCTGTCCATTATGGCTACCTGTCCATTGTTGCAACCTGTCCATTGTGGCCAAATGTCCGTTATGGCCTCTTGTTTGTTGTGGCTATCAGTCTGTTGTGGCCACCTGTCCATTATGGCTACCTGTTCATTGTGGCAACCTGTCCATTGTGGCCAACTGTCCGTTATGGCCTCTTGTTTGTTGTGGCTATCAGTCTATTGTGGCCACCTGTCCATTATGGCTACCTGTGCATTGTTGCAACCTGTCCACTGTGGCCAAATGTCCGTTATGGCCTCTTGTCCGTTGTGGCTACCTGTCCATGGTGGCCACCTGTCCACTGTGGCCAACTGTCCTTTATGGCATTATTCAGGTTGCAATCTATAGTTTTATGTATACTTACAGACGGTCGTTGGCGGAGGTGGGTGAGTTGGCAAAGTCGCCCCCTGATCAGCGGCGCTGGGTTGAACTAGAAAACAGGGACAGAGTGCACCAACGCATGGCAGACAATTAAAGAAAGTCTTTGAGAATTCAGATCTTCAAACTCTTCCTCGGCTTTGTGTTCATTGGATAGCACTCAAGAAATACTGAATACGTTTCACTGGAAATGGTGAATTAAAGGGAATTCCCTCTTTTCACACTTCCGCCATGGGCATGCAGAGCCTCGAACTGGCAACTTTACAAAATAAATATAGCCGATTCAGTGATTCCGGTGTCGGGGTTCAGATCACTGAACCGGTTATTTTTATTGTGTAAAGTTGGCAGATCGAGGCTCTGCATGCCCAATGGCGGAGTGTGAAAAGAGCGAATATACATTTGCTTTTGCTGCAATTTTCAGAAATAAATGGATTTGGAGGATTAGTATGTTATAGCAATTATTGTTAAACTGACTTGTTTCATGTTTTGGGCTTTTAGATGCTGGACAAACCCAGATAAACAACTATATAGTCTGATTCCCTGCCCCCCCCCCCCCCCCCCCACTTGAGATGGAATGGAGCAATGAAATGATAGACTTTGGGGAATTGTAAGGTCAGAGAGAATCAGTCTAGCAGGCTTGTACCCCTTCACAGGTGTGTCATCAATTGCAAAAAAATGCAGAATAACCAAATATGATAAAATTAGGAGCAGTTTTGTAAAAAAAAAAGCCAGTTTTCTCCAACGCTGGTCAGCCAACCAGCGTTGGAAAAAACACAACTTTTCTTGAAAATGTCAGCACACCAGGAGCCACGATTTCACAGGGTGCTTTAGACTGTCATTCCCTAACAATCCAGTAAGATATTTCGTGATAATTTGATCATTTCGAATTTTTTTATGTTTGCAAATGTTGTATCTTCCCTTTAAGTTGTTGATTTTTATTTGGGCTGAAGCGGTGTATGATTAAAACAAAGACTTTAAAGAAAGGTTTTGAGTTAATTTTAGAGTGTACCTCCACACAGGGTTTCTTTGAACTCGATGTCATCCAGCGCGATATCGCCGTCGTAACTTCCTCCAATAATGCCCCTAAATTGCATCTGAATTGTGGAAGCAATAGTAAAAACAATATTTGACAAAACACTGGGAAAAAAACACAAATTTGGAATCTATGAAATTTTGGAACATAGGAAAGTTAAATTTTGCGAAAAAGAAAATATGAAAAATCATTGTCTCTTAATGGACAGAAAACTTCAGATCCGGAATCTTCATGGAATAAAATGCCATTTTGTATTCGTAACTGTTAAAAAGGACAGGCTTCAATATTGAGTCTACAAATAAAAAAACGTTTCCTATTATACTTTTCCCAATCCCAGTGTCCAGCCTCCATCTCATTATGTGGGGCTTTGTTGGAGATCAGGTACCTGATCATTCTTCCAAACCTAGTTTCCAACCTCCACCGCCTTACAAGTGGGTTCTGTTGAAGACCTGGAGCCTGACTTTGTTTTCTTCAACAAAACCTAGTTTCCCAGCTCAATCTCACAGTATGTGGGTTGTAGTAAGAGACCAGGTACCTAGCCATCCTTCGAAACCTAGTTCCCAGCCTTCCCTCAGCCTTATTCTGGTGTGTAATGGAGTCCAGGGACCCGACCGTTCTTCCATACCTAGTTCCCAACCTCCCCCTCACCTTATACGCGTTAGGGTTGGAGACGGGCAACTGACCCTCCAACCAAACGTCGCCAAAGGCGGTGTCCAGCTCCCAGAAGAGGGTGGTCAGGCCGTCGGCTGGGTTCTCGGTGAGGACCTGCAGCTTGCCGATGTTGTTGCCGTACATGTGGTACCAGAAGGTCAGGCAGCGGCCCGTGGGAGAGGTCGGGGGTAGGGCCTGGGACTTCCAGATGGCTCGCTCCCCTTGCTTCCTCGGATAAGATGCTTCGATGTACTTGTAGACACCTATAGAGAAAAACATCAAAACACTGCAAGTAAACTTAGGCGGGCGGGCTAAATACCCCCTGTTCATTTACCGTGGGACGGTATTGTTATTGAGGAAATGTGGGACCCTTCAAGCCAAAGCGGGAGACGGTCCACGCATGAACGCACACGGTACAGCCGTGCATGGTGACGGTTTGCAGTGGGGCTTGTATGTTTAGGGCAGACAAAAGATCAGAGGATTAGCAATGTACCAGGTCTTTGCGGTCGGTGAGTAGAAGCCGCCACTGATGGGTATGAAACCGCAGGATTCATGGTTAAGAAAATGGTTATTTGTAGCGGGAGCCGGCAGTGCCAACCGTGGGACGGTTTGTAGAAACAGGTCACCCACGTTCTTTTTAAGCGGGAGCCGATAAAAGAGGGGCTCAATTGAAAGCGGCTCCCGGTAAGTGAACAGGGGGTATTTAGCCTGTCCACCTTAAGTCAAACTTGCGTGATCCCCCTGGCATGCTGGCAGTTGGTAAACATGTACAGGCTAGTTTAAGCCGTGGCCTCATGGTCTCGGGCATTGAATTTGTGGTCTGCCGGTAATTTTGTAAGTTATGGGTTCGAGTCCAGCCTGGGTTCATGGTGCATGTGCCCTTGGGCAAGGCACTTTGTCACTCATTGCTTCTCCCCACCCAGGAGTAAATGGGTACCTGTGAGGGCAGAGATGGTTATTGTGATTGAATTAGCTTCCTTGCGCCTAACAGGCAGCATCCAGCTGTATACTCCCCAGGGAGCTGAGATGGTATTTAGAATGTTTAAATGGCCTAGTGAGCAGAGGTAATGATAATGTAAAGCGCTTTGATCTTAGTTAAAAGCGCTATATAAAAACCCTTTATTATTATTTTATTGTTATTATTATTTTTATATGTCTAAATATGGTCTAAAAGCTAACAACACTGAAGTAAAATACAAAGGAATTTTATATTCTTTTACAAATTGAAACTGTCTAAAAGTTGTTTTAACTTAAAAACAACAAATAGTGTGTTTTAGACGTTAAAGTTAAAGCCGTGAATGGTGTTAGGACCTTTTTGCTTTCAACCTACAACTGGCAAAAGAACACATTTGTGGGGAAAAAACAGAGAAAAGATGAAAAATGACCTGTTGATGTTCCATAGGTGTGGTCAACTGATGGTCCCGTGTTGGAACTGGGCGTGCCCCCGGCACCGTCGATCCAATCAAATTCGTCCGACGTCAAGTCATTCACCCAGGTGCAACCGCTGGCGTCGTCAAAATTGCAGCTGTCTGCTCAGTTTGAAAGAGCAAGCGAAGAAATTTACTTGAGAGATGAAGAAATGGGGCAGTCGCATCTTAAGTACTTGTGATGGATAACAAGTCTATCACAAGTCAATTACAAGTCAATTACAACTCCGTCCCAAGTCATACAGACCCAAAAGAATTCCTTTCTGACAATGCAGTGCGCCACCAAGAGTTTGCCACGGAGAGTTATTTTTCCCAGTGCCTTGTGGGAGATGGTCGACAAATTTGCAGTGCAGGACATTTGAAATTGTTAGTTTTCCGGTCAGTAGTTTCTTAGCGTATGATTCAAGTATATGTTTGCCCTTTTCTTTTCTTTATATCAGTATGGTGTTTTTTTGCAAGACGGCAGAATGCTATGCCCCAATCTATGACAAATTAGCTCAAGTTGTCTACTGAAACTCATCAAACGGGCCATGTGTTGTCGACGGTAAACCTGAAGAATGGACTCTTCATGGCAAACTCTTGGTGGCGCACTGCATCCTGAATTGCCCAAATTGACTTTTGATCCACTTGTGACCACGATTTACTTGTGACCAGACTAGCTTTGTACCTGTGACTGGACTTGCGATGTACACATGATCCAGACTTCTGATTTACTTATGATCTCGACTTGTGATCTACTTGTGACCACCATTTACTTGTGACCAGACTTGCGATGTGCTTGTGACTGGACTTGCGATGTACACATGATCCAGACTTGTGATTTACTTATGATCCCGACTTGTGATCTACTAACGATCCCGACTTGTGATCTACTTGTGACCAGACTTGTATTTGATTAAGGTTCAAACTTGTGATCTACTTACGATCCAGCTTGTGATTTACTTATGATCCAGACTTGTGATTTACTTGTGATCCAGACTTGTGATCTACTTATAATCCCGACTTGTGATCCACTTGTGACTGGACTTGTGATCTACTTACGATCCAGCTTGTGATTTACTTGTGATCCAGACTTGTGATCTACTTATGATCCAGCTTGTGATTTACTTATGGTCAACACTTGTGATTCACTTATGATCCAGACTTGGGATTTACTTAGGATCCATATTTGTGATCTACTTGTGTTAGAGTTGTAATGAGTCACTGAATTCTGTGACTTCTGAGTTGAGTTGAGTCATTTTAAGGAAGTGACTCAAGTCGAGTCGAGTTATTAGGCCAATTTGTGCTAAAAAGAAAGCGGATTCTAACCGACTGGTGGACAAGTCCCGGAGAAGATCTGCACGTCGTCGATGGCAATGTCTCCCTGGTCCCCATTACCCACAGTGGCCTCAAATACGATCTGGTAGTCATTGAACGTAACGAAGGGGAACCGGCCAATGTTCCAAATGTCGCCGAGATTGCCGTTAATGCTGAAGTAGTTGTGGGAATACTTGTCGTTCTCCTGAAGGTAAATAAAACGCACACAAAAATGCAAGAAGAAACCACACTAAAATGGAAATGTGCGGTAATTACCCCAAATAATTAAGGGATACTTTAAATTTGTTTTTGGCATATTCATGGTGCTTGTGTCCCCAGGCATGACACCTTACTACAATTTTAAAGTAAATTCCCTCAAAAGTGCTTACAAATTTAAGGTATAGTTAAAATTTGTTTTCCACTTTTAAATTCTTAGTTTTACTACACAGCTGATTGCTGTGGTCCGACGGATAACATGGTTCTGAGTATATACATGGTGCTTTGTGTTCCTAGGCATGACACATTACTCCAATTTTAAGGTACATTCCCTCAAAAGTGCTCCTTTGACTGTGAGCTCATTCTTCCGAGCGACGGATACCTTGATGAAGACATTGAAACTGCCGATGTGCTGGCCCCTCATGTGGTAGTAGAACTCCACGCAGTGGCCCTGCGCCGCCAGGAAGGTCCCTGTCATGATCCAGGCTTTGTCTCCGTCCTTCTGGGGATCGGCGTTGATGTACAGGTACTGGCCTGGAAGGGGGGCGAACGGTGGAGGAACAGTTAGGGATGTGCCGGATACAGGATGAGTAAAAAAAAAAGCGGGACCCAAACCCCCCCAAAAATGTACTTCATACTTAAAAAAATATGTGGCACCAAAAATAATAATGACTGGAAAGCCAATGTCATAAACTAATTTAAGATGAAAGAAATTGCTCTATCCGTTCAAAGAATATCGCCAATAAACACAATGGCCCTAAAACCTGTTTTGTCAACAACAACAAAAGCAATTCATTGAGTGTTCTGACAGTTTGGAACAACAAAACAAATGACAAAGAGTACTTGTTTCAATAACTGTAGTACACAATTTCTTTATGAACAACCCTGCTTTTGACAATATGATGTATAAAATCCACACTTCTTTTTCAAAGACGGGCCTTCAAAAGGCCTTTTTTTTCACTTTTAAACTGTGGTTCTATCGCTGGTGATGTTTGAAGACAATTGTGAAGACGATTCCTGAAACAGCATTTTTGGACGAAAGAGGTTTGAGGGTCATTGTGTTGAAATGGTAATATACTTTAAAAACATTGAGCAATTAAAGTGATTGTTTAATCTAAAAGTAGTTTATGAAATTGGCTTTCGCGTCAGCGCTGTGCTCCTATGAGCTCTGTGCGCTACCAAAAGAGGGCGCTCTTTTACCTAGCAACGACGTCCCATGGGCGGGACATTTCACTGGTTGACGCGCACTGTTCCTTTGTGTGTAACGCACGTACACCAGGGGATTTGTTCTATGTACACACAGGGGCCGCGCTTCGCAGCAAATGAATTGCAGTCAGGCAAGATGGCGTCGGTTGGTCACCCCCAACTGTACTCTCTTTGCCGGTGAGGGGGTACTTGTGAACGGAGCGGATATGGTTACAGTGTCTGACTCATGTGTGGCGTTACATGTTTCTCGAACCCTGACTGGTAACACGGTGCTTGTGTTCTTGGGCAAGACACTTTACTACAATTGTATCTCTCCGCCCAATGAGTATAAAATGGGGAACCTGCGTAAGTAGAGACCAGATTGCGCTGATCTCGAGCTGCTGCAGAAAACTGGTCTCATGGCCTGATGAACAGGGGTAATAACAGTAAAGTGCTTGGGGACTATAGCACCACATTATGACTATCATATGTGTGCTTGGGAGGTGTTAAACACTATGTTTAAGACTGGTTGGAGTCTGGAATGCTGATAATTACCCGAGGCGAAGCGAAGATTTATGGATTAAGGTTAAAGGTACACTTTTGTCATAAAGTGTTCTGGTGTTTAAAGATATAGTCCATCATTTGTAATTTGTGCATTTTGTTCGTTTGAAGCAACAAAAGTGTTCAAAATCTAATGAAGGATACTGAACAACTAACCCGATGAACTTTTAGCTCAGCTTCAGCTGCATATTCCGAGAAAAACAGCATTCTAGGATCTCAATTTCAAATCAAAAGTTGCTGAATCATGTTTTAAATTGGGCCTGAATTCAGCGTCCGAGACGCGTTCTCACTGAGCCGATTGCAGCTACGCGATGTCGCGCACTGATCCGACAAATTATAGCAACCACGCGCGCGTGTGCGTCGTGCCAATGCTTGCGTGCGCTTCGCCGAATAACAAACGAACTACTAATTTAAATTTTCCTACGGTGCGTCTTAAGATGCACCGTTGGAAAGGCCTTCTTTCGTTGATTACTTCAAAATGACAGCTTGCCAGAAAGAATAATTTCACAGGGAGTTTAGTCCCCTTACTATCTTTCAACCAAGTATGTTTTTCAACAATAATTACGCCAGTTACTTTTCGGATGGCTGCAAATGATGGACTATAGCTTTAAGGCATGATAATCTTGTTGCGAATCTTAAATAATTCCTAAGTTCTCTATAAGAGGAAGGCACCAGACTATTTCTCACCGCTTCCAGTTCCCAGAGTGTGATCCGTGGCCGGTCCGGTACCAAAGGTCACAGTGTCGCCTGAGCCCAGTCCCCAGTCGAAGTTGTCGTTGCCCGAGGTGGAATCTTCCTGCGCCCAGCCACAGGGTACGAAGCCCTGCTCAAAGTCGCAGGATAGCGGGGAGGAGCCCGGCGTTTTTGTGGCTGAAAGAAAATAGAGCATATCATTGTTAACTGACAGTTTATTGACTGGCGTATATTGACCGGCATATATTGAATGGCATATTATACAAATATTGAATGCTTCGAGTGGTGTAGTAAAACTAGCCTCCCGAGGTGATCCATGGCCATTCTATTTTCCCAAGGCGAAGCCGAGGGAAAATAGAATGCTCCATGGATCACCGAGGGAGGCTAGTTTTACTTCACCACGAGATAAAGCATTCAGTATTTGTTTTATAACACTTCACCCACAGATTCTGCTTGGTTAAAATATTTAAATTATTTAAATCTGAACACAGTTGAAATAAACTTCAATTTCAATGCAAAACTGGAGGAGAATGTATTTCTCTCTTCCAAACTACCCCTTCGCGAAATGTTTGAACCCAACTCTGCGGCGCGCTCTCTTTGGAACAAAACGCGCTGCGTGCTACGCGCAACGCGCACACCAGCATGCATTTGCACACAAATACCGCAGCGTGGAAATAGCACTTTGGTTGCTAATGGTATAGTACTTTGGTTGCTACGGGTATAGTACTTTTGGCGGTGCACAGAAAGATAGCAAAAATGGAAAGTATCATGTGACTCGCTCTCGGCCAATCAAGACAAAGAATCTGTGGGTGAGGTGTTATAAATATAAATAAAGTACAAAGTTATGCAATTTATGACAAGTGATACCGAAAAAAAAGTTGCACCTTTGTATACGTGCAAGGTGAGTGTGAACCACAATTTGCACGTATACAAAAGTGCAACTGTTTTCGGTATCATTTGTCATAAATTGCATAAATTCATACACATTATCACTGTTTTGGGCCAAATAAAGAGTATGGCTGGATTGCCTAGGAATTTCTGTACTGCTAAGTCGTTTTTTGAGCGAGAGGTAAAGTTTCGGAAGGGAGACTTTCTTTTTTGGTTGAGTGTAGTTGCATACTGACTGGTTGTGTACCAGTGCAGTATGTTGGCCAGAAAAGTGAAATATCAACAGTAGATTGACTGGTATATATTGACTGGTACCTATTGAACGGCTTATATTGACTGGCACGATAGTGAGTACTTACGGATGGGGCATGACTTTCCGTCCACCATTATATCATCGATGGCAATATCGCTGCTTTGTGTCTTTCCAATCTCAGCTTCAAAAACCACCTGCAGAATATCAAAGTAAAATATCAGAGGAATTTCTGACATCTTCATTTTGTCGTGTCCGTGCAACCAGGTCGTATCTCCTAAAATGACGTCATGTACACAAGGCCAAAAAAAAAATAGTCTCCGGTTTCTGGTATGGAGCTTGCCCAAAAAGTGGTGCGGTGACGCGGCTTTTTTTTTTTTTTACCTGATTTTTTTTGCTTCAAATGTCGGTTGATGACTGCAAATGGTGCCGGACTAAACTTAGTGCAAACATATGGGAGTCCAGAGAGGCCACATATTCTCGACCATAACCCAATCTAAAAACACGTTAAAATTGTGCAGCAGTAGGATTCCAGTCAAACCAGTGAGTTTGGCGGTTTTGAGACATCATCTTTCATTGGAAAAAAAACTTCTTCATTTTGCTGATGCGCATGGCTACGGCGACACGCGTGCATACCAGAAACTGGAGACTTTTTATTTTTGGCCTAAGAGGAGGGTTTTCAATGTCAAAAGGTCGTATGTCGCTTAAAATAACCCGGATGTAAACACAAAGTCAATGGACGTTGTGACACGCGAGATACAACCTTGTTGCACGGGGTGTATTTGCGCAAGACTTTGTTGCAGAATCGTGTTTTGCACTGACACGACAATTTCCTTTATTTGAATTCCACATCACTATTCAACTTAAAACCACATTCATAATATTGGGATTTTCCCCTCTAATAATGAAATTATATTATAGAAATAATGAAGGTTTATGAGTGCAATGGTAAGAATAATTTTTATAAGGTGACAGATGGAACGTTCCATTCCATGAGGCAAAGCTGAGCGGAATGGAAGATTCCATCGTGATCGACTCGTTGTTGACTTGTGAGTGACCTTTGACTAAACTTGTTCTTCTACTACACTCAACCAAAAAGAAAGTCCCACCCATCCAATACTTTTTTGTCTAACTCAAAAACTACTGAGCACCTCTCGCTCAAATAACGACTAATCAGTACAGAAATTCTAATAGCAATCCGGCCATACTCTTTATTTGGCCCAAAACAGTGATAATGTGTACGAATTTATGCAAATGATGACAAATGATACCGAAAACGATTGCACTTTTGTATACCTGCAAGTTGTGGTTAACACTCACCTTGCACATATACAAAAGTGGAACTTTTTTCGGTACCATTTGTCATAAATTGCATAATTGTGTACACATTATCAGTGTTTTGGGCCAAACAAAGAGTATGGCTGGATTGCTAAGGAATTTCTGTACTGATCAGTCGTAATTTGAGCAAGATGTGCCCAGTAGTTTTTGAGTTAGACAAAAAAGTATTAACGGGGGACTTTCTTTGTTGGTTGAGTCTGGTATATCATTTGAGTTGTGATCTGCTTGTGATACGAGTTGTGAATTTGACTTGTAATGGACTTGTGACTGACTCACGATGTGACATGCGACATAAAGTTCTTGTCATAAACTTTTTTCAAGTGGAGTGCTGTGGTCCAATAGTTAAAGTGTTCAACTCATGTACCTTAATAAATAACCGACATACAGATCCTGGTCATTTGATTGGTGGAACTCACATCATGTGACATTCGTAATTGCTCCCATTCACACCGAGACTCAAAAAGTCCCATTCGCCCATGGGGAATGGGAAATACTATTGAACAAGTAGGATCATGCTTGTTCCATGACGCGGTATTTGTGTGCAAATGCATGCTGGTGTGCGCGTTCAGCGTTGCGCGTATTGTTCCAAAGAGCCAGCGCTATAGAGTTGGGTCCAAACATTTTCGTGGAGGGGTAGTTTGAAGAGAGAAATACATTTTCCACCAATTTTATATTGAAATAAAAGTTCAAATTATATAAAATGACAATGATCTATATGTCAGTTATATAAAACAAATATTGAGTGGCTTTAAATTGTAAAAATGGGACAAATATTATTCCTCGGTGAAATCTGGACTTTTTCAGTTCACTCGACTTCGCCTTGTGAAATGGAAAGGTCCAGATTTTACCTTGCGATAATATTCCTCCCATTTTACTCTGAGCCACTCAATATTTGTATACAACAAACTGTCTCTCTCTGCCCAGGAGTATAATGGGTACCTGTGAAGGTATATAGACCAGGATGCACTGATCCGGAGCTGCTGCAGTATCTGGTCTCATGGGCTTGATGGACACGGTACTAATTGTTAACCGCTTTGAGACTTTTAGTATAAAAGGAAAAATCTAACACTTTCGATCTCAGGCTGTGCTCCGTGGTCATATGTGGGTCGATGTGGCCGGCAGCCATAGGCACCTTTACGTGCCAACAGCCTGACCATGTTGTAGCCACGTACTTCGCAATTCAGCATACCAGCTGCCAGTAAGGATGATCAGCCTCCCAAATTGGTATTATTATTATATTACATAAAGCGCTATAAGGGAGTGTGTGGCCTAGTGGTTAGGATTCGTGACTCATGATCAGAGGGTCAGGGGTTCGAATCCAGCCGCTGGCCATATATTGTGTCCTTGGGCAAGGCACTTCACTCCCACTTGCCCCTCTCCACCCAGGAGTATAAATGGGTACCGGCATTAGCTGGGGAGTAATCCTGCGATGGACTGGCATCCCATTCAGGGGGAGTAGAAATATTCTCAGTCGTTTCATGCCAAGGAAACCGGAGATAAACACCGGCCTGATGAGCCACATTGGCTCGGGACAGACTTTACTTATTTTATTACATAAAGCGCTTTATCACCACTTTATTGCACCAACCTTGTACGACTGGGTGAGTTTGGCAACCTCGATCGTCGCCAAGATCCAGTGCTCGCCCTGCGAGGCCGTCCGCACCCAATAGGCCTTGCCCAGACTGCTGCCCTGCTGTAGGTAGACGTTCAGGAACCCGACCGTTTGGCCGTACATGTAGTACCAGAAGGTCAGGCAGTTGTCGGACCCGGCCGGGTTGGCGAGGTCTCCGCTGATCAGGCGGGCTTTCTTGTTTGTGTTACCCGTGGCGTCCGCGAGGGCGTAGTAGCCAGCTAACGGGTACAAATCAAATCAAATAATTCATAAGATGGGATTTTTGCATCGGGGTGATGTAAATCAAATTAGGTTTTGCCCTTCACCGACGTGTCGTATAAACACTGTATACTCAGTGTGTTACCTCCCGAGTGAAAGTTGGAAAAAAATCACTCGGGTGGGACTCGAACCCACGACCTCCTGCTTTATAGTGCAGACGTCTTACCACTCGACCACCGAGCTAACAAGATTGGCTGGCTGGTTCGAATCTGATGTACATAGCAGCGGGTACCGCAGTAACCATTCATAAGATGGAATTTTTGCGTCGGGGTGATGTAAATCAAATTAGGTTGTGCCCTTCGCCGACCTATAAACACTGTACACTCCTTGTATACGTGTTGTGCCCTTGAGTAAGGGGCTTTACCTCAATTACTCCTCTCAACCCAGGTGGTTAATGAGTACCAGCATTATTCAATGCTGGGATTTAGTTAACAGACTCGCTGTGGAGGAGGTGTGGCGATCCCCCCACAGCAGCATATGAGTCTGGCCCAATCGCTAATGAAAGAGAGATGGGCACTCCGTTCCTGTGAACACAGGTTCGTCCCCTTTACATTTTTATACTGAGTATACTGAGTATACAGTGTTCATACGTCGATGAAGGGCAAAACCTAATTTGATTCAAATCAAATAACTTAGGCCAAAAACTGACTACATGTTGGTTAAATTTCTATTGGCCTTAATGCTGAACGAAGAAGTTAACTTGCGCAATCTACAAGGGCTTTCACTAAGCTTATCTAAGCGTGGCAACATCAGAATGATCGGGACCCAAGTTTGCCATTTTCTTTTGTGGCAAATAGAGTATATTGAGAAAAAACAACCGAGTGTTTCAGATGAATGGTTATTACCTTGTCTTCCACAGGAATTTTGAATTTTTCAAATTAGTTGCTGGGGTGAGGAGTTATGTCATTTTTGTTGAAGTGGCTCATTTTCCAGTCTGCACACGGAATTGGTTTTGCCTTTTTTAAATGTGTCAGTAACTTCAAGTGAGTCAGTCACCATGACTAGGTTTTAATTTGTTATTACACTGCTTCACATCAGTACGCGATTTCAATAAATTTGTTGAACCATGGAACCGTGGTCAGGCTGACCCCACTTAAGATGAAATTTATAGAAGTCGGGGAATTGTAAGGTCAGGGAACCAGTCTAGCCGGCTTGTACACTTTGATAGGTGTGTTATCGATTGCAAACAAAATGCGGACTAACTAAATACGGTAAATTGGGAGCAGTATTTGAAAAAAAGCCATTTTTTTTTCAATGCTTGATACTAAGATACCACCTTTCTTGAAAATGAGAGCACAGCACGTGCCATGATTTCACAGGATGCTTTTGACTGTCATTCACTAACAGTCCAGTACGGTTTTTCATAATAATTAGCTAGTTTTTTTATGTTGCAAATGTTGTATATTCCCTTTAAGCACCCGTCTTTAGATTTTGAGCACTTTTGCTGCCTCAAACGAAAAAAAAAATGCACAAATGACAAATGATGTACTCTACCTTTGACAGACCATACTCACTTGCATCTTTCTTGGTGTGGTCGTACTTGGGTCCCGTGGTGCCAGACGTCGAGGCGGGCCCCTGGATGAATTTCCAGTTGAAGTCGTCGTTTTGATCCTGGCTGTAACTGCAGGCTGTACCTGCCGTCTCAAAATCGCAGTTAGCCGGTCCCGCGGGTATGACTACCGGTGGGCCGGTCGTGGGTGGTTGCAGGGTGATTGGCGGTCCGACCCCAGCCCCAGCGGGTATAGCTGCAGGCAAACGAGGGGGTACAATTAAAGTAGAGGGCGCCCTTTTACCTAGCATCAACGTCCCTTGGGCGGGACATTTGACGCGCACCGTTCCTTGTGTGTGCCGCACGTACACCAGGGGATTTGTACTATGTACACGCAGTGGCACGGCCGCACGTCGCGGCAAAATTGCAGTCAGGCAAGATGGCGTCGGTCGGTCACCCCCAAGTGTACTTTCTTTGCCGGTGAGGGGGTACTTGTGAACGGAGCGGATAGCTCATCAGGCTGGTGTTTATCTCCAGTTTCCTTGGCATGAAATGACTGAGGATATTTGAAACAACCGAGGATATTTTCTTTCTATAGAGCAGACATGCGTATTAGAGGAAATATTTCACATATTGCTTTTCATAATCCTTTATCAACTTTCCATGACTCCTCGTAACATAACAAAGATTCCATGACTTTCCATGACAGCTTTAGGTACCAGCTTTTTTTCAGGACCGTAGAAACCCTGTCAGGAGTCAGTCAAATGTAACGTCTGGTACCCAAATCTCTGTTGTATTTATTTCTCAACAGTCATGCCACCAGACTACTCAGTGGTCCATCTGTACCACTAAAATTGACAAAATACGACGGACGAGTCTTATTCTTCAAGAAACCAGCTAGCATCATTTTCTAGCATCATTTTCTGGTGCAATACTTTGAGGAGTCTTTTTATAAAAAATTTCAGTCGAGTCTTTTTGAAAGTTGAAGTCCAGTCCTCAAACTCGACCAGGAAATCCTCAGGACCTCCATCGTTGCTGGAAGAAATTTCAAGGAATGTGTCCTGATGTCTTTCTTTCTGAGAGATAAAAGTTGAACTTACTTTGGCAGTAGTTGTCAGTGAGGATGACGTCGTCGACGGCAATGTCGTTGTCCACGTTCAGAGTAGAGGTGACTTTACCGGCGATTATTAACTGAAGAAAGAAGAAAAAAAGAAGAAAACTAGAAATGTGTTTGTGGACAAACACAAGCTGTTTCGACTGTTACATTATGTGACAAGGACATGAGATTATGACGACTATTAGTGCATGCAAAGTTTAAACCGAATCGGACGAATAGTTGCGGAGATAAAGGGCTTTAAAAGATGCAAGGTTAGGGCACCCTCACATGACGACCACAGAAGTGATACTGTCGCCACTGATATTTTCACATTAACACTTCCCAATATGAGGGCATTCAAAGTTTTAACGCAATGGGACCCATGCATACAAAGATATAGGGCTGCAAATGATGCTATGTTAGGGCGCCCTCACATGACGACCGAAGACGTCACCTTGACTTAACCTATATTCTGGTGTATAACGTATTCAAGTTTGTGTGAATGCAAAGCTTCAACCAAATCGGATTCATACTCGTGGGGATATGGAAATTATACAAAGTGAGGGCGCCCTCACATGACAGCTAATGACGTCGCGATGACGTCACCTATATTGCCACACGAAACACACCCCAATGTGAGGGCATGCAAAGTTTCAACGCAATCGGACACATACTTGCAAAGTTACAGGGCTGCAACAAATGCAAAGTTAGGGCGCCCTCACATGACACCTGATGACGTCAACATTACGAAAACCTTATAGGACCATCTGCGGTTGGTGATATGCGTGTCTGCCAAGTCTGAAGTCAATCAGATCTATGAAAGTGCCAAAATGTACTGATTGAAGGAAAACGTGTACAAAACCTATGGAGTAAAAATGCACCTTTAATGTTACGTAACCTGACACTTGATGACGTCATGATGGCGAATTTCTTCTAGGATCATCTGTGGGTGATGCTCTAAGTGTGTACCAAGTGTAACGTCGATATGATTTACCAAAGTGCCAAAGTGGACTGGTAGAAGGAAAATGTGTACAAAACATATGGGGGAATGACTGAAAGAGGAGAAAAAAAAAAAGGAAAAAAAAAAATCTTAACGAAAACAAGAGCTGTTTCGGTGTGTACACCGAAACAGCTAATAAGACATCTTTGTTTCTAGTTCTACTTTCGTATAGAAGGCTCTCACTGACTGACGTGACCCGGCCTACATCCGGGTACCAGAAAGTCAGCGTCGCCATTGTAGTAGGCAAAGATTGCATAGGCAAGCCTTCAAGGCTGTGATGGATGGCAAAATCGGTGAGAAAATGCAGAGCCAACGGAGTGTCATGGCCTTAGCGGTTAAGAGCACCGGACTCATGCTCCGGTGTTTCAGAGGCAACAGTGGTGTGAGTTCGAGCCCGCCGGGTGGACCCTTGTGCCCTTGAGCAAGGCACTTAACCATTATTGCTTCGTCCTTCGGATGGGACGTAAATGCATGTAAGAAAAAGAAACAGTGACACTTATCGCTAAGAGAAGGGGTTTGCCTCAGTGTTTCTGGTCTCCTGTATAAACTCCCACGTGGAGTATTTAGGAGACGAACCAACCAAGAACATGGCACGATTATGACAACTGTACAAAGCACAGGTAGTGACCATTACGCCATTTGATGAAAGAACTTGTGGTTATTTTACACAAAAATAAGTCCTGTTGTCTAGTATATATATTGAATGCTTCGAGTGGTGTAGTAAAACTAGCCTCCCGAGGTGATCCATGGACATTTTATTTTCCCGAGGCGAAGCTGAGGGAAAATAGAATGGTCCATGGATCACCGAGGGAGGCTAGTTTTACTTCACCACGAGATAAAGCATTCAATATTTGTTTTATAACACTCCACCCACAGATTCTGCTTGGTGTTAATATCTTAAATTATTTAAATCTGAACACGGTTGAAATAAACTTCAATTTCAATACAAAATTGATGGAAAATGTATTTCTCTCTTCGAAACTACCCCTTCACGATATGTTTGAACCCAAGTCTGCGGCGCGCTCTCTTTGGAACAATACACGCTACGCGCAACGCGCAAGGCGCACACCAGCATCCATTTGCACACAAATACCGCGCTGTGGAAATAGTACTTTGGTTGCCAATGGTATAGTACTTTGGTTGCTATGCGCATAGTACTTTTGGCAGTGCACAGAAAGATAGCAAAATTAGAAAGTAACATGTGACTCGCTCTCGGCCAATCAAGACACAGAATCTGTGGGTGAGGTGTTATAATTTACGATGACACGAAATGGATGCTCACCAAATGCTTGTCTACTGCAATGGTAGCCGATCATGGGAAAACTGGACGGTCACGTGGTACTTTGCCGTCTTATGATCTGACCCAATAGCTCTCTCAAATGACGTCATTTCCTACAGACCAGCCACGTGCATCGGCATTTTAAGCGTCAACTTGCATAACGCACATTGGCCGCATTGTTATATCGAACACATTTCGAGCAATAAGAGCGCATGTTTGGAACATGTTCAACACTGCACAATGCGTGCTTGATTGCGTAAAATATGCAGTTCTCCTACAGAGATGGCCATCTTTAAAGAGGTTGTGGAATGCTCGAAGACATTTCCGTCATTTTTGGGGTATATGTAGCCTAAGGTGTGATGAAATAAAAACGACTATTGTTTCTGTCATGAAATGAGTACAAAGGGTTCTTTTGAGAGCTATTTTTTCAGGTCCTGTTTCGACCCGAACGTGCAATTTGTGTAAAAGTCGTCGTTGCGGGCAGCAAACAAAATACAGTAAATCGTGACGTAATAAACAGGACTCGTTTATGCTACTCTGCATCGGGAGTCCTGTTTATTACGTCACGATTTACTGTGTTTTGTTTGCTGCCCGCATCGACGACTTTTACACAAATTGCACGTTCGGGTCGAAACAGGCATGACAGGACTTGAAAAACAGCTCTCAAAAATACCTTTTGTACTCATTTTATGACAGAAACAATAGTCGTTTTTATTTCATCACATCTTAGGCTACATATACCCGAAAAATGACGAAATGTCTTCGAGCATTCCACAACCTCTTTAAGAGAGACCTATAACATTATAACATTCAGGCCACACTCGCTTTTCGTCGGCACGCAACATCAAACCAAACGTGACTTGAAGTTCCACTTACGTAATAGAAGGAAGCTTGCTGGATGGCGATCTGTCCGAAGTTCCAAGTGGAGCCCTGGTTGCCCGACAGCTTCCAGACCGTGTCGGTGGTGGGGCCCTGCTCCCGTTTGACGGCCAGTTCGCCCGCGTTGGATCCCTTCATGTAGTACCAGAACGTCAGGCAGCGGAGGGTGGAGGGATCTGCCACTCCGCTCTGGTACCTGGTCAAGTAGGCCTCATTATTAGCCTGGGCGTTGGCTGCGTCTAGGTAGATGTACCAGCCTGGGTGGAGGGAGAACCGAGACAAGTTTTGAAAAACAAAAAAAATCAACAAATTTATTAAAATTGCAAGAAATCACATGTGATGCCATCGAGCTAAATGAGTCATTTGTCGACCCTGGTCAATTTTTTTTTTTTTTACAAATTTGAAAAGAGCACAATCTCGGCATTTCTGCTGTGAAAACCGCATGCTGGTACCATTTCTAGTTCAAAAATTATGGAAGTCCGATCACCAAGAGATGTGATGAAGTGATGTGATGAAGTGGCCCTATTTTGAACTGAATCTCCACATGAAATTTCCCGACAAACGACTCATTTAGCTTGATTGCATCAGGTGACCGGCTCCACAAAAAAGTATTAAATCCCGCTGTGCATTATTGTATAATGGCCCACTGAGGAAGAAAATTTCGTCAAAATGTGATTTTCATTTTTTTTGTCATAAATGACAACTTTATCGCCGCAGTTTCAGCTTTCATTCACAGAAATGTTGATTTTGATGAATAAAGTGGGGAAAACATGATTATTTTGTATGCATCTTTTTGCTGTTCTGAAACAGAGCCAGCTATTTCCAAGCCTGTTTTCTCAGTTGTGTAATTTGAACTCCAAGGAAGAGTATTTAATATGCAAATACGTCATATCTCCAGAACGGGAGGGGCTATGGAGCTCTATTATACACCAAATGAAAGCTTACGTTGTGGGCTTTCCAACGATGTATATAACCCAATTACACTTTTTTGTGACATAATTCCCTTCTTTTGTGGAGCGGGTCACAATATTAGGGCAAACACTATTGGTATGTCAACTTTACTTAACAAGTTTGCAGTAGATATGACACACATGGCAATATTTGAACTGTGAGTTGGTACACAAACTCATGGCTTGACAACATATTTATTTGGCACTGGGCCAACCCATATTTGGCGTAATGCCAAAAAAAGGAAGAAATTGTAGGAGAGGGTATATATACACCTAGATTGACAATTCGCTGTGTTTGAAGTTAGGACAATCCTTATTTGGCATCACGCCAAAACAGGGAAAAGCTACATGAGAAAAGGCATGAATACCTCAGTTGACCATACATTTGGCACTGGGCCAAACCTTATCTGGCACCATGCCAAAAAAAGTAAAAACTGTAGGAGAAAGCATCTGGGTTGACAGTACACTCTGCTTAGCACTAGGCCAACCCTCACATGTCAAAAAGAAAGTTTTGGAAAAAGCATGAACACCTGGGTTGGTAACATATCTTTTTGGCACTGGGCCAACCCTTACTTGGCACCATGCCCAAAAAATTAAGAACTTTATACAGGAGAAGGCATGAACACCTGGATTGGCAATGTATCTTTTTGGCACTGGGCCAACCCTTATTTGGCACCATGCCAAAAATGAGGAAGCATGAACACCTAGGTTGGTAACATATCATTTTGGCACTGGGCCAACCCTTTCTTGGCACCATGCCAAAAAATGAAGAACTTTATATTGGAGAAGGCATGAACACCTGGGTTGGCAATGTATCTTTTTGGCATAGATGGCATCATGCCAAAATTGACAATAGATACATGTACCAATTTGGCACTGGGCCAACCATGTTTTGGCACAATCCCCCCCCCCCCCCCAACAAAAAGTTAGTAAACTCGGCGACTCTAACCGGTGTTATTGCGGGTCGTGTGGTCTTTGTCAGGTCCACTTCCAGAGGCTCCAGTTTTTACCAGCCAATCGAGTTGGTCGATGGAATCCTGGAACCAACCGCACAAGTCGTTGTTTTCAAAGCTGCAATCCCCTGAGAACAAAAATAAACAACAACAAAAACAACAGGTGTCAAGGCATTCTAAAATTACTACACGACCTAAGAATTAAGAACATTTGTCAGGCTTTTATTTCACAAATTTTCCAAGATGTATTTTGATCATCCATGGTTTGAAAACTTTTCGGATTTTTTTTTTTCCAGCTGTGCAGCTGATTTTGGAGGAGCACTGTGACAAGGTCTTGGGCCCAACCTCGTCCCCAGTGCTTACTTTATTTCCAACCGCGTTTCCAATAGTAAACCCTGGATAGGAAACTTTCTTCCTGTATCCTGATTGGATACCGCAATTGGCTAGTAATGGATTTTTATCGTGTACTTGGTGCTATATATTCACAACGTGCAGTACGTGTTTTCGCGATCATTCGTCCACGCCTTCTCGAAAATACTAATTTCCTTTCCAATTTGCTCATATTAATATGAAATATGATACTGCATGTTGTCTCGATAAGATCGTAACAGTTTGATTTCAAAAATCGTGTTTTCGTAACTCACACCGTGCTCGCGCTGCTACGAATTGACACTGTTTTTACCCCCGACACCGCATACAAAAACAAACGCTAATGTGTAACGCATATCCAGGCACCAGACTGTTCCTCATTTGCATACGTGTGCAAAAATCTTGCACATGCAAATGATCCAATACCAGGGTGAGAGAGCAGGTAGTGGTGGGCGCGTACTGCTCGACACCCTGGGGACGAGGTTGTCTTAGGCCAGACCTTGTGTTGTTTATGTTCAGCCATGCATGTTTATGCTCAGACATTTAGGCCTTTATTATACTTGAAATCCTCCGCACTGCTCCAGGATGTCACTGGTTCTGCCCCAACATATTGACAGCGATTGCTGGAGGATTTTGCAGGATTGAGGTTGCGATTTTGCAAGATTGAGGGAATTAGGGTTAGGCCCAAAAAAAAAATATTTGGTCTCTGGTCAGACCAAAGTTCCGGAATTGACGCGGGGATGCGGCTTTTTTTTTTTTTGGCTTTTTTTTTCCTTCAAGCTTGGATTGTACAGACAAGGTGGGGTACTATTTTGCATTTTTGGTGTCCTCATGTACATTGGTGTCCTCCAAAATTGGCTTTAGTGCTCTCGATCATTTGCCTTTTGCAATTTCCCATTCCTTGGTGCTCTTTGGTAAAAAAAAATTGAGCAGGTGCGGCAATAGAGGGCGCTGTTGGAGCTACCGCAGAACATTTTGTAAAAAAAAAGAAGATTGACGCGCATTATTAAAATCGACGCGCGCGCTGACCAGAGACCGACTTATTTTTTTTTTGGCCTTAACGATAACAATAATAGTACATGTACCGTGAGTCTGGCAGGCTCCGGTCACAACGCGCAGATCGTCGATCGCGATAACGGCCAAGGAGGTCCCGCCCACGGTGGCCTCAAACACCACCTGGTAATCCAGCGACGTGGAGGCCGACATGCGCGCGATCAACCACTTGTCGTCCTGGTTACCACTCCGCGTCCAATCAGGGATCTGCTTGGTGACGTCGCCGCCTTGCTCCACGATGTAGATGTTGAGCGTGCCCACGTTGGCGCCGTACATGTAGAAGTACATCTCCAGGCACTCGCCGTTTGTGGCGGGGAAAGAAGGAGTGGCTAGGCGGGCCACGTCGTTGACTTGGCGGTTTTGGGAGTCGATGTACATGTAGTAGCCTGCGGGAAAGACACAAAGAAATATGTATGACCTGAAGCTTTGCACGGCAGATGAGATCAAGTTGAAAGATTGCGGGTAACACCATGTGGAAAGTAATCTCTTCCTGGTAGAAGTGTGGTTCTGAAAAGAACCGGTTGGTTGAGTGTAGAACTCGACGTTTCGGACAGTGTACTCTGTCCATCCTCAGGAGGGTGAGAGAGAAATATGTCCTGAAGCTCTGCATAGTTTTACTCATGGGCTCCGATCACAACTACCCCCTGAATGGTACGAAAGGGGTCGTCTCGTGTCAAATCACACCCAAAAATAAAAGTTTAAACCCTACCCTCCTCAAATTGGTTTGTACTATAGTGTATGGGCTAATTCCGGCTAAAAAAAGCTGAAACTGTAACTTTCATCGCCATCGGACCAACTTTTCGCACTATCACCCGCCATTAGTATCAAGATGTTGATGCAAAAAGATCCACGATGTTATTTTATCTGTAGGCTTGGTTTTGCCACATATTTGTGGATAGTCACTTTAACCGGTTCGCGCCGGATCATTTTTGGCAAAAATTTCGATTTTCGATAAAAGGCAAAATATAGCAGCCAACATCTGATATACAGCCAAATGCCACAAATACTGATTCGCAAGAGTCATTTTAGCAGTATTTGTACGATATTTTTGGCCGTAACTTCATATTTTTCAACACTCCGGGGTGTGCAATGGAGCATAAATTGCAGAAATAGGCCGTACGGCACAGCGGCCAATTCAAGATCAACACAAGGGGCGCCTCCACAGACTTCCCGGATTTTGTGTTTGTGTGTACAAAAGACACAAGGGATTAGCATGTTTAGACGTCACCCGGAGGCAAGTCGGGGCATGCTTGAAGTTTTAACCCGTCAGCCGCGCCTGTGTATAAAAACAGCCAGTATGTATGTTAACTGTTACATGTTAACCGTGTTAATGTTAACCGTGTTAACTTAACACGGTTAACATTAACACGGTTAACATGGTTAACACTGTGAATTTGTTAAAGGCATGCTGAATTTAGTCTCTGTTCATCGTATTTCAATCAGCCCCAATGTCAATATTTGAATATTTGAATATTCGATATATCATCCAGGTTTGAATAATTGAATACTGAATAATTTATAAGCACAATATGACCCACCTGCGGCCGTGTTAGTGGTGTGGTCAATCTTAGGCCCCGTATTGCCGGACGAGGCCGGCCCTTTTGTCCTTTTCCAGTTGAAGTTGTCGGATTGGTCTTGGATGAAACCGCAGATGGTGGGGTCCTCAAAGTCGCACTCCCGCTGCGAGGGAATGGTGCCAGGGGTGGGCGTTATCACCACTGCAAAGAGAAAAAAAAATTGACTAGAACGGCGAAGCCGCCATGGCTCGCTGTCCAAGGCAGGAAGGGAGGCTGAAGGTAGGGTTGAGGATGGGCATGATGGAAGGGGATCAGGATTCTTGTTGATGTGCCTAGGTGTAGGGGTCAGTTTTTAAATGTCAACATAAAAAGTTAACAGATTACCTAATAAGGGTCATTCCATGCCAACTCAACAAATGTTGCACACCATCACCTCTTGGATTTTTTTCTTTTTTGGTGTACTGAAAGATACTTAGGAGAAATGCAAATTCTGAAAATTTGGGGTCTCTACGACTTTTCGTTCTTGCGCAACAGCATTTTGAAATTTGAGGTGGGCGGGGCCAAAAGTGCGTCGCGTCACGAAATTCAATGTTTAAAGGGCCATATATTTAAAACTATACACCCCAGACATTTCAAACTTGGTAATCTGGGCTATTTTTTGCTGTAGATTTCAAATATTTTAACAGAAAGAAAGTAGCTTGTTTCATTTTTAAGTTAAAGGGGCCCCCAAATGGCCCAAAACTCATCTGGACCAATGTTCGGGGGGGTGTAAGTCAAAAATTGAAAATATTTTTTCACCAATTTTTTTGCCTGTAATAGCCCCCAAGTGAAACTACTTTCATGTAAAATCTTACACTTATATTAACTTCATTGAATGAGATATAGCCCTTGCAAAAAGCAAATTTCTTATTTTTACGATAACTTGACCCCCCCAAAAACCAACGTCAGACATTCCGCCCCAAATTTTGCTTCACATATGTTTGAGGTTGGTCCTTAGTGAAGTCCTCTGAAAAGTTTCATGTTGGTGTCTAAATGTCTTCAGTGGATAGCTGGGCTTTATAATGAGTCTATATCTTACGATGCTGCAGGTTCCGTAACATACAAGTACATGTACATTGTACCAAGAATAACAGCAGTCGGTACATAAAGAATAAGTTGGGTATGAAACTTAGCTTACATTTGTACATGTAGACTTTTGATCAGTTGATATAATTGTTTACAGTTTCACAGGTGAAATTATGCATTCCTTGTGATGTAGTTTTGATGAAGTTGAATGAGTTGCATGATGGTTGGCTCACTATGTTTGTATTGCCTTCCACCACTATGTAGAAGTTCTGCTGTTGGTACGCAACACAACACATCAACAAATGGAATGTTACATTTATCTTCTCTTTGTGGCCAATAGAGAGTATTTGTTGATTCCGTCCTGTACATGAAGCGGACATACACATCCTCATGAAGTTGTGATACATCTTCTACAATAGCAATGTACCAAACATCATCATAGACCACACAAACATATTTTCCTGGGTTGAGGTCAGCTGCTACAATTGGTGCATGATGAGTTTCCTGCATGAACTAGAATCCCCTTATCCATAATGAAAACTAAGATCATCAGGTTAAAACCATAGACCCTTTACTCAAACTGAATCACTTCTCTTTGGTTCAGGTTAGTGCTATACTATGCTGTGCAAGTGAGAACTGGTTATATTAAATGTATACATGACATGCATGCTGTGTGATGAGCACATGGAAAGAATAAGACTCTCAAGTCATTTAACCTAATTTGCATATAATGCACACATAGGTCTACAAGCAACTGTTTATTGAGCAGGAAATGGGTAGTCTTGACCCAAGTCTATCAACAGTCTATCAACAGGGATTTTGTTGTGCTGGTTCCATAAAATACAAGTACATGTACATGTACTTGTATGTTACGGAACCTGCAGCATAGTAAGATATAGACTCTTTATAAAGCCCAGCTATCCACTGAAGACATTTAGACACCAACATGAAACTTTTCAGAGGACTTCACTAAGGACCAACCTCAAACATATGTGAAGCAAAATTTGGGGCGGAATGTCTGACGTTGGTTTTTGGGGGGGTCAAGTTATCGTAAAAATAAGAAATTTGCTTTTTGCAAGGGCTATATCTCATTCAATGAAGTTAATATAAGTGTAAGATTTTACATGAAAGTAGTTTCACTTGGGGGCTATTACAGGCAAAAAAATTGGTGAAAAAAATATTTTCAATTTTTGACTTACACCCCCCCGAACATTGGTCCAGATGAGTTTTGGGCCATTTTGGGGCCCCTTTAACTTAAAAATGAAACAAGCTACTTTCTTTCTGTTAAAATATTTGAAATCTACAGCAAAAAATAGCCCAGATTACCAAGTTTGAAATGTCTGGGGTGTATAGTTTTAAATATATGGCCCTTTAAACATTGAATTTCGTGACGCGACGCACTTTTGGCCCCGCCCACCTCAAATTTCAAAATGCTGTTGCGCAAGAACGAAAAGTCGTAGAGACCCCAAATTTTCAGAATTTGCATTTCTCCTAAGTATCTTTCAGTACACCAAAAAAGAAAAAAATCCAAGAGGTGATGGTGTGCACCATTTGTTGAGTTGGCATGGAATGACCCATAAATACATATGTATATAGGTTAGCCGTCACTGTATTATGGGGGAGTTTTCCATTGTTAGGGTAATTAGGACCCACTTGTGGATTTTTGCAGCCCCAACAGTGTCTTCTGGTCCCCATACTTGTAGTACCATGGGAAAACTCTTGTGTAGTCGCCACAAATGCAGAACAAGAATGGGTATACATGTACATGTAGACACAGCACCATCACCACCTCCCCCGAACCTTACCCCATCCCAAAACCTTACCCCATCCCCAACCCGCCCCCTCCCCCACCCAACCCCCTACCCACACCCATTCCATCCTCCCCTAACCATCCCCACCCTATCACCTACACATCCCAACCCCACTCAAACTCCAATCCCTATCTCCTTCCCCCTCCCCTGACCCGTACCCTCCCCTACCCCAACCCCCTACACCCACCTACCCTATCTTCCCTTATCTGTCCTTACCCACCCTACACATCCCCATCCTAACCCTTACTCGAATTCCAATATCCCGCCCACCCCATTCCCCCACCCATACATCCCCACCTGACCCCATGCAACCCCTACTCTGATCCCTATATACTGCCCCCTCCCCATATCCAACCCCTACAACCCATCCCTACACATCCCCAACCCAACCCCTACTCCGATCCTATATCCCGCCCCCTGCCCAACCCCCTCCTAACCCAACCCCTATATCCATGCCCATCCTCTCCCTACCTGTCTCTCCCTACCTGTTCCCACCCAACCCCTACAAATCCCCACCCCACCCAAACCCAGTATTCCAACCCCTCTCCCCACCCCAACCCACCCCGCCCCACCCATCCTAGCTCCCCTACTCATCCTACTCACACAAACCCCAACTCCAACCCTATACCCCACCCCACCCCACCCCACCCCACCCCACCCCACCCCACCCCACCCCACCCCACCCCACCCCACCCCACCCCACCCCACCCCACCCCACCCCCACCCACCCCACCCCACCCCACCCCACCCCACCCCACCCCACCCCACCCCACCCCACCCCACCCCACCCCACCCCACCCCACCCCACCCCACCCCACCCCACCCCACCCCACCCCACCCCACCCCACCCCACCCCACCCCACCCCACCCCCACCCCACCCCACCCCACCCCACCCCACCCCACCCCACCCCACCCCACCCCACCCCACCCCACCCCACCCCACCCCACCCCACCCCACCCCACCCCACCCCACCCCACCCCACCCCACCCTCCCCTACCCCATCCCTACTCCAACCCCATCCCTACTCCAACCCCATAAACTAAAAGATCAAACCAGAAGCTCATGCACCTACCCCATTCCTACTCCAACCCCATAAACTAAAAGATCAAACCAGAAGCTCATGCACATCCCCAAATGCATAGTGTACATGTACATGTTATACCGGTATACACACACGTACATGTTATACCAGTATACATGTACATGTAACAATTAAAAACTTTAACATTTCCTTGAATTAAAATTCCTCAATAAAATCATAAAATTTACTGCAATGATATGAACCTAACTGAAGTTATAAAGATGATACATGACAACTGCATTTAATTTTCTTCCCCAAGTTAACTAGAACCAAAAACTTCAACATTTTTATCTGAACGCGGACGGCCGGACAGACGGACAGACGGGCGCCTGGACAGACGGATGGAAATTGGTATTACATAGGCTCGCATCTGCTTCGCAGCTCGCCAAAAATAGAAATTTATTTCTTTTCTTTTCTGAAGAAAAGTAACTTCCCAAGAATTCCAAGTTGAATAGAAGTGTTTTCTACTATTTTCTGAAACACTAGTATACAAATAACGAATGTTTGTGAGTGCGATGGTAAGAATAATTTCATGAGGTGACAGATTGAATGTTCTATTCCACGAGGCGAAGCCGAGTGGAATAGAACATGCAATCTGTCACCGAATGAAATTATTCTTTCCATCGCACGAACGTAAAACATTCGTTATTTGTTTTATACAACACCTGAATAAATTCTCGTCATTTGATTGGTAAATTATAAACTACAATTTGCTTTGATTTTAAAGATGTTGAACTACCCCTTTACGAAAATGTTTGAACCCAACGCTGTAAGGCTGGCTCTTTGGAACAATACGCGCTACGCTGAACGCGCACACCAGCATGCATTTTGCACGCAAATACCGCGTCATGGAACAAGCGCAAAGTGAAACGGTATAACGCATGGGTATAACGCATGGTCGCACCGTGTATTATACCGAATAATAATATGTCACATGATCTACAATTCACCAATCAGATGACGGGGATTTATTCAGGTGTTGTATAATCTAAAATATTGGATTTTCTAAAAGATTATTTTTTACACATGTTTAATACCGTACATCCTGGGAGTGGGACCACAAAAATGGGCCCTACTGGGCCAATTTGTAAAGGCGTGGGATAAAAAGACAGGTATTGGTGGGGATGGGTGGTGGGTTAAGGTGGGAGAGTTTGGGTGGTGGGTTAAGGGGGGAGGGTTTGGGTGGTGGGTTAAGGGGGTGGGTTTGGGTGGTGGGTTAAGGGGGGAGGGTTTGGGTGGTGGGTTAAGGGGGTGGGTTTTGGTGGTGGGTTAAGGGGGAGGGTTTTGGTGGTGGGTTAAGTTGGGAGGGTTTGGGTGGTGGGTTAAGGGGGAGGGTTTAGGTGGTGGATTAAGGGGGAGGGTTTGGGTGGTGGGTTAAGGGGGAGGGTTTGGGTAGTGGGTTAAGGGGGAGGGTTTGGGTGGTGGGTTAAGGGGGGAGGGTTTGGGTGGTGGGTTATTAGGGGGGAGGGTTTGGGTGGTGGGTTATTAGGGGGAGGGTTTGGGTGGTGGGTTAAGGGGGAGGGTTTGGGTGGTGGGTTCAGGGGGAGGGTTTGGGTGGTGGGTTTAAGGGGTAGGGTTTGGGTGGTAGGTTAAGGGGGAGGGTTTAGGTGGTGGATTAAGGGGGAGGGTTTGGGTGGTGGGTTAAGGGGGGGAGGGTTTGGGTAGTGGGTTAAGGGGGAGGGTTTGGGTGGTGGGTTAAGGGGGGAGGGTTTGGGTGGTGGGTTAAGGGGGAGGGTTTGGGTGGTGGGTTAAGGGGGGAGGGTTTGGGTGGTGGGTTAAGGGGGAGGGTTTGGGTGGTGGGTTAAGGGGGAGGGTTGGTTGGTGGGTTAAGGGGGGAGGGTTTGGGTGGTGGGTTAAGAGGGAGGGTTTGGGTGGTGGGTTAAGGTGGAGGGTTTGGGTGGTGGGTTAAGGGGGGAGGGTTTGGGTGGTGGGTTAAGGGGGAGGGTTTGGGTGGTGGGTTAAGGTTGTGAGTTGGTGGGTTCAGGGTGGGGGTGGGAGACAGCACCTGACACCAGGGGACAATGTGGGGAGTGGGGGGAGGTGGGGGGGAAGAAGAAGGGAGCATCACGACCCCTTCAGCCATCACCCCTGACCACGCGCAAGTCTCGTCAGCATACCTTGCGGGCAGTAACCGTCCAAGAGTTCCACGTCATCCAGAGCGATGTCGCTGGTGTCCAGCAAGCCCCGCTGCACCTCCAGGACCATCTTGAAGGGGGTGGTAGGCGATGTCACGTCTAGCGCCGCTTCCAGCCACTGGTCCCCCTTGCTGCCGGACTGCTGGAAGATGGCCGAGCCTAGGTTACCGGCCGCGCCGTCGCTGGACTGGTACACGCGGAGCGAACCTGGTCAGGGAAAAGCAAAACGGAATAGAGTAACGTTTATTATTATTTATATCAGGTTGCCAGTGGTAAAAATAAATCAGCGTATTGTATGCTTTTCGTAAAACGTACCCGGATGACAGCAATAATTTTGATATTGTCCGGCGCGCCCTCATCCAGGCATTTTCGCTGGTGCCCGCACGATCAAGAGCGTAAAAACTCACAGTTGTCAACCACTCAACAGAGCGTAGTGCGCGGTTCCGACGAACACGGAAGCTCACGCAGCGATTACGCAGCGCGGTGCAGGCCACTAATACGCGCACTTATACGTCTTTTGACGCATTGTTGGAAATGGCCTTCTTTCCTTGTTTGCTTCAAAACGACAGCTTGCCAAAAAGAAACATTTTTAGTCCCATTACTATCTTTATCCAAGTATGCTTTTCAACAGTGATTTTGTCAGTTACTTTGTCGATAGGTGCCAAAAATGAACTACTAGCGGAAATTTCCAAGAATGCGTCTTTTGATACATCGCTAGAAATGGCCTTCTTTCATTGTTTTCTTTAAAACAACAGCTTGTCAGAAAGGGTAATTTGAATTTCACAGAGAGTTTAGTCCCATGACTGCCCTGATGGGCCACTTTGGGTCAGGACATACTGGGCGAGCAAAAAAAAACGAAACCCACATGTTGGGACCATTGTTTTAAGGAAGTTCTGCATGTAGCATTTCAAAATCTAGGATATGAAATCCGATTCATAAGTTTTTTTGAGTACAAGAATCATTCAAATCACTCATGTTCTTTTCAAGTTACGGATTATTATTTTAAACACAACCACCGTTTTAAGGTTCTGTCCACGGATCACAAAAAAGTTCAGTGTTCTTTCAGCAAAACAAAAACAAACCACATAGGGATGTGTGTGAATTGTTTTCATTTTGCTGAAAGAACGCACACCTTTTTTGTTGACCGTGGACAGAACTTTAAAATGGTGGTTGTGTGTAAAATTCTGTAACTTGAAAAGTACACGAGTGATTTGAATGATTCTCGTACTTAAAGAAAGCTTTTGAATTGGGCTTTCATGTCCTAGATTTTGAAAGTGCTACATGCAGAACTTCAATAAAACAATAGTCCCGACAAGCACAAAGCGAATACAACCTGATACTTCAAAAGAAACAAGCACCTCACCTGTGAGGGTGCCAAGCACAAAGCGAATACAACCTGATACTTCAAAAGAAACAAACACCTCACCTATGAAGGTGCCAAACATGTGGTACCAGAATCGGACGCATTTCACCCCGGTGGTTGGTGTGATGGTCACGTCCTGACTGACGAGTCGAAGCTTGTCGCTCCAACTCTTCCCGGTGGCCTCCATGAAGGCGTAATAGCCGGCTGTTCAAAGCGCAGGGGGAGCAAAAGAATGTGGTCACTAAAGCCTTTATTGTCCCACCTGTTTCATCACTTAATGCACTGGGGAAGAGGAGTAGTTTATAGTGTAGGAGTACGAGCTGGCTGATTAATGTACAGAGGGAGGGAACAAAGTGTTTCAAGGTCAATTGTGAAGATTTAATAGCTGGCTGTTTAATACACAGAGGGGGTGAGATAGTCCTGCATACAAGGGCGGATCCAGGGGGGGGCCAAAGGGGGCCATGGCCCCCCCCCAAAACGAAACCAATTTTTTTTTTTTTATGTGACATCGCAATAAAGGCAGGCAATGAGTACACCACCATCTTTTCCTCCAAAAAAACATTGGTTAAAGTGGTCAGAAATTGCCTCCGATCGCACCACAGAGCATCTAGAATCCAAAAATTTTGGACCCATTTTGGGAGGGACCAAAATTGTTTGTGGCCCCTCCCAAAATTGTGTTCTGGATCCGCCCTTGCCTGCATATACTCCATATGCATTATCCATCAGCTGTTCAATACACAGAGGGAGGGAAAATTGGTCGCAGGCCCTTATTAATCATGTTGTAGACTGTCTAATATACAGAGGGAAGAGAAGTTTGGTCAGAGGCCCACTATAGTATAGTTGTACCTAATAGCCGGCTGTTCTAGGCACAGAGGGGGAACAAATCTGTTCACAGGTCATTGAGCTATGTTGGTGTTATAGCCTGCTGTTTAATGCATTGCACAGAGGGAAGAAAATTTGGTTACCGGATTGTTAAAGGCGTAACAACCAGCTGTTCAATGCACAGAGGGGAAATATCCTCACAGGTTAAATTGAGTAGGCTTAAATCATAATGTCAAACGTTTATCAGGATCAAGAGTTCAAGTCAACTTGAAGGCAATTATCATAAGTCTATTACTTTGAGATTACTTACTCCCTGTGGTGTGGTCAAAGGCTGGTCCGGTATTGGCTGTGTGCGTGGGTCCCTGCTTTCGATCAAAGTTGCCATCGTCATCCGTGGGTTGCGTCCAGCCGCAGAAACCACTCTCAAACGCACAGTTGAACGTATTCTGTGACAAAGCTACGAGAAACAACAATGGTGAAGACAATAAGTTGTGTTTAAATTTCAACCCCCAAAATAGGACTTCTTTTTTATAATTGCTATTTTCAATGCAACAGTTATTCACTTTAGAGTGAGAAACCCTCCCCTCCCCCAAAAAGATCCAAATTTTGATCTTCCTTGATTTGTAAAATTGACGGAAAGAATGTTGCAACCTGACGCTGCTTTTTTTCTTCATATACATGTACCATCTCAATGAATTAGGTCATTCATTGCAAAAATGATGATAAGACATGAATCTGGGACAGAAACATTTCCAATTTTGTTAGGAAATACTTAAACAATTTTCTTGACTCTCCATCTGTCATGTCTGTATTGTTGATGTACCCTAACGTGGCGCGGCCCCTAACGTGGCGCACTTTGATTTTTCGCCTGTAGCGCCTAGCTAGAGCAAAAGTTTTAACTGAAATTTCACAGAAAGTGAAATTTCATCAAGTTATAAACACTCCCGTTCATAAATCGCGAGTTTATTTACCCGCTACAAAGTTAAAAGAAAAACATTATTTTGGCGTGATTTTCCGATTTTATTTTCAAGTGCAAAGTGAACCCTTTGAAAATGCCCCGAAAATTAAGAAAATAATTTTGTGACAAACATCTGGCTGGGTATGTAGGTAGAGATAATAATGATTTATCAGAATTTATCAAGTTTACAGAAATTCTCAAATGTTAATTTGGAATTTTCCGAGATTTATTTAAGTGCGCCACGTTAGGGAACGCTCCGCCAAATTGTGCCCAATTTCCGGACGCCACCGTTTTTTAATTTCGGCTTAAATTTCATGAAACCGAAATTGTTCACAGAGGTTAAACAGCAAGCATTAATAAGGTAAAAGTACCAGTATTTCACTGCATGAATTTGAGGTTTGTCCACAAAGAGGTTTGGCAACACTACACGAGGAAATTTGGGTAAGCTTCGAAGTGCGCCACGTTAGGGAACACGACTATACACAACCACTGAAGTAGCGCCTTCAGATGATTGCAACATTCTTTCCACATATTATCACTTTCTGGTGGCTGATTGATAGGTCACTGAAGGGAAAAATTAGAGATTGCCACTACGCAAGATATGGGAATCTTTCCAAGATGATTTCTAATCGAATATCAACAAACCTTGGCACAGCTTTCATGGTTAAAGACGTAGAGGGCGCCACTGAGTGACTGATACAACTACAAGTACAAGTTGCACGGCGCATCCCGCGCCAGACTGGGACCGTGAGTGCATAAAAACGTGCAAAATTACTACTGACGTTTTTTTACTCACCATTCGGCTAATTAATGCCCACACAACACATACATCAAAATGCTTAAGTTGCAAGCATGTCACCTGCAAAATTTGAGACCTTAAATCCAATTTTAAGGCAAGTTTTTGACAGTTCAAAAACCATCCACGTCATTCTCCATGCTTTAGAAATGGTGGTGTGATTCCCAAGGTATTCTGGGTAGGTGTAGGAAGAGCCTTGCAGCTTACTTGTTTTTAATCAATGGCCAAATGAACATACACCCTCTCTTAAAAAATGAAACATTCAGCATTCACTCAGATCAACAAGAGGGCGCTGTTTTATCTACACGATGAAAATGTTTTAGCTGAGGAGTCTTTTTGCACAATGCATTGCAGTACACATCAATGTGATGTTTTGCGTTTGGATTTCGATAACTCCCTGCAAAATTAGAATTAAACGCTGAATTTTTGGTGATGCAATGCTCACAACAGCAACTTTGCAGGGCAGAAGTTTCGGGGATTATTGACGAAACTGTAGTGAGTAAGAAGCTTGCACATTTGATTCACACTGGTTTTATTATGCAGCACAAACTTTTGCAAAATATGGATACCTTAAGTTTTGGGACTCTCATACACAGTAATCAGTATTGAGAGTCCCAAATTTTCGGACTAATCCCGCGCCGCGCCCGCGGCGAGGCACCAAAAAAACGGACACAATCATGGAAAACACATCCATGGAAATTTAAAAAAATTCCAGTAAGCCCACTTCCCATGCCTACTTACTTGCCATCTGAATACAATGCTTCCCATGTTACTAAAAAATATAAACAAACCATTTTCGGCCGCAGCTGCATTCGTACCTCGCGGTTTGGATCCATGCGTGTTAATGTTGTGGATAGGGCGCCACCAAGTGGTCACTTGAGCACGACCAGGTACCTATATCATGTAACCGCCTCAAAAAGGGGGGGGGGGGTCGAGCAAAAAAGGGAACATTTGGGCATTCGCACTTTTTTTTATATGAATGTACAAGTCAGTGAAGAAATCGTACCACTCAAACGAATTTTGTGCTAATAGCAGATTCCAATAATGTCGAATTATATGAAGCAGGTTTTGAAGCTTCTTATAAAATTCAACTTGTCAGACCAAAAATCCCCAGTTTTTCGTTTGTGAGAAATTTTCACGGGACCTTTATGCCATGCCAGCTTCTGCCTATCTTATCAACCCCGCCGGCACACTCCAAAGTCAAATTTATTCTTTGAGGCAATTAGTGTTGATCGAGGTCACGTGGCAGTTTCAAGTGCAGTAAATTAGCCCACCGAACAAATAGAGATTAGAAAACAAAATAACGAGTGTCTTATCTTCAAATTTTGTGTAAACTGGTACCACGTCGCATAAGGTAGACGAACCCGCCCCCTTGATTGGACTGACCAAAGTCGAGGACATCAAAAACAAAATTTCATAATCGTTGAATTTTTTTTTTGGGGGGGGGGTGTCATTAGTTATTCCAGGTCAAAATAATGCAAGCATGACTTCAAAGCCAGCATTAATATCTAGCTTGTTATGCTGCGATCCCTAAATCTTTTTAAATTATTTGGCTTTTTTAATTTCGATTTTAAATACATCGATCCGGGTATCAACGAATCTTTTAGTTTGTTTATAATTATGTGTATATTATTGTCGTGTCTGTTCATGCTATTTTCAAGTTGCATCCCGAAAGAAAAGGAATCGCTAATATTTATGAAATAAAAAAAATACTTAAGTCACTCCGAATTCCGAATTGTTGCGGTCAGATAAATATTTCAGATCTTGCAGGGTAGCCTGGTTCCCGCCCCTCAGCATCGATAATGAGTTGTGAGTATTTTTCCCGAATTTCTGAATTTGGGGCATTTATCTTAGGGGGTCTATGGCAGTTTATTTACTGGTCTGCAACCCTCTGCCACCTACTGTCTAATAATGTACAGCCCTTCACCCCCGTTCCCCGTTTTTTCTTATAATTGTATTTGCAACATCATGAAAAGTCATTTCGGGGGGTGTTACCGCCCCCCCCCCCCAGTCGAGGACACGGATTAACGTCACTGCCCATGGGACCGGCAAAAGTAATGATTTAATCAGTGGAAATATTTCATGACGTCAATCAACTAAATTCGGGGTTTTTTTATCACACAATAGCTCCTTGCTATAATCATGATCATACAAAGTGAATACTTTAAAGGGAATGTACAACATTTGTTTTTGCTGCAATTTTCAGAAATAAACGGATTTGGAGGATTAGTTTGTTATAGCAAACTGACTTGTTTCACGTTTTGGGCTTGTAGATTCTGGAAAACCAAAATGTTCTTGTAGTCTGGTTCCCTGACCATGCACACTTAAGATAAAACGGAGCAATTTATAGACTTTGGGAATTGTAAGGTCAGAGATTCAGTCTAGCATGGCTTATACCCCTTCAGAGGTGTGTAATTAATTGCAAAGAAAATGCGGAATAAGTAAATATGAAAAATTTGGAGCAGTTTTTGAAAAAAAAGCCAGTTTTTTTCCAACGTTGGGAAAATACAGTTTTCTTGAAAATGACAGCACACCAGGAGCCATGAATTCACAGGATGCTTTAGACCGTCATTCCCTAACAATCAAGTAAAATATTTCGTGCAAATGTGATCATTTCGTTTTTGATGATTGCAAATGTTGTATCTTCCCTTTAACCAATGGGCCTATAGCCTATAATGGGCAGAGATAACTCTCACGTTTTGCCAACTTTCCAATCGACCCCTCCCCTATAACGGACGGACCCGAAATTGTCACGATTTTCCATTCGCTTTTATGGAATTCCACTTTATTTCGTGTCAGGGGCGGATCTAGCCTTTATGAAGCAGGGTGTTTTTTTTTAATTTATATTTCAGTGGATATGAAGGTGCCGAAGGCACGCACTGCTGGGGGAGGGGTCCAGGGGCACCCCCCCCCCCCCCCCGCGGAACCTATTTTGTAATCTACCATGCTATTTCCTGCATTCTATATAAGACAATTTGAGAATAACTTTCTTTCATTGATTATTTTGGACGCATTTTACAACTTTATAGCCAGAGACTGGACGGGTTGCAACACCCCCACCGCCCTGCCCCACCCCCATTTAACACCCCCACTGCTTGTGTACGCTAAATTTAAGGTAGAAGAAGAATAACTTCGTGATCTATCTAAAACTTGCGTGCAGATATCCCAATCCATTGCATTGAGTGGTAGGGGGTTATGAGGGATAAAAAACGAATTTCTCCACCAAATTTGGTGCAGCACAATTAATTGTAACTTTAGGCAAAATGAGGAATATCCCCCAAAAAACCTGTTTTGAGTGATCGACGCCCTGAAGTTGGATACACATGTACTAGAAAATGATGTCAAAATCAATATTTTTTTTTTTTATTTTTTTATATTGAGTGGCCAAAGTATCAAAGATTTACGCTATGCATTTTTTGTTTAGAAAAAAATATCCCGCTTGAAGTGAGGGACAACTACCCCTGATAACAAACGTAGGAAAAGGCCCGACCGTTTTCACTTTTTTTTTCAAAGCTTTTTTTTCCTAAATGAGGTCGGCGATGTTCGAGGGTAAACTGTTGAAGTTCCTGCAGCATATCTTTGAATACGCTACAGAAATAAGTTTGGTAGCATTGGAAGGCCAATGAATTGCGCGGCTTAAAGGCTGCAGACCAGTAAATAAACTGCCATAGACCCCAATGACAAATGCCCCTACTTCAAACATTCAGGAAAAATACTCACAACTCTCCAAGGTATTCGAGACACACATTAAATAAAGCTAATTTCATCATCTTTTATTTTCTTTTCAATTTGTGGGGGGTTAACTGATGAATTTTAGGAGAAATTTCCATCCGAAGATGATCAACCTTTAAAATGGTCCCGAAGCCCATCGCCATTTTGAAAAACGACGCCTATATACACTCCATTGCAAAATAGAGCGCTGTTAAGACTTCAATTTCATCCAAATTGCACAGAACTACAAGCTCACAGTCCTGTGCACGGCTTCCACCCATATTTTTTACAAACCCTCAAGTTCATGGTCCACAATATGCTCAGATAACGGAGAATATGAGGGCATGAAAATCGTGATTTGGCCGGCGTAGGCGATTTGGGACCGATTTACTGGTTCTGCAACCTTTAATGTTTGATGTGCATTTGTGGTGGGGTTTATTCTATCCTCATTACGCTCTGCAGGTCACATTGTTTGCAATGATTGCCAAACTACACAAGGAGCGCACAAAATTCTGTTCAATTTATTCATTCACTCGGAATGGCTAATCACTTGCTGGTTTTCATGCAGCTGGTCTACACACTGGGCGCAATACAATTTTGGGGGTAGTCCTTGACTCCATAACGATAGTGCTGTCACAACAAGGTGGCGGCGGAACCCGGCGGTGAAATTTCTTTTCCCAAACTAGATCGGACAATATCTAAAGAGGGCGCTCTCTCTGCATTATGCATATTCATGATGTCCAGGAAAATTAGAGAATAAGTTATATAACAAGGATTAATAGTGTTTAAATCACCGACGATTTGCAGCTCATTCGTGGACTGGTTGGAAGAAATCCTGACTTCTGATCAGGTGTGATCCGCTGAGTTCGAATCTCAGTGAGCGTTGTTCACTTCTTCTCATTTTTCCTTTTAAATAATTTAAGTGAGGTAGGAACATTTCTCACAAGACGTAAAACCTATCTTGGGTTTGTGTTAAGCAGAACAAGGCATTAGATATGCATGTAATGGACCAATCAGAAGATGGAAAGCGGATGTCTCGCGATAAAAAAATTGGTCTCTCTACATAACTAGGTAAAAGAATCACAAAGAGCAAGATGGACAACGTATCCTCGTCATATCATGGTTCATAGCGAAATGAACGGGACCATTTTCCCTCCACTTTCACACCGTACCGACGGAAGCTAGTTCCCCCTTTTCTAAGCAAGTGCCCCTTGCCCCCCCCCCCCCCAAGATTGAAAAGCATTCCGCAGTCTCTGTAGGTGTGCAAGATAAATAATGTATAGAGAGGGTATGGCCTACTACATACACTAGCCCTCTGGAAGGGGCACCTTCCGTCGTTGTGAAAGTGGAGGAAAAGAAAATGGTCACAGGAAAACGTCATTACTATAAAATGCCCCCACCCAAAAAAAAAACCAGCAAGAAAGAGAGAGAGAGACTAGTGTGCACTTACTGTGATCCAGCAGCGTCAGCAGCACTACCAGACACAGCAACTTGTCAAGCTTCCTCCTCGCCATTCTGGCGACTGAGGTGGTCGTCAACAATCACAGGTGGGAAGGTTCTGGTCGCCAACCAGTTCAGTTCCTGGTTCTTCTTGTCCGGTGCCGCGGCAGAACAACGCAACGTATAGATACAGGCTCTTGGGTTGCTTCGTAAGCGCAAAAAGTATTGGCCGGCAGCAAGGGTATGTAAAATCCCACCAACTCTCCAGGCAAATTATTAACAGGCGCAAAAAACAGCACCCGGAGAACAGAAATGTTTCGGAACTGCTCAGAAGTGCACCATTTTTGTTAATGTCATCGATGGTTTTCTTGAAAATGTACCACCGAGACCGAGTTGTGCACCGAACCTCAGTGACAGGTTAAGTGTATCGGGTGGCGGTGTGCGTTGGTACCGTACCGTTACTGACTTGGCTGATAAGACAAGGGGAACGCCCCTTGGTATTGCCCTAGAAAACAAAACCCTGATTTGTTAGTACGAGTGGTGAGATAATTACTGGTTTTACAAATAAACCTACCAACACCTTTCCAAAAATGGAATAGTCCACTTTGTACTTTTTAAAATCGTATTACGTGTAGTCATAAACGACTTTTGACAATGAACTTAAAAAAAGGAAATTGTTTAGGCCTATAGTTTAATACACCGACCAACTGACTTTTCATTTTAAATCACTTTTTACTTAATTGGCAATTGGCATTTACATGGTGAGTAAAAAAAACGCATCCCAAATGGCAGGACCAATTCTTGAATGAAGTTTTGCCTGTAGCACTTTCAAAATCTAGGATAAGAAAGCCCAATCAATGAGCTTTCTTTTAGTACAAGAATCATTCAAATCACTCGTGTACTTTTCAAGTTACGACATTTTGAACACAACATGTAACACCGTTTTAAAGTTCATTCCACGGATCACTAAAAAACAGTACCTATTCTTTCAGCAAAACGAGAATGAGAATTGTTTTCGTTTTGCTGAAAGAACACTTACTTTTTTGTTGTGATCCGTGGACAGAACTATAAAACGATGTTTAAAATCAAAATGCAGTAACCTGAAAGTACAGGAGTGATCTGAATGATTCTTGTACTAAAAGAAAGTTTATGAATTGGGGTTTCATAATAGATTTTGAAAGTGCTACAGGCAAAACTTCATTCAAAAATTAGTCCTGCTATATGAGAAGCGTTTTTTTTTTTATTCACACTGTATATATATGCTTATTATGGGGTAATATGCATTATTGTATGATTTTAATGTTTTCAGATACGTCCATTGTTAAAAGAGGGGTGAACCAATCTGGCTCACTCAAATTATAATTTACCAAAGTGCACTAGAAATTGACCTTTAAGGACGCATTAAACACGATTTGCCCGACCAATTATCCAGCAGCATACACCAGTGTACGTAAACGAACTTTACACGCAAATTATCAGTTGATCACCCATGAAACTGAACTTTGGATAAGAACAAAGTCAGCTAATTTTATCCGGCGAAGCGAAGTAGAGACAGGCACAGCCGGCCAGCACACCTCCTCTTCGGCTAGCATATTGCACAATATTTTTCGTATAGTCATCAGTTTTTTGGCACCCTTGTAAAACCGAGTCCGTTCGGTATTCGAACTGCGCATGCGCACATCGTAATTTGACTTTTTTATTATTAAAATCCCGGATGTGACATGACTGCAATATTCTTTTCAGATGGAAGGGCCTACCAGTCACTATCTTAATGTACACCAGTGAAAAAACACTTTGTTTCACTTAAAGAGTCATTATTATGGCGTCAAGGTTTTTACGAAGGGACGCCAATTCGGCCAAAATTCAACAATTTTTTTTCGAAATTCTTTTTTTCCAGGCGAAATCGGTTAAGTAAACAGCAACGACCCTTTTGGCGAATTTTTTCGGATAAAAAAATCAGTGTAAATCAGTGAAATCATGACAATCAATGTAGGGAAATTTCACCTGAATCGTATTTTCACGAAGAGACAAATTCCAACTTTATCATGTTGTTCTATGGGACAAAAACAACGCGCGTACAGGCGTTTGAGTTTTCACAAAGAGACAAATTGACTTTGCCCCGCAAAACAACGCGCGTGTGGCATTTTAAGTTTTCACGAGGAGACGAATTTAGCGGTAATGTTTTACGCTTAGTAATTTTCAGGCCAGTCTCATCATCATGTGCACAAATGATGGCCAGATATGTGAATCTTTCCATAATATTCATTCAGATTTAACCTAAAGCCCGAGAATTAATAAATTAAACATTGAAAAAGATGGTGGATATTTTGGTGTTCAATGGTACTGGCTTTCTGTTAGTACTAGGCCTAAACGGACATCCCAGCCAGACGGAATTGTGGGGTGATAGCATTGTGCTCCTTTTATCCCTTTTTCTAAAGATCCTCTTCTGGGGTGATGTTTTTCTATCGTTAAAATAGTGGGGTGATGTGTTCTGAAAGGAACATCACCCCACAAGAACGATATAGGCCTTGCCCAGTTGGACTTTCTTATACCTCCCTACGAATACGATGAACTCGGATGAATAATTATGTTTTTGTTCAAATCATTAAAGCAACTGTTATGATTTATAAGAATTAAAATCCACTTTATGATTTTAAGTGTTATTATATATGCATATCAGTCTCATATGGTTTGTGCACAGGGTGACAAGTGATGGCCAGATGTGGGAATCTTTCCATAATATTCATTCAGATTTCACCTCACTACTGAGAACAACAACAACAACAACAACAACCAAGAGATAAATTACAGTGCATGATTTAATATAACAATACGGCTAAGGGACGCAATGCGAATACTTAATTCGAAGTGCAGGAAAATCCAAATTCCCAAATATTTCAATATTTAGTTTTATGTATAGCTCATAGAAAAAATAAAATAATCTGTAACTCAAGTCCCAAAAAGGTATCTTCTATTTACTTAAAATAATTGTAAATATTGAACAGAGTATGCCCAAAAAACTGCAACATTCAGAAACAAATATTTAAAGCTGGTTATTTTTTTTATTCCTTAATGAAATTATGTATTACATTAAAGCCCGACTATTTCTCAATCCACTCCTTTTTACCCCATTCCACTTGGGTCCCTAGATCAAGAAATACAATCAACTATAAAGTGAAAGGGTGTTAATTTTACTTGGGCCACTCTCACTTGGACATGCTGAATCTGGCGGTTTTTGTGGGGCCGTATCATAAGTCCGACGCCTCATAGGTCGACGCCTCATAAGTCCGACATTTCGGACTTATGAGGCATAAAATTTATTTATTCCGCCTCATAGGTCCGACGCCTCATAAGTCCGACAACGAAAAAACGAGGCGTTTAATTTGTCGGACTTACGAGGCGTCGGAGCTATGAGGCGTCGGATCTATGAGGCGTCGGACTTATGAGGCGTCGGACCTATGAGGCGTCGGACTTATGGGTCTTTATTTGGTTAGGGGATGCAATTTTGTCGGACTAATGAGGCGTCGGACCTATTGAGGCGTCGGACTTATGAGCGGACCCCGTTTTTGTAGCTTTGAAATCAAAGTCAGTAAGTCAATCATGACAGCGGATGTCAGTTGGGATTTTGTAATTGTTTTTTTTTTGGGGGGGGGGGGGAGGGGGAAGGCTAACAAACCAAACGTCCAATGTTTCCATAATTACATAATTCAAAAATTCTTAGTTTAAATATACAAAGCTCAAGTACAAAAAAAACCCCAGCTAATCGTACCTGCCCGCATCCTTTTTTGAAGCCGCATCCTTTTAATTTTTTTTTTCTCACCTCGAAAAGCTAACTTTTTCTTGTATTTCGCTTTAATAACATACATAGAACATGTTTAACATGAATATTTTGACTCTACTCACTATTAGGATAGCTAATTAAAACCTCTTTTTGAAAAACCCAGACGATCAACTGGATCGTTTTTGTTTTACTTTGCCTAACCCGTTATTTACGACTCAAAAATGCCCAAGTTCTGTCCATAAGACCAAACAAAAAAGTCTCTGGTTTCTGGTATGCGCGCACATTGCCGTAGCCATGCGCGTCGGCAATATGAAAAAGTTTTTTTTTTCAATAAAAGATGACGTCTCAAAACTGCCAAACTCACTAGTTTGACTTGAATCCTGCTGCTGTACAATTTTAACATGTTTTTAGATGGGGTTATGATCGAGAATAAGCTTTATGTGGCCTCTCTGGACTCCCATATATTTGCACTTAAAGTTTAGTCGGGCACCATTTGCAGTCATCAGCCGACATTTCAAGCAAAAAAAAACAGGCAAAAAAAAAAAAAAAAAAAAAAAAAAGCCGCGTCGCCGCACCACTTTTTGGGTAAGCTCCATACCAGAAACCGGAGACTTTCTTTTTTGGGCCTAAAGGCAAGAAAACTATTTGACTACTTAAGACAAAAATGGAATGTATGGCTCGGATGGAAAACAAAACTAACAAAAAAAAAAGGTTTAATTTTGGATAAGACTGTAAAATGAGCCAGCATACAAAGTACCCCCTCACCGGCAATGGAAGTACAGTTGGGGGTGACCGACCGACGCCATCTTGCCTGACTGCAATTCATTTGCCGCAAAGCGCGGCCACAGCGTGTAAACAGAACAAATCCCCTGGTGTACGTGCGCCACACACAAGGAACGGTGCGCGCCAACCAGGAAAATGTCCCGCCCATGGGAAGTCGTTGTTAGGTAAAAGGGCGCCCTCTTTTGGTAGCGCACGGAGCTCATACTGACCGACTAGCACCGTATATTAACCAGCAGGCTTTAATTATGAATAAACTAGCACTAATACAACATTTGTTAAACGTTTTGCGCGATATGACTTACTTTTGGTACAATTTAAATTTTTTTGTGGGTATAATATCTATTTGCATTCAAGGGCAGCCCCACATAGCTCATATTTCTTAAAAAAATTTCCCAACAATATAACGTTTAAATTATTTTACATAATTGCCGTCAACATTTTCCTTTACATCGCATAGTGCTAATACATTGTAATGATGACCGAACGAACCAGATACAATAAGAAAATAGACCACACCATTTCTAAAGGAATGTATTATTACTATTAAATGAACGGCACAAAATAAAGACACTCCTCAGTGTCATTTCAGTTTCTTGGTGAATAGACCTTTGTCATGCTGCCACCATTTCAGTCATGTTCCCTGTATCCCGCAACAGTACAGAATGATAAATGTTTTCCGCGCGAAAAGGAACCAGACTATTTTTCCTTCCAGCCTCGCTTTGGTTACCTTGATTTGAATGGGAAAAAATCACTTGAAGATGGCTGCAACATGATAATGGTCTATGGTGCATGTTGTTGCCGTCAAGCCGATGATCGTGTCGCCACGGTAACACATGGCCTTTGACCGACCGCATGACCTTTGACCTACAACAGCACCTTCTCCATGTAGTCGTTCAGGAACATGCCTTGTGGGTCCAGCTGCCGGCGGATCTTGCAGAACGCCTCAAACTCCGGGTAGGCAATCTTGAAATCGGCAGCCGTCAACTTGTGAGCCTGCGGAGGCGTGGGTGTGATTGGGGGGGGGGGGGGGGGGGGGGGGGGGGGGGGGGAGGGGGGAAAATTTTCTATGATTTTTTTTCATCAAAATTTCAATATAAGATTGCCTTTGCAGAACTCTTCATTGATTGCTTTGTAGGTTCCTCTTTTTCAATACACATTTTGGTGCAGTGGCCATAGCCTACATAAGATACCATGGCACCCAGACGGTACCCAATGCACCTGCTCCTTAGCCCATTGTAGTCTTTTATCACCCAGTTTCAACAGTTCAGATACACTAGTATGTGAATAATAGTACCCAGGTGGTACCCAATTCAGTTTTTCCTTAGCCCAGTGTGTTCTTGCTCCACCCCACTGGTACATATGAGACACCTTAGTACATGTATACATGTGCTATTATTGATAGATCAATAATGGTACCCAGATGGCATCTATGCACCGTTTACTTTAAGCACAATGTGTTGTCACTCCACCCAGTTGCTACCTATCGGATACATTACTTTATAGCTTAACAATACTGGTACCAAGGTGGTACCCAATGCACCTGCCCACCCCAAATGGTACCTATGAGACACCTCAGTATGATCAATAATGGTAACCAGATGGTACCCTATGCACATTTTCCTTAGCCCAATGTGTTCTTACTGCACCCAGTTGCTACCCTATCAGATAGTTTAGTAACAATACTGGTACCAAGGTGGTACCCAATGCACCCTCTCCTTAGCCCAGTGTGGTCTTCCTCCACCCAGTTGCTACCTATCAGATACATCAAGTATAACAATAACAGGACCCAGGTGGTACCCAATGCACCTTCTAGTTAGCCCAGTGTGTTCTTGATCCACCTAATCAGTACCCAAGAAACACCTTAGTATATCAATAATGGTACCCACGGGATACCTAATGTACCCTCTCCTTTAATAGCCAGTGTGTTCTTGCTCCACCCAAATGGTACCTACGAGACACATTACAATATATCAATAATGATACACAGATGGTACCCTAAGCACCTCCTCCTTAGCCCAGTGTGTTCTTGCTCCCATCTGTTGGTACATCAGATGCCCAAGTCATGTATTACAATAATGGTACCCAGGTGGTACCCAGTGCACGTTTTCCTTAGCCCAGTGTGATCTTGCTCCACCCAGTTGCTACCTATCAGATACGTTGGTATAACCATAATGCTACCCAGGTGGTACCCAATGCACCTTTAACTTAGCCCAGTGTAACTCATCCTTACCTTAGCCCAGTGCGGCCTTCCGCCAACATTGTACATGATCTTCTCAAAAGCGCCCAGTACTTGGCATGCGGGATAAATTTTCCAAAGGGCCTACACAATGAGAACAATATCGGAACAAAATAAAGCAAGACGAGTAGAGCTGGTCTCAGAGCACACAAAATTAATTCATTATCAGTCCTTCTGATTTGAAAATCACACGCGTGTGAAAAGGCACGTACACCTGGATTTTTCGTAGAGTGTGATTTTTCTAGGCTGTCATTTTTCTACATTGTTCTAGGCGTGTGATTTTTCTAGGAGTGTGATTTTTTTTAGGAGTGTGATTTTTCTAGGCGTGTGATTTTTCTAGGTGTGCGTTTTTTCTAGGCGTGTGATTTTTCTAGGCGTGTGATTTTTTTAGGCGTGTGATTTTTCTAGGTGTGTGATTTTTCTAGGCGTGTGATTCTGTGGTCCAAACTGGGACTGAACAATCTGATACTTTTCTAACAATAACCATCTTGAAAGCCATTTTCCCTTCACCGACGTACTTTATTTTTCACAATTTATGAAGTATAACTATGCCGTTAATATGCCAAGGCATGCCGTACTGAGGGATTCAGTCTGCGATTATTCGCACTTCTCGGGAGGCTTTCAGGCGTGTGATGGCGTGGGGGTGTGATCGCACGCCTCAAAACAGAAGGACTGCATTATTCACGAATAATGAACAATGAATAATGCATGAGCTTACCAGTAGATATAAGGACACTAAAGATGGCAACAATTTCTACATGGTCAAATGGTGGGTTTGATCACGCCTACTTTTATACACAAGTTGCTTTTAGTACTTTATATATAAATGAATAATTCATGCAATGAGAGACCAACTCATGAATAATGCATGAGCTCGCCTGTAGATATAAGGACACTAAAGATGGCAACAATTTCTACATGGTCCAATGGTGGGTCTGATCATGCCTACTTCTATACACAAGTTGCTTTTAATACTACATACATCAATGAATAATTCATGCAATGAGAGACCAACTCGTGAATAATGCATGAGCTCACCTGTAGATATAAAGCTGGCCACATTTCACACCGTCGAATGGTGGGTTCTTTCTGTGCTCATATACATTTACACCTCCTTGACATAACACATCATTAAATGAATAATTCATGCAATTAGCGACCAAATTTGTGAATAATGCATGAGCTCACCTGTACATGATGATGTTGATGTAGCACGTCTCCCGCCCATAGGCGGGGCTTAGCATGATGTCATCCTCTTTGACAAATCGCACCTCAATGGGGAAGTGGACGCAGACGTCTTTGTTGGCTCCCAGCCAAGATTTCAATTCTCGCAACACCATTGCAGTGTGACGTCTAGGGAAAGTAAAGGGAGAGAACTTTTACAGTGAAAATGAAGCAAAATTGTGAGTCGTTCTGGCAAAACGAGACAAAATTGGGCAGGACGAACTGAGGATTTGTGGTTATTAAGAAAGAAAAGTAAATTCCCCTTGCAATACTTTTTGGTTGCAGTTTGCATTATCACATGTCCAAAACGTGAACTACTGAGAAAAGGCCTTTAAAGTCTTATGTTTTGGTTGTCATGAAAATGAAAGATGCCGACTGTTTTTCCTTAAAAACACTTTTATTCCGTTAGGCCATCAGCCTGGGGGTTTGGTCAGTATAAAAATCAGGGCATAAATTATTATAGTACGCATGCGAAAGGTATACCCCCCTAGAGTGGTTACAAGCATTTTGATGGTCATTTTGCAAAAAAAGGGTGATAACACCCAAAAAGCTGCCACCGCTGCAATGCTATCACATATTTTCCATCTCTGGAGGTGTATACCTTGCCAAAAATCGCTAGGACGCTTATTCCCCTCATTTGATACCGGTGGCCAAAATTTTGGACCGAGGCTGATGGCCTACGTGATTTTTGCACTATTTCTTTGAAATATGTGCAGTAGACACATCAACACTTCCAATACATCAATAAATGGGAAAAGTGAAAGACAAAACACTCTGGGAGTCGTTGTGTACACGGTAAATTGACATCAGGAAGCTTGCTCTAGGATCCTGTCTACTTGGCATCCTCACAGGATGCAACTTCACACTCCATTGATTTCGCCTCTTGCTACTTAAGTATTCACTTTCTTAGAGTTTAGGCACTCTCCTGAAGACGGTCAGAGCATACTGACCGGAACGTCGCGTTTATACCTCTGGTTCTTTTCAGAACCATCCTCTTAGTTGAGAAATTATTCGCACATGGTGTTTCTGCAAACCTTTCATTATTTAGTATCTTCACCATGCAAAGCCTCAAATCTTACTTATCAGGAATGTTGGCAAGGCTCCTACAAACCTTGGGATCGCCCACTCGGTAACGTGCTGCTTGAAGAGGCACTCGAAGTTTAAAACGGCGTGGCTCGTGGCAATGTCTTCGCGCCGACCAGTGTAACACCAATTGTAGAAGAGGCGGTTGATGCTGGGAATCAGTCTCGGGAGGAAGGAACTGCAAAAGGCATTAACAACTTTGTGAATTAATACCAGAAAACCCAACAAAATTCATGCAACAACTCACTGAAAACTTCCTTTTATATTATCGATGTTTATTTGTATTTTTTTCCTTCTTCACATTTTGGCAAACAGTGAATTTGTTGCCCTCAGGGATGTTGCAGACCGGTTCCCACTAAAGGTATAGTCCATCGTTTGTAATTTGTGCATTTTGATCGTTTGAAGCAACAAAAATGCTCAAAATCTAAAGAAGGGTGCTGAACAACTAAGTTTCAGCTCAGCTTCAGCTGTTTATTTCGAGAAAAACACCATTCTATGATCTCGATTTCAAATCAAAGGTTGCTGAATCATGTTTTGAATTGGACCTCAATTCAGCGTCCGAGACACGTTCTCACTGAGTGGACTGCAGCTACGCGATGTCGCGCACCAATCCGACGAATAATAGCAACCGCGCACACGTGTGCGTCGTGCCAAGGCTTGCGCATGTTTCGCCGAATAAAAAAACGAACTACTAATGGAAATTTCCAACAGTGGGTCTTAAGACGCACCGTTGGAAAGGCCTTCTTTTGTTGATTTCTTCAAAATGACAGCTTGCCAGAAAGAATAATTTAACAGGAAGTTAGTCTCCTTACTACCGGTTTCTTCCAACCAAGTTTGTTTTTCAACAATAATTACGTCAGTTACTTTTTGGATAGCTGCAAATGATGGACTGTAGCTTTAAACCGCGTATTATTGTTGGTACTGTAACGAACACTCCAGGAGCTGTAGGACCATCGGAGCAAGGCTGGATCAACGCTGGAGCCCCTTGTTGACTGTGAAATCCAGTATGTTGCAGCTCCAGAAACAGGCTCTATAAATGGACTGCTTCAGTGGGTTCCTTTTGCTCAGTTACGCGGGAGGGTTTGGCCAGATGCCCAGGCAGGTTAAATGTTATACATTGTATAAAAGTTGCTGACATGTGTACGTCAAGCCAGTCACGAACCCATATGGCTCATCAGGCCGGCGTTTTTCTCTGGTTTCTGTGGCTTTAAACCACCAAGAATATTTTCTATTTTCTACAAATTTACACTCCTGGGTGGAGAGAGAGGCAAGTGGGGGACAAGTGGCTTGCCCAAGGACACAACATATGGCCAGCAGCTGGATTCAACCCCTGACCCAACGATCATTAGTTGCAACCCTAACCACTACGCCACAATCCCCAAAACAGGACCCAAGTAAAGTTATAATGACCAAATAACAGACGCTGTTTATAGTCAATGTGAACCCAGCTGAAGTCTGCCTGTTTTCTTTTCTTCGCTTTGAAATCAAGTTCTCCAAAATTTCAGGATTTTTCCCCCCCAAAATTCAATTTTTTTCCCCCTTCTTCTCAAACTGCACTGTGTCTCACCTTAGCCAGTACAGGAACTGCAGAGTGTAGTAACAGAGGAAGTAGTCTTTGAACCAGTTGGCGCTGGATGCAGCCGGTTTTTGAGTGCGGTCATTCTGCCACAAAACGGCGCCCTCAGTGTGCGGGTACCAACAGAAGCGGAAGTACTCGCTGCTCGCTATGTGCTCGTCCAGGTTATCAAGAACCTGCTCAGCAAAAACGGGGATGTTAATCGGTTTAGAATAATAATAATAACTAGAGGTTCGCGTTTGTTGTTACAAACGCAGAGTGGTCGGGTAGACAACCATTTCATTAGATATTGTCCAATTAAGTTATGAATATGTTTATGTCAGAAAAAAAGGACCAAGAACTTCAACATTTCCAGTACCAATTATTTTTTACAAAAATAATGCGTCTTTTAAGGTGTGATAAATTTCAGTAAACAGTTTGAGTACAAGTTATTTCCGGTTTGATGGCGTCATCAGTCAAAACAGGGAAGGGAGGACACTTGTTAATCATTAAGTAAAAATAACGCATGGAAATATGGAAATTAAGTGTATGTAATAATAACAGCTAACTTCCAGTTTGATGACGTCACAGTATTTGGAAGCAAAAGGTCAATATAAAGTGTAACAGAAGTCATTTTTTTTTGGGGGGGGGGCAAAAAACAAAGTCATGAGACAGGGATCAAATGATGGATTTAACTTAACACATAAAATGGTCATTGTTGAATTCTCCCTACAGTAACTTCCGGTCTGATGACGTCATGATTATGAAACCTTGCAAATTCATTTGTGGTTGCTCACGGGATATATAGGGGCAATTATATCATAAAAATTTGATTGAGGGTTTTAACATTTTAAAAGATTAAACTGTTTTCCATGTACCGCTGGAGGGCGCCCTTTCGTGGATGACGTCAAAATAATGTTTTTGTGATTGGCATTCCTCACTTAACACTTCCATAATGTATTTGTCTGTACGGAAATGCTTCCGTTTTAGAGTTAGATTCAGTTTCTATTGCACTTCCGGTAACACCGGAAGTAAAGGTCAAGCAGTTTTGTGCCCGGGAATAATAAATGTTGCTCAAGGCACCGTCTACAACCTCACGAAAAAACGAACACGATACCCTATTTAGTTCAAGAGATATAGGTCAAAGTATTTTGTCAAATCGTGCAATCAAATCGCTTGTAATTTGATACCTGATGACGTCATGATGACGTAACAACAGTTATACTATCTTCGTAACATGGTACAAGTTCACAGTAGGTTTTATGATCATACCGTAAACCGTGTGGAAGAAATTGTGCTTTGTTTTGATTTCAGGCTAAAGTCTTCATTTTCAATTCATGTAACTTTGACCTTCCGGTGGACCCGGAAGTAAAGGTCAAGCGAGTTCACGTACACGACAAAAAGTGTTGATCACCTAATGGTCTATCTGATTACAAAGTTGGAACATATTTGATCATTTTGTTTAAGAGTTATAGATGAAAGTATTTGGCCCTTTTTTCTCTAAAATCGCGTGTAATTTGACACCCGATGACGTAATCGTGACGTCAGAGTAATATGCACCACTTCGGATGAGGGTCGATATATATTGAAAGTTACAAGTTCATACCATATACCGTTTAAGAGAAAACCCGCGGAGAAGTATTGTCCGGGAAAAAAAGAAAGAAAGAAAGAAAGATTAATCGTAACAGATCCAAAGAGTGGTCGGGTTGTGCCCGACCACTCAATAATTTGGGAGGCTAATCATCCTTACTCGCAGCTGGTATGCTGAATTGCGAAGGACGCGGCTACAACGTGCTCGGGCCGCTGGCACGTAAAGGCGCCTATGGCTGCCGGCCACATCGGCCCATATATGACCACGGAGCACAGCCTGAGATCGAAAGTGTTTGATTTTTCTGGAGGGAGGAAAACCGGAGGGCCCGGAGAAAAACCCACGTGGCACAGGAGAGAACCAACGCACAACTCTACTCACATGCGATCCGCGGCCAGGATTCGAACCGTGGTCACCTTGGTGAGAGGCGAGCGCTTTACGCACAAGCCACCCATGCCATCCGTTTACAAGTCATGAGCACTTTACAAAAATACATCCAACTCCTGTGAAGTCAAATCTCAAGAGAATGCATAATTTTTTTTTTGAGGTATCCAGAGTTCGAGTTCGATGAATGGAGTTTCGAGTTATCCAAAGAGTTTACTGTACATCAAATGGCATGTTGGCTGGTGCACTGTTGCTGCGTGAGTCACGTCCAGGCAGTACACGAGCACTCTGGCATTTGTCTGGGCTCCTTCGACCAACAGTGTTACCAAAATGCCTCGATCATTCTTAAGAATGAGCACAGCATTTTTCTTTTGGGGGGGGGGGGGTTCACATAATTTTGCTATGTATTTCTATGAAAACTTAAATTTTGAGTCAGAGCTGGGGGGTGGGGAAAGTTTGTGCTAAGAGATACTGTACCTCGTCCAGAGTGCACGACATCTGCCTCTTGTGGAGTTTAAACTCCGGTTCGCACTGGATGGTTACCGTGACGATGACCCCCAATGATCCCAGACTGCACAGAGCCGCGCGGAAGAGCTCCTCCTTCTCGGACCGGGAACACCGCAGGACCTCGCCCTGTGCCGTCAACAGTTCCATCCGGACAACCTACAGAGAGTCAGACAAGCTCAACCAGTCAGGACAGACAGACCAAAGCGCCGACGGATGTCTAACATGTATCGTCATATCCGTGCAATAAGGTCGAATCTCCTAAAATGGGCCGTACGTGAAACGCGTGTTTCTGACTGTCAAAAGATCGTATCTCGATTGAAATAACCCCGGATGCTCACACAAAGTCAATGGACGTCGAGATACGTTACGACCTTGTTGCATGGAGCGTATTCGCGCAAGATACAACTTTGTTCAGAATGAAGTTACGGACTTCATGCACTGACGTGATGGTATGTTTACACAAAGCCTGCTATAGACCTATATACATGTATAGACATAACCTGTAAAGCCAGGGGCCAATTTCATACATGTAGAGCTGCTTAAGCACAAAATTTGCTTAAGCACAAAAAATCTTGCTTCCAATATAATCAGGTTACCGGCCAAAACTCCACTCGATTGTTATGCTAAGTAAACAACAGCTAAATACCAGTCACAGGCAATGTACATCGCATGGAGTTTTGGCAGGTTACGTGATTTTACTAAGCAATGTTTTTTCGTGCTTAAGCAAATTTTGTGCTTAAGCGGCTCTATGAAATTGGGCCCTGGTTCATCCTCGGCACGAAAGCGAAAGCAAACACGCAGTTGTGACATCATGGCAACCCCTACGAAAAAGTCTTATAAGAATCTTATAAGAACGTTGTAAGAATCTTATAAGAATCTGAGAACCTCCTTATAAGAATCTTATAAGAATCTGAGAACCTTCTTATAAGAATGTTATAAGAATCTTATAAGATTTGTATAAGTATTATATATGCAAATTAGTAAGATCTAATAAGAATCTTATAAGATTCTTATAAGTATTATTTATGCAAATTAGTAAGATCTAACAAGATTCTTATAAGATTCTTATAAGAATCTTATAAGAATCCCGGCGCCGCCTAGGAAATACTCTTATAATAATAATAATAATAATAATAATTTGGGAGGCTAATCATCCTTACTCGCAGCTGGTACGCTGAATTGCGAAGGACGCGGCTACAACGTGGTCGGGCCGCTGGCACGTAAAGGCGCCTATGGCTGCCGGCCACATCGACCCATATATGACCACGGAGCACAGCCTGAGATCAAAAGTGTTTGATTTTTCCGGAGGGAGGAAAACCGGAGGCCCCGGAGAAAAACCCTCCTGGCACAGGAGAGAACCAACGCACAACTCTACTCACAATGCGAGTTTGTATCTCATTTAAAATAACCCGGATGCACACACAAAGTCAATGGACGTCGAGATACGACCTTGTTGCATGGAGCGTATTCGCGCAAGATACAACTTTGTTCAGAATGGAGTTACGGACTTCATGCACTGACGTGACGGTATGTTTACACAAAGCCTGCTATAGACCTACGTATATACATGTATAGACATAACCTGTAAAGCCAGGGGCCAATTTCATACATGTAGAGCTGCTTAAGCACAAAATTTGCTTAAGCACAAAAATCTTGCTTCCAATATAATCAGGTTACCGGCCAACTCCACTCGATTGTTATGCTAAGTAAACAACAGCTAAATACCAGTCACAAGCAATGTACATCGCATGGAGTTTTGGCAGGTTACGTGATTTTACTAAGCAATGTTTTTTCGTGCTTAAGCAAATTTTGTGCTTAAGCGGCTCTATGAAATTGGGCCCTGGTTCATCCTCGGCACGAAAGCGAAAGCAAACACGCAGTTGTGACATCATGGCAACCCCTACGAAAAAGTCTTATAAGAATCTTATAAGAACGTTGTAAGAATCTTATAAGAATCTGAGAACCTCCTTATAAGAATCTTATAAGAATCTGAGAACCTTCTTATAAGAATGTTATAAGAATCTTATAAGATTTGTATAAGTATTATATATGCAAATTAGTAAGATCTAATAAGAATCTTATAAGATTCTTATAAGTATTATTTATGCAAATTAGTAAGATCTAACAAGATTCTTATAAGATTCTTATAAGAATCTTATAAGAATCCCGGCGCCGCCTAGGAAATACTCTTATAATAATAATAATAATAATAATAATTTGGGAGGCTAATCATCCTTACTCGCAGCTGGTACGCTGAATTGCGAAGGACGCGGCTACAACGTGGTCGGGCCGCTGGCACGTAAAGGCGCCTATGGCTGCCGGCCACATCGACCCATATATGACCACGGAGCACAGCCTGAGATCAAAAGTGTTTGATTTTTCCGGAGGGAGGAAAACCGGAGGCCCCGGAGAAAAACCCTCCTGGCACAGGAGAGAACCAACGCACAACTCTACTCACAATGCGAGTTTGTATCTCATTTAAAATAACCCGGATGCACACACAAAGTCAATGGACGTCGAGATACGACCTTGTTGCATGGAGCGTATTCGCGCAAGATACAACTTTGTTCAGAATGGAGTTACGGACTTCATGCACTGACGTGACGGTATGTTTACACAAAGCCTGCTATAGACCTACGTATATACATGTATAGACATAACCTGTAAAGCCAGGGGCCAATTTCATACATGTAGAGCTGCTTAAGCACAAAATTTGCTTAAGCACAAAAAATCTTGCTTCCAATATAATCAGGTTACCGGCCAACTCCACTCGATTGTTATGCTAAGTAAACAACAGCTAAATACCAGTCACAAGCAATGTACATCGCATGGAGTTTTGGCAGGTTACGTGATTTTACTAAGCAATGTTTTTTCGTGCTTAAGCAAATTTTGTGCTTAAGCGGCTCTATGAAATTGGGCCCTGGTTCATCCTCGGCACGAAAGCGAAAGCAAACACGCAGTTGTGACATCATGGCAACCCCTACGAAAAAGTCTTATAAGAATCTGATAAGAACGTTGTAAGAATCTTATAAGAATCTGAGAACCTTCTTATAAGAATCTTATATTATTATATATGCAAATTAGTAAGATCTAATAAGATTCTTATAAGATTCTTATAAGAATCTTATAAGAATCCCGGCGCGGCCTAGGAAATACTCTTATAATAATAATAATAATAATAATTTGGGAGGCTAATCATCCTTACTCGCAGCTGGTATGCTGAATTGTGAAGGACGCGGCTACAACGTGGTCGGGCCGCTGGCGCGTAAAGGCGCCTATGGCTGCCGGCCACATCGATCCATTATGACCATGGAGCACAGCCTGAGATCAAAAGTGTTTGATTTTTCCGGAGGGAGGAAAACCGGAGGGCCCGGAGAAAAACCCTCGTGGCACAGGAGAGAACCAACGCACGACTCCACTCACATGCGATCCGCGGCCAGGATTCGAACCGTGGTCACCTTAGTGAGAGGCGAGCGCTTTACGCACAAGCCACCCATGCCACCATAAGAATCTTATAAGAATCTTATAAGAATCTTGTCAGAATGTTATAAGAATCTTGTTTGAATCTTGTCAGAATCTTATAAGAATCTTGTCAGAATCTCATAGGAATCTTATAAGAATATTCAGAGAATCTTATACAAATCTTATAAAATTTTAAAAATCTTATAAGATTTGTAAAAAAAACTGACATCTGTTGCTAGGATACTGACCTGTGTTGCCAGGATACCATGCTTGACGCCAGTGCCATGCGTTGCTGTACTGATTGCACCTCCAATGGTGATAAATGAAATAGACCCAAGGCTGTACAAATACAATTGAAAAAACCCAAAAATGTTTTAACTATGTCTTTTCATGATAATGGTTGCTGCATTTTATTAATAAATTCATTTGAAGCCATATTAGGGAGACCGTGTCGTTGATCTAAAAAGAACAATTTGCCATCTCAGATATGTGCTGAAACATGATTCACTTAAAGGGAATATACATCATTTGCTTTTGCTGTAATTTTCAGAAATGGATGGAATTGGGGGGTTGGAAATATATAGCAAATATAGTTACACTGACTTTTTTGAGGTTTTGGGTTCGAAAATGCTATAAAATCCAAGAAAAACAATCATTTCATTGTAGTCTGGTTCCCTGACTCCATATAAGAAGAAACAGAGCAGTTTACATACATTGGGGAATTGTAAGGTCAGGGAATCAGTCTAGCTGGCTTGTACCCGTTCATAGGTGTGTAATCGATTGCAAACAAGTGCGATGGTCAATTGGGGCCAGTATTTGAAAAAAAAAGCCAGTTTTTTCCAATGCTGGTCGACCGACCAGCGTTGGAAATTGATACAAAAATACCACTTTTCTTGAAAATGACAGTATACCAGGTGCCATGATTTTACAGGATGCTTTACACTGTCATTCACTAACAGTCCAGCAAGGTATTTCAAAATGCTTTGGTAGTTTTATTTTTGATGTTTGCAAATGTTGTACTTTCCCTTTAAATTGTAGCATCATGGTTCACCTTTTGTTTGCCATGGTTTAAAGTTTTTCAAACACTGTGTTTCACTTTTTGCGGCGATTCAAAATATGACCACAATGACCACTGCTGAAACTTGTTCTACTGTAATATTTTTTTTGAAAAATTTTAATTTGGGGTAGTTACACTTGGTGGGAAACTTTGGAGCCTGATTTTGGTCAATTTCTTTGGTCAATTTTCCCAGGACAGACCGACTGACCGACCAACCACCAAGTGGCATGTAGAAACTCCTGCCCGAGCTTAAAGCTATAGTCCATCATTTGCAGCCATCCGAAAAGTAACTGGCGTAATAATTGTTGAAAAACATACTTGGTTGAAAGATAGTAAGGGGACTAAACTCCCTGTGAAATTATTCTTTCTGGCAAGGTGTCATTCTGAAGTAATCAACGAAAGAAGGCCTTTCCAACGGTGCTTCTTAAGACGCACCGTAGGAAAATTTAAATTAGTAGTTCGTTTGTTATTCGGCGAGGCGCGCGCAAGCATTGGCACGACCCACACGCACGCGCGGTTTCTATAATTCGTCGGATCAGTGCGCGACATCGCGTAGCTGCAATCGGCTCAGCGAGAACATGTCTCGGACGCTGACTTCAGGCGCAATTCAAAACATTATTCAGCAACTTTTGATTTGAAATTGAGATACTAGAATGCTGGTTTTTTTTTGGAATATACAGCTGAAGCTGAGCTGAAACTTCATCAGGTTTAGTTGTTCAGTACCCTTCTTTAGATTTTGAGCACTGTTGCTGCTTAAAACGAACAAAATGCACAAATTACGAATGATGGACTATATCTTTAAAAATCTCCAAAGCTGTGGCTCAACTGTAGACCTGCTGTAGCCTAGATACGTCATGTGCATGATATAAAAGTCTGTTTTTATAATGCACGTGGTTGTGACTGTATCTGCTCCATTCACAAATACCCCCTCACCGCAAGCCCATGGGAACGGGGGGTGCTGTGGGTGCTGCAGCACCCCCAACTTTTTGGTTTGGGGTGCTGGAATATGCTTCAGCACCCCCTACTCCCGGGCAAAAATGTGTTCCAGCCAGCAGTGTTCTACAACGATGAAACTGCACTGCTACGCGATACATTATGCTTGCTCTACAAATATCTCCTTCGTTTTGTTCGTTTTGCCGCGGCTAAGCGTGGCGCTTCGAAAGTCTGGCACAAACACTGTAAAATATCAAGAGGAGGTATTTTCTAAATCTTCAGGTAGTGCAGAATTGATATTTCTCTCAAGGTATTTAAAATCATGACATGTCTATGATATTTCCGCCACGATGGAAGCTTTGACCCGAAAGCAGTACCCTCGGCCATGACGATAATGGCAAAGTTGATTATGCTTGCCAGGAATTTTTTTTTCATTCGATCTTTCAATAAGGACAAATGTTCATACCGGTACCTTTCCCCTGAAGGTTATTCTTTTCATTAAAAAGTTTCATTGACGTTGCTAGCATTCTGTACTCAAGATTAACAAATACCAAGGTTCACACACATCCCAACCTAATAGGAGTGGGACGGGCTTCCATTGAAACTAGTTCCAGTGTAGTTTCGTTTGAATAAAAAAGCTATTCATGTTCTATCCTCTGCATGCAAGTTTTTCCACATAAAAAATCAGTAGACCGATAAATCCTTGCCTAGCCCTAAACTTGCCATCTGGCGATCATAAACATAAAAATGCATTTGGTCTTTTAGTCTTTTATATTTCCCATTCCCTGTAACAAACAAATCAACACTGCAAATATACCGAGAGCTACATCGTTTGGTGCGTTAGAACTAGGTATATGAATACTTTTATGAACAGAAATTCATCCGCTTCCAGTGGAACGATTTGTTTTAATTTGAACCAAAAAAACATCCTTTCGGGTTTTTATAAGTTTCAGTATACTTCAGTATATTTCATCACAGTGCATCCAGAATCCAACATTTTCCGGGGACTTAAAGCTAGAGTCCATCATTTGCAGCAATCCGAAAAGTAACTGGTGTAATTATTGTTGAAAAACAAACTTGGTTGAAAGATAGTAAGGGAACTAAACTCCCTGTGAAATTATTCTTTCTGGGAAGCTGTCATTTTGAAGTAATCAACGAAAGAAGGCATTTCCAACGGTGATTCTTAAGAAGCACTGTAGGAAAATTTAAATTAGTACGTGTAGTTCGTTTTGTTATTCAGCGCAGCGCGCACAAGTATTGGAACGACGCACACGCGCGCGCGTTGTTATAATTCGTCGGATCAGTGCGCGACGTCGCGTATAGCTGCAATTCAAAACAATTCAAAACGTGATTCAGTAACTTTTGATTTGAAATTGAGATCTTAGAATGCTGTTTTTCTCGAAATGTACAGCTGAAGCTTAGCTGAAACTTCATCAGGTTAGTTGCTCAGTATCCTTCATTAGATTTTGAACTCTTTTGTTGCTTCAAACGAACAAAATGCACAAAATTACAAATGATGGACTGCAGCTTTAAAGCAGGCCCCTGGCCCTGTGGCCCCACGCCGTAAGGGCTCGGAAAATAAAACAAAACATACCCGAAGGAATTTACTAAATGTAAGAAAGCAGCCTTGCAACAATAACATTTACGTGCGATGTCATGCATAATGATACAATTCTATTTCCAGAATTAAATGAAACCAAGAATGGAGATAAAAATACAGGGTTCTCTACTTTTCAGTACAGTTAAATGTTTTAAGAGCAACAGCACATTCAAACAAAATAATGAAATAAATTGTCTTTCTAATCTCCAAAAACTTTTGCTGAAAAAGTCAAATGAAAACTGGCCAGGAATCGCCTCAGATTGCACCACAGAGCATCCATATTCAAAATTAAGCCACGACGTAAGGACTTTGCGCTCCGCTTGCGCATTAATTTTGTCCGTCCTTTAGAAATTCCAGCACCCCTGGCAAAAGTTTGTTCCAGCAGCACCGGCAAAGAAAGTACAGTTGGGGGTGACAGAACGAAGCCATCTTGTCTGACTGCAATATGGCTGCGAAGCGCGGCCACTGCGTGTGCAGTGTACATATTACAAATCTCCTGGAGTACATGCATCACACAAAAGGAACGGTGTACGTGTGTCACACACAAGGAACGGTGCGTGCGCGTAAACCAACGCAATGTATGTGTCTCGCCCATGGGACCTCGTTGCTAGGTAAAAGGGCACCCTCTTTTGTTGGCGCACGGAGCCCATTACAGCTGTATGCTAAGTACATGTGGAACCTCAAATTTGTGTGCAGTACGGTGCCAGTCCCAATGCAAAGTGTTTTTAGTACAAATATCTGGTTTTGGACTTAAGTAACCTGAGGCGGGGGCGGGACAGTCCCCCCCCCCGAAACCTTGTCGCCCCCCCCCCCAGTCGCCCCCCACTGAGATTTTGAGTTTCTAAAAAAATTATCATTGATCTACATGACGCCCCCCCCCCCCCATGAAATGTTCCAGCCCCCCCAGCGCCCCCCACTGAAAAATTCCTGGCTACGCCACTGGCCCCGGTTGACTATGCACACCATGGCTCGAACTATAGTGTGATCCGGTACACTCGCTGGCCCCGTCCAGCTGTTGCTTCCCCGTCACTGTAGCGGTCCGCTCCCGCTTCAGTCCGGCCGTCTCTGCGAAGCGAAAGCTCGTACTGTGCCACTCGGTTCAGCTAAAATCTTTGGCATACTTGGTTCCCCCAGTTAGTGTTGTGAGACTCCGACACCGGTGTTGAAACCAAGGAAAAGCCTGACGGTGGAGGAATCCCCACGAAGTTAAATAAACCAGTAAAGTCACTGTGTGAAAGCTCTGTTTCCCGCCAAATTCGTTATCATAGATAATAATGTTGATTCTAATATAAAGTTAATGAACTAATAGGGAATGCAACAATAATTTCAGGAATGAATTGCAGGGCAGTTCCGTCGCACAGCCTTTAACGTGTCACCACTTGAAAACTTAGAACTGATAGACACATGGATTACAAGATAAGAGAACTGTTCAATTGCCTCATTCATGTTCTCCGAAGTCATCGTGTTAAAATTAGAAAAAGTTTTAACTATGGAAGGTTGTGAATCTTTTCTTTCAAAACTGAGGGAGGAATTGTTGCAGTCATATTTATTTTATCGTCAATGTAAAATTGGGATCTTATTTCATTTTGTTCCCGGGTATTTTCTTGTTGTTTGTTTAGTGTGTGTATTTAATGTGAGTGTAGACCTATGTATGTCAACTAGGTTGTTTGTTTTTATGGTTTGCATTTTTCTCTCTGGGGAATGCGATTGCTTTTGTTTCTCGGTTTTGTTTTGTTTTGTTTGTAATAATCTTTTTAGCCCGTTTGTCATTCATTCCCGTTATTGAGTCTGGTTGTTTGTTTTGTTTGTTTGTTTGTTTGTTGGGTTGTAAGAGTATTTATTTATTAGTTCGTTTTTATATTTTTGTATCTGTCTGGCTTGTCCAATGTTTCACTCTATGATTTTTTTGCTGAGTCTTGTCTCATCTCCCGCGTGGGGGGGGGGGGGGGGCGTGGGGGCGACAGCCCCCCCCATGAAACCTTGTCGCCGCCCCCCCCCCATTCGCCTCCCCACTGAGATTTTGAGTTTCTAAAAAAAATATCATTGATCTACATGACGCCCCCCCCCATGAAATGTTCCAGCCCCCCAGCGCCCCCCCCCCCCCACCCCCCACTGAAAAATTCCTGGCTACGCCACTGACAGTACATATAGGGGACTTAGTTGGAAAAGAAACACGCATCGCGATATCGGAATGCTTGCGCGTAGTTCAGGCAAGTCAAAAGATATATCTTTCTTTGTTTTTTTTAATCTTTTTTCCATGGAAAGTGAATTTCGATTTTCAGTTATTTAGCTTGACCCACCCAACCAACAATTTGGAAAAAAGATCGAAATTTTAAAACATTGAAAATTCTGAATGGCCCCTAACTCGATGTAAAAAGTAATGCCTGCTTGGTGCATCCATGTTTGTGCACAAACCTATGGGAAAACTCGAAATTTTGTACAGCTTTCATACGGCTATTTACATATCTGCATTTGTATTCCATACCAGTGCGTCGTCGCAGCCGATACGCCCAAAACTGAAACGCAAGATCAGCAAATGAGCGTTTCATTTTGCTCTACGCAAACGGCGCAACGTGTGCGCGTCCCTCCGCTGCAGATGCTTTTCGCCATGATGTTTTTTTTAACCGTCATGACGCGCTTAAGTTGTTTGCGTATCTTCTACTTGCGCGTTGCATGTAGAGTACACTTTTAAAATTTAATCCATCTATTTTGATTGTGTTCTACAAACACGCACATGAATTCAAAATGTCTGCGCCCAGAGCGGCTTCAAAATGACTCCGCGTGCAAGAATGAGGAGTTAGCGCTCTAGTAATTATATATAGCTCTATGGATGTGACTTACTTGCTGAGAGCCATGCCATGCAAGGGGAGCATTTTGGTGTTCAGGTCGTCTAGGAGGCAGCCTCCCTCCACGGTGATCTGACATTTTTCTTTGTCCACCTGGAAACAGAGACGTGAAATAATACATTAGGGCATTCTATTGCCTACTGTTGTTAACAATTGTCCCAAAACTGTTTGTTCATCATTTCAGTCAGGCCAGTTCGGTTTCGGTTTTGCGTTTGCGATTTTCGGGTTGGATCGGTTAAGCCTTTTGGAAAAGCCAAAATAAACCGAACACCCCGCCTTCCCCCCTCGAAACAGTTGGGAAATTCACACTGTGCAATATTTAATGTAGAGTCACTGTGCCTGTACGACCATTTTTGGTTTGCGGTCTTATCACGAACAGTCTATAACATGGCCCACCAGTCATGTTGGGAGTACTGTACAATATGATTCAGTTACTGAGAGACGATGATTTTCACGCGACGCAAGTAAGTTCAGGCACAAAAAGCGGACACATTTGCCCAAGCCAGATATTCAGGGTTTTTTTTCAGGTCCGTTCCATTTTGGGTCGGTTCGGTTCGATTTTCTTGAATTTTTGTAGGGTCAGGTCGGGTCGGTTTAAAAGAGTTCAGATCGGTTTCGGTTTGGATTCGGTTTATATCTGTAATGTTTCGGGTCAGTTTGGCCTGGTCAACCGGACCCGATGCACAACGCTGCTATAGACCCTTCTCATAGACAGCAATCTTCGTAGGAAAACAAATCAGGTTCACGTTTGCAGTGTGCAAAATGTTCTTAAAGGGAAAATACAACATTAATTTTGCAAACATCAAAAAATAAAACTACCAAATCATTTTGAAATACATGTACCTTGCTGGACTGTTAGTGAATGACAGTGTAAAGCATCCTGTAAAATCATGGCACCTGGTATACTTGTCATTTTCAAGAAAAGTGGTATTTTCAACGCTGGTCGGCCGACCAGCGTTGGAAAAAAACTGGCTTTTTTTCAAATACTGGCCCCAATTGACCATCGCACTTGTTTGCAGTCGATTACACACCTACAGTATGAACGGGTACAAGCCAGCTAGATTGGTTCCCTGACCTTACAATTCCCCAATGTATGTAAACTGCTCTGTTTCTTCTTATATGGAGTCAGGGAACCAGACTACAGGAAAATGATTGTTTTTCTTGGTTTTTATAGCAATTTCGAACCCGAAACCTCAAAAAAGTCAGTGTAACTATATTTGTATATATTTCCAACCCCCCATTTCCATCCATTTCTGAAAATTACAGCAAAAGCAAATGATGTATATTCCCTTTAACAGGCACGCATGTTGCTCAAAATTTCTTTGAATTACGGTGCAGCTGATGCGAGTACGAAAAATCGACGCCCAAAATACCAATGCAAGTGACAATCTGTAGGAAGTGACGTCATTTGAGAGAGACCTATTACAAGTACTTATCCAGCAAGCCCGAGTTGAACACGGAATACTGTACTGAGTGCATGTCAACGAAGATGAAACACCTTTGAAAGTTGGGGGGGGGGGGGGGGAGGGGGGAAAGCACCGCCAGTGCCGGCTGGCCTTTGCAAAGGTAAAGGGAGGGGGGGGGGCTTGCTTAACCTTTGAAAGTTGGAAGACTTATGAAAGTTGGGGGGGGGGGGGAACAGGGAAGGGGAGGGGGGGGGGGCAAAGCACCGCCAGTGCCGGCTGGCCGCTGCAAACTTAAAGGGAGGGACCACCGAGAGTGAAGGGGGTGGGGGGGGGGGGGAGGGCATGCCCCCCAGTGGAACAAGTGGGGGGGGGGGAGAATTGGCCCGCCTGGCGCCCTGGTTCAGTTGCCAGTGTTGCACATCTATAAACAAAGATTTACCTCAATGACATGATTGAAGTTCTTCATGTTGATCATGTAGCCGTCGGTCATGGCGATATCCGATGGCGAGTGGCCACAGCCGATCATTCTCACCCGCATGCTGGCCTTGCGGGCAGACTCTAAAATCTGTGACGGCAAAGAGAAGTATTAGTTCACTATGATCCATGCTTCAAAGATTCGTTCCCCATGCTCGTCAACACGTCTGATGTTTTTTCCTTTCGATAAAGGTTCAACTATGTTTTATTCTCACCAGTAATTAAACTTGAGCCGATGTCTCGTTCAAAAGTGAATAACTCATGTCTTGCTAGAAAAATTGCAATTTAGAAAAGGCTAAAAAAAAAAAAGTCTCCGGTTTCTGGTATCGAGCTTGCCCAAAAAGTGGTGCGGCGATGCGGCTTTTTTTTTTACCCGTTTTTTTTTGCTTCAAATGTCGGCTGATGGCTGCAAATGGTGCCCGACTAAACTTAGTGCAAATATATGGGAGTCCAGAGAGGCCACTTATTAGCTTATTCTCGATCATAACCCCATCAGCAACGCGTTAAAATTGTGCAGCAGCAGGATTCCAGTCAAACCAGTGAGTTGGCGGTTTTGAGACATCATCTTTTATTGAAAAAAAACCCACTTTTTTATTTTCCCGACACGCATGGCTACGGTGACGCGCGCGCATACCAGAAACCGGAGACTTTTTTTTTTTGCCTAAGGTATCTTCTTTTTTTTGGGGGGGGGGAAATGTCTAATAAACTCAAAAATAGTACAGGGAATACAACTTTAAATTCTGTTATTTGATTTTTGATGACTAAATACTGTGTCTCTTGCATCAATGATCTGTTTACGGGTCTCGTTCAAATTCTCTCGTTCGTTTCCTACGGCACAGACCATCTGCATGCACCGGCATTTTGAGCATCAATTTGCATAACGCGCATCGGCTGCGTCGTATTTCGAACCCATTTCGAGCAACAAGCAGGCGTGTTTGGAACATGTTCAACACTGGGCAATGCGTGCTTGATTGCGTAAAATGCGCAGTTGCAGTTCTCCTACAGAGATGGCTGTTGTTGAACGAGTCCTACGGTATTTTAGTCTTAAAGTTTTGTGTTTTTTTTCCAACAGAATTGTGTGTTCTTATGTGAACAGCTTAAAAAGGTTTACCTTCTTTGTTTTCAGGAAGGGGGGGGGGGAGAGGGAGGGAGAACGATATTTGTAAAACATGCATTTGGCTTCTAATTGGGCACATTTTGCCAGCTGGCAGGATGAAAAGTAATATCCTGGAGTGTTCAATTACGGGCAAGTTTTAAATGTCAGTATTGAAATGTAAATTGATAGTGTCACCAGTTATTGATGACCATCTGTTAGATTTAAAAAGTCACTTTCAACTGCGCCAATTTGGGGTCAAAATTCTTTCAAAAGTTGCAAAGATTGTCAAAAAAGAAAACAGTAGAATATACAAATATTCACGCAAGCACTATAATTACACTAATTACAATATATTATAAATACCTACCAGTAGGTTTTAAATGACATACAAAAATTGATAGTGCACTGGCTAAGTTATTTAAAAGTTCACTTTTGATAGTTTGAATATATTAATATTATAATATAAATTTCTTACATTAAAATATATTAAATTAAATACCTACCCTGGAGTAGGTTTTAAATGACATACAAAAATTGATAGTGCAATGACTTGGATTTAAAAGTTCAATTTGGATGGTACAAATATATTAAATAAATATAAGATAAATTTATTGCATTAAACTATATTAAATTACATATTATAATACATAATAAATTCCTACCAGTAGGTTTTAAATGATACAAATTGATAGCGCCACGACTTGGATTGAGAAGTTCACTTTGGATGGTACAAATATAGCAATGAAATACATTTATTACATTAAAATATATTCATAAATATTTACCCATTGCCATTGGTCGAGAGCCCGTAACATGAAAAAGATTTAATTGTTTAGGCCAAAAAAAGTCTCTGGTTCTGGACTGCACATGCATCGCTGTAGCCATGGCAAATTAAAAAGGTTTTTTCAATGTAAGATGATGTCTCAAAACCGCCAAACTCACTGGTTTGACTGGAATCCTGCTGCTGCACAATTTTAAAGTGTTTTTAGACACCCACGCACAGACAGACAGACATACAGACCGACAGACATACAGACATACACACAGAAGGAATACACTATCGCAATATCCCCCTCTGGCTTTATACAGCCAGGAGGATAAAAACGAACTACTACGGAAATTTCCAACGGTGCGTCTTTAGACGCACCGTTGGAAGGCCTTCTTTGATTGATTTCTTCAAAATGACAGCTAGCCAGAAAGAATAATTTCACAGGGAGTTTAGTCCCCTTACTATCTTTCAACCAAGTATGTTTTTCAACAATAATTACGTCAGTTACTTTTTGGATAGCTGCAAATGATGGACTGTAGCTTAAACGTCACATCCTTTTTTGGGACAAAAAAAGTATCAGGGGTCGAACTTTCACCAGCCAGTAGGGCTACTGAAACAGACTCTGAACTAGCCCGCGGGCATTTTTACTACCCCGAATGTTTTTCTTCTTTAGAGTGTCTCATAAACAACAATGTGCCTACATGTAAAACTCACATCCTGAGACAATCCTGTCAGTGGTTTTAATAAACAGATCTAAAAATTTAACCCTAAACAGTTAATAAACATAGACACAAATTGATACAGGTTTGCTCTCTGAATTTAATGATCTATTTCAGCTTTGCCGTAGCCCAATAATTTTTTGACTCGCCGGCTGGGCTACTTAAGGAATAGTTTGACCGGCCCGCCGCTGTTTTGACTAGCATTTGGCTATCGCAGCTACCGCTAAAGTCTAACCCAGCATGTATCGGCAAAAGCGTCAAGAAAATGGAGAAAATCAAAAGGCTTCCTCCGTCTGCCTTCTGAGAGCCTTAAAATTCGGGGGGTCAGCACTCTATGGCTTTTGGAAATGCCCCTTGACATGTTTGATAGACGAAATACCTTTGTCTGAAACTCCACTTTTTGAAACACAAATCCACCAAAAAAGTTGAGCTCGTTGATCCATAACTCTGAAATATTTTCACGCAATTGACATTTAGATCATGGGACAAGTTTTTGGGTGGAAAATCTGAGTTTTTACTCACCAGCCTCGCGTCTCCGATCTGACGAATGCAAGGTTATGTTCATGTGTGTGTTTACGTCCGTTGCGCTTGCGCTGATCTTCGCGTGACCTCAGCAGGTCAACTCTACATTCGGCTCGACCATTTGGGATGGAGGGGAGATTGTATGCTTTGCATCGCGAAAGTACTTCATGATGCGCGGGCGGCGTCAGACGGGCCAATTATGAGGCCACGTGATAAATGCTGTGGATAATTTGGTATCGCACTGACGCTCCGGGCACTCCTCATGTCCGGATCGTAAGTGCGATTCCAAATTATCTGCAGAATTTAACACGTCATGCACGTGGCCTCGTGATTGGCCCGTCCCGACGCCGCCCGCGCATCACGATGTACTGTTTCGCGATGCAAAGCATACAATCTCCCTCCATCCCAAATGGTCGAGCCGAATGTAGAGTTGACCTGCTGAGGTCACGCGAAGATCAGCGCACGCGCAACGGACGTAAACACACATATGAACATAACCTTGCACTCGTCAGATCGGAGACGCGAGGCTGGTGAGTAAAAACTCCGATTTTCCACCCAAAAACTTGTCCCATGATCCAAATGTCAATTGCGTGAAAATATTTCAGAGTTATGGATCAACAAGCTCAACTTTTTGGGTGGATTTGCGTTTCAAAAAGTGGAATTTCAGACAAAGGTATTCCCTCTATCAAAGGGCATTTCCAAAAGGCATAGAGTGCTGACCCCCGAATTTTAAGGCTCTCAGAAGGCAGACGGAGGAAGCCTTCTGATTTCAGAAGTAGGAGGAATCCATCTGCCATCTTAACTTGAGCTTACCTGCTTGATTGCGTCCAATGAGTCTGGCTCAAAATAGAGCCCCGGGGAACATGAGAATGTTCCCGCCCAGGTGCTGACGGTTTTCCCCTCCATTGTTGATTCTCAACCTGCAAGACAAACGACACGGAAGTTGTCAACAACTAGTACATGTACATGTAGGTCTACCTAAAATGTCCAAGTCTGCCGATGGCGATGTACATGTACATAGTATGTACTAGGCAGTACACCCAATCATGAATATTTATGAGTGCAATGGTATTTAAATGCCATGGGGTGACAGTTGGACTGTTCCATTGCATGAGGTGAAGCCGAGTGGAATGGAACATTCCAACTGTCACCAAATGAAATTTGTACTTTCGATTGAATGAATGTGAAACATTCGTTATTTTGTTTTTATAACACCTCACCCACAGATTCTGTGTCTTGATTGGCCGAGAGCGAGTCACATGTTACTTTCTCATTTTGCTATCTTTCTGTGCACGGCCAAAAGTACTATACCCTTAGCAACCAAAGTACTATACCATTTGTATACCATTAGCAACCAAAGTACTATTTCCACGGCGCGGTATTTGTGTGCAAATGCATGTTAGTGTGCCCGTTGCGCGTTGTGCGTAGCGCGTATTATTCCAAAGAGAGCGCGCCACAGACTTGGGTTCAAATATTACGTGAAGGGGTAGTTTTTAAGAGAGAAATACATTTTCCACCAATTTTGTATTGAAATAAATGTTTATTTGGGTGAAGTGTTATAAAACAAATATTGAATGCTTTATCTCGTGGTGAAGTAAAATAGCCTCCCTCGGTGATCCATGGACCTTTCTATTTTCCCGAGGAGAAAGAATGGTCCATGGATCACCTCGGGAGGCTAGTTTTACTACACCACTCGAAGCATTCAATATTTGTATAATATTTAACCGACATACATATCCTTGTCATTTGATTGGTGGAACTCTCATCACGTGACATTCGTTATTACTCCCATTCACGCCGGGTCTCAGAAAGTGCTATCCCTCCATGGGAAATGGGAAATACTATTCATCAGCTAGGATCATTCTTGTTCCAAGACGCGGTATTTGTGTGCAAAGGCGTGCTGGTGTGCGCGTTCAGCGTTGCGCTACAATGTACATGTAGCTCGTATTGTTCCAAAGAGCCAGCGCTACAGAGTGGGGTTCAAACATTTTCGTGATGGGGTGGTTTTGGAAGAGAGAAATACACTTCCCATCAATTTTGTGAGTGGCTTTAAATTGTGAAATGGGAGGAATATTATCGCTCGGAAAAAATCTGGACTTTTCCAGTTCACTCAGCTTCGCCTCGTGAAATGGAAAAGTCCAGATTTTACCTTGCGATAATTTTCCTCCCATTTCATGCTGAGCCACTTAATATTTGCTCAAAATCTGCACAACTAACCTGATGAAATTTTAGCTCAGCTTCAGCTGTACATTTCGAGAAAAAAAACAACATTCTAGGATCTCTTTTTCAAATCAAAAGTTGCTGAATCATGTTTTGAATTGGGCCTGAATCATCAGCAGGCCTGAATTCAGCGTCCGAGACACGTTCTCACTGAGCCGATTGCAGCTACGCGATGTCGCGCGCTTCGCCGTTGAAATTGCGGTTGAAATCAGAGAGCTGACTGACAGGGACCATCTGTTTGAACAAAATCAGCCTAGGGGTTCAAGAGTTCCAGTCAACTAAAGGTGACTGTACCCGACAGACTTTTGTTGCCTAGCAACCAAAAGTGCCCTAAATCACCTTAATCGTTTCAGCAGAAGTCGTTATTTGCAAACTGAATTGAACAGAGAATTAGAATTGTGGAAATCCGTTTAAATCTGCATTGTTTTCATACAGGAGTTCCAAACCCCTGAAGAATCTCCAAGCCAACTTTACAGAAGTGTGAAGTCAGCCAGAAATCAGTAATGTAACCTTAACGTAACTCAAGGTTCTGGATCCTGGGACGCTTGGGAGTTATATAACATGACATAACAATGAACCATTTTCATAAAAAATTGTATCCAGAAAAGTATTCAGTCGATTTCCTTCATTTTTGAAAACATTTGTATAAACCAGCCAACTCTTTCACCCTAACAGTAACAATCTTAAGACTATCTGCCACTGAGGTCAAATTGATTGATTATTTTTTTAATATAAGTACTTAAAGGGAAAATACAACATTTGCAAACATCAAAACACGAAATGGTCAAATTATCACGGAATAAATTGTTAGGGAATGACAGTCTAAAACATCCTTTAAATTGTGGCTCCTGGGGGCTGACATTTTCAAGAAAAACTGTATTTTTCCAATGCTGGTCGGGCCGACCAGCGTTGGAGAAAAACTGGCTTTTTTCAAAAACTGTTCTTAATTTCATATTTAGTTTTCTGACTTTTCTTTGCAATTGATCACACACCTGTGAAGGGGTACAAGCCTGCTAGACAGATTCTCTGACCTTACAATTCCCCAAAGTGTATTAATTGCTTCGTTTCATATTAAGTGGGGTCAGGAAACCAGACTACAAGAACATGATAGGCTTTCTTGGTTTTTCCAGCATCTTCAAGCCCAAAACATGAAACAAGTCAGTTTAACAATATTTATGTAACATACTTATCCTCCAAGGATTTATCGGTCTACTAAGATTTTATGAGAAAAAAAACTTGCAGAGGTAGGCTAAAACATGAATAATTTTTATTAAAAACGAAACTACATTGGAATTGGCGTAAGGCATGACTAGTTTCAATAAAAGCCCGTCCCACTCCTTTAAGGTTGTGGATGTGTCACGGAGAACCTTGCTCTTTGTTAATCTTGAGTACAGAATGCTAGCAACGTCAATGAAACTTTGAAATGAAAAGAAAAACCTTCAGGGCAAAGGTATGAACATTTGCCATTTTGCCCTATTGAAAGATCAAATGAAAAAAATCCTGACAAGCATAAATCAACTTTGCTACCATTGTCATGGCCAAGGTTATTGCTTTCGGGTCAAAGCTTCATAGACATGTCATAATTTTGGACACCTTGAGAGAAATATCGATCTGCAGTGCCTGAAGATTTTAGAAAATACCCTCCTCTTGATATTTTACAGTGTTTGTGCACGACGTTCGAAGCGAAGCGCTTAGCCGCGGCAAAACTAGAAACGAACAAAACGAAGGAGATATTTGTAGAGCAAGCATAATGTATAGCGTAGCGGCGCAATTTCATCGTCGTTGAACACTGCTGGCTGGAACACATTTTTTGCCCGGGAGTAGGGGGTGCTGAAGCATATTCCAGCACCCCAATCCAAAAAGTTGGGGGTGCTGCAGCATCCACAGCACCCCCGTTCCCGGGGGCTTGAAAACTTGATTGTTATTATTCAGAAATTTATCCATGCTTCCAGAAGAAGCATTAGGCTATGCCCATATGACATGTATGAGTGATTATGGAAAACAACATGGTCAGTAAAAACCATTGGCCAGAGTTTTTTTTTTATGAAAGTCGGCCTAGTGGCCCAAGTGAGATTTTGCTACATATTTTCAGAAGCATGTCAAAAGTAACAGAAAATAAGTGGGAGAAAAGCACCTTCCTTCATATTATTAACTGTTCCACAAAATTGAGCTTAAATACATTAACTATTTGTGTTTCAAAAACAGCTTCATCGAGTGGAGGCCTACTTAATGAAAAGTTAAATCCACAAATGTGCGACTGCAAGGTGAAATAGTTATTGACGTTCTAAAAAAAACAGAACTGTATTGTGATAAAAAAAAAAATAATGACTAGTATGACTAATAAACACATAAATCTCATATTGGGTATTTAAACTTCTCTAAGTCATAGATGCAATTTGTCTTTAGAATTATATGTTTGAGTACTATTAGGTTAAAATTACGTTGCTTTTTTAATCGTTTTTTTTTTGCGAAGACTAGTTTTGTAAGTACTGCGGAAAAGAAATTGTATGAATGTTCAATCAACCAACCAAGAGACAATGAACTGACTTGTATGGGTTGTTAGTTTTTTGTTGACTGAATTGAGTGGCGATTACTTATAAAAATGAGTACAAAAATTGTTTTGAGTAGGGGCCTACACCTTTTTCTGAATATTCAAAACACTCTGTAAAAAGGATGACAAATCACCAAACTATTGGATATTTGTCCAGATTTTATTTGAACATAAACCCTGTGAAGTGTTGCATATTTCCAGAGTGATTCAGTCATCGGATTTCTGTTGACAAGTAAATTAGAGCCTCCTTTGATCATAGCTCAATGCTTTGATTCACCTTCCCACTATAAGGGGAGAAATTCTGTTGACAATTTAAAGCTTATTTTAATCGGCGCTCTTCACAAGGGGCGGATTTAAAATGTTGACAATTTAGAGCTTAATTCCTTTGATTCGCCCTCTCAACAAAGGGACGGATTTCAATTTAACGTTGAGAGCTTACTTTGATTAGCCCTCTAAATATTAGGGTCGGTTTCTGTTGCCAATTTAGAGCACTCTTTGATTCACCCTCTCAATAATAAGGTGCGGATTTCTGTGGACAACTTGGAGGTTAAATTCACTGTCCCATTTAAAGGGAAAATACAACATTTGCAAACATCAAAAAATAAAACTACCAAATCATTTTGAAATACCTTGCTGTACTGTTAGTGAATGACAGTGTAAAGCATCCTGTAAAATCATGGCACCTGGTATACTGTCATTTTCAAGAAAAGTGGTATTTTTGTATCAATTTCCAACGCTGATCGGCCGATCAGCGTTGGAAACAACTGGCTTTTTTTCAAATACTAGCCCCAATTGACCATCGCACTTGTTTGCAATCGATTACACACCTATGAACGGGTACGAGCCAGCTAGACTGGTTCCCTGACCTTACAATTCCCCAATGTATGTAAACTGCTCCGTTTCTTCTTATATGGAGTCAGGGAACCAGACTGCAGGAAAAGGATCGTTTTTCTTGGTTTTTATAACATTTTCGAACCCAAAACCTCAAAAAAGTCAGTGTAACTATATTTGCTATATATTTCCAACCCCCCAATTCCATCCATTTCTGAAAATTACAGCAAAAGCAAATGATGTATATTCGCGGATTAGTGGCGGATTTCTGATGACAATTTAACTTAGGAGTATACTTTGATTCGCCCTCCAAAAATTGGGGGCGGATTTTTAAAGTTAGGGGGCCTATATTGATTCGCCCTCCCAATAAGGGTGCAAATTTCTGTTGACAATATAAAGCTCATTTTGAACCCCTGCCCCCAATTTAAAAGTTAAACATATTCCGAAACAAAGTCCTTTAAAGGCCCGTCTTAAAAACAAGAAAACAAGATTTTATCAATCGTATTGTTTGCCTAACCAGGGTTGTAAATAAAGACATTTGTGTACTACATCATGTTGGCATTTGTTGGAACAATTATTCTGAGTCAATTTCTTTGTTGTTCCAAACAGTCAGAATACACAATAAATTGTCTTTTGTGTGTGTGACGAAACAGGTTAATTAGGCCTAATTGGAGAAAATCTGCTTTTAAAAATAATGTTACATATCTGCATGAGTTTACCAGGAAAAAATTAGTTTGGCGGCTTTGCATGCATGGGAAAAATCTATGTAGCGCGCAAGTTTAAATTTGCGTGCGCAATTTGTAGTAAGGAAATTAATGCACGCGCAAGTTTAAACTTGCGTGCGCGCAGGTTTAAACTTGCGCGTGCAAGTTTAAGCTTGCGCGGAGGACTCAAATTGCGCTCGACATTGCTAATGGCAATGCCTCCATGGACCATGATCAAACTATGTTAAAAAGAGGAAGCAGTTTCGAAACTGTACTCACAAGAACAGCACTGATGTGATGTTGGTAGCCGTAACGATTCAGATCCTCAAAATGCGGCGGCAACTTTATCAATTTTACGAAAGACTCATAATGCGGCTGCAACTTAATAATTATTAGTTACGAAAGGCACGTGAGCAGGTGAGCTACATAACGCATGTGTCTAGTCTACGTGCTGTGGCATCGTTGATCTGTCGCCCTCTATAAATAATTGTCATTAGCTCCGCGGCTGATACATGTCACGACAACAAAATAACATGTCTTTGTTCACATCATCACGCATCAACCATTATATTTTTATCATTGTTAGACTTGATTCAATGCCATGTCCCCTCTGCTGCTAGAATTAGCCTACTGCTGCAACTTGATTACTAGTTTCTAAAACGCGTATTCAGACTCGAATAAAGTCTATCTATCCAACGACTGTTTTATGTATAGATTTAGAAAACATAGAACAAGATGGCTGCCTCTGCGAAGTTGGAAGACAAGGCGATTTGGGAAGATGGAGAGAGGTAAATTGTAAAGTTTATAACTGGAAAAATAGAAAAAAAAGATAGTTTTCAATGGATTTAAAGATTTGCCCATAATTTGGAGTTATATTTTGGCTGTGTCATTCCTTGATCAATGGAGAAAATAGTTGTGTGGTTGTGTGTCTCATTCCTCAAAATAACTGAGTCATGCCCTTGCATTTGCAATGCAAGTTGAATGTGGCGATCGTGTAGTGTAGGGCCCCTGTTTTGTTTTGATCAGACTAGAGTCAAAGATGTTTTTTATTGCTCAAAAGTCACTTTTACAACCAAAAGCAGACTTCCCTCAATTCTAATGACACCTTTTTTGCAATTTTGAACAGTTTCTTGGGGTAGAAATCATGGTTTTCCTGCGCGGTTTATTCATTGCCGGTTGGTCTGTTGGTGCCATGCGGTGCCTATTTACTGGACTTCCTCCGTAAATAAAGGCCACACTATTAATTATCAGATTTACTCACAGCGGTAGCACTAGTTACCAAATTTTATTGGTAATCCTTACTTTTAGGACCCCGTTCCTATAAAGTTAAAAGACTCACCAAAACAGCTGACTAAATGACACTCAAAAGTCTGAAAGTGACATTCTGATGTTTCTTGACATATTTGAACAGTTGGCAATGACACCTTCTTTAATATCAGCAGGTTTAATTTTGTAAAAAGAGGGCAGGGCTTTGATTTATGAGGGGTTAAAGACGACGATGACAAACAGAAAATATATTTAAAAAGCAAGATGGCATTAACTGCAAAAAAAGGCAGAAAAGTCACATTTTCTTTGAAAGTGCTTTCAAAATGACAACTAACATGAGTTTATCTGAGGAAAAAAAACTGCTTTAGCCTGCAAAAGTCACTTTGGTACTGGACAGTCACCTGCAAAAGTCAGTTTTGAACAGAACTCGTAAAAATAGAGGTGTCCTAAAGATAAGGATTACTGTTGTGCCCATTCTTGAAAATCACGCATTCTCGAGAATGGGCATGCACATTCTCGAGAATGGGCGCGCATTCTTAAGAATGAGCGCCCATTCTTAAGAACGAGCACGCGTTCTTAAGAATGAGCGCTTATTCTTAAGATTGGGTGGGAATATCACGTGCACAATTTATGAATTTTGCCCAATCTTAACAAACATTGCACGACATAATTATGTTAAATGAATTGTATAGCGGTTAAAAGGGAAACAATTCATATAAAGAGGAAAGAAAATGTGCTATGCTTCTGTACTCGTATAACTACGATAATTTGAATCAAATTAAACCTGTTATTATTGCTTTTTTCTGCCCACTATGGGAAGTTTTGTAATAACGGAGGACTGGGAACTAGTCTGGGAAGTGCTTTGTTTAGGCTAGACAAGTTACAAGTCCCTGCATGTATGTAAAAAAAACGATGTCCAGAAGCTGCCAAAATTGCTCTTTTGACTAGATAGAATCCAGCTCTGCGACGTTATGGTGGGATGTGAACAATAAATTGGTGGCAATTTAAATGGAAATAGCATTAGCACTATGGGATGTCGCAGTATTCATTCTCATTCTTCACATTCTTCATTCTTACGTCCCCCCCCCCCCGCTTTTATTATCCCAAAAATCAGAATTCTTTGCACTAGTATTATTATGTCTCTTATATTTTCCCGGTCCCCCCCCCCCCCCATCAATACGCCTTTACTTATCATATCCACTCTACTTTTCAGCGCCTTGCGTTGCAACAGCATAATTATTGAGAATCAGTGAACGAGGATTCAGCTAGACTTGCCAAGCGCAGCCGGTGCTCGGCATCGACAAGACCGTTATCTTGTCGCGCATTCTCAAGAATGTGCACTCAATCTGGAAGAGTTATTTTTTGCCAAGATTGAGCAAGGATCCAGTTGCACATTCTCAAGAATGTGCATGCCCATTCTCGAGAATGCGTGATTTTCAAGAATGGGCACAACATTACCATTTTATTTTCACTTTCTGACTGCGTACATAGGCCTAGTTGATTTATGCTTAAAAAAAACCACTCACCTTTTTAATATAAATAAGAAAAGATAGTGGATATTTTGCCGGAGGTAATGACGGCAAACTAACGTTTACTAAAGGTTTGCCGGCGACCATCCATATCAACAGAGGGCGCTGTACTCTTTAAGATAGGGCTGAATTATAAGATGTATTAAATTCCCACTAAAAGTTGTGTAGCACGTTTGGTGTAGTGTGGTTAAGCAAAAGCTCTAGTGAGCGGGATGACTCGGGTTCGATCCCGATCCCCGCCACATTTTTAAGTTTTTTTTTTCCATCCCCAAATAAATAAGAATATTCTTCTTTTATTATGTTAACATGTCTCAAACATTTTATTGCAGAGTATTACATTCTTTTTCAGATTTGTGGCTCTGGAGGATTTTTTTTAAAAGGGAAATAAAGTCTGAAATTATAAAATGGTCTGAATCCCATCTTGTGAATACGAGCTTACAACGAAATATTGGCTGCAGCCAGACTAAAATTTGTCACCGGAAAATGTTTAAGTAAAAAAACCCAGTAACTGCGCATGTTCAGTGCATATCCGGCAAACTAACGTTTACTAAAGGTTTGCCGTCTCCGGCAAAATATCCACTGTCATAAGAAAATAAAAAACGATACGCAAGTGTTCAACTCTCCAGTTTTCGTGTCATTTCTGATCCTTTTTGGCGTCCGTTTGTGTGAAACTCAACTGCAGTATACAGGGATCGTTCACCTGGCAGCCACGCGGCAGGCCGCATGCCCGGTAGTCTTGGCCCAAAGACCGGCTTTGGATTATTTTTGTCTACGTGCAGTTGGTATACATAGCATGTGTGCGCGCGCGCTGGCAAGCACAGCCGAAACGACTTTAACGGTAGAGGGCGCTATCGGCGAAACAAACTCGGTCCTGGGCTAAGACAACCAGGCCAGTCGCATAGGGTTTGTGCACAGGGTGACAAGTGATGGCCAGATATGGGAATCTTTCCGAAAAAAAACTTTGCATGTACAGTTGAACACCTTTATAACAAGGTCCTTGGGACTTTAGAAAATTACCTTGTTAAAATAGGTACCTTGTATTAAAGCTATAGTCCATCATTTACAGCTATCCAAAAAGTAGCTAACGTAATTATGGTTGAAAAACATACTTGGTTGAAAGATGGTAAGGGGACTAAACTCCCTGTGAAATTATTCTTTCTGGCAAGCTGTCATTTTGAAGAAATCAACAAAAGAAGGCATTTGCAACTGTGCGTCTTAAGAAGCACCGTTGGAAATTTCCGTTAGTAGTTCGGTTTTTTATTCAGCGAAGCGCGCGCGCGCAAGCGTTGCAACAACGCACATGCGCGCATGGTTGCTATAATTCGTCGGATCAGTGCGCGACATGGCGTAGATGCAATCAACTCGGTGAGAACGTGTCTCGGATGCTGAATTCAGGCCCAATTCAAAACATGATTCAGCAACTTTTGATTTGAAATCGAGATCCTTGAATGCTGTTTTTCTCCAAATATACAGCTGAAGCTGAGCTGAAACTTCATCAGGTTAGTTGCTCAGCACCCTTCTTTAGATTTTGAGCATGTTTGTTGCTTCAAACGAACGAAAAAAAATGCACAAATACAAATGATGGACTATACCTTTAAACGATTCCAGATCAGTAATATAGCGCAGTGACTATTGTGACAGTGGGACAGCGTTCCGAAGCCTAGCGGCCCAGAATGAGGGCATTCTGGATGGATAAAGTGACCAATTTGACAGGTCAAACCAGGGAAAGCAGCGATCAGGCCCTCAGATGTGCTGGAAGAAAAAGTGCCGCGCTCATGATCCAAAAGTTAATGTGTTTGTTAGTTTTGTATTTTTATTGTTTGGCTTTTTCAGGAGGCGCTGGGCGAAGAGGTGGTGCGTATGTCAAACGATGAAATCATCGGTCGGACGAGACTTCTTGACAATGAAATCAAGGCAGGTTATGAGTGATCAATTCAATTCGGGCGTCTCACAATGCAGTGCGCCACCAAGAGTTTGCCATGGAGAGACCATTTTTCAAGTTTACGGTCGACAAAACTTGGCCGATTTGAGTGAGAGTTGCCTTACTGAAAACACCATATTGATACAAAGAAAAGAAAAGGGCTAACAGATACTGAAATCATACGCTTACAAAACTACTGACTGGAAAACTAACAATTTCAAATATTCCGTTGTGAAAGGCCCAAATTCCATTGAATTCAGTTTTATTTCATAACTTCCATAATGAACCCAAACAAAATATATAACTTAATAATAGTAGATAAACAAAACATAAAAGTAAAGTAACAACGATACATGGAAAGCAAAGAAGTTATGAGGGCGATGTTACAAGTCCAGGGACGTGTGAAACCCTCCCTTTTATCCCTAAGGGCTCCGTGTGCCAACGAAAGAGGGCGCCCCTTTACCTAGCAACGACGTCCCATGGGCGGGACTATTAGCTGGTTGACGCGCACTGTTCCTTCTGTGTACCGCACGTACACCAGGGGATTTGTACTATGTGCACGCAGTGGTACGGCCGCGTGTCGCTGCAAAATTGCAGTCAGGCAAGATGGCGTCGGTCGGTTACCACCAACTGTACTCTCTTTGCCGGTGAGGGGGTACTTGTGAATTGAGCGGATACCCGTGTTTTATGTCATTAGATTATCCGATTCCAGTACTATCCGCAAATGCACACCACTACCTGAGATGCCAAAACAGGTTAACCTTAAAGGGGCCGGGGGGGGGGGGGAATCGGCCCCCCCCCTCAATATTTTCCGCGATAGCTTCTAAAAATTTTTTTTTCGCGACCTGAGCTGTTATGACTTTTTAGCCTTAAGCTTTGCGCATCTTATGATACTAAAAACATAAAAATCGGATAACGGGTTGGCATGAAGCGAACATTTTTTTGGCGCTACGCGCCGTGAAAACTGAATTTTCGCATATACGTCGTGTACACCGAGCAGAATTGCCATTCAAACATATGAATAATTAATTAGCCATTATTCCAAAACCCTTTGACCTATAGTCATGAAATTTCTTGGGCGTGTTTAGGAAGAGTTGCTCTATGCATGTGCTGAGTTTCAAAATTTTTCGTCACTCGATGGCCGAGATCTTAGGAGGGGGCGGAATCCCCCCCCCCCCCCCCCCCCCCCCCCCCTGGCTGAGAGATGGTCAAAATAACCCGGCCCCTTTAGGGTTAAGAATTGGTCTTGGTAAGCCCTAATTTTCTATCCCGGAAAAGTCTTGGAAAATCTCAAGGAATTTCATCGTAAGATTTCTGTTTTTCCCTTCTTTTCCCACTTTCCATGAAACTTCCCACAGATCATGAAGAGCGAGATCATGCGGATCCAGCACGAACTACAAGCACAGAAAGAGAAAATCAAAGAGAACCAGGAGAAGATCAAAGTGAACAAAACCCTGCCGTACCTGGTGTCGAATGTGATTGAGGTAAGGAAATGTGATGGTAAGGACTGGCCCAACTGATGTTGGGACTGGCCCAACTGATGTTGGGACTGGCCCAACTGATGTTGGGACTGGCCCAAATGATGTTGGGACTGGCCCAACTAATGTTGTGACTGGCCCAACTGATATTGTGACTGGCCCAACTGATGTTGGGACTGGCCCAACTGATGTTGGGACTGGCCCAACTGATGTTGGGACTGGCCCAACTGATGTTGGGACTGGCCCAACTAATGTTGTGACTGGCCCAACTGATATTGTGACTGGCCCAACTGATGTTGGGACTGGCCCAACTGATGTTGGGACTGGCCCAACTGATGTTGGGACTGGCCCAACTGATGTTGGGACCGGCCCAACTGATGTTGGGACCGGCCCAACTGATGTTGGGACCGGCCCAACTGATGTTGGGACCGGCCCAACTGATGTTGGGACCGGCCCAACTGATGTTGGGACCGGCCCAACTGATGTTGGGACTGGCCCAACTAATGTTGGGACTGGCCCAACTAATGTTGGAACTGGCCCAACTAATGTTGGGACTGGCCCAACTGATGTTGGGACTGGCCCAACTGATGTTGGGACTGGCCCAACTGATGTTGGTACTGGCCCAACTGATGTTGGGACTGGCCCAACTGATGTTGGGACTGGTCCAACTAATCAAATTAGGTTTTGCCCTTCACCGACGTTTAAACACTGTATACTCAGTGTGTTACCTCCCGAGTGGAAGTTGGAAAAAATCGCTCGGGTGGGACTCGAACCCACGACCTCCTGCTTTCTAGTGCAGATGTCTTACCACTCGACCACCGAGCTAACGGGATCGGTTGGCCGGTTCGAATCTGATGTACATAGCAGCGGGTACCGCATACACACTGAGTATACAGTGTTTAAACGTCGGTGAAGGGCAAAACCTAATTTGATTTATATCACCCCGACGCAAAATTCCATATTATAATAGTGTATGCGGTACCCGCTGCTATGTACATCAGATTCAAACTGGCCAATCGATCCCGTTAGCTTGGTGGTCGAGTGGTAAGACATCTGCACTAGAAAGCAGGAGGTCGTGGGTTCGAGTCCCACCCGAGTGATTTTTTCCAACTTTCACTCGGGAGGTAACACACTGAGTATACAGTGCAGTGTTGGAGCAAAGGCTTTGACCCTCAAGGCCAAGGCCAAGGCCAAGGCTTTGACCCTCAAGCCTCGAGGCCAAGGCCAAGGCTTAACCCTCAAGGCCAAGGCCAAGGCCAAGGCCCTGTTTTATGAAATGACCACTGATATAGAACTAATTACATGTATAGTCAAATGAGTGACACATCATCACGCAAGGGCGGATCCAGAACACAATTTGGGGGGGGGGGCAAAGAAATTTTGGTCCCCCCCAAAAAAAAGTGGGTCAAAAAATTACGGCTTGGGCTTCGGGCCCGCTTAAGGGCCCCGAAAAAAAAAAATTGGATTCGAGATGCTCTGTGGTGCGATTTGAGGCAATTTCTGACCATTTTAACCAATGTTTTTTGAGGAAAAGATGGTGGTGTACTCATTGCCTGCCTTTATTACGACGTCACATAAAAAAAAAATGGTTTCGTTTTTTTTTTAGGGGGGGGGCATGGCCCCTTTTGGCCCCCCCCCTGGATCCACCCGTATCATCACGAATTGCTCGTTACGAAGAACAACATTTCTTTAATTGCAATCAACATGCTCACATAGGCCTACGCCGTTTTATGACTGCACTGTATCTATTAAAGTATAAGTTCAGGTCTTCAATATGGTTTAACTAAACAAAATAATGATTTACTTCTATATTGACACACAATTCTCCCAAGTGTAACAAAAGGGGGATCCAAGAAACTGATTTGGGAAAAAAATGTATTTGCTGGCCCAACATGGTCAGAAATATCAGCATTATCTAAAACAGATACATGCAAATCTTTAGCACTTATCAGGGAGACATATACAACCAATCAGATCTATTCCATAGTTATATGCAATTGAAGTGATCATCTCATTAGCCCCACAAGTGTACGGAATATTTTTGCAGCAAATCTACTACAATGGTAACAAATGTGATGCTACAAAAGTGGAAGTGTGCCCAACACACAAATCTATAGGGTGCTTCCCTCCTCCATGGTAATACGATTTAAATGCTAACAGCAAAATTTCGAACAGATTTATCTGGAAAATGCAAAAATCTATGGGCCTTGAAGAGCCTTGACTCAAAATTGCAAGGCCCTGAACCCTCAAGGCCAAGGCCAAGGCCAAGGCTTTTGCCCTCAAGCCTCGAGGCCAAGGCCAAGGCCCTAAAATCTAGCCTTAAGGCAGCCTTAAGGCCAAGGCCCAGCATCAAGGCACTACATCACTGATACAGTGTTTAAACGTCGGTGAAGGGCAAAACCTAATTTGGCTCAACTAATGTTGGGACTGGCCCAACAAATGTTGTACTGTAGTTCCCGTCTCAGTTTATATCCGAACCAAGACGCTAGTGATCAGTAGTGGATCGTGCATAGTGCGCCCTCTAACGGCACAATTAGACCAGCGGGCCTACTGGCAGTAGCATCTAGGGTAATTAACGTTTTCTTTATTTTCTCCCTAGGATTTCTTAGTTAACCTGTCAGCAATCGTGAAATGGTTTATAGTCAGTCGCGCACGTGCTCTCGTGACGGTTGTAAAGATACACACTACTGCAGTGATCAAGCAACGCTTATTATGATAACCTGCGCGCGCGCGTGCGTGCCTACTGCGGTATCAAATGGGAACTGCCATTTTGTTCAAATTTATATTGACACTGAAGGTCTAATTTACATAAAATGGCCACCCACTCATTGCCTCGAATTGCCCAAGACGTCAGTGAGAGAAAGTAAGAAAAACAATCATGCGAGGGCGCTCTACAACAAAGCAACTATCGCTATTGATCGCTGACGTCTTGGGCCAAGACTAATCCGGGACAAGTTGCGGACATTGTATCGGGTTATAAGTTGCAGGATTTTGAACAGCTTCCCTGCAGCGTTCCCGCAACGAAGTTATCGGTATGGTGAGTCAAGCAGCTGAGACAAATGCAGAGCGTCCAGGCAAAGTGAAATGATCCTAACTGCAACTTGTCCGGACCTGGTCCCGGATTTGAATTGAGATTGGCCAGCCATAACCAGTGCATGGGTGCTAGTGTTTTCAACTTAGTTCCGCCCATGTTTTGTCGCTGTTTGTAGCTGCTGGACGTGGAGCCAGAGGACACCGGTGAAGCGGAGGGCGCCAACGTGGATCTGGACTCGCAGCGGAAAGGCAAATGTGCCGTCATCAAGACGTCCACCCGACAGGTAGGCATATGAGTGATGGACAGTCCCCTAAGAAATTTGAAATTTCTGTCCGAAATTTCTCAGGCCCATTCATCAGTAAACTCTAATTTAGACATCATTTAAAAAATCTTTCGTTGTTAACCACTTCGCGTCGGATGACATGTTAACATGGCTGTTTTTATACACAGGCACAGCTGACGGGTTAAAACGTAGAGCGTGCCGCGATTCGCCTCCGGGTGACGTCTAAACACGCTTATCCCTCGTGCCTTTTGTGCACACAAACTAAGTCCGTGAAGTCTGTTTGAGGCGGACTGTGTGTTGATCTTGAATTGGCCGTTGCGCACGGCTTTTTCTACAAATTACACTCCGTGAGCACACCCCGGAGTGTTGAAACATATGAGGTTACGACAAGAACTATCATACAAATACTGTTGAACTGACTCTTGCGAAGCAGTATGTGCGGCGTTTGGCTGTACATCAGAAGTTGGCTGCTATTTTTTTCCCTTTTGCCCTTGTCTGACGTACATGTACTCAGACAAATTGATTTTTTGTGTGCACTTATTCATGAATTTGTTGCGTAAAATTAAACAGCTGAACTATTGAACATTGTCAGAATTGTAGTTCAATTAAATATGGATAATCAGCTTCAAAATGATACACAAGTTTCATTTTTGGTATTGTGATTTATTTTTTGAAAATTTCTCATTGAGTTTTATGATAAACAAAGTTGCTCCAAGTACGTATCGTGTTGAGCAACTGAATGGCAGAGCCGCTGTGCTTTCGTTTTGTCGGTCTGCAGACGTACTTCCTCCCGGTGATAGGCCTGGTTGATCCTGAGCAGCTGCACCCCGGCGACTTGGTGGGCGTCAACAAGGATTCCTACCTCATACTGGAAACGCTGCCGCAAGAGTGAGTTAGTTTCATTGGTTGAATACAGAAAGTGAGTCGGGCGGGGTTCGAACCTGCAACCTGTGGAATACCGGACTGGTGCTTTATATTGACTGAGCTAACTGCCCAGTGGTATAGCCTGGGGTGCCTTGTAGGGGTATCGCACGTATTCACGGTGCACCAGGTGCCCCCCCACCCCCTCCCCCTCCCCCACGCCCCCCACCCCCACCCCCACCCCCACCCCCCCCAAAAATTGGCCCCCCTCCCAAGAAAGGAAAATTCACGTACCACAACTTAATAGCTGATTATATCCTCAGCAACACCACGAAGTAACACCTATGTACATACCAGTTAAAACTAGCAATCGGAGAAAACGGCTACTAAAGTTGAACGCCTTCTAAAACAACACTTTGCGTCAAAACGGCAAGGGTATTTTCAGTTGGGTTTCTCGTTGTGGACACTTGATGAATGGAATAAATCTGCTGTTTTTCACCCGTTTGTGTATTAAATCGACAAGAAATAAGAGAAAAAAGGTGAGTGTTAGTTCGTGAAACCCAAAAAGCTGCAAAACTGTACATTTTCATTTTCACGAAGTAACACTCTCTAATGTATACAACAACATGAGGAAAGTGCAACTTCAGGTCAGCGCGCCCGCGCTCATACAAGGAGAGTGTTACTTTGTGAAAATGTTTTTGCTCACATTTGAGCAGAGCGCGTGCCATGCATTGCAATGGTAAATGGAACTTGAGTGTTACTTCGTGAAAGCGAAAATTGTCACTTTAGCGCAAAAGTTGCCATGGATAATTAGCGTAATTATTAAAGTAAAGCTCTTGAAGCTTTGAAACTTCCTGTAATGGTAGGCCTTGATGAATAATGTTTAAAATGTAGAAACTGAAAAAAAATAAAATATGGTTTAACAGGTGGAGTGTTACTTCGTGGTGTTTGTGACGATATGATAGGTTTGAAATTGATCCTAAGCATCCTCTTGCACCTATAAGTATTTTGCAAAAAACTACTTAAAGGATAGAGAAGAATAATGGGAAAAAGAACACCCTCTTGTGACAAATTAGGACCAGATTTCCCCCCCCCCCATCCCCCATCCTTTCTTTGATCTGCACCTTCTACTGAAAATAACATCCTAGCAACGCCACTGTATCTGCACGCTGTTTGTGTCTTCAACTTTGCACTGAAAAAAAAAATATTCAGTCATTATGTAAGATCTCTCACAACGTGACTTTTTTTTGGCCTCCCCCTGTTTAGGTTTGATTCCCGCGTTAAAGCCATGGAAGTCGACGAGAGACCCACAGAGCAGTACAGCGACATTGGAGGACTGGACAAACAGATTCAAGAGGTATGGATGGATGGATGGTAGACATGCATGCTCATGTACTGGGCGATTAAATGCCTTGCCCAATGGCCAATTTAATTAAAGGGGCACTAGGTCCTGAAATCCCCGAAAATTTTATGTTTTGGATTGTTTAAGTAGCCTATTTCAAACATCTGGTTGAAAGGAAACCAACCTAAATGTCTTACCGTTCCCGAGAAAAGACGAAAAAAAACCCCGCTTGTTTACATCGGACATGACAGAGAACGAATATTTTTCGTGTCGTTCTCAGTGTACGCTATACACGTTGTGTGTCTCGGGAACAGCGCGCCATGATCACCAATGCAAAAAATTGTGGTTCCTTCAACGTCCGCAAAAGGCGAACACTTAACGTGTACGAATGAAATCACAACTAGCATCCGAACAGCTCGAATTTATGGGGTCGCAAAAGTGGACCCCGAAATTCGTTCTCGCATGCATAATACAGGAATTACACAGAAACACCCAGTTTTTAAGGGATACTTGCGTGGCTGTTTATATCCTACTTTTAAATGTTATTTCCGATTATCATCATCTCGTTCAAAGCGCGTTTTGTAGCCCAATTGGGCTGTTCCGCGACCTAGTGTCCCTTTAAACAAACTAAAAATTAGCCGGAGGATCCAGATATTGAGTCCATCTGGTAAAATGAGACAGAACGGGACAGAGGTCGAAAAACCGGGGTTGTGGAAAGAGATTGCAATTCTCCTCGCAGTACTGTTTGTTGCACTTCAATTGGGCATTCTGCTGACAAGTTGTGGCTGTTTATAGTTCACAAATAACGACATGTTCCAAAAAAACGTAAAAATATTGCGGAAACGGGCCTTTAACTTTCGAGTTTTGTAGTTGTGACAATGGAAGACCCCAATTTGTTTCTCCCTAAATACACTTTTATTCTATGATTTTTATAATATATCTTTAAAATATGTATAGTACACATATCAAAGATAAGAAACATTAATAAGTCTGAAAATCAGAACAAAAATTCATCCCTTAACCCTTACCCTACTAGACCCTCCAACGCATGCCAATATGTGCCTCAAGAAAATCTCCTATGTTTTTTGCATGGCCCTCCAATATCTGCCATGTCATTTCAAGGGTAACTGGACAGGCACTCCAATACATGCCACTGAGAACAATGAGAGTCCTCTGATAACAAAGTGAGTGCCCCCAGCTGGTCAGTATCAGGCACCCTCCAGGGCCTCCAACTCCTGCAAATTGGAGCCTTCACTGTTAAGACAAACTATCTGCCAATAAACTGCAGCTGGAGGGCATTGGCATAACCAACTGACATGCAGTAAACTACCCTCAGAGAGTAAGGGTTAATAAGTCTGAAAATCAGGACAAAAGTTCATTCCTTAATCCAAGTGACGTTTTCCTCTTTTTTGTTTCTTTCTTGTAGTTGATAGAGGCAGTCGTCCTACCGATGACACACAAAGAACGGTTTGAGAACATTGGTATCCAGCCGCCAAAGGGTGTGCTACTCTATGGACCGCCGGGTACCGGAAAGACACTCATGGCCAGAGCATGCGCTGCTCAAACGAAGGTAAAATTCCCAGAGAATAGTGATCTCCTTTCGCCTTTTTTGTACCTTACTAGAGCTTGGGGGTTGAGATGAAGTCCCCCTTCCACATCTTGATTGCAATTTGGTTAGTTCAGATTCGGGGCATAACAGGAAATTTCAAACATTCCAGCAGTAATCTTGTAAAAGTTGGACAAACTCGTTTGTATTTGACCTTGAAGATTTCACATTAAATTTCCTTTTGCATTGGGATATTGATGTGAAGTGGGAGCCCTGATGATGAATTGTCTCTAAAATTGGCTGTGCTTCAATGCTTAACCATTTAGTCACTGCACCGCTCAGCATTGCGTGTAACCTCCACTAGAATCTTCTGAGAGAAAACAGTCAATCTAACTGTAAACTGGCCAGCCCTCTAGTCTGTCTTAATCCTTTGTCCAAACAGTGGCTTTATAATCCCTAACACATAGTGTAATAAACTACATGTGCTGTCACACAGCTGATATTGACAAGTGCAGGGGATTAGCAGCAGTATCTGACAACAGGGGCCAGTTTGTTGACAAAGGGATTAACAAGATAAGAGTGTACCGCTAGAAGTACTGTATTCTTTCCGAGTTTACAGGCCCTAACTCGGAATGCTGCTAGAAGCATGTACACCTGATAAGAACCGCCATGCCTATTACTCCTTATAGTGCATGAGACCGTCTGAGCACTCTGTTGGAAGGGCCAGAGGTCACTTGAAAGATCAGATAAGCTCACTGGAATTATCCAGTGGTGTATCTGCCTGGGAAGGGGGGGGGGGGATATGTGTTCAGATGGTTCACATGTCGATGTAGTAAAGTCTGAACTTTGCTACCTTGACACCATCTCCAATGACGTTGGTCTTGACATGATTGCGATCCCGCAGCTCATGAAGGATAAGCCTACCTGGCTCAGCTTTGTCAATGCTGCTTCTGCCATTCCGTCTAAGGACGACAAATGATGATTATGACAATGATGATATTAGCAATTTTTAATGAACTTCACCCCGAAGCATGAATGTAAATTTGGATGAACTAAAACTGAACCAATTTTGCCTTGTTTAGTCAACATTCCTGAAACTGGCTGGGCCCCAGCTGGTCCAGATGTTCATTGGCGACGGCGCCAAGCTGGTGCGAGACGCCTTCGCCCTGGCCAAGGAGAAACTGCCCGCCATCATCTTCATCGACGAGCTGGACGCCATCGGCACCAAGCGCTTCGACAGCGAGAAGGCCGGGGACCGCGAAGTCCAGCGCACCATGCTGGAACTCCTGAACCAGCTGGACGGGTTCAGCTCCAGCGAGGAGATCAAGGTGAGAGGTCGTATTGGGTCGTTGGAGGGGTCAGAGGTCACTGGAAAGGTCAGAGGTCACTGGAAAGGTCAGAGGTCACTGGAAAGGTCAGATGTCAAATAAATGGGTGGTATGGGTGGCTAGTGTGTAAAGCGCTTGCCTCTCATCACTGTGGCCTGGGTTCGATTACCGGCTCGGATCATTATGTGAGTAGAGTTGTTGGTTGATTCTCTCCTGTGCCACGAGGGTTTTTCTCCAGGTTCTCCGGTTTTCCTCCCTCCGTAAATATTAACCATTTGATCTCTGGCTATGCTCCGTGGTCAGACATGGTGACTGCCATGGGCACCTTTAAATGCTTTCGGCTCGACCACGTTGTAGCCGCGTCCTTCGCAATTCAGTTTCTCTGCTGCGATTAAGGATGATTAATAATAATAATAATAATACTACATGCATTTATAAAGCACATTTTTCCAATGGTTTCAATGGGCTACGAAAGAACAACTCCAGAAAGTACAACTAATGAAACATAGCAGGAGGGAATGAATAAAAGAAGTACAATTATTATGAAAATAGATATGATTTGAGCTTACTTTTGAACTGGTGGATGGATTTACCATGGTACAATGACGAAAATTGAGAGGGAGTGAGTTCCAGCATCCTGCTACAGTAAAACAGTCTTGTCACCTGCGTGTTTGAATGTGCGTGGTATTTTTAAGTTCTGCTCTGAGCAGAGGCCTCTTCGGTTTGGCGTGCTGAGGTCTAGTGAATCTGTTATGTATTTTGGATGTGGGTTTGATTGTGCTTTGTACATATTCATTGCCATCTTGTAGATGGTGGGTTTTGAACGGGTTTTTGAATTAGCCTCCCAAATTATAATTACAAGTTCACTGGAAAGGTTATGGGTCAAACTGCGGGTACTGGAAGGTCAGAGAACGCAGAGGTTACCAGAAGATATGGTCGAAAGGGTCAGTGAAAGGTCTTGGGTTTAAGGGGTCGCTAAAAGGTCAGAGAGAAAAGTGCCAGAACTCTTTGAAATCAGAGGTGATAATATCACTGGAATGTTAACATTTCCCTTCAAAAGTAGTAAGCATTGTATTGATCTGAAGATTTGAACAATATTGTTGATGACGATAATTTTTTTTTATTTAGGTCATAGCTGCCACAAACAGAGTGGACATCCTGGATCCGGCCTTGCTCCGCTCCGGCCGATTGGACAGGAAGATTGAATTCCCGAACCCCAACGAGGAGGCCCGGGCAAGAATCTTGCAGATTCACTCCAGGAAGATGAACGTTGGGTGAGCATCAGCAAGCATTTCATTAAAAATGTTCTTTTTTTAAGCCTTCATGCAAAAGTAGAAACCAAAGCAAATTGCATGACCTCGATGCTTGAAGTTTTAATCCTGCCTTTTAGCTATGCCCAGAGTCATAAAGTTGTCTTAAAAACTCTGACGCATTTGTTCAATACTGTGACAACGCACTACATCGCAACTGTGGTGGCTGAATTTTGTACAATTTTTTTTCTTGTATTTGGACAAGCTTCAAGCTCCTTGTCCTTCGCATTGATCCAGTATGCATGCAAATTGTACAATGGTGGTTTGTGTGTTTCTAGGAAAAATGCAAGATAAACTTGTGGATTTTCCAATGTACCAGGGTCTAGCTGTTTGCCCTCGTGCAATTTCACCCCACAGACAAGTCTCAAGTCACCCTGGTCAAGTCTCAAATCACTCCGGTCAAGTCTCAAGTCACTCTGGTCAAGTCTCAAGTCGCTCTGGTCAAGTCTCAAATCACTCTGGTCAAGTCTCAAATCACTCTGGTCAAGTCTCGAGTCACTCTGGACAAGTGTCAAGTCACCTGGTCAAGTCTCAAATCACTCTGGTTTAGTCTCAAGTCGCTCTGGTCAAGTCTCAAATCACTCTGGTCAAGTCTCGAGTCACTCTGGACAAGTGTCAAGTCACTCTGGTCAAGTCTCAAGTCGCTCTGGTCAAGTCTTGAGTCACTCTGGACAAGTGTCAAGTCACTCTGGTCAAGTCTCAAGTCACTCTGGTCAAGTCTCAAGTCGCTCTGGTCAAGTCTCAAGTTGCTCTGGTCAAGTCTCAAGTCACTCTGGTCAAGTCTCAAGTCGCTCTGGTCAAGTCTCAAGTTGCTCTGGTCAAGTCTCAAGTCGCTCTGGTCAAGTGTCAAGTCACGTAGTCAAGTCGCCAGTCACTCTGGTCAAGTCTCAAATCACTCTGGTCAAGTGTCCAGACACTCTGGTCAAATCTCAAGTCACTCTGGTCAAGTCTCATGTCACTCTGGTCAAGTCTCAAGTCGCTCTGGTCAAGTCTCAAATCACTCTGGTCAAGTCTGAAGTCGCTCTGGTCAAGTCTCAAGTCACTCTGGTCAAGTCTCAAATCACTCTGGTCAAGTCTCAAATCACTCTGGTCAAGTCTCGAGTCACTCTGGACAAGTGTCAAGTCACCTGGTCAAGTCTCAAATCACTCTGGTAAAGTCTCAAGTCGCACTGGTCAATTCTCAAGTCACTCTGGTCAAGTCTCAAGTCGCTCTGGTTAAGTCTCAAGTCACTCTGGTCAAGTCTCAAGTCGCTCTGGTCAAGTCTGAAATCACTCTGGTGAAGTGTCAAGTCACTCATCCGGGGGAGGGGGGGGGGGAGGCCAACAATTTGTTTTTGTCATCAGAAGACTTCATGGATGCCAAATGTGATTCGATCCAATTGTCTTTGGATTTTGAGTGCTGTTACTATTGGTAAAAAAAAAATGCATGAAAGCAAATGAACCGGCCAACCGATCCCGTTAGTTCGGTGGTCGAGTGGTAAGACATCTGCACTAGAAAGCAGGAGGTCGTGGGTTCGAGTCTCATCCGAGTGATTTTTTCTTTCTTTCACTCGGGAGGTAGTGTTTAAAAACGTCGTTGAAGGGCAAAACCTAATTTGATTCACTCTGGTCAATTCTCAAGCCAACCTCTAGTCCAATGGCGCCCTTATTTTGTGTCTTGTATGTCTCATAATGTTTAAAGAGAAATAAGAATTCAAGTTTCTTTTGAAATGTTTCAGAACTGACGTTAATTTTGAGGAGTTGGCTCGATGTACAGACGACTTCAATGGAGCTCAGTGCAAAGCAGTGTGTGTCGAAGCGGTAAGCACAAACATCTCACAATCCTGTAGCAAAATTCTTTGGGAGTATGGCCTGGTGGTTAGGGTCAAATGCAGCTGCTGGCCATATGTTGTGTCCTTGGGCAAGCCAGTTTACCCCCACTTGCCTCTCTCCACACAGGAGTATATATGGGTACTAGCCCAGGTGGACTCCCTTTCCCCCCATATGTTACGGAGGGAGCGAAAAATTTTATAACCAATATTTTCAATATTTTTACCTTGTTGGAGAAGCCAATATTTACGTTGTAGTATTCTATGTGTCCTTATTTATTGGGCCGCTGGGTTCAGGAATTCCATATGCGATGCTGACCGACCTTAATCAGGAAAATAAACTCTAAAGTAACGTGAAACTTGTACGTGTTTGTAGACTCTTTTCATCAGTTTCTCACCGCCGAGTCTATTCTAGTCGTACATGACGTACGTACGTCCGTGCAGCGTGTAGTCTTGTTCCCTAGACCTGACAATTATTCTCGGCGCTTATATCACGTCTGGTCTGGGAGCTAGACTGTGCAGCGTGAATATGCAGTGCGCACGCGCGATTTGCTTTATAGTAACCACCCTCATACGCACGCGCACTTACTTGAAGGCGCGGTCGCTAAACCAATGACCAAGCGTGTTTTCGCTCCAGTTACCAGAAACATGTTTCGGCTTTGGTCATTGGTTGAGCGTTTTCGTGACGTCGGTTGGCTGGAGTGACGTCACTGTTCCAACCAAAACTAAACAAATGAGGGCGCTAGCGTGCGTGTGCGCCTTCGTGCGCATGTACATGACGTACGACTCGGGAATAAAACTGATGAAAAGAGACTACCAACACGTACAAGTTTAACGTTGCTTTACAGTTTATTTTCCTGATTAATGTCGGTCAGCATCACATATGGAATTCCTGAACCCCTGGATCAATAGAGGACGGACACATAGAAAATGTAGGCGTGAAATAAGCTTCTGTAACGAGGTAAAACGTAACAAAAATCTAGTCCAAATTTTGGGTGGTCTTATGTAGAGAATTCTCATCCTGGACGTCAGTCGTAATGCAATGAAGACTTCGTCCAACCTGGGCTAATATGGGTACATGTATCGGCATTAGCTGGGGATGCGATGGACTAGCATCCCTTCCAGATCAGAATGCAATGTCAGTTTTTTTTGTTGTCTTTGGTTCTGCAGGGCATGATTGCTTTAAGACGAGGTGCGGTGGAGCTAGCTCACGAAGACTACATGGATGGCATCTTGGAGGTCCAAGCAAAGAAGAAAGCCAACTTGAATTACTACGCTTAGAGGAACTTACTAAAAAAAAAAAAGGGGGAGGGGGGCGCTATAACACGGAGATACTATATGCAAGGGTAGATCCTTGGGGGGGCTAACAATTTGTTTTTGTCATCAGAAGACTTTGTGGATGCCAAATGTGATTTGATCCAGTTGTCTTTGGAGTTTGAGTGCTGTTACTATTGGTAACAAAGAAAATGCATGAAAGCAAATGATCCAACATGTATGCCTTTAACCCTTTAGTCACTGTAGTGTTCGAAACTGCCCTGCCTACAACAGTCGAATCTCGTTAGTACAAAATTCTGGTTATAACAAAACAAAAAGCCTTAGTCCCGACTGTGCATTTATGTGCACAATGAATGGGACTGATGTTCCTCTTAATACAGAATTCCAACAAATAAAAAACAATTTGGCTAAGCCGAAAATTCAGCCAGAATAATTCCTGGTGAGCACTGCTTTAACTTTTGTTTTCATCACTTATACTTTTCTTCAGTGCTAAACAATTTGGCTAGGTCCGAACGAGTTTGTATTAACAAGACTCGACTGTACTCACTGTAGCACCTGAAACCACCAGAGCACTCCACAGGTGTATTGATTTTTCAGTATAAATAAATACAGTGTAATGCAATGAAATCCACGTGCTAAAATCCCTTTCACAAAAAAAAAACTGTGATTTTCAAAATGCTCCACTTATTCCTTGTTCAGAACCCGTCCTGAAGAATTCAGACTGTCCCTTAAAGCTACAGTCCATCATTTGTAATTTTGTGCATTTTGTTCGTTTGAAGCAACAAAAGAGTTCAAAATCTAATGAAGGATACTGAGCAACTAACCTGATGAAGTCTCAGCTAAGCTTCAGCTTTACATTCCGAGAAAAACAGCATTCTAAGATCTCAATTTCAAATCAAAAGTTACTGAATCATGTTTTGAATTGTTTTGAATTGCAGCTATACGCGACGTCGCGCACTGAACCGACTAATTATAACAACCGCGCGCGCGTGTGCGTCGTTCCAATACTTGTGCGCGCCGCGCTGAATAACAAAAGGAACTACTAATTTAAATTTTCCTACGGTGCTTCTTAAGAATCACCGTTGGAAATGCCTTCTTTCATTGATTACTTCAAAATGACAGTTTCCCAGAAAGAATAATTTCACAGGGAGTTTAATTCCCTTTACTATCTTTCAACCAAGTTTGTTTTTCAACAATAATTACGCCAGTTACTTTTTGGATGGCTGCAAATGATGGACTATAGCTTTAAGTCACAAGTCCGTTTACAAGTCAAGGCAAAGTCAAAGCTCACTTGAATAGCTTGTGAATTGAACAGACACTGGAGGACTTGTGACCGGCATGCGATGGACTTGCCTACATCTTTGTGTGTATTGTAACTGTCAAATGATAAACGTTCCCTGTGGTTATGTTGACCTTCTGTCCGGTAAAATGTAGGAACATGTGTACATGTATACAGTCGACTCTCGTTAGTACAAACTCTGTTAATACAAAATTCTGGTTATAACAAACGTAAAGCCTTGGTCCCGACTGTGCATTTATGTGCACGATGAATGGGACTGATGTTCCTCTTAATACAAAATTCTGATAATTCAAACAATTTGGCTAGGTCTGAACGAGTTTGTTAAAACGAGACTCGACTGTACACGTAAAATGTTTCGTCCTCAACAGTTTGACTTTTTCAGCAGTGGGTAAATACATGTATGCGAGATGTAAACACCCCCCCCCCCCCAAAAAAAAGGTTATGGGTTTGGGAGGGAGCTGTTGTGTACTGTTCTTTTTTTCCCATGTATTTTTTTTCTTGTATCAATAAATTTAATAAAAAGTATCAAAGTTGTGATGAAGTGTGTGCCAGTTGTCTTTTCTTTCATTTTATATCGGGTGTTTTTGACTTAAAGGTGATAAACAATACATGTACAATGTATTTGCAAACATAAAAAAACCAAATATGTTTACCAAATTATTATGAAATACCTTACCGGACAGTGGTATTTTTTTATCAATTTCCATTTTTATCGATGCTGGTCGGCCAACCAGCATTGGGAAAAAAAACCTTTTTTTTCTCAAATACTACCCCCAATTCATCCCATTATATGTAGTTCCCATTTTGTTTGCAATCGATTACACGCCTATATGAATGAACAGGTACAAGCCAGCTAGAATGGTTCCCCAACCTTACAATTCCCCCCCCCCCGACGTCTATAAGTTGCTGTTTTTCATCTCGAGTGGGGTCAAGGAACCAGACTACAGGTAAATAAGCCTTTTCGGAGTTCCAACTGCGCATTCGTAACCTGCGACAACGCGCATTGTTTGTCTCAAATGACCTTTGACAACATCGCGCCACTGACTTCACAAAAAGGCTGTTTGTGCATTGTGGGTACTGTCAAAGGGCATTTGAGACCAACAATGTGCGTTGTCACAGGTTACGAATGCGCGCAGTTGGAACTCCGAAAAGGCTTATACATGTATAGTGCTTTATACATGTACCAAAGCGCTTCACAATTATTATCCCTGTTCATTGGGCTGTGACTTGTTATTTTCCAAGACTTGTTATTTTAAAATCAATTTAAAGTTCACCCAACAGACACCAGACATGCAGTAAACGGACAACAAAACAATTTTTATTTCCAGCTTTGCCAAATTTATTTCCTCCTTTTTGACTTCTCCATTCCTTTACAATATCTGAAACAAGACTGAAAACAGGTGGCCAATTTCCAGAGGTTCACCAAAAGCCAAGGTGGCCACTATGAAGAGGTTTGCAACGTGCGATAAGTCATCATCGGAACCCAGTCCAATCTGGTCAAACTAAACAAGTGGCCACATCAGACAGGTTATCGGAGCGGGGTTAATATATTTAGATGCCTGTTTTGGAATGCATCTCTGTATCGAGTCTACAGAAACCAACTCCCCTTGCCCCTCCCAGAGCCCACGCGCCCCCCTTTTCCAGAGTCCCAGTCTATTCGTTCTCCTCGCTGCGGAGGCGGGCGTGGCCATTGGTCACCTTGACGGCCAGCTGCTGGGCGCGCTCCACGATGCTCTTGCGCTTTCTGGACGAGACGCCGTGGGCGATCTCGGCGGCGTAGCGTCGGTTCGTCATCATGAGAATCTCCAGCTCCTGTAGGAAAAGAAAAGGACTGTGGCGTTAGAAGCTGCACAACTGAACGCTGATGACGCCTTCCCATTATACCCTAATCCTCCTCAATCCTCCAAAATCCTCCTGCCCCTTTTTGATGATTTTAGAGGATTGAGGACGAATGGCAGAGATGTATCGCTTTTTTGTGGAGGATGCATTACGTCAAGCCAGTAGGCCATATCCTGCATTGGTTATGTTCAGCCATGATACATAAATCAGCCCTGTGTTTTTCAAGTCTTTCATCCGCACTGCTTCTGAATGCCATTCGCACGGCCTCAAACCACAGCAGTAATTGGCAGAGTATTTTGGAGGATTGAGGCAGTGGTCACCCTCCACAGACTAAATTCAAGAAATAACGGATGATTCTGGTGGATTAAGGCTGAATCCATTTTTTTTTCTAGGTGGCAATTGGAGGATTTTGCAGGATTGAGGTTGCATCCTAGCCCGAGGGCCTAGGGTGTAAAGGTTAAACCCTCCTAAATACTCCAAAATAAACCAGGCCTGGGCGACTTAAAAGGATTTTGGAGGATTGAGGCTATGTGCTATTTTTGTGCTGGTTGATTTTAGAGGATGTGTTGTGTCAAGGTCTCTAGCACTTGGTTCAGACAGGCGTTCCAGAGTCGCGCCGAATCAAATGGAAGTCTAGATTTGAATTAAGTGCGTCAAAAGTTCAACGTCTGAAACAATTAGGAGTGACTTGACACGCTCGATGGCGAAAGATCGACTGTTGGAGTCATTAGAACGTCTAAAGAGCGACTTGGTTTCAGAGGGCGCTCTTAAGCTTCACCTTGTATTGGTCATGCTTAACAATGCATAAATCATACCAAGATTACACTGAATATCATCCACGCTGCTTCTGGATATAATCGGCAATTCCAAATTTTTCTATATTTTTTTCCAAAATGTCGGATTGATTCTTTAATTTTCTCGACTCTTTCGCTGATACCAAATTGATAGACAACGCTACAGTCTTGTCGAAACAAATAAACAAGTGCGAGTGCGCAATAAGCTCTGGCCGGGTTGCAAGGAGTCTTGCATGAAAGTCTTGCATGAAATCGATCAAAATGATCCCTACCAGAGCTGAAAAGTGTGACGCCAATGGCACATATGAAGCACCATACGTTTGGTTAAGTTTCGGCAACAGACAGACAGACAGACACACCGACTAACCACCAAGTGATATGTAGAAGCCCCGACAGAGCTTGAAAAAAAACACAATATAACTTTCCTGCAAACGTATCAATGTAAAAAAAAACGGGTGGGTGGAAGAAACAAGTTTTTATTTTTTTTACTTGTTCTTTTCTGAGAGTCAACTGTACGTCTGCGTTAGTCACAAATTACAAAAACTGGGCACGTCAGCAACAGGCATGCAACTGGGAAATCACGAAAAAAGAGGAAATTCAAATTTTCCCAGACTTTGTACAGTGTTTTTCTATTTTCAATGGCACACATGGGAAGTAAAAAAGAGGAAATCAGCTGATCCGAGGAAAAGTTGCTTGCCTGCAGCAAGCTTTGCGCTTTACCTTGACATTGTGAACGAGGAATTTACGGAAGCCGTTGGGCAGGATGTGTTTGGTCTTCTTGTTGCTGCCGTAGCCGATGTTGGGCATCCTCATCTGACCCTTGAAGCGACGACGCACTCTGTTGTCGATACCCTTGGGTCGCCTCCAGTTGGTCTGCAAAAAAAAAAAAAAAAAAAAAAACATGGTTCTGATGAGACGTCATCTCAACGTTATTACCAAAATGCATGTCCCTGCAGGTTCACCACCAGGCATCCAGTCACAATTCCGCTCACAAGCTATAGACCGCTTGCAGATGCGATCGATAATCGTCGCGCGACGCCATGTTGTGGGACAAGCGTATATCTATCCATGCACATTTTGTCCCACAACATGGCGTCACGCACCTTCGCGCGTCAATTATCGATCGCGTCTGCAAGCGGTCTATACCAATGAGGCCCCCCAAAATAAAAAGTTCTGCTTCCGATCACATGGCATTTGAAAAAAAAAAAGGGTCGGTAGGTAAAATATCTTCTCTTGGCAACTTTTTTGTCTACAATCATATAGAGGCGTCTGTGTGTAGTCAAGGGTAAAATGTAGTAATTGGTGGTTTTGGGCGTTTGTTTCTCATTTTTCTCATACACCAAATTTGGGTAGGGGCTGTCAGAATAGGGTAGGTGGGGCAACCGGACGCAGAACAATTTTTTGGGGGGCCTGAGCTTCGACAAAGGCATTCCTCTGTTATTGTTCATCCATTGTTACTTGTGACTGGACTTGTGATCGACTCGTGACTGGACTAGTGATGGACTGGACTATATCCCTGCTACCCGGCCCATTCCCCAACCTTTGAAAAGGTGAATATCGCGTCACGTTTACATCTTTGAAACAGCAATACTGCATCAGCGTGTGCCATTTGGCAATATCACCATGGTGGTGTCTGAAGACCATCGTGAGAAAACATCATTTGCAGTATGCCGACTCGGTCATGGAGTGACACTTTATTACCGAAACCCCTTTCAATAGCACACCGTGACCCCGTGCTCTTCCAAAATAAGGATTTTTGTCTCAGAACGAATTGTCAATTTGCTTGCTTTGTTTGAATGAAACCAAAGAAATAAACAAGAACCCACCCAAAATTTTTCAATCCAATTTTAGGCATCTGAAACCTCTGCAAAAGGTTTTTATTTTGCATACGGAAAAGCCTACACGGCCAGAGAGCTGAATTCTTGTTAAGAAGTAATTCAATAACTAAGCCTCTGTGGATGTTTTTTGCATCCAAGGTCATTACAAAAAGTGAGCAACTTTTCTATTGCTGGGAAAATAGCAACTGAAAACACACTTTTTATCTGGAGAAAACTTGATATAGAAGGATGAGGGACGTCACATCCCTGACAGGTGCCTACAGATTTTAACCCTAACTCCCTAGGCATTTTTGCTAGGATGTAGCCTCAATCCTGCAAAATCCTCAATTGGCCTCATTGAAAAATGGCATATAGCTTGCAAATTCCTCCATTATTTCTTGAATATGGTCCGTGGAGGGGTGACCACTGCCCAAGTCCTGCAAAATCCTGCAGCAGTGACTGTCAATATATGTTGAGGCTTGGCCAGTGACATTCTGGAGCAGTACGGAGGATTTCAAGCATAATCCAGGCCTTTATTTGTGCATGGCTGAGCAAAAACAACACAAGGTCCGGCCCAAGACCTTGACAAAGTGCATCCTACGATATCAGAAATGCACTTTTGCCATGTAACCTCAATCCTCCAAAATTCCTCCACTTTGGCAAAGAGGATTTTGGAGGATTCAGGGCGGTTAGGGCATGGTTGCGACATGTACCTTGACTCTGTAGTAGCGGTCTGACTGATGACGCTTGAACTTCTTCAGTCTCTTCTTGACAATTTTGTGCCGAACCAGAGGTCTGACGGAGGGTGCCATCTTTCTCCGGTGATGACAACTGAATGAACACAAACAATAAAAAATACATTGTTTAAATGAATATTATGAATATGAATAAACACATTGTATTAAACATGAGTTCCACATTTTACCTTCAACTTCCAAAATAAGATGTTAACTGCTATTTTTCGAGCAGTACCTAAGTTATTCACTTTTGAATGAGGCATTGACTGAAAAAAAAAAAAAAAAAAATTTGGCCCACGTCCATGATGTCTTACCGTAATTTCCTGCGGATAAGACGCGTCTTATCTGACTTTCTAGACCACAAAAACATCGCTGCGCCTTATCTACAGGTGCGCCTTATCTGGTGTCGCTTGAGTTCAAAGTGACGGTCTTTGTGTGAAGAATTCTTTCAATGCCGCAATCAATAATGCGGTCAACCAAGGCTCAACTCTCCAGACATTGTGACCGTATTTTCATTCCAACAATGCCGCGATGTGTTGATCCCCCATGATCGTGCTTTCATTCCAACAATGCCGCAATGCGTTGATCCCCTTAGTGATCGTGCTTTAGTTCCAACAATGCCGTCATACAAACGTTTTTCTTTGTGGCCGTTTTTTCATTCCGAAAATGCTGCAATCAGAATTACTTAAACGTTTGGAAATCGCATTCGCTCAAGTTCTATTGTGTGAACGTTGAGGGTGTTTATTGTACAGGATATCTTCGAAGTCTGCAAGCCTGAAGATCAAGTCGGTAAAAGCGGCTCAGGAAAGCGTACTTCCGGCCCGAGCGCCATGTTATGCATACAGAGACCGCACGAACCTCAGTGCACGTGTGGCCGAACATTTTGTAGAAACACGCTGCGGTGTATCATCAAGTCCGAGCGGTAAAATCTCGTTAAAATATATATTTCAACGGACAAATACATACACAGAGAAGAGAGATCACGTTCTGAGAATTAATTTGCGGAAATTCTCTTTCTCCACCGATGTATGTTATTTTCTACGATCCAAATTCGTCCTGATACGCTACTGTAGTCATGCACGGAACATCATGGTCCGGTACCGTACGTAGGCCGTAGTCACTGGTTCCTGGCCCACATCATAGCTTCGATTCTGTAAGCATGCGATGGGAACCAACGAATACTGATGGCACTGCTGCCGCACGGAACATCGTACAGCGGCATGGCTTCGACGACGTGCATCACAAATGCGTCAGAATTACAGGCCTTTTCGTCAAGATTTAGCGTGTCAAGATGAAATAATATCGTGTAAACGATTATGTTGTGCATGCAAATGGCGTGTGTAATATTACTGTGCGTATCGGCGGCTGAAAATGTGATCGGCAATTTGTTTTCTGTGTACGGTGAGTAATTATACTGACACTGTGACAGCTCGGTTACTTCTCCCACGCGGTCTGGGTAAATTTTCCCGTGTCGAAAGTCCAAGTGCGGACAGTGGACACATTTGACCATTTCTCATTTTACTATCGTCTCGGTAAAACCTTCCAAAAAAAAGTCCAGTGCGGACACGGCTTAATTCATCCTCCGAATAGTGTGATCGTTTTAAGGCAACACAATGGCCCCTTTGTGGCGATGTACCGACACCGGGTGACGCCTGGTGTTCTTCTGTGTGCTGTCAAACATGCGTCTTATGCTGCGGTGCGCCTTATCTGTTGGCGTTTGAATTTTTTTTGGGTGATTTTAGGGACCTGCGCCTTATCTGCCGTGCGCCTTATCCGCAGGAAATTACGGTACTATTGAATTTTTACTTTTCTACTTTATTGGCTGCCAGAAAACAATTCCATTTCGCAGGGTAGGCTGGTTCCGGCCCCACAATCGGTATTGATAATGTAAGGACCAGGAGCCAGTCTGCTCGAAAACAGATCGGTTTTGTTTGTGCCCAAAAGAGGGTTGCTGATGTCGTAAAACATACCAGTTGAAAACTTATTCATAGAAAAAAAATAAATCGCATTTGTCGAAAAGCACAGGGAACACAATGTTAAAATGAATATTAAAATCCTTCAAACGTAAAGTTCAGGGTTGACTTGCATTATTTCTATATTCACTGTATGGCTTAATATTTTTATAGAATATTTTCTTTGGAAAGAGTTTTACACCAATCCATATCTAGACGTAACTTGGCACCCTGTTCACAAACCCTATGAATGAGACTGATCTAAAAAACGATTCCAAGTGTTTTCTCAGCAAAGTCTTTGCTATTTTGCCTGCCGAGATTGACTTTTTGGGACATATATTGCTTTCTGATGGCTGATAAGTCACTGCGGGGAAAAATCAGTGATCATGTCCATGTATGGAATTCTTCCTTTTTCGTTTATTGGGGACAATAGCCTTCACACAACTGTGCAAGCTCAGGAAAGTTATCAAACAAACAAACAAAACAAAACGTTTTGCAGTGTGAAGAAACATAATGATGGATATTTGTAACTGCATCAGTACTTGCCAAAAGGCAGTGTCACCATGACAATATGTCAGAAGACCATCGTGAGAAAACATCATTTGCAGTTGACGTCGAAAGGGGTTGGACAAAATGACAATTTTTGAACAGGACATGAAAAGGTTTAACTATGGTCCTCATTCACGAAGTAGCCATTTTTGTCTTGTTCCCTGAATGTATTTCATAAATTGTTAACTGTTAAATGGGATGGCGCCAGAATATTTATGCAGCCTTATTTTACTTTCATTTATTTATTTATTTTTGTATTCAAAAAAATAAGAATATTGTTCTTGTAATATTTTCAATTCAAACCTACATTTAGTTGCAGAGTATGCCTTAGCCCCATAAATGTGGTCAATTTACTGGACTACCTCCATAAATAAAGGCCACACTTGGAACATGTACCCGAAAATGTAGAACTTTGTCAAGTTTTTATTTTCATATTTAGACTTTGTAGTTTCGTGTTGGAATTTAGATACACTAATTACACTAAAAATGGACATCTGAAAAAGGGGGGACTAATTTTGTATCGCTTTAAAGAGGTTGAGTATGCTTCTAAAGCATGAATAAACTACAAACAAAGTCTAAATGTGAAAGTAAAAGCTTGACAAAGTTTTACATTTTCGGGTAGGCCAACAATGTTCCAAGTGTGGCCTTTTATATTTACAGAGGTAGTCCAGCATCCAGTAAATTGGCCACATTTATGGGGCGAAGTGTGCCTATATTATGGAAAAATAATGTTGCAACCTGACGCCACTTCCGCGATTGTGTATAAAGACTAATAGAAGAATCGAGAAAATTTTCTAAGCAAGTTATTTATTTCCTAACAAAATTGGAAATGTGGGAAAATGTACATACTCGATCGCAACTTTACCTGCCACCAACAGAAATCCAGGAAGATGTGTAAATGCAAAAAAAAATTAGGCAAATTGTGTTTTGAGAGCAAAATGTGTTTGCAGAACAAAGTTGAAGCAGCTGGTCAAAACTGATTGAAGTGGCTGAAAGACAGCAGTACGTTGTACGCATGACATCGACAACCATGACGTCGCATGAGCCGGCCAATGATAGTGCAATACGTCATTATGAATATTATTATGACTACTTCAAATATGTCCAAAGATTCATTATTGCAACAGCGACCGTGCGCAGCCTAGCAGTTAATAAGAGTCTCGTGTTTCAAGCAAGAGTCCGAGGTTCGAATCTCGATGAAGTAAGTGACTGATTAATAAATAGAAATAAAGGAAAGGAGAGGGTGAGAGTAGAGGAGGGAAAGTGGAGGAAATAACCATAAAGGATGCAACTTTTGGCGCTTGAAAATTAATTGAAAAAAGTGGCGATCGAGTAGGGCCCCCCCCCCCCTATGGAATTTTTTCCAGAAATAATTCTCACTCTCCCAGATTCATGTCTTATCATTATTTTTGCAATGAATGATCTTCATTGAGATGATATATGAAGAAAATAGTGGCGTTAGGTTGCAACATTTTTTAGAAAGTCCGAAATTGTAATCATAAATGGTCTGATTCCCATCTCGTGGATACGAAGTCGCAATGACAAGGTTTGCCTCACTGCGTGGAACCAGACTAAGATTTGTCACGGACACGGTAAAAATTGTTAAATCCAAAAAACAGTCACTGCGCACGTTCAGTGCCAAGCCGGCTTAATATCGTTTACTAAAACAAAGCCGGCGCCGGCCAAATATCCACTGCCTAAATGTAAAAACGCTTATGATTTAGGGCCTCTAAAAATTTTACTTGAGCACACCGTAAAATGTGTACTGTGTTACGTGGACCTACATTACGTTATAAAACATGTCAAAACAACTCTAAAAATAAATGGGAAACCTTCAATTTTCTCAGTCAATAGTCTCACTACGGTAATGATATTATTTCGAAAATGCCAGTAATGAATTTTATATTGCATGATGCCGGGCAAAATAGGTTGATATTGAAGGATTTTAACGACCCATCCATACCTTCTTTGTAACTATCAGAGAGAGACGGCCAAAGAGGCTTCGAACTGGTTCCCAGACCCAATTCCATTAGTCTGGTTCCCAGACCAAAAGAGGACTGACTATTCCTGATAAATTGTCAGGTCGGGGAACCAGACTACAGTTCCATCACACCATTATGGGGCGGGAACCAGTGTAGAGAAGCCGTGGTTATTGTCCCCAGCGACTACGCAGCTCCAGTTTCGCTCGTACCCACCGCCCCGAACAGGGCGATTGATATGGCGTGTCAAACGTTGCAAAATTCAATGTTTTACAATATACATGTATACGTCCGATGTTCAATATTGTGTGTGCGATGTTTTACAATATATATGTGCGATGTAAAAGTATATATGTGTCGTGACCAAAATGCCAAATTCTACATGATTTACAGATAAAGTGACCATCAAAAAGTGAAAGTACGAGATAATTAGTTAAAAAAACACAATGTACTAAAACAAACATAGTTTAAAACGCAAAGGATTACAAAAAAAAAAAAAAAAATCAGGAATTCATGAGAAAAATTATATGCCATGTTCAGTATATGTGTGTGATGTTTGTACAACGTTAATTGTGTGTGGGATGTAGTACAATATATGGGTGATCGTAGTGCCATTGTTCACCGTCAGTTGTGCTATTTCCTCCAGAGAATGCGTACAACATTTTCTTTCAGATTAACATATCTGCCACTAAATGGTGGAATTATCTGCAGCTTAGTTGGGTTATAATTGGTTTCCATATCATATCAACGATTCTGCATGCTCATGGTTCCTGCTCTGTTTATTGGAAAATATGGTGATGATTTCACGTTTGCGGAAAACTCACATTCTAGACAATTTTGCCGTATTCAACATCTAGATTCCTGTCACGAATGGGCAATTGAAAACAAACTGAAATTAGCCCCGTGTGTGTTTACCTTCACGGTTAAAATCGAGAAATTGGTGGTGAAGCATTACAATTTGTCTCTGAAGCCAATTGGCTTTTGGCTTATGGATTAAAAATGACCTTGAACCCATTTTGACAATTTGCTGATGAAAACTAGTAGAAAATTCAGTACTAGGAATTACGAGCTAATTCATGGTGGTATATATGGTAAGTGTGTATATTGGAATATGCCGAGATGGCTTTCTAAATTACCACCAATAGTGGACCAGCAAAAGTGGAATATTACAATTTAGACGGCATTCATTTTTGGTAATAGCAGGTAACCACGTCAGATCAATCAGTCAAAGGATGGAGAAGAAAACGTAGGTGGACACCACCCCTAATTTTGACCCAAATTAATGTACCTAATTTGCATAAGTTGTTAATCCCTGCCGTGTTAAAATTACAATTCCCATATTTGGGTATATTCTTTATTCTTTTTTTATTTTGAAAAGGTTTTTTTGGTAATTCTACTTATACTTCCTTACTTAAATAACATTTTCTTAAAGTGACTGAATAATTGTGAGGAGTAGTAACGATCCAAAATGGCTACTATTATACCCAAAACTTTACCTCGTCTCCAGCTATCATCAAGTAGGTTTGCCAAGCCTCAGTAGTGATGGGCTTCAAATTCACCAAGTTCCCCTCCCTTCCCCCCCCCCCCAAAAAATAAAGAACCCATTTTTTTTTTTTAAAGTGACGTCGGAAAAAAATGCAGCCACACTATACACCGCCATCTTTTCTTCACAAAATGTAGTTGAAGTGGTCAGAAACTCGATCAGTGCCTCAGATCCCACTACAGAGCATCCAGAATCCAAAAAAAGCAGCGGGTCCCAAACCCCACGCCGTAAAATTTTCGACCCACCACTTTTTTTGGGGTAACAAATTTGTTTTTGGCCCCCTGCCCCCCAAAAAAATGTTTTCTGGATCCACCCTTGCAAGTGGATGAAAAGTGTGTTTTCCCCCTGCACCCCCTTATTCTTTTATATTATTTTGCAGTCTTTTGTGTTCAATTATACTTTTCCCCATGAATTCCTAACCAGTTGTTTGTGTGGTTATCCTTTTTGTTTTAAACTCAGTGTACATACGATTTTTTCTCGAGTACAATATATTTTGAACCGTTAATTCTTGATAATGTCACCTTTCATATTTACATCTTACAGAAATTTTTAACGATTTTTATATGTAAATCATGTACAATTTGGCCTTTTGGCTATTACATATTGAAATCGCACATAATATAAATTTTCAGTCCCGGCAATTTTAAAAAATTTTTCGTTCATATTTACAGACTCTTATATTCAAATTTGTACTGCAACATCGATTTAATGCACTTCCCATGTTTAATGTTTTGTCAAACAGTTTCAAATTAAGTCCAAACAGATTCAAACAATGAGCACACGTTTTCGACTCGGAGTATTCGATGTCTCATCTACGCCGAATCGTGTTATTGAGAAATCAAATTCGTCTAAGGCCACACTATTTAAACATAGGCCTAATTTTGTTCCATTTTGTCATACTTCATAGCGACATCTTTAAAGGCATATAGGCCTCTAATACACGAAAAAAACTCTATATTTTTTCATTTTCTAATTTCTTCGTAAATGTGTCATTTCTTTTGATTTTATCTTCTTAAAATGACATGTTAGGAATATTACACAGGGACTGGTTATCGGTTATTGGCTTTTGACGTTTCCTTTTTCATTGTAAGGCTTCTTATTTTCTTTTGTTTATTTTAAATAAAGTAATGATAATCTTTACTTTTTTGGTAACTCTTCTCTGAGATCAGTACTCTGCTTTTGTCCGAAAAATCATGCCAGCGAATGTGCCAAATTTGTGCTTGGTACAAGGACATTCTCTAGAACACAGCTGACTAATTTACTTTATACAAATTTTAAATTGATTGATAAAACACGAATTTGATCTCTGAATGCTGCCATTCCACAACAATTACGACGAAAATTCTTGACACGATGACTAAAGAGGGTGACTAAACTTTGAATTGAATGGTAAATGACTAAGTTGATTTTTTTCTCGGACGAAATTGAATGTCAGAGTTGGTGAATTCGAATGAAAAATGTTTTAAAATAGCCGGGAAAATCATTCATTATATTGCAAAAATCGCAAACGTATATTGTAAAACATTGAATATTGAAACGTTTGACCCGCCATTCATGATATCAGGGGAATTCCAAAATCGGCATGCAGAAATTATAAAGAACTGCGCGTAGCTAAGGGGAGTATCCGTCCATGATTTTGTGACTTTCCCATGGCTGTTTCTTCCCTTCCCCGACCGCCATCGTGCAGTCTTGATGATTGTGTTCATTCTGAATAATGTAATTTGGATGAAGTTAACTTTCCGGGTTTGGTACAGGCAGAATGGAGATGGAATGATGAGCAGAGTATAATGTACATGTAGTCGTCGTTACAAAGTCCATGTGCAGAGTGCTAGTGCTAGTGCTAGTGCTAGTGCTAGTGCTGTAGCTGTACTGCCCGTGAAATTGACCAAAGTCACATAACAGGTAAAATACAGGGGTCAGTCCTCCCTCCACTCCGGTGGGAGGGAGGTTGTTTGGGGGGGGGGGGGGGGGGACAGTTTCCTCTTGTAATATTTTTATTTTACTTCGACAGCTCCGGGTATGTATACAGTGCTCATTTAATGGACATGACGGAAAGGGCAAAACCCAATTTATAATGTTAAATTTTCGTACGTGCCTTTTGTTCATGTATATGATATTACAAGCTGATTTACCCGATCATAGATCGGGTAGGGCGTAGTGTTGGTGAAAATGTGGGGAGTTATATGTAAAAGGGGGATATAGTTGGGGAGACATGCAGTTATAAAAGCAATTTCTGTGGTGTGTGGGTACTGTCAAAGGGCAGTGTGAACTGAGGTAATTTCTGACCACTAAAACCAATTTGAGCAAAAGATCATCTTTGAAAGTTTTGAGTTTAGAGTAATTGAATCAGCTACATGTATTCTGAGCATAGCAATAGAATCGTTATTGTAGGCTACAATATTTTAATTCGGGGAAGAAAAAGTGGGGGGGGGGGACCAAACAATGTCCCCCGCCTCAAAATGTGTGTGTGTGTGTGTGTGTGTGGGGGGGGGGGGGGGGGGGTCCCCTGTCCCCCGTCGATTTACGCACATGATAATTATGTACCATGGCAACTGTCTGTATACTTGAATTTTGCCGTTGGTCTGTTAAATTGGCTTTTTGTGAGGCAGTCGCATTTGGAAAACGTAGTGAAAAGGTTACTGTAGCACACAGGCGAAGGCTGGTTGTACAGTTTTGACAATAAATCATAATGCAATAAAACGTGAAGGTGTCATTTGAAATGAAAATGTTAAGTGTTACCATAAAATTACAAACGGTCTGAATCATGGAGGAAGGTCATAATTAAGTTTCAGTATTGGACTCTTCAACAAACGTAAACTTGAACTTCTTACAATTTGCGAGATCGTCTGCGAGGAAAAAAGTTGGTTCAACGATCTATATAAGAGCAAATTTTACTCGGCCTCCGAGAAATGTTTGCTCCTGAAAGGATCCGAGACCGCGGCTTCACGTCCGTGGAAAAATGTGGGTGTCTTCCGCAGGGTCGGAGACTTTTTCGTCGATTTTTTTGTGACTTCGTTTAAGATCGCGATATTTGAAGCAATATGCATCGATCCTTCGTTGACCCCAAACAGGCCCCCGAAATTATAACGCGACACTGAAATATACGTGGCGGGCAGCGAACTCACAACGCTCAGCCTTGGTGGTGGAAGCATGGAGCTGTAAACACCTTATGGAAGCAACAACACTCTATCACGCGACGTCACAGGCTCGCGCTTCAAATAGCGAGCACCGTAGACCCAACCTCGTTTGCAGGGTGTGGAGCAGGCTGCAGTACGCGTTGCCGTCGACAGTTTTGCATAGCCCGGAAATACTATGCAAAGTAGACTTTCGATTGGTCAGACCGCGCAAGGCATACTAATGTGTAGTCCTTCTGAGTATTCGTTGCACTCGGCGCAGGGGCAGCAAGCAAAGCACAGGAAACAATAGGGACACTGGGTGGCCACGGACCATGGAGAAAAAATATTTTGCCAAGGTCACCCCATACTACCATTTGGTGAACACTTTTGCCGAACGGCCGAGTAGAACACGTAAACGAAACCCCTACGTTGACCTCGCTGACCTCGCATAGTCTAGACTCGCAGAAAAGCCAGCACAGGGGGCGACCAGGCAGTCATTGTGAAAGCGCACACGACGGCAAATTCCTGCGCAAAACGCAGTCACGAAAATTCGACGAAACGGATCGCCGGTCCGTACGGGAAAATTAGGACGACCCGAAGCGTCCGACCCGGCGGAAGACACCCTCCGCATTTTTCCACGGACGTGGAGCGATTTTGGCGCCGCGGGAGCCCGCGGTCTCGGATCCTTTCAGGAGCAAACATCGTCTCGGGGGCGAGTAAACTTCTCTCTTATATATATAGATATATTTTCTCATTCTTGAAATTTTTGTTCCTCAAATCGCTCCCTGCCCTGTGCTTAATTTAACGTTATTTTCAAATTTCAACTTGCCTGATTGTAGTCTGGTTCCCTGACCCCATTGCCCTTCTGACTTAAAGTATTGGGTCCGGTAACTAGTCTTGCGGTTCCATACATTACAACACGGAAATCCGTGTAACGTTTGCAACTTATATATGCATGACGTGAAAAGGTCTGAATCCCGCTTCTTTAATTCAAAAACACAACGGTAATGTTTGCCTGCAACTAGCCTATTGCAAAAATGGCAATAGCCTATAGCGACTAATTAGGTTGCAATTTTGGAGGTGATGAGCTTCGATTTTTGCTAAATTTGAAAGTATCTCTGGCAAATATAAATAAAGAGAGAGATGTTGCTGTTCGAGTACAGCCTATGGATTTGAAATGCTTACAAATTGCTTTCATGAAGACATTGGTGATTGTGGGTACTTTTTGTGGTAAGATAAGCGTGAGTTTCTTGACTGAATCATGTGTGGAATGACGCGTCCATTGGATGAAGTTAAGAAGTAAACTCGCCAAGCCTGGTAGGCCTACCAATGATGGAATTATACAAAACATGATGACCAAAACTTGGTCAAGGTGGTCAAAAATTGCCTCAGATTGCATCACAGAGCATCTAGAATAAAAAAAAAAAAATAAAAAAAAAAAAAAAAAGAAAGATAATTTTTGTTTATATTCTTTCAGTTAGGTAACCTTAACTCGTCTTGATTACTACTAAGATGGCGCACAAGACAGTTCAGCAGTTGGATGCATACATTAAGGCAACAGCCGTCGTGTACGACCACTCCAACGCCAAGCTCATCAGCAGGAAGACTAAAGTCAAACCAAGGAGGAAACAAGCTTTCCTGTCTGTACTGCATTACAGGAAAACGTCTTCTGATGATTGCTGTGCAAAGAGGAGACCATGGAATCGATGGATCCGAAGAAAATCAAAGCAGACACATGAAAGTCAGAGGTAAACAGTAATGACATTTATTCATTTCAATTGAGGGTCATATGATAATTGTAACTTAACATCGAAGGGTTTGTTTAATCATTGACTCTTTCTGGCTACTAGGGTAAAAGTTGAGTGAACTTGTGCAATTCTTTTCATAGACTCATGACAGTGGATGTGACTTTGAATATAGCTTGTGTAGAATAATGCATTTCTAAATCTACACAGAATTTCTCCCCTATTTTCGCAGTAATTCCAAAGACGTAAAACAGAAACTGCAGGTCTTTGTCCGGACTCCCATCCCACTTAAGACCAAGACACTTTATTTCGAACTCCGTCCCGAGACATCCGTCTCATCTCTGAAAGAGGTAATCCAGAAGAAGATCGGTGTGGAGGCACGATATCAGCGTCTGTACATCAGGGAAAATGTCCAGGTAAATATACTCTTGTTTAAAATAAAGATGCCGTACATGCACTTCGATAATTTGAAATATCCAAAAGGTCCACCTAGATTTTTTTTCCGTTTTGTGGAATTTCATAATATACAACGCAAAATCTCACATTTCCATATTTAATCAACAATTAGTTTATTTATGACAAACTGCCCACAATCATGACAATCACAATCCCTCCCTCCCAACTAAGCTTAAAACGAATTCAATCAATTTGCTACACGTTTAAAAGAAAACAAAAATCTGAAATCCACTATATTTAAACTGAAATCCTCTATGTTTTCCCAGAATCATGTAACTTACTGTATATTATTAATCCACTTTGGTAGCTCTGTGACTTACTCACACTTGAAGAGAATGGTGTCGACACGAAGGAAATCATCTCTCTCCGTCTATCACTAGATGAGCAGGATAACAAAAATGTACCAAAAGGTAAATGACAACGTTTGTTGTTACTGTAGTTTAAAAAGTTAACCACTAATATCTAATACAGGGTGACTCCCCCCTCAAAAAAAAATTGCAACCCTGAAACATTTGCTTTTTTCAAAAACGTGATATGTGAATTTTTATGTTTTGGATATCAGATTAAAGCCGATGTTTTTTTTTAACTTTCAATACTGAAACATCACGAAAACAGCACATTGGGTTGCTGAGAAAATGCCAATTCTGTAACACAACTCCTTTTTGGTCCATTCCAATGGCATTACCACAGTTAAGGGATTTACACTTTACCTCAATTGTGCATGAAATGCATGTAGCGCATTGTGTTGTAATCCTTACAAACAACACGGCACATAATGATGAAAATTCCATTCATTTTCAAACTTAAGAGGTACCTTATCATTTTTAGTCCTATTTTACACCTTTTCAGCATCATAAATGTCAAAAAATTACAGAAATTACACGAATGAACGCTGTTTCAAGCACCATTGCAACAGATGAAAAAAAATCACTTCTTTTACATATTTAGCATTTTCTCTGCAGCCTAATGTACTGTTTTCAAGAAAATTCTCAGCTTTACTTTGATATCCAAAACATAAAAAATTCACAGAACACGTTTTAAAAAAGGCACAAATTTAAGACTTGCCTATTTTGTTTATTTCATTTGGGGGGTTGGGGGGTTCACCCTATAGTGTACTGTAGTGCATGCACTTCAAAGTATGTAACTGAAGGCTCACTTGGAACATTTTTTTGACAGATAAAGCCAGCGTTGATGATGAGTACCTCAAGGACTTGTCATCAAAAATCGAATCATCATGGAAGGAATTGGCTAAACACCTAGGATATGAAGAATCGGAAATTGCAGACATCCAAACCACCAACGAAGGGAGCACTGAAGAGAGCCGTCACATGCTACTCACTTGGTGGGAAAAGACGACAGATCGCGACGAAGCAGCTCAGAAGCTGAGACGAGCATTGGAGGCCATCGGGTTGTCGGATTTGGCTCGAAATGTACCAGGTGATCTAAAATATGAACAAGCAGATTTCTTATGAATGGGAGGTTGCCGGTAACACCATGTGAATATTTCTTGTGATTTTTGTGGTTCAAAGAAGAACCAGATTTACATTCATATTTATATTCATATTCAAATATTGTTATGGTACCCCGCTCTTAGATCGTAAAACAATCGTAAAAAATGTGTTGCACTCTTGTTTTCCTTCTTGCATCAGTAACGAGCGAATCGAGAGACGAAGCATCTGGACCCGAGCCAGAAAGGCGTCAAGATGCAGGAGTTGACGAGGAGAGCAAACAAAACGGGGCGGCATCAACCGAGGAAGAAAAACCGAAAAAGAAACAAGTGTGTCATCAAGACAAGCCTCAGCTTATGTGGTAAAACATGATTAAACGCGGCTATTCGTACTCCTTTTGAAAACAATCATCTTTCCTTACTTTGAAAAAATAGTTTCAAGAACAATTCAATTTTCCATCATTTATTTGAAAATGTATGTTCAAAGTATTTATATGGCGTTATAATGCAAGTCCACCATTCTAACAGTTTCAGATATGTGGCACTGCAGGTCTTCATCAGAAGTCACCTGTCACATAGACCAACGACGATGTGTTTACAAATGGATCCAGAGACATCTGTCTCGACTCTAAAACAGATAATTTGCGAGAAAATCAGTGTCCGGCCTCAACAGCAGCGACTGTACATCCGAAGAAACTTTCGAAACTTTGAGGTAAAGAAGGCTCATACAAAGTAACTATTGTTAAGTACCCATTAACATTACATCTAATAAAAGGCCATGCATTGTGGGGTTTAGTGACAACCTCTTCTGATTCACATTACATGACGTGTGGACAGATAATTCTGCTTCTGAAGTCGGTACAATAGGGAGATTAGGCACTGAAGATCGTACGCACTGAAGAAAAAACCGATAAACCATTATGAAAATTAATAATTTGGTTTTAGCCCTACCAATCACGTCTCACGATAAAAATGCACCATGGAGAAAAGTTAAATTCATGTTTAATTTTTTTTTTTTACACTGTTGTGTAACCTAAACCCCAAACTGTCGTCGTTAAATCTTCGCTCTAAGAGTGTGTGTTATATCAGGATCTTAATTTCTTTGCCAGCTCCATAACTTGCTGACACTTCAGGACTGTGGAATTCATCAGGACGAGAACATTTCACTCCGTCTGTGTACTGATGGCCTACTGGGCGGTGGACCAAAAGGTAAATGCTTATGGGTAACGTTACTTTCCACAATATAATCAGCCTAACTTACTACATTATAGTCATGAAAAACAGTTAGGCCGCCTTGAAAGTGCAGTTGTTAAAACATTCATGATCAGTGGTTTAGTTTTTGTTTAGCTTCTTAAGGACTCTCGGAGGTTGGCATCAGTTGTTCAAGCGAAATCTAAATTAATTGCACTCATCATCAACCGCTGTAAAAAGCACAATATAATTAATTCAGTATACAATGACGCAGATAAAAGCACTGATGTCTAAGTTGCTTTCCTTCTCTTTGATTTAAAATTAAAATATCGGTCCCAAAGAGGTAGCTCTCACCTTGTACTGACGGAAATGTTTCAAACACCCTGTTGATGATCAGTTTTTTTGAGACTTGGCTCCGAAAAATGAATCATTTTGGGAGGCCCTGGCCAAATTCCTGGGATATGAAGAAGCCACCGAAAACATATTTCCAATCGGGTAAATATTTACTGAGTTATGGCCAATGGAATACAAGAGTGCAGGTTTGTCGTTTTGTCCTTGGCGACTGATATTTTGACTGCGGCAATATGAACACGGTCCGAAACTTGCATCCATGGAAAAGGCTAGCCAGTAGTGGTCGGGCAGCACATGAAACACCCAAGAAGTTAACCTAGCAGTCCTTTTCAGGACTACCATTTCTCCCAAAAGGATAAATGACCATTGTTACAAAAAAGGAGAACCTAATAAAGAAATAAAGATTAAAACATTAAAGAAAGCAAAACCACCCTCACCCGAAATCCAATTCTTAATCATTGACAATTGAGATTGTGGACTGATTGAAAAATCGGCATTTGTTTTTAACTGGCCATAACTTAATTAATGTTTAACCGATTAGAACGATTTTTTTCGGTGTTGAAAAGCTATTTGAAATATACACTGAAAATTGTTTGGGTTAATTTTACCCAAGCAAGGATGAAAACTGCAACTACCCAAAATTGGGTTACGCTTTACCCAATTTTTGGGTTTTAATTTCGTTTAAATTCAACCAAAACTAGTGGCCATACAAGACCAAATTACATTTAGTGTTGTAAGACCACACGTTTTGGTTGAATTTAACAGATAAAGATATTTGCGATGTATTTTTTAAAAAGGTTTGGTTTATGTGGGTTATCGCGTATCAAACCATGCAACGTCTAGCCCCTATAGGAGCGAGTCGGCAAGGGGGCGAGTTTGTAAGGGGAGAGTCAGTCAGGGGCGAGTTGACCTACAATCTTGCTAATTGACTTTACTTTAAATATTTGAAGCAGATTTTTTATGAAAAGATAAGTGGCATATTTTTGATATCTCATGAAAAAGTTGATAGTAAAAGTAAGCATATCATTTTTCATCGCTAGAAAAATAGAAATTCGAAAATAGACTTCATCAAACTAGAAATATCTAATAAACTGGAGAATACGACCGACATGACACCTAAAAAAGGAGACCCAAAGTGTGCCACGAACTGATCATGTAAGGTGAAAACTGACGATCGAAGAATATTTCCATTAAAAAATGAAATACAAAGCAGTGCCATTACATAGAGATTGTTAACAGAACAACCATCTAAAAGTAAGCTTTGTGACACTTATTTTACTATGCATATCTCTTGTAATACAGTTGGAACGTAATAACCTGTTTATCTTGTGGGATATTCATATACTCGCAGTCGTTCCCAATGTATACATTCTAACAACAATAATTATCACATGTATGCGCTTTATTCATGTTGCAATGACATTTTGTATTCATTTTTAGATGCGCCGCCTGACAGCAAATCCATTTTGAGTCTTTCTGTAGACATTGGAACAGACTGGGAAAAATTGGCCATAAACTTGAACTTTTCTGAAGGAGTTCTTAATACAATTAGGAGTAATCGTCCCAACAACACTGAAATGCAGTGCTTTGAAATGTTAAACAAATGGTGGAACAAGCAGAAAAATTACCCAGAAGCATGGCAGACGTTGGAGAAGGCTCTGATTGATTCAGGCAGGAACGACTTGGCTCTGCGCTTATCAGGTATGCTTAGTAACTGAAGAAAGTTTGGCAAATCGTGGGCTTTTCAAAACAAAGTGATCCGCGGATTGCACATGTCAGCTTTTTCCGCGGTTGATCCCCGTATGCTTTGAGTTGTTATTCCTGCAGGAGCTGTGAATTTTCAGTCGAAGAAAAAAAATAATTGGCTCCTGAAAAGTATTTTTTTTTATGGAAGGGCAGGGCCTTAGTTCCATCAAAATCCATGAAGGCAAGCAGAGGTGAAACATTTTTTTTTCAAACTTAATCTTAACTATAACATACATGTACAAACAGGGGTACAGTCACACGGGGATTTAAGGATACATAATTTGGGACTGGTGAAGTTTCCCAAAATTTTTGTTTAGGCGACACTCTATAATGACTGACATAAAATATAATATAGAACTTGCGTAGACCCAATGGGCCTCCATCATTCAGACCTGGCATGAAACTTGACCCCAAACGAAATCTACATATGGGTGTACGCTATGGCGTTTTGGACTTAACTTTTATAAAAACATGAGAAGAAAATATAAAATTAGAAAAAAAGCGAATTTGAACGTTATGAAATTCAGACTTTATATCACAGACGATCACTTGACAGATAAAAACAGCAGTTAACATGATAAAACAGGGACAAAATGTAGAGGCGAGGACGCAGCGATGTTCTCGTTAATAGTCAAGAATCAAATTTAGGTATCACCTAAATAAAAGAGCCAGATATCCAGATGGTCAAACAATATGGAACTGAACGTACATGCGATAGATGAAATTGACAATAAATGATGCCAAAAAAGAGCGATTTTTGTTTCCCGTGTGAATAAATTTGAAATTTGACAGTTTTAACTTTCCATTAAAATGTCAGTTGAATTGATAAAAGGTTTACGTGTCCGTTCACGCCGAGTTGCACAGGCAGATCAATAGCGAAGCATGGTCACTACAGAAAAAAATATATAGAGCGAGGATGCAAAAATGTGCTCGTCACGTGGACCTCTATTGTAGTCAAGAATCAATTTAAGTATCACCTAATTGCAAGAACTAGATTTCCCGATTGTCAAACAATATGGAACTGAACGTACAAGCGAAATATGAAGTTGGCAACAAACGATGCCAAAAAAACCCACATGTTTTGCCCGTGTGAATAAATTTGAAATTCGACAGTCTTATTTTTCCAGGTGAATTCATGAAAGGTTTAGGCTTACCTTGTCGTTCACGCCGAGTTTCACACGCAGATATTATTCATATGACGTTATATAAAGCTTTATGAATTGGGGCCTGTTGGTTTTATGACTAAATCGATGTCGGAAACGTAGCTGCATTTGAAACCACACTACAACACAATGACCACCTGCAGATGTCCATAAAATGCTTTAAATCAAACATCAAGTTCTACTGTTTTACAAGTCCAAAAAAAATCGGCCAAGTTTCAATTTTTGTTTGTAACAAATTTTAAATTGTCGATGTATCACTTGGTCTTTCGTTGACAGAGTCTCCACGGCTACAAATAAGAACGAGCGTCACAGACAACGGGATAGAGAACGTTTCATTAACAAAGCAGCTATTGAACGTGCTGGCTGTCGCACTTCAATCTTCCGGGCGTGTGATGATTGCACTCGGTGTCTTTTTCACATCATGTGGCGTTAAACTTGAACACGTAGTACGTGGGTCTGTGACATTTGTTGTTCGTATTGTGAGTCGGGAGGGTCTGAACAAACTCTGGAGTATGTACACCACTGGAGAACTCGCCAAGAAACTGACAGAGATTCTCATCACGGATGAGCTGACAACAGAGGATAAGAGTGACTTGGCTATCCAGGCTACCATACAGGAAAACGACTACGAACAGGCCTGCCGATTCTTTGACGAGTTGGAAAAAGCCCAGCAGAAAGGTAGCCTAATGTTATATAATAAAAACTGCAATCAACCCCTTTTCTAAAATTCTATATAAAAATAAGTTTTCGCTTTCGTTGTTGACATTTTTTTCTTTTTTCAAGCGGCATGACAGAGGTACAACACGCTGCTGATAGATGTAAAGAAACAATTGCATTTGACCACGGATACATATTTGCAAGTGGTTCAATGGGTACATGGTGACACCCCAAAAGTTATAATGCCACAGGTAAATTTGGTTACGGCTACCTTTGAGACAGAGAAAAGGGTAATATTATATGGTGATGTTTTCCTCTTGGAAACACGAGAGGGCGATCCGATTAACCTGGCCTTTCTACTTGGACCAGATGATGAGCAAAAGTCCATTATTTTGGAAAACATTGCACACATTGCACACCAAATAACTTCAAACTTTTTAATGCCTGAAATATGCTCAACTGTTGCGTCAAGATTCAGATATTGACATAAATGAGGTGGTTTAGGTTGTAGTGGCTTTCCAGCTGAAAAGTAAACTGTAATGACTCATGACAAGAAAAGTTTCGGACAATTTTCGAAACAAACGTGTATATACTGTTTGACTTGATGAAGATTAGTTGTGCCTAGTTTGATTAAGATCGGTCGAGGTGTACTCATGGCGTTTTGTTGCTTCCCCTTCCAAGCCTATTGCTAAGAAATGCATGAAAGCTCAATCAGAGGCGGTTCAAATAAGTGGCCTTATGAGAGAGTGCATCCCTAAATTGTCAGTGTTAACATTTTTCCTATTGGAGACATGCAAAGGATTACAAAATACCGGTAGCAGTGGGTTCTGGGGGAGGGTGCACTTGGACCCCCGTAGCCCACAGACTAAATACCGCCCTCAGGTCGATTAACGATTTGCTTGCGCAACGACGGGAATGGCAAAACCGCGTTGATTCGCATTATATGAACCGTAAAGAGTCAGGTAATCGCATTTTGTACCGAAAACAAAAACTGTTAAGAGTAAGGAAACAGGATCGTTAGGACTTAAAAGAAATCTTCTTTACGTTGCGGAATTCATTTTTGATGGAATTATGAATTTACAAACACTCGACTCTATTAACTTGATAAAAAATGGGCCCGCCGGTACGCGCATGATGTTAGTCATGTCAGTGTTACAGACGATCATCGCGGTAACAAATGAAAACTAAAAGGTCATAACTGATAAAAAAAAAGGAAAACACAGACGTCACTACGTCTTCCCCAATCCCTTATTCCCAGAAGAATCCCTTTCTTTTTGGCAGATTGCAGCCAGCGCTGCCTGACCTGAAAGATCGCCAGCGTCGCGCAATTGATGGCGATTTATCACCGCGTGATCCAGGGTGCTCATATGATGGGATCTGAAAACTGACTACGTGAACAAGGATAAAATCCTTCTTATTTGTTACACGCTTCAATCATCATTCAATCGTTCACGAATGAGCGGAAACACAATTGAGCATTTTTACCAATAATATTGTACGATCTAGAAACTCACTCTTATCAAGTTGAAGTTTGTTTCACGTGTCAGTTACACTGAAAAAAAAAATACGTTTAGGAATTAAGAGAGTGTAAATTCTCACCAGATAAACAAAGTTGGGCACTTATATTTAGCGCGTCTGCAGGAATTCATATGAATAATATGCCTGTTCTTCAACCAAAGTGCATGTAATGCCTCTTTTTCGAAAGAGTGAAATTCACACTATTTGAGTGAAAATTCACTCCCAGCGATTCATCGAAATTGGATGATATTCATTCAATCGACTGGATCGAGTTTCAGTCAAGTTTCTACTAGAATTATTTTTAAAGAGTATTTCAGTCTAACATTAAAGTTACTTTCAGTCTATTTTACTTTGAGTCTATCGTCTGTTTCCTACTAGTCTCACTTTTTGGAAATTAGAGTTTTTAATTGCCTTTCAATCCGAATAACCACATATCATAATATGCGCATGACGAAACATTTTTTTCTTGACAGACAAACAGCCTGTTGATGATCAGTTCTTTCGGGACTTGGCTTCGAAAACTGAATCATCCTGGGAGGCCCTGGCCAAATTCCTGGGAAACGGAGAAACAGAAATCAAGCAAATCCAAACCACCTTCCAAGACGACAAAGAAAGGAGCCTACAAATGCTGCTTTCTTGGTGGAGAAAGCAAACAATTCGCGAAGAAGGATTTCAGAATTTGAGAGATGCGTTAAATTCAATCGGGCGTGCTGAGCTGGCCTTAATGATTCCACCAGATGAGGAACAGAGAATGAAACAGGAGCAACCTGGTAATCCAAAGGAAACTGGTCCATCTGTACAATCAAGAAGGGCTAAAGAACAAAGCAAGCGGAAAGGCACTACATCATCTGAGAGAAAGAGACCGCGTCATCTGGAAGTTGCTCATGGAGATAAACCTCAACCATCGGCACAAGAGGGAGGAGCTAAAGAACAAAGCAAGAGGAAAGGCACTACATCATCTGAGAGAAAGAGACCGCGTCACGAGGAAGTTTCTTGTGGAGATAAACCTCAACCATCGGCACAAGAGGGAGGAGCTAAAGAACAAAGCAAGCAGAAAGGCATTACATCATCTAAGGGAAAGAGACCGCGTCAGGAGGAAGTTCCTCATGGAGATAAACCTCAACCATCGGCACAAGAGGGAGGAGCTAAAGAACAAAGCAAGCAGAAAGGGACTTCATCATCCGAAGGACAAAGATCGAGACAGGAAGAAGTTGCTCATCGAGACATACCTCAACCAGAGTTACAAGTGGGAAGGGCTACAGAAAAGAGCACGCAGAAAGGGACTACATCATCTGAGGTACATAGACCGAGTCAGGAGGAAGTTGGTTATCGAGACAAGCCTCAACCAGAGGTACAAGTAGGAGGATCTAAAGAAAAGAGCAATGTGAAAGGGACTACATCATCTGAGGAACAGATACTACGTCAGGAGGAAGTTGCTCATCTAGACATATCTCAACCAGAGTTACAAGTAGTAAGGGCTACAGAAAAGAGCACGCAGAAAGGGACTACATCATCTGAGGGGCAGAGACCGAGTCAGGAGGATGTTGGTCATCGAGACAAACCTCAACCACAAGTGCAAGTGAGAGGAGCTAAAGAAAAGAGCAAGGAGAAAGGAACTACATCATCTGAGGACCAGAGGCCGCGTCAGGAGGAAGGTGCACACCGAGACAAACCCGAACTAGAGATACAAGTTGGAGCGACTGAGACCGAAAGCAGTCAAGGTACATATTACCTTGTTCAGTTAAAGGGTTTTCTGTTCAAATATGAATCCAAAATTTGCTCATTTAAAACATTTTGTGAAAAAGGTTTGCTCATTGACTGACTGCCATGTACTGACACAACAACGAATCACCATAGCGAAAGAAAATTTACAACAGCAAAATATCCAAAATTCTAGAACGTTTTGTGCTGAAATAGTTTGCTCATGAAATAATATGGAAATTCGCGTGAGCATCGATACAAAAAAAATCAAAATATCCCTGAAGATGGCAAAACGAACATTGAAAAAGGCTGAATGGGACACAAATGATTGATTGAAAAAAAACAGTGCATTGGCCCACTTATTTATATTTAAAAAGTCAGATTTTCATATGAGTTCCATTTTTTTCAGGAGTTCCAGGAGTTGCTTTTTGAATATCTGCAAATTATGTACTCTACCTTTAATGGATAAACTAAACAGAACCTTTGCGTAGCAGCCATCTTGGAGGTGCATTAATTTCTTGCTAGCAATGCGCATGGGTATAGACCTCTTGGTGATTGTTACTAAACTTAAAACACACAGACAAGTGAGTGCACGCTTCAATCGATTATTTTTGCTACCCTCCTGTTATTGAAAGTGTTGTAGATGATACCCAATTGAGGACTCTCACCCAATCGTGGAGCCTATGGTCCTTTAATGTTCACGGCCCGCTACTCAGTACGTATACTTTACAAGATGGTTGTTATGCAAAGGGTCTTGCTTGCAGATGTCCAAAACGTCAGTGTTCTTTCATCTTTTACCACCCAGAAGACAAACTTCTATAGCAGACCACCGTAACACTTTGCTAAATTGACATGCAAAGTTTCTTATTAGAATGAAATAGTTACCAAGAGCATTTCTCGGAAGGAAAGTGAAGACATAACATAACGTAGACACATTGTCAAACAAAGACGTTTTACAGAAAAGACAAATTACTGCCAACAAAACACAGTTAAGAAACTTTAACATGAAGTATTCACGAACCCCTTTTTACGGCATTTCCGCTGCAAACTATACACCTGATGTTGCCTCTTTTCTTTTAACAGGCGAGATGGGAAGAGCGCAATCCAATCCAAGTGATGCTGCTGATCAGTGCAGGAGTGAATTAAAAGACCGGTATACTACCACAGGTAGTTACGTTCAGTTAATACCCAGGGTCGATGACGACATGAAACACATGAGTGATATATATACAGAGTTGCAATTAGAAAAAGGTGACCAGGATGACATAGAGGGGGATGTTGAGGAGTATGGAGACATTTTTTCCGTTAAAACAAAATATGGGAGGGTGATTAGGCGCGCCATTCTGTGTGGGTCAACTGGGATGGGCAAGTCAACCATCATTGACAAAATGGCATACGACTGGGCTACAGGTGTTGCACTCAGACATTTTACACTTTTGTTTGTCTTGAAAATGTCCGCTCTCAAACAAACGTCAGAGCTTGTTGAGTCAGTGTTTTTTCAGCTTTTAGAAGATGATACAGCAGTAGATAAGGATGATTTGGAAGCATTTATTAAAGACAATGGTAGTAGAGTGCTCATTCTGATAGATGGTTTTGATGAATTCGGGACAACTAACCTGGAACCAGAGAAATTTGGGTCCATTCTCAGAATGCTCAATCGAAAATTTGGCAAAGAATGTTTTGTCGTTGTAACAACACGCCCCTCTCACTTAGCTAAATTGAAAAGCAAATTTCTCATTCAGAAACCTTTCACCCATGTGAAGGTTTCGGGATTTAGGATGGAAGATATTGGGCAGTATGTCAGAAGATTTTTCTCCCAAAGTTTGGATATAGCTGAGGGGCTTCTTGATGGGATCCAGTCATCGGATATCCTGTCTGATTTGGCAAGGAGTCCCTGGCTACTTCTGCTATTGTGCTTTATATGGAGGGAAGAGGGATCACTACCCGATACTTTATCAAGATTGTTCAGTGAGGCAGTTGCATACATGTTTCGAAGAAAGATGCCTGAATTATCAGTAGTAGTAAAATCGGAGGTGGTGATTGCAATCGGCAAAGTTGCTTTAGAAGGGCTCGTTTTCTCAGAGCAAAAACTTTCATTTCGAGAGGGAGAGTTTGAGAAGAGTGCACTTGATAAAGCAATACAAGCGGGTATTCTCACTAGCCAGAGGGTCATGAAGTGGCGCGACACGCACAATAACGTGCAGTTTATTCATAAGACACTTCAAGAGTACTGCGCAGCTATGTACTGTCAGAGTCTTTTAAGCAAACGCAGTGGGGAATTTCAGAAGATTCTTGATAAACTTGGCGATCCTATGGATATTGAGTACATGTTGCGCTTCTGCTGCGGCGACAATCAACAATGCACACGGCATATATTGCGGATGCTGCACGAGAAGAATCTGCATGACAAGGATTTCGAACGCAAGCCAGTGAAGGAATTGGCCTTAAATTGCTACTTTGAAAGTCAAGCAACAGATTTGTTATCCGTAGATTTCATTGAGTCTTTTTTTACTGGAAACATAGAGTTAAGTGGAAACGACCGCGTAAACTCGCTCGTGTGGTTGCTGCAGCATGTTGCCGAGCAGACAGAGTTTTCGGAAGTAGATTATCTCGATAAAGTAAGCGAAATTCACTTAAAGTCGTGTAACCTGTCAAGGTTGAGTGAAGTCGTAGCTTTGCATTTGACGGCAATGAAAAACTTGCACGTGTTGCATTTCGATGAATGCTTACTAACTGGTAGACATGCAAATAAGCTATTGTCATCATTTCGTAATGGAGGTAACTTGACTGAAATAAGCCTGGGAAGAAATAATTTGGGCGGCTCAGCCAAAGACTGGGCGGTCCACTTGCGAGGGATGAAATACCTCAAGACACTCAGGTTAGATGGATGTTGTTTATACCCGCACGATGTGATGGACATTGCATCATTGGTTGGAAAAATGCCAAACTTGGCCCATCTTAACCTTTCCGACAATGAACAATTGGGTGGAAACGCCGGAACGTGGGCGGCTAGTTTGCAGTCGATGAATCACCTGAAGAAACTTCACGTTAGAAATTCGACCAATAACAGTCGCGATTTGAAAAACATCGCTGAATCAGTAAGTCGCATGCGGAATCTGGTGCATTGTGATTTCAGTAGTTACCCTGATGTGTGGCGTGTACAGTCATTGGGTAATGGCATAGAGTTGAGCATCAAGAGTTTCTCACTTACTGGCAAGGATATGGCGGATGTATTGCAGTCATTCAGTAGTCGGAGAGATTTAGTCAGATTGACCATTCATGACGTTTTCGGTCTGGGTGGTTCCGCAAGTACAAGTATCTGGACTCCACTCTTGCAAAACCTGACGGAACTTCAGGAGTTAGAGTTAAGTGATTGCTCACTGCAATGCGCTGACATTGAACACCTTGCTGCATCATTAAGTCAAATGCCAAACCTGGCCGATCTTAGCCTTTCCGACAATAAAAAATTGGCCGGAAACGCCGGAACGTGGGCGGCTAGTTTGCAGTCGATGATTCATTTAAAGAAGCTTGACATGAGTAATTGTAGCGTTAAAAGTCGCGATTTGAAAAATATCGCTGAATCAGTAAGTCGCATGCGGAATCTGGTGCATTGTGATTTCAGTAGTGACCCTCAGGTGTGGCGTGTACAGTCATTTGGTAATGGCATAGAGTTGAGCATCAAGAGGTTCTCACTTACTTGCAAGGATATGGTGGATGTATTGCAGTCATTCAATAATCGGAGAGATTTAGTCAGATTGACCCTTGATGGCGTTTGCGGTCTGGGTGGTTCCGCAGGTATCTGGACCCCACTCTTGCAAAACCTGACGGAACTTCAGGAGTCAGAGTTGAGGGATTGCTCACTGCAAAGCGCTGACATTGAAAACCTTGCTGCATCATTAAGTCAAATGCCAAACCTGACCGATCTCGACCTTTCAGAGAATTCGAACTTGGGTGGTAACGCCGGAAAGTGGGCGACTAGTCTGCAGAAGATGATGCACCTTAAATCACTCGATTTATCCGAATGTGGCATAAATGAACAAGATATGCTACATATTGCATCATCGGTTGGGGAGATGCCAAAATTGGCCGATCTTAACCTTTCACGCAATAACGGATTGGGCGGTAACGCCGGAACGTGGGCGGCTAGTTTACAGTCGATGATTCACATAAGGAACCTGGACATGACTCACTGTAGCATTTACAGTCGCGATTTGAAATATGTCGCTGAATCTGTAAGTCGCATGCAGAATCTGGTGGACTATGATTTCAGTAGTTACCCTCAGGAGTGGCGTGTACATTCATTCGGTAATGGCATAGAGTTGAACATCAGGTATTTCTTACTTACTGGCAAGGATATGGTGAATGTATTGCAGTCATTCAATAATCCGAGCGATTTAGTCAGATTGACCATTCATGGCATTTGCGGTCTGGGTGGTTCCGCAGGTATCTGGACTCCACTCTTGCAAAACCTGACGGAACTTCAGGAGTTAGAGTTAAGTGATTGCTCACTGCAAAGCGCTGACATTGAACACCTTGCTGCATCATTAAGTCAAATGCCAAACCTGGCCGATCTTAACCTTTCACATAATTCTAACTTGGGCGGTAACGCCAAGTCGTGGGCGGCTAGTTTACAGACGATGATTCACTTAAAAAAGCTTGACATGAGACACTGTAGCATTAACAGTCGCGATTTGAAAAACATCGCTGAATCAGTAAGTCGCATGCGGAATCTGGTGCATTGTGATTTCAGTAGTTACCCTGATGTGTGGCGTGTACAGTCATTGGGTAATGGCATAGAGTTGAGCATCAAGAGTTTCTCACTTACTGGCAAGGATATGGCGGATGTATTGCAGTCATTCAGTAGTCGGAGAGATTTAGTCAGAATGACCATTGATGGCATTTGCGGTCTGGGTGGTTCCGCAAGTATCTGGACTCCACTCTTGCAAAACCTGACGGAACTTCAGGAGTTAGAGTTAAGTGATTGCTCACTGCAAAGCGCTGACATTGAAAACCTTGCTGCATCATTAAGTCAAATGCCAAACCTGGCCGATCTTAGCCTTTCAGAGAATTCGATCTTGGGTGGTAACGCCAGAAAGTGGGCGGCCAGTTTGCAGAAGATGATGCACCTTAAATCACTCGATTTATCCGAATGTGGTATAAATGAACAAGATATGCTACATATTGCATCATCGGTGGAAGAGATGCCTAACTTGGCTGGTCTTGACCTTTCACACAATAACGAATTGGGCGGTAATGCAGGAAGGTGGGCGGCTAGTTTGCAGTCGATGATTCACATAAAGAACCTTGACATAACACACTGTAGCATTTACAGTCACGATTTGAAATATATCGCTGAATCAGTAAGTCGCATGCGGAATCTGGTGCATTGTGATTTCAGTAGTTATGCCAAGGAGTGGCGTGTGCAGTCATTGGGTAATGGCATAGAGTTAAGCATCAAGAGTTTCTCACTTACTGGCAAGGATATGGCGGATGTATTGCAGTCATTCAATAGTCGGAGAGATTTAGTCAGAACGACCATTGATGGCATTTGCGGTCTGGGTGGTTCCGCAAGTATCTGGACTCCGCTCTTGCAAAACCTGAAGGAACTTCAGGCGTTAGAGTTGAGGGATTGCTCACTGCAAAGCACTGACATTGAACACCTTGCTGCATCATTAAGTCAAATGCCAAACCTGGCCCATCTCGACCTTTCAGAGAATTCGAACTTGGGTGGTACCGCCGGAACGTGGGCGGCTAGTTTGCAGACGATGATTCACCTTAAATCACTCGAATTATGGGAATGCAACATAAATGAACAAGATCTATCACATATTGCATCATCAGTTGGGGACATGCCCAACTTGGCCGATCTTAGCCTTTCATACAAAGAGGGATTGGGTTGTCACGCAGGCAAGTGGGCGGCTAGTTTGCAGACGATGATTCACCTGAAATCACTCGAATTATGGGAATGCGACATAAATGAACAAGATCTATCACATATTGCGTCATCAGTTGGGAAGATGCCCAACTTGGCCGATCTTTGCCTTTCATTCAATGAGCGATTGGGTGGTCACGCTAATACGTGGGCGGCTTGTTTGCAGAAGATGATTCACCTGAAATCACTCGATTTATGGGGATGCGACATAAATGGACAAGATCTATCACACATTGCATCAGCAGTTGGGGAGATGCCGAACTTGGCCGATCTTAACCTTTCAGGCAATGAGGAATTGGGTGGTAACGCCAAGACGTGGGCGGCTAGTTTGTGGAAGATGATTCACCTGAAAT